AATGTGCTGCGGTGCATGCCAAGGCAAATGCATGCTCCCGAATCGGAGCTTTAGATAGTAAGAAAACAATTCAAAAAAGTGATTATCATTTCGAGCCATTGCAACAAACATCAAGCTTACTGCATCTCTAACAAAACATTCAATAATGACAGCTTCATTTGCATGCGTGAATTGTAGCGCCTTCTAAATACCTCCTTCTACCACAATCTTTACGCCATTGTGGTATTGGGGCTAACAATGTGCTGCGGTGCATGCCAAGGCAAATGCATGCTCGCGAATCGGAGCTTTGGATAGTATCTTCGCGGCTTATAGAGTATGGGTGAAAATTGATGGCTATAAAGAGGCTCAAGTGTGTTGCTTTCCTCTCTATCTGTTCTCTCAAATCCGACTGCTGCAATGAACGTCCTCTTGGTCTGTTGTGCCTTTCTGACTCTCTTTCTTCTTGCTTGTGAGGGCGCAAATAACCCAAATTTTCTTGTGAAAAGAGGTGCAGCACTTGGTACAGCCGTCCGTAAAGTTTGTGATCCACGTCATCGCGTTGATTGCAATGATGGTGGTAGCAGTGGTGGTTATAGATCTAATTCACGCTTGTCACGCTCATCGAGTGGTGGCAGTAATCGTAGCTGGAGTGATTCAGATCACGAAACATCAAGTGGTTCAGAAGATCTTGAAGTGTCAAGAAGACCACCCGGAGCCTCACACCGTCGTAACCGCTGGGAAAAAGGGCAATCAGTTAAAGCGCACGATGGCACTCACCTTCGTGATATTACGCTAACAAAACCAATCAAAGATTCCAACACACCACACGATCTTCAAAAATGGTCTGGAATGTAAAAAGATAAGAAAGGCAATGAACGCAGAACGAAACTTTGGCAACAAAGAGAGAATGGGATGGCACAATTGGCTACAGGATCAACGCCTGAATCAAGAATTTTTGATCCGAACAATCCATCTTCACCTCATTCTCTGCGGGATCCGATGAGCGCAGATACTAAACATGCAACCAATCAATTAAAACTTTATATGGATAAAGAGGAAAAACAAAGAAACAATCGCCAAAGAAGAAGAAATCGGGCATCTGTCCGCCAAAGATGATTCAGAAGTAGTCTAGTCTCCTCCCTTTTTCATCATCATCAGTAATGAGTTCCAGCTTATCAATAATTTCACCTCTTCTTGATTTCAATACTATCCCCTTTCACTTCATACCTTCAACTCGATATATATCAATCACCCCTTGTCTTGCCTTTGGGCTTTGTGATGCAGAGTCTTATGTACTAAGTGTGCGAGGCATTTACCGGATGCGTGAGTTGGAACTATGAAGCTATCATTCGTATATTTCATTTGTACGCAGAGCTATCAAACTCACATTGCTACAACGATCAACATGCTTGTCTTCTTACGAACTTCGGCTATTAACAGAATTTGCATACTCCTACCTGAAGATCGAAGCGTTGGATCTGATTTTGTGTTGAAGTCGTTCTTAATCCTTACAACATGAAAATTGCGAATGTTCTGAATGATGTAGCTTGGATGCATTGGTAGCTTGATTGCTTGTAGGAACATCCATCGCCGGATTACGTGTGAAAAAATCTGCAGGTTTCAAAGATACCATTAAAGATTCACAAGGCATAATTGGGAAATCTTCCACTCTTGGATTATGCGTTAGGCCAAAACAAGCCCACATAACGATATCTTGATCTTCAGTTGATTGCTCACGGCTGACAAGATCGCCCAATCCTCCTGCTTTACCTCTGCTTTGATTTGTCCACTTTCCTGCTGCATAAAGATCTTCATCGTTATCTGTATGACGGGTAATCCAGATGTGATGTTGAGCAAACGGTGCTCGATGAGCAGCAACGGAATCTGGATGGGCAAGTAACAATTGAGTGGTGGGCATGTGCAACTTGTAACCGTGTGGCTTCTGGGAGACAGCGTTCACTTTCTTCGTATTGATGATCTTAAAAGTTCTGTTTGCCAGAGGATTCAAATCAAAAAAACCTTCTTTATCGATCATATTTTTTTGAACAATGAATCCTGTTCCTTTTGGATTGAGATCTTTCTCTTCTCGTGTTCCGAATGGCATCCTAACACTTTCTTCATAAATTGCAGTATTACCATCACCATCAATTCTCGGATGAATACGCAAGCAAAAGATATGTTGGTGATTTGTTGCCAAAACCCCTGGAGCGACAACATTTCCATACGGCGAGACTTTTCCTTGATCGATTGCCGCAACACTTAAAACACCTGTTGCCCTTGTCTCGAAATGGATTGCTCCTGCTTGATCAAAATACCAAATAAAAATGTACTCGTAATTAGCTACAGTAATGATTGTTTGCAAGACCAATTGTCGATCTCGTGTGATAAAACTATTTTCGGTACGATAATTGGTATGTTTCATCCCAATACCCATATCCTGTTCATGGCAACAGACGACATTCTTTTGTATCAATTGAGAACCATCTGGCAACGCAATTGCACCATCAAAATAATGTACTTCACCTAGGCAGTCGCAACCGAGATGTAAAGAATTGGCAGTAACGCCTGCACCTGCATCACCTAAATCGAAAGCTTGCTTTCTATGTAAAGGTGGACGTGGATCACCATACGGAACCGTCATTTCTGAAACGCTCAATCGATAGAATACCGGTCTTTTCTCGTAGCGAATATCATGTAAGACCAAACCTTCACGAACGTTCCAACTTATACGCATTGACCATTTTTGCCAAAAAATCTCACGTCCATTGATTTTGAACGAAGCTCCTTCAGGTTGAATAACCTGTAATGGCTTTAAATCGGGTCTACACTTGTAATCTTGCTGTAAGTGTGGCATATATTCGTACGGTTGGAATAGTCCAGCATTGTATTCTTCTTTCCACGTGTGCTTCATTCCATCTGCATCGTCTCCCGTGTAAACCCAATCAACTCTTGCTACCGTGTCTTGTAAAACATCCCAAACTGGAACAAAAGGTAAAGGGTAAGAATAATGAAATGCATCTTTGTCTCCTTTTGCTCCAGGTGGGCGCATGTGCATTAAGAATGAAAAGTATGCAGGTTCGTTTCCGAATTCATCACTACCATAAATCCAAGGATCAGCACAAATTGGAGTATCCTTTGGTAATCCCAATTGTTCCAAAGCCTCGAAAGTTGCGGGATGGCTCAAAATTTTTTCTTCTAAAGAAATCAACATAAAAACATCCAAAGGTGGCTTGTGATTTGACATAATCTCTTCATGTTTTTCTACTCTTAGCGATCGAATGTCAATAACGCAGGTATGAATGTGCGCTGTTTTCTTATTGGTGAAAATGACTTCAGCTCTCCTAGAAGGGCCTTTGCTCATCACATTTTGCACATCTTTTCCATCGCTTAAAGCATCAAGTATTGGCGCTAATTGTGACTTTGGTGGCTCGATCCTTTGCACGGCTTTGAACCATATATCCTGTCCAAACGTTTTATAGATTAGCTTGACAATCTCTGAGTGTTCAGATGATGTAAGCTCGTCTAAAGGATGAATTGTTCTTACTGCCGTCATCTTAAGAGACTTGAGAGTCTGAGCGTTACAATGACATGGAAAGCTTTGGTTCAAAAATCCGGCTTGTTATATATCTCTCATTTGATGCCATTCAGATCAATCAATTGATAGACTTTTATGCCAAGAATAAAAGATTATACAGTCTTCTTCTCCTCAAGCAAGGCAATTGTAGAGAACAGAAGTAATCCGATGCACTTAAGCTGTATCATTGTAGCAGGGGGCGTGTAATTGCTTGTTCGCTTACTCGGCTACTCGCTTGTTCGCTTACCCGCTTAAACTAAACGGTACCGTCTCCTGTCTCTAATAACCCCTTTCAACCGATAAAGTCAACATTTAACGATATAACGGCTCAATCATCATACAAATACTCCATTAAGATGGAGAAAGCCGATATTATAATCTTTTTTTAACTATAATCAGCCAAGAGTCTTATATTGCGTCCTTGTTATTTCATCACCTATATTGGGGAAATAAATAAGAACTACCTCTTATCCTTCGTCATCCATGAAGATCAAACATTTCTAAACAAAGCAAGATACAAATGAATTCCGAAGAAGTAGAGAAGAAGGATGTGATGCAAGCAGATGAAAGTCAAAATAAACATGTAAGCGTGTATACGATTGATTTTCCAACCAACTCGGAATTGCGCAAAAAGTTGAATAGGCCGGCTGTAGTTGCAATTGGCTATTTAATCGTGACAACTTGGTCTGCTTATTCTACTGCATCTGCTACCGCTTTGGTTGCAGGTGGCTTAAACGTATTCTTTTGGGGCTTATTGATCACGGTTTTCTGCATCATTTGCGCAGCTGCAAGTTTAGCTGAGCCAGCATCTTTATGTCCTTATGGAAATCAAGCGCAATGGTGTTCAATACTAACTCCAAAGTCTGTGGCAAGAGGATTCTCTTACACCGTGCAGTGGTTTATTCTCTTAGGGTATACGTTCGTAAGTCTTTCCGCGTGTACTTTACTTACACAAATGCTTTTAGCCATGATACAAATTACACATTCAACTTACGAAATCAAGTCGCTGCATTACGCTTTATGTCTGGATGGAATTATTATAGTACTGATAATTTCCGGCATTTTCGGAAGCAAGATGATCGCCACAGCAAACATTGCCAGTCTAATATGGAACGTTTGTGGTTTTCTATTGATCTCAATTTTCATGCTGGTTCAAAGTCGCGGTCACTATAATTCCGCCAAAACTGCATTTATAACCATTTCAAACCAATCAGGTTGGAGTACTTCATTCGTACCTTGGGTATCAGGCTTAAGCCAAGCAGCTTTGTCGACGACAGCATTTGACGCCGTCGCTCATTTGGCATACGAAATGCATGAGCCGCATAAAGACGTACCTTTTGGAATGTTATCTGCCATCGGAACAAACGGAATCATTGGATTACTCTATGCAGTAATATTTATATTCTGCCTACCTGCAAATGCCTTCGATTTACTCACAACTCCTACCGGTTTCCCATTTGGTCAATTCTTGTTGAATTTGACGCACGGATCTCAAGTTGGCACTGTCTTTTTAATTTTGGTGTTTTTTATCCCTCTTTTGTTTACAGGAGTTGACCTTTATGTGACCACTTCAAGGATTGCATGTGGTTTTGCAAGTCAAGGTGGTTTACCAAACCTTGTTGGCAAGGTCAATCAACGAATTGATGCGCCTATTTTTGCTTTTATCTTTGTCGGAATAATCAACGTTTGCTTAGCCTGGATCTATGTGGGTAGTACAGCGGCATTCACTGCTTTTATTTCTGCACCTGCAGTTGTTTTAGGTTGGACTTATTCGGCCGTTGCTGCATCCATGCTCTTTTACGGTCGACCAGTAAAGCAAATCAAAACAAAGTTCAACCTGGGAAGTATTCTTGGACCGTTTGCCAATATTGTGACCATCATTTTTTATCTCTGCTTAACGGTTTTCCTAAGTTTACCTCCTACTTATCCAGTTTCTGCTTCATCTATGAATTTCACCTCTGTGATTCTAGTGGCAAGTATATTGGCACCAATCCTCACATGGTTCTTATACGCAAAAAGATTTTATCGACCTATAGTTACAGATTGATCGTTGTATAAACAGTCGTACAATATCAAAAAATAAGAAGCTGTCTCCATCTTCTTTGTTTAATGACATCATTCCAAATCTTGTTGAGAAGGTATAATTGACGTGATTCAGCTTCAGTGGAATTATTCTCATCTGATCTGCTCCTTTGTACCCAAATCTCTTCCACCAAATTCAAGTATACACGCACTGCGCCACAATTGACGACCTCGTTGAACTTTTGAAGCGTCAATCTACAACTCTCCTGTTGGTCGGGCTTTGCGGCAATTGTCGCTTGTAAATATGCCCAGACTGCATGTCCGTCCGCAGCCCAAGGAATGCTCCATTCGGGTATTTGCCTTGTTCTGTTAGGATCTCGCGTTGTTGTGCTCTTTTGTATTGCAACTGAACTAATTAAGAATCGCAGAATAAGTTCGATTTCTTTCGATACTCCTTCCATGCTACCGGACAATACACGAGCAAAATATATCAATACACCTGCTTGTAAAAGCTCAAACAACATAAAGCGTAGCTCTGCAGCCGCAACGCTGTCTTGAATGATTGGTCTAGGTCTGCAACTGCGTATTTGTGTTTCCGTAGCTTTGCCCTCTGATAGTAGAGATTGAAGCTCTTTTGATGTCTCGATACGAATATGATGTGTAAGTGCTGATGAATTTGACCGTAGCCCCTCAGAGAATGTTGTTTGGATGGAAGGAGATCCATTGTAATTTAGGGCCCTGAATTGTCTCTGCATGTGAAATTTATTGACCAGCTTTCCCTTATCCTTATCACCGAAACCTCCGCACGTGAGGGAACATTTAGCGCGTTCACACGTTTCCCTTTGTTCTCATCATTACTCATATAAATCCCTTTGTTCTTCCTTATTCGTACATATATTAGTTTCACTCATACATATATTAAAACCCTTATACAATTCTCAGCTGATTCTTGAACCTCTCTATTTCTTATAAATACTCACTTCTTGTATCTATTTCTCTATGATTCAATTTGACGTCCCTTACAAAGAATACCTGGCTGTACGATTTGTAAGAAACTCATGCACATTGGTGATACGGGCTATAGCCTCTAGAAGATCGATTGGCCAACCTGTAACGCATTGAGTTGAGTCCAAAATTGATTCTTCTTCCTCTTCTTCCCAAATACGAACAGTCGAAATTATAAGTTGTATTTTTTCGAAACAAATGCCTGAACCTGGACCCATTGTGCAGGAAAATGTATCCCACCATAGAAGAATGCGTAACAAAAAGCGAAAATGTGAACCACTGCCTGTACCCACAATACAATCTTGCTCCTTCTCAAGTTGTAGAATTGTCAAGACTAAATTCAAAGCAACTGAAAGGCATTTATTGCTCTCATGTGCAAGTCCTGTATCAAATTGCTCAACATGTGCAACAAGAACGGCTACAGCCAGAACCTCCAATGCATTGTTTGACAATTTATCGATTTCCTCGGACGATATAGTACCGCTTTTCTTAGAAAGGTGTTTCCATTCTTGCTTTTTTCCTTCTTGCACCAATTCGCTCCAGATACGAAGGGAATATGACATGTACGAATAACCTGTGGGTCGATAATTCGTTTGGCTTTGGTGCGAGAGTGAAATCAAGCCAACAGAGGCTGTTAAACGAAAGATAATCTCGCTTTGTAATGACAAAGAGCCAAAAACAGTTCTCCATCTGTTTGCCTCTGTAGGAATGATGTGAAAACATTGGACGACATAATTGAAAAAGTGTCTGACGCCAAGCAATTGAGTTTGCGATGTACATAAATGCTCTAATTGGGTTTGTAGAGATTGATGCCTATTTCCCATCAAAGATGACTGGGCGATATTGATTTCGGTGTCAATCAGCCTAGGCGTAGGGATGTGAGTGTCACTTGATGATGATCGAACTGGCTGTGTATCCATCCAATTCCAGTCTATCGGCATTTCTCCCTCCAATACTTCATTCCAAATAGTTGAAAGTAGACTGTCGAATGATTGTTGCTGTTGCTGTTCATCATTTGTTGTGGGGTTGGATATAGAAGTTGGAAGAAGTTCAGCTGAAATTGTTTGATTATGTTGTGGTGTTGCATGCTCAGATTGTGCATCATTGACCACGATCAAAGCACTCAGTGAATCTTCTGATTCCGTGTTAGAATGTATGCTAGCATATCCACGACATTCTCTTGATTCCGTCACGCATCTCTGACACGTTGGCCTAGTTTCATCACATTTCAATTTTCTTCTTTTACACGTAAAACATCCTCCACGACTTCTTGTATATCTCCTTTGACGCTTTCGAGATGAATATTGAGTGGTCATTAGCACATCTCATTCTTTCCTGTGATCGGCTAGCTAATCATGCTGATTTGGTGTTAGAAGGGATGCTGATCGTTAGTGATTAAGCATAGCTAATTATTGAGATATAACACGTATTGCCCGCAAATTCAAAAATGCTGTATTCAATTATCACGCACAGCCTCAAGCGACTAGAATAAAAATAGCCTCTTTTATGAGAAATGTCAGACAACAAACGACAGTGCTACACAAAAGACGGTGATAACATGCCTCACAAGCTTCATTGACTGTGTTTGATCTTCTCTTCCATTTTACACAAAGACCTACGGAATGATCAGCACTTTGACTCCGTTACAGAATTTGGAAAGATGATCTCAGTGATAAAATGATCGTGCATTCTTGACTTTCTTGTTTCTTGCGTTGGATATATCACCAAGCTCATCTTTAGGAATTGCTCAAATCTCAAAGTGGGGTAGAGATTTCAGTGCTTTTGTCACCTGCTTCGATCCACCTTGAAACATAATCAATGATGCAGATATGCTCTGCTTTAATCTGCCTCAAGATCGTCTTCAAAAAGGGGTAAAGTGTTTATTTAATAAACGTAATTATTAATGTCTGTAAACATTTCCTATCCATCTTCAATTCTCGGGCCGTGGCACGCAAATATTTCAACAGGAGAAGTGAGGGTGCGCTAAATTCATAATCAACATGATCGTTCAATTCGGCTTTGCTCCTGAGTGCAAATTATACTTCGGATAATGATTATGACGGCAATGGTAAAATCTCCGTCACCTTCAACCATCTCGGGTAACAAAATTAGCATTGATCACTTCATGCAAACATGATCTATAACGGATTTCAAGCTCGCATTCTAGATGTGAATCATGAACCATTGGCAGAGGTGATGCCAGAGCCAGGATTCGATAAAGAAGAGGCAGAAAAACGTAAGCAAGAACGTAGAGGTTCAAGTTTAGAACAATACACAGCCTTATTCGGTCAAAAAGTAGTGAAAGATTATAAACCCATTCTACGCAAAGAAGCATTGCAAAACGTACGTTGTGGAGCGGTTCGAGTAAAAGTTGATGATGACAATTCAACGAGAGGAGCAGAGAGTGATGAAGAAAGCATTCGAGAGCAGCATCAAAGCTCCTCTCGGAAAGTGTGTACCACTCGATTATTCTTGGCCTTCCGCTGGGTTGGAACGGATCACAGGAACGCAACTCGAGCACATGAATTGGAAGAATTGCATCATACCATCTTGCCAATCTTGCACGGTAAAGGACTACAAGAAGAAGGACAATCAAAGACACTTTTAGCAAAATATGATGAATCAACGGCACCAAAGGAGGATATCCCGGATAAGAAATCGGACCGGAAGAAGTATAGACTCTTTGGACGATTAAAGCTAGGAGAAAAAGGTAGAGAGATTGAAAAGGCAGTTTTGATAAAAGGCCAACCTTTGCCGCGGTACAGGACATTCTCGTTGAAAAGCAAAAAGAGTATGCAAGAATCACATCCCTTCTTACTACAACTTTGCGTTGATGAGAAAGTGATCCCTTTGCGTAAAAATGCTTGGACGGCGGATCTTTGCGAAAATGATGGCGTTATGATCGTTTGGCTTTCAGAAGGTGCAATGATTGATCTCGGAAGGATCTCTATCTCCTTGAATGATTTGAAAGACATACAAAGCAAGACTGTTCAATCCGTCACTCTTCATCTTTGGGATGCAATGCGTAAAGAACTTTGGAGTAATGCAGTCACATTTACCATGACTGGAAATTCAGGTCTAGTATATCCAACATGCGACATTCGCAACATTTCTCCGCCTAACGCCATTCTGCACTTCAACATCATCGCTTTTAAGAATATGAACAATGTTGGTGACCAAGCCCCAGCACAGATTAAGAGTCCAATTGAAGAGGTCCCGATTCCGAATGAAGCTACATCGCAAGATTCGCAAGTGCATCCGCTTGATCAAAATAACGGACTATCTCGAGCATTGGCAATCGTGATCGAAACTTCACAAGAACATTCTCTAAGTTCTGCGATTGAAGGAACGAGTGATCACACCGTAGAAGATGAGATCGCCAGTGAATCAACACCAAAGCCAAATGAGGAGAATGGAGCAAGCGATGAAACCCATTTACCAAGAGTGGGTGTGATTCCACAGAGAAGGTCTTCGCTTGCCACTCGTTCTAGAACGAACAGTTTGCAAGCAACCGTTCAAACGCACGATCGATCGCAACAGCCAATCAGTCAACTATTTGAAGAAGTTGACCGACTGCGATTCGAACATGAACATTTGAAAGAATCACTTTCTGCACTCGATGGACAATGGAGAGATTCAGTCTTGGTGGAACTGCAAAAGATCAAAGGTGAAATTCGTGATCGGGTCGAAATTGATCGAGATTATTATAATAAGCTCAAAAAGCGCTTTTCCGTTCCACCCGAAACTTTTTCTCAGCTTAACAAGTAGCATCGGCAACACCCTATCTGGACAATTCAAGCATCCTGTCTCTCATTCTTTACTGACTCATATACCCATCTTTGTTTGTGTGATCGAATTCATTGCTTGCAATATCTGACAAAGCGTCCATGTAGCGGATATTAGAAATTGGATGAGATCAAAAGTGGAACTAAATCAGCTGCACCTTCTGGTTCGTTGTAATAGTCCATGGCCCAAGTGATTTGCAATCCAGGTAAAGTGCTTCTAGTACTTGGTTTACTGTCAAATTGCAAATCTGCAACAAAGTTCCTCACTCGTATATTGATGCCTTGCGTAGTAGCAGCGCATGTTATTCCATCAATCAAATAGCCTTTTGCAACGGCAGGTGGAAGAGCAAAGGGGAAAGAAGATCCGTTGGTGTAGTTTAAGGAGAACGCATTACCAGCAGCACTACTTTGTTTGCTCAATTGTTCGATCAGTGCAAATTTAGCATCCAATTGTGATAGTGATCCAATGTCGTACCAGTCTTGGGTGAATACCTCCTGCCCTGAAGGTAGTGTATAGTTAAAAATGCCTTTGAGGCTATTTGGCCAAATGGGCGGACTAATGCCACCTGGAAAGCCATACGATTGATCGATAACGAATCTGCTCAACATGACAATCTTCCCTCGTACTTCGCCTAAGGTAGGAACTCGATTCTCTAAGAACCATCTATCTCTGCCTGAAGATTTTCCATTCGGAGCCGGCGGCGTCTGATCAACGTATGTGTCAAACAACGTTCGAATAAATGTATCTTGATCACCTGATTCTTGTTTGATAGACATAATTATCGTTTCACGTTTTCCACTTTGGCTTTGCAAGAATTGCCAGCATTGTGACAAAACTGCACCCATCTCAATCCGTTCATCTGTAATACCATGATAAGCTAACAAACGTACTTGACCGGGTTCTCCTTTCGGTACGAGTCGGATGTCCAGATAGCGTATTCCATCTTGAAGTTGCTGTTGTACGGTCGATTGCATTGATTGACATGTTGAGATTGGCCAGCCATAGCGAGCAAGAGATTCATGGGTTCCCGGTAAGCATAATTGGGACAGCAAGGAGCTGTCGGGCAGTGTGGAAAGGAATGACGATGTTGGGATATCTTGCAAGATCAGAAAGTCAAAGTGTTTGCCACTATTCTGTCGGTAAAGAAGTCTAACAGAGGTCAATTGTGCCGGGTAGTTGAGCCATTGGGGTATATCATCACAGGTTTTAGAGCGAGAGAAACATGAACGGCCGCCCCGAGAAGAGGTTGAAGTGTCCAACTTTATATCAACCGATGCCTGCTGCGATCCTTTCAAAATAGCAAAAAGCTGAGCATTTGGCCGCAACGATGATGTGATTGTGACTTTATTCTTTGCTGCAATAATCTCAGTACCTTTCTCTTCCGGAAGAGGATCGCCAGTGCTTGCCCATTGCCATTGTGTATTGGTTCGATTGCATATAGTCACAGTGATGTTTTGTTGGGGTACTGGCGTCATTATCGGAGTTGGGAGAGAGAAGGGGTATCATTACTATTCGTTATGAGAGCATATAGTCCATCTTGACAGCATGATGTTCTGTTTGGAAGTTGTTAGGATACAAGCCGAATAAATTAATTAAAAGTCGGGATAGAAAGTGTGGGGGAAAAGGGGCTTTGCCGTTTTAACGCGTGTAAAGGTTGCTTACTAATGGCGATCAACACTTCTGTGTCACAATCAACCCTGATCAGATGCCTGACATAAGATCACTTTTCTCCACTTTGCAAGGAAGGATATATAATAAAGCATGACAACGATATCCTAACTCACACAATCCCGTCATCAACACAATATGTCTTCCACAACAGCAACTCGAGTTATCTTGGTCACAGGATCCAATAGAGGAATCGGGTATGGGATCGTCGCTCGTCTGGCACGAGAATTCTTGCCAACAGCAGGCAAGGAAGAACGATTGAAGATCTACGTGGGCAGTCGTGATCAACAAAAGGGAGAAGATGCAATCAAATCACTTCAAAGTGAACTGGGCAAAACATTACAAGCCAACAATACATCCTTGCAAACCTGTCAATTAGACATGAGTGATGTCGAAAGCAGAAAGAATGCAATCGCATACATCGTCGAACGTGATGGAGGTTTGCATACTGTTATCCAAAATGCAGGTGTTGCTCTGGACGGATTTGATGCAGAAGTTGTGAGAAAGACATTCGAAACCAACTTCCACAACGTTGTTGCCTTTAACAACGAGCTATTGCCAATCCTTCAAGAGAATGCAAGAATTGTCATCTTGGCTTCTATGGCAGGTTCCCTTCAAGGTTACTCAGACGAGATCATCAGACGCTTCCGAGCAGCAAGCACGACCAAAGAAGTGGAAACACTAGCAGATGAATACTACAAAGCAGTTCAAAAAGGAGATTACAAGGATAAAGGATGGAAAGGAGCAGCATATGGTTGCAGTAAAGCATGCATTATCGCTTATACACGCGCATTCTCTAACGAGTTACGCAAAAGTGACGATGCAAGACTTCGCTCTATCACGATTAACAGCTGTTGCCCTGGTTATGTGAACACAGGTATGACCAAAGGAAAGGGAGTGCTCACGCTTGATCAAGGAGCAGCAACTCCCGTCATGCTGGCTCTGCAAGATTTGAATGGTCGTTCGGGTGGATATTTCAAAGATGAAAAAGAACAAAACTGGTAGATAGTGTAGCCGGAAAACTATTGAATATGTGAATCAATAAATCATGATCATAATGCTGCGGGTTTGATTATTGCAAAGATGGCAATGAATGCACAATGAATCATAGTTTATTGTTTATTGCATATAGAGGGACCGCTTATTGACGCATATAATGTACATAACCATGTGCTTTTATTGCATAGGGTTTTCCTGTTTGTTTCGGTCATCCATGTAGAAGTATGTATGAGTCTAAATATAGACAAGACGCGTTCACCACCTATTTCTTAATTGGCCGGCATGTCATCTGTCGGCGTAAAATATTAAAGAGGGGAGACGCTATCTTTTTTGGCGTAAAAACGCGTCAAGAATACACGGCACACCGACGTGTTCCATACATACATGAGTAGCACAACACTTGTTTATGCAACTCTGCTCCTTAGAAACGAATGTGCATCAGCCTAGCTAGCACGGTCATCTTCTCTATTTGATGAAGAGGGGGACCAGAATGAATAATGACTTATTGTTGTTCACTATGTTGAATCAATACCAACAACTACCTTTACAACCACATCACAATCGCAAAAATGGCTAATCATACCAATTATCTGGCCATCACCGCTCTCATCTTCGCACTTTCCTTCATTTTTGCGCATGCTTCACCTGCTCCAATCAGCATTAGAGCTTCAAAGAGTAACAATAATCAAACATCTGTCCCAATTCCATACAAGGCAGACGGTTTGAACTGCACCGTCTCAACCGATCCCGTTTCAACTGCCACTTTGATCGATTGTCAAGCTTTATTAGCCTCCAATGGTACCGCATTAAGGAAAACATTTGTCAACAAAGAGACGTGTGCATACATTAGCGACAAAGGTTACGAGCGTGCCGCAAGCTCTCGAGTCGTCGGCTGCCATGGAAACTGTTGTCTTTCTTACGCCTACCCTGCCAATACTAATCCGGAAAAAGTTAATGTGACTGCACAACAAGTCATTCCACGTGCAGAAAAGTTACTCAAATGTGGTGCGAATGCAGGTTCAGGTCACATTAGTGCAAGAGAGTTGTACAAAGATGGAACTGGATTGTGTCTCTTGCAAGGAAATTCTACCTGTGGCTGCTTTGATGATTTATGTGAGTATTGACTAGATCTGTTTGCCTTTCGTCTCTATGCTGACAAGAAGAAATCTCTCTTTTATACAAATAGTATGGACTCCAGATGGCGCTCCAGTAGATGATCCAGAAAAGCGATCATAAAAGTGGGATTGTAGCCTGAATCATGAACAGTAATCATTATAAATAAGAAACGAAAAGAACCTGCCGGCAAGTTCAATATATTGATTGCAAAATGAATACAAAGTGATCAGATACACAATTAAGCTTTGCAGATGCAAGTATCATTCTTGTCGCAATAACCATCTTTTTTACCGCCAGATGCGTCTGCACATGAAGCTGAACATAAAGAGTTACTCAAACCTTTACCGCCAATCTCGCCAATTTGGCATGACCAACGTTTGTGGAATTGTTGAACTTCTATATCACGTTTGGCCTGGGTGTGTTCTTCGGTTGAAGGTAGTTCATTGCGTTTGCTATAACTGCAAACGCATGTTCCGGTTTTGCAGCTACCTGATTTGGCACCACGTTGACCGCATTTGAAGTCGCATGTCTGTGGAAGGGGAAGATTGGTCAATAAGAGGTAATAAAGCTAGAGTCCTTTCTCGTATACGTACACCTCCGATCTTATCGTCCAACCAACACGTTGGCGTGTCACGTTCAACTATGCTAAATGTGCCGTTACTGGAAGGAGCAGCAGAAATTGAAGCTGCAATCGTGATTGCCAAAATAGTGAAAGCGGTGAAAAACTTCATGTTTGTTAAAGAAAGGTTTTTTTTAAGTTGATTTGTTTGCTTGTGATTGTTTATTGATTTGTTTTGATGAGGAAAGAATGCTCTGACGATGATCAATCTGGCCCTTTATTTATACCTTTTCATTCTCAAAATTCTACCTTATAGAAGCCATGACAATCTTCTTGGGAGCTATTCAAGTTTCAGCCTCTTGATGCGATCCGGTGTGACGATTGTGCTTGTCTTTTAGTCATATTGCCAAGAAGTCATGACGCCAAACAGATCATATGCCAATTTTCTCTATATTTCCATCGTCATCTATATAAATTGGCCGAACTGGCAATCATCTATTGTTCCATCTGGCCTTCGCCATCTCGGACTAAGTGCGATGTTGGCCGATACTAAAGAGGCTTTGCCGATGCACCAATGACAGCTTTGACACAAGATTCAACCGATTGATCTAGAGACGCAAAGATCTACACCCATCAATATGACATCGTAGGTGGCGTTAAAGATTGATTTTCTTGTCTATGAAGAGGTTAAGGGGTAAACATCGGTTAAACTTCTTGAGTGAGAGTTGACTGTAACTTCATGGCGTTCTTTAAAGGCGGCCAAAGTGTTTTAGCGTTTTACTTTTGACGCCGAGAGAATTAGCGTATGGATAAACTACCAACAACGCATTCCCAATCCACCATCTTTATTCTCCAGATAAATCATTCTGTATCTCCTCCTTCCCGAAATGGGTGCGATTGACGTCAATGCACAGCAAAACAAGTACATCGCTTACTTCTCCCATGCTGAAGCGGTGTAATCCTGAATATGCTTTCTTGAATGAGGTGCTTTGGTACAAATTACGGGGCTAACACGTAATAGCTCTTTTCAATACGTGTGAACACTTTTGTGTGAATCGCAACCGCTTTGAAAACATCATCTTGTCCAATTGGTTCAAACGTTTGCAATAATGGTTATAATTGCCTATATCTGGATATTGTTGCATTTATACCCTGTGTCTGTCAAAACACTTTCTTTGGCACCATCCACAAAGCGTGCTCCACCAGAGCCGATTCCTGATTTGAACGTAACGCCTTCTCCAGAACATTCAAATGGAAGAAAGAGTGAAGAGAAACGCGAAAGATCAGCCATCCTTGCTCTTCCAACTCCCAATTCAGAAGAAAGACAAGGGCTTTTTGAAATTACAAGAGCTGGTCGTAAAAAGGTATAAATTGTGAAAGCGGAAAACTTTACAGAAAGCACCTCTGATTATCTCGAAATTCTCTCACAGTACGTTATTGATAGAAACACGAGAAGGAGAGTAGATTATGGAGCAAAGAGAGAAGTGGAAAAGGCAATGTATGTGCATATAAGTGGTTGGAAAACGCACAGGTGCTCACAAAACCTTACATCTTCTTTAGTCTAAAGTCAGAAGTGCCTTCCGAAGAGGTAAGTGGCTCGCACATACCTGCCTTGAAAGAAGTGATTGCTAAGTCTTCTCCAACGTCTCCAGAAGCAGGTTTTGCTCGCTAGACAAAAGAGTAAAAGCATGAAGAGGAATCGATATAATCGTGTTTATAGAGCAAAACTGATTGATCTTTGGGAAAGTGGAAGAGCAACATCAGAGCAAAAGAAAACACTCTTAAGACTTACACAATCGAAAAAGTATGCAACTTCTCCTGCAGAATACGAGTACTATACTAAAAAACGTAAACAACTCAATTTGGCCGCTCGCATAAAGTATCACAAGCAGAAGGAAGGTGATCGTTGAAATAGTATCAATCTCATCGTTGCATATAGTATACATTTTTGTATTTTTTGTACATTTTCACGCCTCCAAATCAGATTCATCACTAACTTCATCATCGAATAACATCGATTCTGCCCGTGCTGATTGTCGCAGTGTGGCGCGATCACCCATCAGTTGTCTTTCCGTTCGAGAAAGTGGCACGAATCTAGTCAAAAGAGCAGCAAATAAAGCAGCCAAACCACCCAATCTCAAGACCCAAACGACTGAGACTCCATTTCGCGCATTTGCATCAACATCCAAAACATACAACTCTTGTACACCTTCAAATATTGATCCTTGTCGCAGAATCAAAGATGCCAAGATGGCGATCAAGAATTGAGGAATCACAATCGCAACATTATGAATACCTAAGATAGTAGCCCCGACCCCTTCACCGGTTCCACTTTGTGTTGATGGGACAGGAACCCCTCCGCCGGGTATCTGACCGCTATTGATGCGATCAGTATCATTCTCATATACAGCTTCATTGCCACGCGAGAGGATACGACCAGGTTTCACATGTCGCGGTCCAGATCCGCCATTGCGTGAATTGCTACTGGTGGGAGTGCCTGGTGAGCTGCCAGATCCCAGCGGTCCACAATCTTGAAGTGCTCTTCGAATCCTTGCTCGACCGGGCGTTTGTTGTGCAGTAGAGCTTTCGCGGCGATTGCGTACTCGTTCTGGAGCAAACCAATCCGCTTCAAATTCATATGGACTCATTCCATCTTCTGCTTCCCGAATGCCTTCCATTACAAGTGCATAAGGCACCCATACGGCTATAGCCCAAGCAAACCCAATCGAAGCCACTAAAGCAATGGCCAATTTGGAAGATCGGGCAAGGAAAGAGACAAAGAGCATTTGAATACTGTAAAATAGCAGCCCTACTCCCCAAAAGGTGCGAAGAGTGACACGCCATCTTGGTGGCTTTGTCGTTCTAGCTGCTTGTCCTGATAGCCTTCGAAAGATGTCTTCATCAGTCGGGGTGACATTGCCATCTGTTTCGGGTAGTCTAACGGGAGGTGGCGTCCAATGTGCAAGGGAAAGGTATGGCAAAAGTGTTCCCGCAATCAATGAGACAATCGAGAAGACCAAGAGAGCAAAGCTTCCCAATTCTGTCGCTTGATCACTTATCCCTTTGAAATCCTCACCATCATGATGCCCTTTCCGCGATTGCTCTGCTTGCCATACTTCAATCACCCATTCTGTAGCATAAAATAGGAAAGGGAACCATCCCATATACGCGAGCACCTGCACAAGACATATCCTCCTAATGGATCGTGGAAGCCTTCTGGCAGTATCCCATATCCGCTTTGAAGCTTCTTTGATTGAATCCATGGTAGATGGTTGGTCCTGGAATGATGTCGCGGAAACCGTAGTATGTGCCTCCGTTGCTGTGCCCTCCTCTGCACAGGTGATAAGGCTCTGTATTCCTTCTTCTATGCACAAGCATGTGATAGCAGAGCAAACAATGACAGATACCATGCTCACAAGGCAGTATTTCCTAAACTGTCCGCCACCTATCCAATCCAGCCAAGATGAAGATGATAGATTGTACCATCCTGCCCAATAGCCAAAAATGTTGGCAATATGCTGCATTCTACCCGACCATGCATTCACACGAGAATGTTCAGACGACGGCGTTGCATCTAACATGAGTGCTCTTCCCGCAACTTGAATTCCATTCACGCTTAAATCCAATCCAACAAATCCCAAAACGGCAATGAAACGATTCATATCATCTCTTGCCCGTTGTCGAACAGGATCCCAGTCCGCTAAGCCGGCATGTAAAATATCCGTCAGAGCTGAAGCGATCGGCATACTGTAAGCAAGAAAGAGCGTACAAGCCGCAAGAACGATCGTCGACCAAACAATATACTGTCTCCTTCTGTAGCGGGAAGTGCTGAGATCTGAAAGAACCCCGATCACAGGTTGAACAATCAGACCAGACAGTGGAGCAGCGATCCAAACGAGAGATGTGCTGGATTTTGACATGCCAAGCGATAGCAAGTATGGTGTACCGTAACCCAGCTCCAAACACCAAGCAACCTGTGCACCAGACAAGACCAGAGTAAGAAGAATCATTCGAGTCTTGCTAATGGAAGCGGATCCATCATCGTTTCTTGATACGATCATTCTCTCCTGAAACCAATGCGAGACTGCACGCTGTATCCTTCTCAGTGGGCTTACCCTTTGTGCGTCCAGGCGATCTCGGTTTAATTGATGCTGTTGATCCACTCTTCTCTGATATGATTCCGCTCTCCATAGATGGAATCCATTCCATCTAGATTCATCTCGTTGCGTACTTATCGGCTCTTGAGGTCTGATAGTCACAGAAGAATCAGCCAAACCTCGATCAGAAGAAGAAGAAGAGCCAGGATTGTTTGCGTTTGTACTTGCATTCAATTCAGATAACAATCTTGGATCTCCCGGTACGATTGTTGCTCCTCCACTTGATGCTCTTCTTCTGTTGGCCATTATGATCTTGTTATAAAGCTCCCTTTGTTCTTCTGTCAAGGATGGATTGGCAGGCGGTGGAGCCAAAAAACCATCATCGCCTACCGAAAGTGTCGCATCCTTTCCCGAGGCTTGTTGCTGTTGTTTGATCAGATCATCCAGCGATTCTAACGCCCCTTCATCAGGCCGCGGTGAAGGTTTATTGTTAGACATGATGGACAGAGTTGCTATATGAACATTCTGGTCAGAAAGAATGTGGGTGGATGATGGATTGAAAGCGACTAAACAACGCCAAGCAACAGCGCCCGTTGGTTAGGCGGATGAATTCTCCACACCAACAGTCACACAACAGGAGGCAAATCACGCGCGGCATTCATTTACCAACACTCTCAAATGAAATGTCAAAACATTCTTTTATTCTCTATATAATCATCAACAAATAACAAATCAAAGTTTTGCACGGGGTATTGATGCATTTTCGTCCATGTCAAGAGTTTCCAAATCGTTGATATCAACGTTCCATCTTGTACTGTTTAGCGGTTCATCAAGTGCATGTTTGAATAAACCTTCGTACACATTTCCATCTCGGGCACCCAAAGTGGAATTCAACAAAAAGTCACTGATGGCAAACGAGTCGACCAAAGGAACAGCTTGAGGACGGATAACGGCAAACAACTCTTGAGTTTTATTGCTCAACAATCGATATTGATTGGGCTGTAAGTATCCGCATGATAAGAATTCGGCAGCTTCAGATTCCATTGTGTGAATGGCATACAGCAAGAACAATTGTTGCATCACCGTTCGCAAAGCAGGCTTGGAATTCAAATCTTCATCGTGCAAGATGGCCATAGCAAAGTTGTAGATGACCAATGCTTGAGAATGTGCTTTTGAACATCTGTACAACTCGGGCAAAATGGAATTCCATGATCGTTTAGCAGGACCATCACGTAGTTCCAATGTTTGTTCCACCAACCAAGCAGCACGGTATCCGAATGCCTTTACGAACCACATTGGATCGTACAAATCACCAGAAAATTGAACATCACTCTTAAATCCTTTGTTCTTTTTGTAATGACGCATATAGTCAGCAATGAAGGATTTAGGCATATCATCCGGGTTCTTGTTCAAAGCACGCATCTGTTTGAGTAAGAAACGAGATGTTTGTTGGGACAACATGTATGAATCACCTTCCCATGTCACTTGAGGCAAGAAATCGTTGTAAAACGTTGGCAATCCACAAGCGGCACTATAACCATGTCCACCACAAGCACGTCGGCAAACTTCAATCGCATCTGCTGCTTCAATCGTGCACAAGGCTTTGAGACCGGATGAACTTGCATGAGTTTCAGCTAGCAAGCCTAAATCGCCCTTGTTGATGCATTCCATGTTGGCTTCGTACAGCTCATACATGTACTTGGCAGTATAGTGGAATGCAAAGGCTTTGGCCAAAATGGGGAAAATACGTGCTTGCACCATAGTGTAATCAAGAACTTGCGTTTCGATTGGTTTACTGCCTTCAAATTTGGGTGCATCACGATCAGCGAATTGACGACGAATAGCACAGTAGCGAACGGCAACAGTCACTGAACGCATCAAAACTGTCCTTGCATTACGAACGATACCTGCACGAACCCAAGTCATTGTACCATAGGTCAAAGCAGAATTTTGGGGTGGAGTGTACTGAGCTGTCTCTGGGTCAACTTTTGCAAAGCGGGAGAGTTGATTCAGGTGAGGTATCTTTACGTGATCGAAGAGCATATATCCGTTGTCGGTTGTATTGTACCCTGCTTTTGGTCCAATATCACCGACATAGACGCCTGGCAAAGGTTCACGAGTGACAGGATCACGAATTGGGACAATGAAGGGATGAGGACCAACTCTCTTGCCCTTGAGTACCAGTTGTGCCATCACAACTGCGTGAGTGGCGGTTCTTCCCAAACCACCAATCCACCATTTCGATGCAGTCATTGTTGGCGAGTGCAGATCGTATTCTTGTTTTTCCTCGTCATACACTGCCAACGTTTCCAGTCCTTGTACGTTGGAGCCATGTCCAAGTTCTGTTTGTGCATAACATCCAATGATTTCATAACGCAATGCAGGTCCCAGCCACTTTTCCTTTTGCTCGTCTGTACCCATGTTCTCGATTGTGCTGATGAACATACTTCTATGCAATCCAAATGGACCGGGTAAGTCGCACAGTGCCTCAGCCCTGATGGTTGTTTCCCTATCCCAATCGTGTTCTCTTGCCAATTGTGATAAACGTTTATCTTTCTTTAAAGCATGACGGAATTTGTCTGCTCTGCCCATATAATTCCACTTTGACTTATCAAATGCGCCTGAAGGATCATTCTCGAGAATGTTTACCAATTCTGCTTCTTTGTCCAATTGATCTTTGCCATGCAAATATACGCTCATTTGATCGCTATCAAAGCTTGCTTTTTGTCTTTCGATCTTTAATAGCTCAGAACTGTGCGTTCCAGCCGGTTTAAGGGAAGAAGGGATTCTTGCATATTTTCCTTCAGTCATGATGAGAATGGAATGATGGATGTGGTGGTGGGGAAGAAGAAGGAGGAAAAGATGGGGTACTTGTGGGGAGTACGTTTTCCTTTTGGCAATTCAACCGGTTCGGGCCAATAAGGTTGCCATTCAATTAAAAAAAAAAGAATGAAAATCCTCTTTTGGGCGTAATTACAGCCTTTTTCCAATTTGCCGGCCTATGTGTTGAACCGTTTGCCGGATTAGTTTTTCAAGGCCTAGAGTTCAACGGGAGCTTAACGGGCACATTATCACTCTCGTACGTAAGCCATGAAATCAGTACGCGTCATTCATCATACGCCCGCTTTCCTTATAGAAATCTTATTGGTCAGTTGGCAATTAATCACCATGTGAAGGAGAGTCATTGAGATCACTTATTTTATTTTTCCTCCTTTTTCTTTCAAGAATGCCTCTTATTGAGCCTTTCTCGATACTCATCAGCATTTTTATATCTTTTTCCAGCAATACGGTCTTTCTTGGAAATTCTAAAGTACGTTTGCAACTTTTTCATTTGTGTATGCAAACGGGGCATATAAGAGTATTTGTTCCAATCCACAGTCTCACTTCATACACAACATCTTGCATAATTCTCCTCAACTCTTCATTGTATCACACTGCCTCATTTGCAAGCGTTAGCTTTGAGTGATGATGATGTGCTGTACTGACTGAATTTTTGCCCCGCTTCTATCTGTTGCTTCTTTCCGCAAAGTAGGACATTTCAGCAAATCTGTCACAACGAGCTACATGGTTAAATTGGGCACATGATCTGGTTCTATGAATCTTTTAGCTACTGCTTCAATATTCATCACTTCTGCTTTGAGCTCCTTGGCAATTTTTGGCGGCTTCACTCTGGCTGCGAATGTTGTTGAGAGTGAAGCGGTAAGCTGTAAATTAGTTCATTCAGGAAAGTTGTAGTATTTGCATGCTCGACTTTATACGATAACGCCCATTCCAAATCATATGTCAAACACAAATATCTTGTCAGCCAACGGTCGGGCTGTTTATACGTGCATACATACTTGAACTCAGCCTTCTTAAGTAGCCAGGCTCGAGGCTTCATACGAGAAATTTTTACTGCAGACAATTTCAATGAACAGGATATATTGATATGTACTTGGGACTAAGGAAACAGAAATAGCGTAATACTTGAAGAATAACGTCATCGGACCCTTTTTTTGGTTTTTTTTTGGGGGGTTTTGGAAACTGGAAACAGTCAATCAAAAGACAACGCAATAAAGCAAAGACGCTTTTCACAGCGAGGAACTGACCTATTCAGCGCTCACAAACGATCCCACCTGTCGGTGCCTTTTTGCATTTTCGGTCTCGCAGTTGTGCTTCTGTTTCCGAAGCTCTTCTCTTTTTCTTAAAGACATGATCTTGTCGAGTGTAAAGGTCATGTGTGACTTTGAGCTTGTTTGCATTTCTCACAGCATCATGAACTGTTGTGCCTTGTGGAAATTCAATATCTTCGTAAAGTTCGTCGTGAATATCTCTGAGCGGATTTCTATTTATTCAACCAGTAAATAATTGAGCTGGCTTATCTTGCTTATTTTTTAATTGCCAAATTTTGGTTTTTCGTTCGGGGTTTTTCTTGTTGCGTGGGTATCTTGCCGAATATAATTGCATTTCGTCGGAGTTACCTTGATGCTTGATCGGCTTCTCAATCTGCATTTGTCTTGCTCCGGATCCATCTTGGGCGGTTGCGATTCCTCCTTTTCTCCAATCATTACTCACGCCGGAATTTTTCCACTACTTCCTGCTTCAGACTGCTTCTTACCATGAAGCGTGGAAAAGATTCCTTTTTTCTCTTTTCCATTTCTGGATATTGCCTCAGACGTTACCTCATCATCACTTGAGCCAGAACTTGTTTCATAGCTTGAGCCACTCGAAGGTCTTTTTCTGTTCACGAGCGTCTTTGATCTGCTACTTGACGAATCACACTTTGTCTGGTGTGAATCCGAGTATATTATCATGCGCAGGCTAAATGATGCTGCATGTGAATGTCGGTGATCCGCGTACTTGAACCTGTCCAATGGAACATCTTGCTGTGTGTACGATCATACGTGGGGAGAGGAAGAAGGTGCATATAAAGCAAGCAAATTTTGAATTGCTCTTTCTTTCCGTACAACCAACTCTCGAGGATGAAATTCATTACTCCTCTTTTGATCTCTTTGACAATATTTGGCGGCGTCTGTTTGGCTGCGTCTGCTGCTAACAACGGAACATCAACTGCATCCTGCACGCCAACCTATAAAGGGAAATTGCATGTGACCGATCTGTCAGAGCTGACAAATACAGCTAATGAAGATCAACGCGGGTATAGGGTTGATGTGATATCTGGCGAAGAACATGATCATATCACAAAACAATGGAGCAGAGGCGCATCGGATTTTATTTTCGAAAAGTGTGTTTTGAAAGGCTGGAACTCAGGCTCAAAAGAATATGGCACACTCAAAGTTGACGAATTTACCGTCACAAATCACGTCGTTACTGCTGAAAAGCGAACCGATCAACTTACACTCGATGGTGAAACGTACACCGGTCACATCTTACGTTTCCACACGATTGGTACGCCGCAAAGCAAACGTCTTGACAAACAATGGTTCGAAGCTAAGCATCAAGATGATAAAGCTGGTGGAGCATATGTCACCTTGGAATTGACCGGTAATCCCAATAACAAGAATGCCGATTACGACTTGCCAAATGCGTTCTTTGGGACTTATGACAAGAATGGCCTTGACAGAGTACTCGTAACCAAGTCAAACACAAACTACAAACTTACAGTATTCGACGTCAAGAAGCTTTAAGAGCATGAACGATCGCCTAACTCTAAAGCAAAGGAAATCTGGAAACCTAATGTATTCTTCATATGAACATTCTTCAATAGAATTGAGCATTTTTCGCAGCATCACTGATCAATTTGCGTAACTCTTCTTGCCGTTTCTACAATCATTGAACGTACTGCGCCCTTAATTTAGCTTTATTTTGAAGACGTAAACGAGAATGAATGGTAGTGATCTGGAATAAACGGACGTCAAAGCTTTGACTTGCTGAACCATTCCTCACAGCAGGGAAATCCGCAAAAGAGATGTCAAAGTGCAATTTCAGAGCGGAGCTGGCTCTCCTCAGCATTTGACGCCCTAAGGAAGAAAATGAATCTGGTGACTGTTAACTGATTTGTTTAGGCTTTCTGTTAGATCAAACGCACGCTCATATTCAATAGAGGGTGATCCAAGACATAAGTATTTTCGAGAAAGACGGGTAACATGAGAAGGCAAGAGAAATACAAAAGCAACAAAACTTAGTTAAAGCACCTTTTACGAAACTCTCAGGGAGTACCAATCTTTTCCTTTTCTTCATGATGATCGATAGAGGAACCAGACTTTTCGTGAAGAGCGCTTGGTTCGATATCAGCAACAGAGAGCAAACCGACATCACGTTGAGCTTGGAGCATCATTTCTGCTTCCATCTTTGATCGTCCTGATTCATCACCAAATTCGGCATCTAATTCGTCCAAACTTTTGTTCTTGGTTTCAGGAACGACAAAGTAGACCCAAACGGATGCAATGACACACATTAAGCCCAAAAAGATGTATGCTCCGTAAGGTGCAGCAGCAACGAATTTGGGAGTGGAGATTGCGACGGCAAAGTTGTTGAGCCAATTGGAAGATGCACCGATTGAAACACCCTTTGCACGAAGACCGAGTGGGAACACTTCAGCAACGACGACCCATGCGGTTGGTCCCTAAGAAAAACAAGAGATTTTTATTAGTCAGCATCACTCCTAGACATATCAAAACACAAGTACTGCCACTCACCCAACTGAAACCGAAACCGATTGCGAAGATCCAAATGAAAACAACGGCAGCCCAACCGGCAGAATTGGTGGAAGAAGATACCATGTTGGAGTTCCAACGTTCGTTAAATTGACCAATGATACCAGCAACAATAAAGTGGCAAGCTCCCATAACGATGGCACCTGCAATCAAAGTTGGTTTACGACCCCATTTGTCCAGATACATAACCGCAGGAATGGTAGCCAAGAACATCACAACACCAACGACACCCGAAGCGAGCAAAGAGGTGGTATTACCTGCCAAGTGTAAGCCTTTGAAGATAAATGGAGCATAGTATAAGATGAAGTTGACACCCTGTAGGAAGATTAAAATGTGAGCCGTGAACAAACATGTTTTTCAATTATTTATACTCACAGTCCATTGTTGGAAAGTCATCGTCAAGGTGGCAATCATTGTTCGTCGGAAGTTAGATGGATTGGTGATCAAACTTTTGTAACCGGCAAGACCAAGTTTGAAGTTGCTCGAAGCACTTCCATCTTGCAAGTCAGGGTGATCGTGTTGAGAAATACGAGTTTCGAATAACTTTTGTGCTTTTAGTTCCAAGTACTCCAATTGAACCAAGGGAGAGTCAACCGATTGACGTCTCAAATTTGCAATGATTTGCAAGCATTCTTCATCACGTCCTTGATCCATTAACCAACGTGGAGATTGAGGTAAGAACATTATACCAATAGCCAAGATGAGTGCAGGTAAGATTTGAATCGTGATTGGAACTAACCATGCTGCTCTTGATTGTGAGTCACCTGTTCCTCCAATGAAATTTGTGCCGTATGTGATCCAATAAGAAATCATGATGCCGAATGTGATTGCCAATTGTTGTAAAGCGACTAAAGCACCACGAATTTCAGCAGGTGCCAATTCAGCATTGTACAATGGTACAATCATAGACAAGGATCCTACGCCCAAACCAGTAATAAATCTTCCACCAAGGATGGTATCGTATTTACCACCACTTGTGCAAGCTTGAACGATTACACCAATCACGAAAACAGCACAAGCGACGACTACAGATAACTTACGACCAAGCTTATCAGCCGAATAACCATTCAACAAAACACCAACCCAGGCACCCAATTCGAGAATAGAAGTGAGTAAACCGGCTAATGTTGCATTGCTGATTCCGTCTGTACCTGCAGCTCTGCTGAACGAATTCATACTCAAAACTTGACCAAACATTCCTTGATTATAACCATAGACTAAACCACCCATGGAAGCAAAGACTGCTATGGCCGTCGTACGTGCATTTTGCATTAATCCTTTCACACCTGGTTCACCTGCCAAAGCTGCACGACGACGTTGTAATTCATTGTCAACGTGTGCGATTGGAGCATTCATAGGAGCGACCATTTTGGTTGATGGGGATGTGTGTTTGACGGGGTATGTTTATGTCCACCAACCTTGGCGAAGTTGGAAAGGAGGAGGAGATTGTATGCGCGGGAATGATGATCATATGTCGTATGCTCCCTTTATATAGATTCAATCCTACCATCACCATATAAACCCTGCCGAGGAGGACAAAGCATGCCGTGACTGAAACCGTGCATGCGATCAAGGTAGCCGGTCAGATTCAACCCCATGCAAGTGCGGGGATGTTGTATGTTTCTGTGGGGACAAGCCTCATTTGGTAATTTTCAGGAACAAGAACAGATTGACGGGTATTGCGGGAGTTTGGTAATTGCCAAAGAGAAATGAGAGAAATGCAAGGTTTGCTACTAGTCAAAATAAGACTGATAGTAAACGGACAACGTTCTGATGAGAGCTATCCGTACCCTTGTGCAGGAAAACGGTGACTTTTTGTAGATAGATTGTTCTCCATGGCGCAGGCACAGTGAATTAATTAATTAACTCAGCTTTCGCACGGGAGATTGTGAAGAGGCACAACGGTCCGTGGCTTACTGTGGGGAAAATTATGCTTTGGCTAAAACGTTACCGGTCAAGCTTGCCGGTCAACGGTTTTATTTCAGAGCAGGCGCTGCGTGCGTCTCGGACCGAACAGAAGATGCCGCAATGTAGTATGTACGGTGAAACGGCGAAAAAGCCGAAGATAACAATCTTACCGAACTTTTGGTTGTTGCAATTCAAACCAACATGACACACTCACAAGATGCTTTGGCTTCATTGTTAAATGCTGATACGTAATGACCGGTGAATATTCGGTGTCTATACAGGAAAGGCCTAATGATTATACTTTCAATCAACCGCTTCTATTGCTTCAGTCAGTTGACCAACGGTGATATCCGTTCGCCATTTGTCTAAAAGAAGCAACTTCATTGCACGACGAACGTGATGAACAAAGGCTTTCTCTTGTTGGGGGGTAACAAAAATGCCTTTTTGGATCGTTATACTAATCGTTAGACCATCATTAATTGCGCCTTCGTTCAGCTTGTCATCTTTTGCAATCTTCCAACGACAAACATCTACGCCCATTGTACTGGCAGTAGGACTTGTGTTTTGCATCCATGAGACACCAACAATTCTACTGTCCAACGGTGTTAGCATGCCAGGGTTACTGATTTCCAAAGACCCTAAAGTAGCCTTTCCTTCATCTGCTTGTTTGATCTTGCCCAAAAGATACGCTTCTCCTACAGTTGGCGCTTCGGCCGTTCGCTTTGACGATCTCTCGTATCTGAGCGATCTACCCTTGGCGAACAAGACCGGCAACAAGCTCCACAATCTTTGAGCGGCAATCTTTGTTTTTGGACTTGTTAAAGCCTTTAGATAATCACGAGACATTCTCCATACTTTATCATCTTTTTTTGGTACCAGCTGAGAATGAACATAAGCGCCTACGAAATTACCCGAAACTGTTCCATGCTCTCCAAGATTGCGTAAAGTGGTTGGTGTGTGAGTTGTAAGAAGAATAGTGGATTTATCTTCTGTACGTTCATCCATTTTCAGCATTGCGCCTAACCCAATCAAGCAGGCCGTATGAACGTTTGGATGAATTGTTGGAATCCCAAATTTCTTTCCGTTGGCTCGGAGAGGATCAAGAACTGATGATGGATAAATGCGCTCTCTCGGTCTGGCAATACTTGAATCGCCTCCTCTGAACATGATGACATGTGTGCTAATCTCAGCTGTTAACGGTGAAGGAGCATCCTTCAATAACGCACCCGCTGGCCAAGGTGCTTGCAGATTGAACCATCTCCGGATAAAGTCTGGTAGTAGACTTGGCAACTTGTCCTTCACGATAAGCCAAACTTTCATCAATATTGATGCTTTGACATAGGGCATCACATCTTCATTTCGCGGAGGTAGAATCTCTTTTAAAGCGACTGTTCCTGCCAAGATCTCCGGAGAGGAAAGCGGTTGGTATTCTGGTGCAGACAAGAACGCCATGACGTTGATCATCGCTCTCCCATCCGTAAGAACATGATGGATAGACAGTGCAAGGGTGATCAAATCGGATTGAGCAGACGATTGAATAAAGTGAACTCTCCATAATGGTTTGTCGATGCGTGGTCTAAGGTGCTCTTTTTGCCATTCGATCAATCGAACTTCCATCAATGCGTGTCTCTCTTCGATTGTACTGTTCTGGTCTTCTTCTTGTGACCAGTTGATTGCATCTCGCACCAGAATGTCCTTTGACTGGTATGGTGAACCATCCCTTCGTCTTGCAAAGTTTGCAAATGTGGCTTTTGGGTCTTCTATGAAACAAGAAAGAAGTGGAACGGAATCGAGAAGATACTGTATCCGCTTCTCAACGTTGCTTTGTATCCCTTGAAGATCATCTTTGTCATTCAATTGGAATGTCGAAAGGGCGCACAAAAGAGGTGGAATGCCAAGATTGTCTCTTACCAAACAGAATCGTTCGTGTAATGATAATGTTCGTAGTGACTCGTACGTGCTAGTCATATTCTTGTCGTTGGTTGCCATGCGCGGTTGGAGTGAGGTGATAATGAGACATCGAGTTCGTCGGTGGAAGAGATGGAATCATGCTGAGTGTATGCTGAGCAAAATCCGCGGAGAAGTGTATGGCGTGAGCCATGCAAGTAAAGTTAAAATCCGTTGATGCATGTACCTCAAGGGCGGGAAGCAAGAAGTGATGTATGTACGCATGTATGAGAACAAACACGCTAATCGCTGTCATTGCGTATTGATTGCATGTTTAATTGTCCGACAATCAGAAATCCTATCTATCATTACCACAATCATGGAGAAAGCATTTGCATTCTCAAGCAGCATAGGGAACAAAAGCGTGCAAGATATGAACACACTGGATCCTTACAATGGCTTTGCTGTACCTTCTTGCTATCACGACATTATGATCAGTCATTCTCGATCCACCAAATAATCGCATACAATCATGGATCACAAGCTTGCAAGCCGAACACCAAAACGCTGCCAAGTGGATGCACCCTTTTCTTGCTTTAAAGCTATACATAATGGCACATGAATCGCATTTGTGCGGATTCAGAGTTTCGTAATCACCCATTGAACCTATTCTGACTCATAAAGGGGAAAGGAAGAGGACGCCAAGGGAACAAATTGATTAAATTAGGCCTAAAGGAGCTCATTGCAGGGGAGAATCTCATTATGTACCCCTTTTCTATTCATCAAGCAACATGCTTTTGTACGAAATGGCACTTGAACAACGTCAAAGATGATGGCATTTCATTCACAATCAAACGGTAACGGAATGCGCCAGCGCACCTCCTCTGTTTGTAACGCCTTTCGACAAAATTCGGCGCCGTGATCGGATTAAAGGACTCCGCAGATAGACAATGAGGGTTGTGCTGTGCAAGAACTGTGAGAGGTCAAAATACGAAATTGTTCATATCTCCCTCAATCGTGAGGCGGTGTCGTTGCGCGCCCGCTTCTATTTTCAATCTTGATTCGGAGGGTGACAAGATTGTCATCAAAAGACATTTGTTTGGCTTTACATTTTAATCATTTTTCCTTTCCATCACCAGAAGAAATATCGTATCATACTGTCAAGAACATGTCGAGGTATGGCGCAGTAAGTACACAAGAAGATAAGGCAGAAGTAGAAGCGCATTCATCAATCGGTCGACAATTAGCGACGATCAGTGATAATAGTAGTTCTGAATCACTCAGAACTCCAACCCAAGAAGCATCTCTTATGGGAGAACGATCAAGAAAACCTTCTGCTGCAACGGATGAAGCCATGCCCGATTCTCTGCCTGGTTCTGGTTCAACGACTGCATTCAACACTACCAACATACCTCCAATTCCATCCAAGCCTCGACACAGGCCAAATTCTGTCTCTTTTGTGTTTGGACCGCACAGGTATGGACCTTTAAACAGTGATAGCCTAAGCAGTGCAAACTCGCAAAGGTCATCGCCATCTCAACTCAGCACAGAACATAGAAAGATTTCATATATGGCTGCATTGGATAACGACCCAAGCCGTTAGCATTCACTGGAAAAAGAAGATGATGATGACTTCCATAATCCGGACAAAGAACTTTCACATCGTACGTGTAGTTCAAGGTGTTGCTTGAATCTTGGAACACTTATTGCTCTGATTGTCGGCGTCTTACTCATGTTTATGGGTTATCCAATGTTTTACGAATTTTTTATCAAACGAAAAGAGGGCAACAAAGGCGGCTTTAATCTTGGGGGTGTGAACATGACTGGACAAGTTCCCGATCTTTCTCAACTCGTATCTGTTCGAAATGGCTTGATCGATCGTGATACACCACAGAACGTATACAGAATCAAGAATATGGGAAGGAATAGCGATGAAACCTGGAATCTGGTTTTCAGTGATGAATTCAACACAGATGGAAGATCATTTTATCCCGGTGAAGATCCTTTTTGGGAAGCTGTTAACTTGTATGCACATGGTACAGCTGATTTGGAATGGTACGATCCTGCAGCCGTAACGACAAAAGATGGTGCTTTACTTATTACAGCTTCCAATATGGAGATCAACAACCTCAATTATCGAAGTGGTCAAGTCACATCTTGGAATCAATTCTGCTTTACAGGAGGTTATCTGGAAGCCGCTGTGATCTTGCCAGGTGATCCGGATGTCAGTGGATGGTGGCCTGCAATCTGGACGATGGGCAATTTGGGAAGGGCAAACTACGGCGCCACGACAGAAGGAACATGGCCGTTCTCGTACGATACGTGTGATAGAGGTACATTGATCAATCAAACTGACCCAGACGGATTAGGTCCCCCAGCTGCCATCACATCTGGTAATGTACCTTTCAACGGAATCTATAAGACAAAGAATCTTTCTTGGCAACCGGGTCAAAAGTTGAGTGCATGCACTTGTCCGGACGATGATCATCCTGGACCAAAGCATTCAGATGGATCGTATGTTGGTAGAAGTGCTCCTGAACTGGACCTGTTTGAAGCGCAAGTGAACGGTGGAGAAGGATCTCTTTCCCTTTCGTGTCAATATATGCCCGCAACGGAAGGATACAACCTTCTCAACACGACCGGCACAGAATATGTTTTAGGACATACTAATGCCAACGATCGAGTCCAATTGAATTCGTATCAAGGTAGTGTCTTACAAATGGCAGCATCTGCAGTAGCAAAGACGAATCAACAATCCTATCAAAACGCTGGAGGAACGTTTAGTGTTTGGGGTGTTGAATACGAACCTGGTCCGAATGGTTGGGCAAGATGGTACATGGACGGACAAGAAGCTTGGACATTGTATTCATCGGCATTAGGATATGATCCGCTTGCTGGAGTTTCACAAAGACCTATGCCGGATGAACCGATGTATATTATCATGAACTTGGCCATCTCTCATGGTTTCGGCGCTATTGATTGGGATCGAATTACGTTCCCTGGAACAATGCAAGTGGATTATGTTCGTGTTTATCAAGCAAAGAATAAACAAAATATCGGATGTGATCCACCAGATAGACCGACAAGCGATTACATTAATCGTCATTGGGAAGCATACACCAATCCTAATTACACTATTTGGGGCGGTGATCGAAGTCATGGAGGATATGGGGCATTATGGCCTCGGAATAGGCTTTACAACGGTGGGGATGGATGTTCGGAACAGCCTAGAAATTATCCTGGTCGTTTCAGACCAAATGGGTATGGACAAGGACCTTACACGACTGTGCCATACGAATACAGAGGAGTTGGTAATAATTGGCAATAAAATCAAACGCGATTTTATGATATTCTTTCATGTTCGATATATACTCTACCTGCTTTATGTTCCATCTTTACGGACTTTTGATTCGTATTCTTTATATTTTGGTGAATGCAATGACAAAAAGATGTTTCATTTGGTGTGTTTTCTAAGCCCGGCTTTAAGACCGTAGATGACCATGCACGGGTCATCAAACAGCTAAAGTATGGTGTGCTCGATCGGTAAATCGGAGAAAAGGGGGTTGGAAACAAGAGATGAACAAAGAAGCCCGTTATGAGGCTGGTAGAGAGAGAAACCATTGCAATCGCACTCGATCAGGCACAAAAGCTGAATCATCGGGTGTAAGTGTGTGAAAGAGTTTTTTGCAGGAGCGTGTCGGGAGAAGGGCTTGAGGGGTGAAGTGCCTGAAATAGAATTGTTAGCCGATTAGCGTATAAAAGATTTTTTTTTTGATAAGATAAAAAATTTCTAAAGGGTTTTATTGTTAGTGGGCGGATCTTCCGGTTACTTTTCAAAACTTTCAACGGCTGTCGATATCCCGTATAGAAACAAAAATAGATCATAACAATGATAGATGAACTCTTTTGTATTCTTGTTTACCATCATCATCGCAATGCTAAACAGAAACGAAATAAGACCAAAGTTGAAAAGACGGGTGGATAAATTCGGCAATCAAGTGATTGATGTGACCTTTGATCAAAGCAGCGTTTCGGCTGAAGTGCCTCACGTACTTCAAATAAGATTATATCGAATCATTCACAATCAAGGTCATCAAGTTGATGCTTGGGGACATTCTTCAGGACCGGTGACTACTTCTATAAAACGATTTGCTTTGGTTCAAGAAGATTTGGCATTATCCACAATGACTTCGACAAACGATATGAACGAGCTTGCCACCAATGAATTCCTTACGATAAACTCTCGAAGCTCCACAGATCAAAATAGAAAGCTTTCAATCGTATTGACCAACAAATACACAGAAGTACCTTATGAGCAGGTCGCATTTGATACGATGAGCAGACACGTATACATCGTCGGCAGTACCGATTCGATCCATGTGCAAATAGTCAAAGAGCAAACGAAGCCCACCAGCAAAGGAGACAGGCTGAAACGAATGGCCAACCGAACACTTGACAGTTGCAAATCATACCTTACCCAAGAATCGAAAGGATCATCATTGATCTTACAGAAACGCACATTCAGACGGGATATCACAAAGAATACTTGGAGCGAAAAAGGAAGGTCGATCTCATCTTCAGCTCAGGGCGAAAGTGAAGATTCATTCGTGTCAACTTTGTCGGATTGTCCTCCACCACCTTACCTTGCTTGAAAAGGCGGAACCGATAATATGTTGATGACAGTAATGATGTATAATAATGACGAAGCCCAGCGCGCTCTTTAATTGTGAATCTTTTTTTTTCAGCATATATCTTTCCTTTCCGGCTATGAGCGCGAGTTACGCGTGAGAGTAAAGCCGCACACATCGACCCAAATTGGACTGTGCTTTCTTCAATCATCATTCATTCATCATCATCACAGTATTAAAGTGCTGATGTCCAGCTAGGATCGTCACTATGGAACTTGTTCAACCAATCGACATAGACCATGCCATCGGATGATTTTGCGTATGTGTGCTCACCAACGACATGACTTGATCCATCAGCTCTGAACGTTTTCGCATTGTCGGTCTTTGTTTGGGTAACATTTTGAAAGTAGGAAGTGATGACTGGTGCAAATGAAGCATCTGTGACGTTGTAAAAGAGTGGTAAGACAGTATCAGTCTTCCATGCCAAAGCGCCAAATCTACTCTTTGGAGTTGCTAATGCTTCTCCTGGTAAGTAAGAATTGAACTCTATTCCATTGCATTCTTTGCATTTTGGAACGACTGGATGCCATTGCGGCTTACTGTCAAGGAAACCGACTGTTTCGATTGCCGAATCCGATAAAAGATCAATACGAGCGTGTGGAAAACGTTTCTGAACGTGAGGATATTGCAATACCGCTCCAAATCCACCAGCACTTTCGCCAGTAACCAAAACTCGCTTTGTGTCTGGCAATCGTTTAGCAATCTCACTTGTGATGCGAATACCATTCAGGAATCCATGATGATATGTTGTTCGATTAGCACCTGGATAGTTTTGCACTGAATCACCGGCATGAATGTCACCGGTACAGTAAGGGATGTAAACGTAATTCGCCTTACGATACGGATTAGCAACGGTTTCATTGCGAAGTGTTATTGTTCGATTTGTTGTCAAGGTAGGAACAGCAAAACTCTCAAACAATTCTTTCTTGAAGCCAGTTGTGACGAATGAGGCTGTCATGAGCTTGTAACAGGTGTTGGCATCCCAACATGCACCTCCACCTTCAAAAAAGAGAACAGTCTCTTTGGCATTTGGATATGTGCTTAATCCAAACCCTGTCTCACTGCCATCAGCGCATTTTGTTCCTTTGAGTTGGTACCATTTCCATGTAGAGCCTACTTTTGGATGAGAGGCTTCCAGAGTAGGAGCGGAGAATGTTGGAGAAAGGATTGAAAGCCACAACGAGGTCAAGAATGCAATTGCTACGCTCTTCATCGTTAAAGTATGTCCATTGGGGGGGAATTAGTGTGACTTGCTGTATGGAATAACCTCCTTTTATATACATTTACAACGAGTCAAAAGTATGAATCTCCACTTCATCTAGATGATTGCTGAGCCGGCGAGCGGAAGACCGAGCGCACTGACTGGGGTGGGGGTTAAACCACGCCACAGAGAAGAGGAAGACGTGCGAATGGACCACCACATCTACCCGTACCCCTTACACAATTAGCCTGGCCATTAAACGACCAGACCGCATGGCAGGAAGACTAATAAGCCACATCCTCTGATTGAAGGATAAACTTTATTGTTTGTTTATTTGTGTAAGGTGAGTAGGTAGTGCATAATTGATAAATAGCATGATTTCTTGTTTAGCTTCTCTTTCTTTAGCGCCACTTTTGCCAACCGATGACAAACTCCATGGGCTTGTATTCAACTTGCATGTTAAACCGGGCTTACACAACTTATTGAATTCATTCTTTCTTGGACGACGAGGGCTTTGCGTCCTGTTTGGGCAACTTGATTCGTAAAATGCGACGTGGCTCTTGTGAGCTTGCTTCATCATTTCGGGCAGCTTGCATTGCTGACCTTTCTGCTTCAGATCGAATAAAAGCACTGGACATTGGCGGCCGACCATAGTGTAGAATCCTAGGACGTTTGGCAGAACTTTCACCTTCAGGGTTTTTCGCTTTTCTCTTGCCCTGCGGTACATCTTCTCTTCTGGTTTCACCTGTATTTAGTTTAGCTTGTTCAAGAGCTTTGATTACTTTTTGTCTTTGCTTAAAATCTGCGTTATATTTTTGCATTTGCAATCGCCTTCGTTCTCTTCTGATTGGATCCTTCTTCACGTTCTCTTTATACCTACGTACAGCGTCTCTTGCCTTTTGTGGATGTAACATCCTGTACTTTCTTGCATAGCCAACATTCCTCTGCCGTCGCCGTTGGATCTCGTCTATATTTTGTGATGCTGAATCATTGCCACGAGATGAAAAATCTTCTTTTTTCTGATTGCCAAGTGGTGTAGCACCACCCATCATTTTTCTGAGACCTATATCGGAATCCGATAGTGGGTCACTAGACGCAGAACTATGCGACATCGCTCCAGTACACTGGATGATATAAAGTAGGAGGACCGAAATCCCTGCTTTCATAGCCATCGATCCAAACTGAAATTCTCAAGATGAAGAAGCTACTTGGTAAACGGTATCATGCTACATCTCAGGAACCAAACACAAATCAGGCACACTGAGCCACCATGTACATTGGAAGCCCCATTTGCGTACACAATCGGAATCTTAATATTGTCAGATAGGGCTGACAGTGAACAGTGGTGCTCTATTACCAGTGCAATGAGCATTGCTTTTGTGTATGCGGTCAAAATTTGTCAAAAGGCTGTACATCTGTTTATGAAGAATACAACAAAAGTACACAAACACCTAGCTAGACTGATCACTGTGAAGATCTACTTTTTTGCCTTTACGCGGAGGAAGTCTGAATCGCTCTCTAGCATTCGGTAAGTTGAACTTGTGTGTTTCTGGAACTGTTCTCTCCAAATTTGGTGGACTTTTCGACTGTAGGGAATGACCAGATCGAACAGCTGCCCGCTCTGTTTCAATGTGGTTACCGGTCTCACTTGCCCGGTGATTCAAAAATGCACTTGACATTGGAGGTCGTCCATAAGTACGGACTCTAGTAGTTTGTGCTTTAGATTCATCCTCAGAATCAATCCTCTTGCGCTTTCCTCTCGGCAGTACAGCTTCTGAATTCGTCTGATTAGCCAGCTGTTGTTCTGTCTTTTCCTGTGCTCTTTCTTTTGGCCATGGTCTTCGATGTTTCTTGGCGTATTCTGCTTTGTACAATCTTCTATGTTCTCTTCTGATCGGATCATTGTTGCGTTTATCTTGAAATTTTGCGTTGCTTGCTTTGACTCGCTCGGGATACTTTTTTCTGTAATTTCGTTGGTAGATCATCCTTTTGAACCTTCTCAACCGTTCCTTATCCATTTCTACTCTTTCTGGTTGGACCACGTTGATCCTGTCCTCAGACGAATGAATGCCAGTGATATCGTTAGATTCTGATGAGCCTGAATGCGATGCTAAAGTGCTAACTGCTTGTGCCACTGTGCAAAATGATACAAAGTGTAGAAGAATCCAAGTTACCCAGATGATCATCATGCTTTAAGTGATATACAAGGGCGACAATCTACGATGACTTGTCTTATTTGATCGTATGCAAAAGACTACTTTAACATATCCTTCAACGCAATTTTTAAAAATCTCAAAATTGTGTAATTTCTGCAATCCTTTGCCCCGCTCAAAATGCAGCTACCACATTCATTAACTATGTACACAAGTTAAGAGAGTATACCGAATAGTATTGAGTACAATATACACTACAAAAAACCGGATTTGTTGAAACGTTTCTCTTCTTTATTTTGATCTTTTCTTGGCGGAAGACGGATTCGAATAATGTTTCGTGAGGATTGCACTTCTGGCTCATTTCGAGGAGTTTCACCTTCACTTTTCTTTGCTTGTGCATGTATATTTACACTTCCTTGAGTAATGTGATCCCCAAGAGACTGATGACCGTGTCCTGGAATTTTTTCTTTTTTAGCAATTTTCAAATCATTGATTGGCAAGCTTTTACGCTTGTTCGCTGGCTGGTCAGCATTTCGGTTAGAGGTATTGGATCCCTTTGTGTTCTGAGAGACATCATCTTCAATCTTTCGTCTTGCTTTCTCGATACGTTCAGCTCGGTTACGTCTTCGATATTCTATTAAATATAGTCTTTTCCGTTCTTTTCGTACGTGATCCTTATTGTACTTCACCTTGAATCTCTCTTCAGCTGCTTTAACCTTTTCGGGATTCAAGGCTCTCCATTCCCTTTGATATGCCATCTTTCTCAGATGTGCTTGTCTTTTCTTGTCCTTTACTGGCTCAGCTTGCTGGTAAAATTGAGGGTCTTTGATGCTGCCTGAGGTTATTCCGGGAGAACTTGCTTCCTCTGCGCTAGCAGAAACCGCGACATCACTTTTAGTCCTTGAAGAACTCGCTGTAGATGTGCTTCCGAGAGCTGATGTGGTAAAAAGATAGAACAAGAGAAAGACGACAAGTCTGATATGCATACTAGTAGTGAGAAAGTTCTTAGTCTTTTCAGAAATTCAGGTTTCACTTTTCTTCTCTATAAAAAGTGATGGTTGAGGACAGATGCCTGCTGGCAAAGTATGAAAGATATACAAAAGAGCATATAAAGCAGTACAATTGTGTGATTAAAGAAATTGAATGCCCCGAGAAGGCTGTTCACTTGTGATTATACGCAAAGCTACTTATCCTTTGAAGTGCCTTGCTGTTTATCCGCATGATATTTCTTCAGAGCCTCAGGTGAAAGTTTGAATCGAAGAATATTTCTACTTTTTGGCCGATCTCTATGCTGGTTTGTGGTTGCTGGTACTTTTTGTAATTCTGTTTGATTGCCTGCAGAATTGTCTGGATGCGCAATGGTTGAATTAGAGCGTACTCGCTTAGCTCTGTAATCAGGATCTCCTTTAACATCTTCAGCTTTGCGTTTCCCCGCAGAAGACACAGTGGGCTGAATGAGCTGATGGGCTTTCTTCAGTCTGGCCCTTCGTTCGTATTCACGACGATAAGCACGATATTCTTCCTGTCTTTTAGGATCTTGTTTCCGTTTTTCACGATATTTTCGAGCTGCTTCTGCAGCATGGTTAGGATTTGCTAAACGTTTTTCCCTCGCATAATTTGCATTCTTAACTCTTTTTCGCATTTTTTTCAATTCGGAAATTTCTGACTTTGATAGTATTTTTGCACTTAGATCAGGTCGAGAAAGCTTCTGAGGAGCATCATTTAGCGGTGGAAGGGATACTAAGGCTGTTTTAGAAGTCAAATGCAGCTGAGCGCTTGGCACTGCGTTTGTATGAGTCAGAGATGGAGAGCTCGAAGAATCAGAAGATGATGAAGAAGTTGAATCAGATGAGGAGGATGAGTATCCTTCAGAGTATAAAGCTAGACGCAGGATTATTAATCCAACAAAGAAGGGATTGAAGAGGTGCATTTTGATTGAGGGTAATTTGATAATGAGGGCTGATCGAAGAGGAAGAATGGCTTACTTGATTTACGATTACTTTGTTAAACAACATGTCTGCCCCGAGACATGATACATTATGCAGCGTACTCAATTTTGGCATTTATTCTCCCTGTGTCCGTCGAATGAAGCATTAGTATCTTTAACAAAATTCAATTCACAAAAATAAATATTTGTGCACATCATAAGAAGTACTTGTAGTGTATGCACAAACCCTGATGTACTAAAGCAGGCAAAAGATCCGGAGTAGAATGTTGTCATTTTGGCCCTTCCGGCGGCTGTTGTGGAAAGTGTTTCTTGATCACCTCTGGTGACAGCTTGAGGCGCACAATGGTCCTTTCTCTCTGCTGAGGAGCGGTTGTAGCTGCACCGACATTATCATGTGATCCACTAGTCCTTGACTTCATTTTCTTAGAATTTTGTTCTTGTTCTTGAGAATTTCTTTTCCCTGTCAATATCACTGGCATCTCCTGAGATTCCTTTCCTATTTCCCTTTCCTTTTTTCGTTGAAGTCTCCTTTTTTTCTGTGCTTTAACTATCTGTGGATTTTTATTACGATACTTTCTCTGAGTCTGTAGGATTCTTTCATGATGTACCTGGTTATAATTCTTGTGATACGCTTTTTTCATAGCAATCCATTCTGGGTTGTTTGCTTGTTTCTCAATTGTCTTACGTTTTGAGTCTCTCTTGAAGTGTGGATTGATTCGTCGTTTTCTTTGTTCATACTCTCTCTGTCGCCTATTTTTCTCAAGCCTTCTATATTCCAATACTTCTTCCAGCGTTGTAGCCACTCCAGTAGAAACTGGCAAAGCTTGTGAGCCAGTCCCTGAGTCAATATCATGTTCTGCTCCCAAAAAGGATCCGGGAGAAGAGGTGTACGCTGAAGAGCTAGAGCTTGAGCTTGAACTTGACGATGATGAATCCACCGCAATGCAAACAGAAATCTGTGCAAAGAGTAAGGTTGCAAAACCAACAAAATTTATCAAGTTCATCACGTCGCTATTATATCGTGGTGTAGAGGAATATCGTTTTCTTTGGGGATAGATTTTACCAAGTATGCCAGTGCTGTACACAAGTTTGAACATTTTTGCATTTGAAAGTCGCAACTTGCCCCGACACCTTCGCATATGGCCTTATGTACATATTTGAGCGGAATTCATGATTCCTACAGAGCCATTGTGATGACTTGGGATCCTTGCGCATGGGTATTGCCCGATAATCATTCGTTTATTGCTTTATTCCTTACTTTATCTAGTTAGGGTCAGAGGATCATCATTTGGTCTACTGATGTCTTCCCTATGTCCAGTAGGCAGGCGTACCAATAGCTTCGACGATAAAGAAAGCTGCAATATCCTTGTATCTTAGCAATTACGTCTTGAAGACACGGATATGTGTGAATATGAGACGATCAATCTAGAAGCAGGCATGTTATGTATAGCAAACGCTTTACATGATTAGGGTAGCTTGCGTTTCACATACTATCTTTGCCCCGACAGTATAAACAGATCAAAAAAATTATATTCATCACTTTCCGAGCTGTCAAAGATACTTCAATGTCTGCACATGCTGCACTGCAAATATGGATGGCATTCGTCTGGTCTCAAGGCATGACTACAGCAACATACATCCAATTTTACTGCAAATAAAATCATCAACGTCAAAAGGGAAAAATGCGGATGTTCTCAAGAATCTGTAGGGTTCGAATTAATCTTTCCCTTTGTCTGTTTGCGGGAAGTGTTTTTTGAGCGTTTCTGGTGGTAACTTTAGACGTATGATATTACGACCTCTTGGATGAGCAGGGTTGATACTTTGATGATCGTCTGTTGGTGAGACATATAATCGTTCTGAATGTGACTGTATATTAGCAATACGCTGCGATGACTTATCCTGAGGAGAGCTCGGTCGTTGCTGTACACTAACAGTACCCTTTCTCACCCGTTTGTGGTCTGCTTCGGGATCTTTGTCCAACCGCTTACGTTTTGCTGTAGAAATTGCACCTTCAACATTGGCTCCTCCTTGCTCTTGCTTACGTCTGATTCGGTATTGTCGCATACTCTCTCTGAACCTCTCGCGATGCTGTGTTCGGTACAGCTTTTGCCTTCTTGAAATTTCCTTGAAGTTTTTTTTGCCTATATGCTCTACCTTCTGCACGACGTTTTTCTTTATAATCTTCATCATTTCGATGTCTTTCTCGAAATATTCGGGAAGCATCTCTATGGAAATAAGGATTCAGTCTCTTCTGTTCTTCTCTGTAAATTTTATTGTATTTGCTCTTCTTAGCTTTTTGAGCATCCTTGAGCTTGGCATTTTTGTCGACGTTTGCTTGTGGTAAAGGAATTTCATGCTTGTTGGTACCTGTGTTTAAGTCACTTGCAAGCCAAGAGCTGACATGAGACTGTGAACCTGGACCTGAGTCTGAAGTGGACCTGGAGCTGGACCCAGAGCTCGTTTTTGAACCGGAATTGGAATCGGATCCAGTGTCAGAAGAACTAGATTCCGAGGATGACGATGAGCTGCCTCTCACAAAAGCAACAGCGCAAAAAGCAATGATCAATGGGGTACAGATGTGTTTAAAAGCCTTCATAGTGAAAGTACGACAACAAAAAGGATATAATGAGAGACAGGGTAGATTGAGTATTTATACTGTAACGATATCTTAGCTTTTAGTCCCATTTGAGAGCCCCGGCCCATCAATACACAGTTGCACAGCAAATTATTTGAGTGAGACTTGTACGTCTCAGCAAGATGCTTCTGTTTATGCTCGTGTGAGGGCGAAGATGATGAACAAGTGTTTCATATCCAGCAGTTGACATATTTAGCAACTTAATGACTGGGACTACGTGGCTTCTGATGAGAGAGATATTTGTCAATCGTTTTTTGAGAAAGCTTTATACGCAAGACGTTTCTACCTTGTGACAGGCGAGGATGGTCAATTGGGCTGCTGGGATCTCTTTCTGACAGGGTTTGGGAAGCGTGGGTTGTTTTCGGACTATTTGGCTGCCGTTGAGCGACGGGAGATTCTGTGCTTTTGCTTTGTTGATCTGGGTCTACTCGTACTCGAGCCCTCTTTTGACCGGACTGATTGATCAATTCTTGGGTCTTGCGCTTTTTTGTTACAAGTGTGACCTCAGATGCACCTCTTTGTGATCTTTGCTTCTTCAGCTCTCGAGCTTTCCTCTGTCTTTGCAGAATAGCATCATGATTTCTTTCACGGTAAGCTTTATCCCTTAACTTCTTGCGCTCTTTGTATCTTTCTCTATACGCTTGATCAATTGCTTTCTTGTTTGCTCTCCATTCTGGATCGTTTTCGTGTGCTTTTTGGTAGTTGCGACGTTGTTCTCGGTTGAATTCCGGAAACTGTTTTCGTCTTTCCCGCATATAATCCCGATTTCTAATCCGTTTCTTTTCAGCTGTCGAAAGAGCGTTGCTGTTGGGATCAGGGTTATTCATTGATACATCAAAAGGCCTAGAAACTGATTGAGAAACTGATTCAAGACTTGAAGAGCTTGAGCTGGAACCTGAGCTGGATCCTGAGCTGGAACTTGTGCTTGAGGTTGAAGTCGAATCGCCCTTGACCGATGCAAGAACATAAAAGGTGACAAGCACAATAATGAAGGCATGTTTTACGAATCGCATGATGAGTATATGTGAGGTGCTTCAGTAGGTAGACAGGAACCAAATTTAAGAGCGTCAAACCATCTCAGCAAGTTGAGACGCTCTTGGTTGCCCCGACGAATAATACACATATTTGGCCAAAAGAATTAATAAGTGTTGTACAAAGCTGTGCAAGGGAAAATCCGCTTCTATCTATATGGTGGTAGACTTCCCAGAAGCAAGGGAAACACAGATTCTCTGCTAATAACATGACTGTCTTGAGATAGAGGAGGTAGGTTTCTGCCTTACATTGTACGAGGCGTATTGAGGAAAAAGTTGAATTTCACTACTGGGCGAAAGACTCAAGGGGAAGGCTTTGCTTCTGTATTTCCCTTAGGAGAAGATGCTCTTTGCTTTTTCGCATGTGTATTTGCACTACGATGAGACTCGCTCCCTTCGGCTACGATAGTATCGAGCTTTCTCTTTTTCTGGCTTTCAAGCTGGATTGACATTTCCACACTGTCTGCTGCTTGTCTTTTCTTTGCCTCCGCTTCCGCTTTCCTTCTGAGGTAGTATTCCCGCTGATATGAGGAAATCTTTTCTCTATTTGCTTCTCTGTAAATCTTTCTAGTTGCAAGATCATGCTTCACTCTTAAAGGATCCGCTTTTCTCCTAAGATACGAAGCCTGATGCATCTTTTTTTGATGTTCGGTATTGTTTTGATAAAAGCGTCTTTTACGTTCACGATCGTTTTGCAACTTCTCTTCATACGTTTTCTTTGGCCCCCTTGTTCTCTTTGGTGTTGGTTTCGTCTCTCTTGCGAACTTTCTGGGTACAGAAAGCCATGGATTGTCTTGATCGGATTCATAGTCAGCATCAACGATGATTCTGACAGGGATTGGGAAAGTCAATGTACTGAGACATACGAGGGAAAGAAAGAGACCCAGGAACATATCATTTCTCATCTTTAATTTGATGTAAGGGAACAAGAAACCGATGATAGTGTTTACAGAGAGAACGTGGCTTGAATAACCATTGAAAGTATGTCTATGCAAAATGCTTTTACCTTTCTGGCTATTGCCCCGAGCTTCGCGAAGCGGTTTCAGATATTGTGTAAACCCGTATGAATCAGGGGCTATGATGCCCAACAGAAGATCTGATGAGTTCCAGGTGTCAATCCTAAGCTCGAAAAATTGTGGGGATGGTAACAAGGCAATCTTTCAGCGTTCTCATCTTCTGTGGAATGCTATGATCGACCTATCATTTCCAGAAGAGCCTTTAGGCGATGCATCGTTTGCTTCAACAATCAGTTGCACAGGAGTTGCATTCATTTGATTAGGAGCACAATTTAGTGGCTTTATCAAAGAAGCACCAAGACAGTGTTATTGGCAATACATTCTGTTGATGATACAAGACAAAAATAATTGTAGAAAGAATACCAAAAGTGTAAACATACCAGCGAAAATAGCCCCGAGAAGCCACACATGTGAATTATCTGATATGCAACTTCTGATGTAGCGCTCACTCAAGGTATAGATGGCTGTGGACCGTAGAATTTTTCAATTGTTTTTGCTGGCAGCTTCAAACGTGCGACGATGTGTGGACGTGGAATTGTTGAGTTTTGTTCAGTGTCTTTGCTTTCAATTGAACTACTCGATGTCGTGAAGCTCCCCTGCTGATCGGAACCTTTGAGTCTTCTGCGTTTGTTTGGCCTGAGATCAATCTTTTCGTCTTGTTCTGTTGCTTTCTTAGTGGATCTGTATTTTTGCATGTATACCTTATGCTGTAGTTTTAGTCTATCCTTGTGTCTTTCTCGATACTCTTTCAAGTACGCATCATGTTTAGCTTTCTTTTCCGGATCACTTTGACGACGAATGTGTGCTCTGTGATTCAAGTCCCTCAGATATTCAGGTTTTTCTTTTCGATATTTTCTCATTCTATCTCGATTTATTTTCAATATTTCTTCGTACGTTCTTGCTTTTCTTTTCTGTCGTATCCTGCTCGGTCCTCTAACCGTTTTCTGTCCCATATAGTTTCTTTGCGGTAGAGTAGGAGAGTACCGAAGTCCATCTTGCGAAGGAGAGTCCTTAGTGGCTTCATCTTTAACATCAACAACGATCCTAACAGGCACAGCATATATTTGTGGGAGGAGAATTAAGCACCTTTGAATGATCAGAGACCAGAGTAGAAAAGTGAAAAGACGTTTTACCATACTTTCTGAAGTTGTTGTCAGTAGATGGATGCCGTTTTAGTTAGGAAAGCAAAGAATTATCAAATCTATTTTTAACACCAGCGAAGATAAAATAACATGCAAGTTGAAACATTTGCATTTGTAGCCCCGAAGCACCAAAGCTACTTAATGCATCGAATCGGACTGTTTTAGAGCTCAATCATGCTGAAGGAGGTGTGTTCGGTCCATAGAATTCATCAATCGTTTTGGGTGAGACTTTTAGTCGGGCAATGATATGCGGTCGATTGGCTCGAGTTTTGTCTGAGGTACTCTCCCTTTGCATTCGTCTCGTTTTGATATTGGATCTGAAATCCGAGTCAGGTGTATCACTACTGATTTGTTGATACGTTCTCCTTCGCTTTTTGGGCTTATTGGCCTCACTCTGAACGATTGTGCGATCCGTAATTTGACTTGGAGTATCCTGCTTCTTTGCCTTCCTTTCCTTCTCTTTCTTCCTGTATTCCTGCTGATATAATCTTTGTGTTGGGATATGACGTATACGGTACGCCTGGCACGTGTACAGGCGTCACTTGCCGTATCACGCCGTATCACGCCTTAACGCCTGTTCCGCCACAAAGGCTGACGAACCACAGTCTTGGTGCCCATAATTAGCCCATTTGTCAATTATAAATAGTCTCATATCACATGTAAATTCTACCCACCTTTCTCTACCTCACAAATTTATTATTATTATTCAGAAAGCAGTGCCTAGAGACTATAAAATGTAACAGAGTTAACAGCTCTACTTGCCCGGCTCTGAAAATATCACTGTTCTCTGACGAATCAAGTACAATATTAACGATTCATCACGAATCAATGTAATTCGGTAAAAATATTAATAAATACTAAAGAATTAATAGCATTAAAGGTAAAGGCTCTTATATTAAAAGAATATAAGAATAACTTTTATATATAGGCGCTAGTATTTAAAAGATAGTTATAAATAAAAGATTATTAAGTATATAAGGTTATATTTAAGTATACTAATACCTTAGAAGAATTAAAGAAACTAGATATAAGTATAACTTCTCTCTCTAGAAAGTTTAATTAGAGTAAAACACCACCGGTTAGAGTTTTAACTCGAAGTTAAGAATTATAACGAAATATTAAGTTAGAAGTTATACTTAGATAAATATTAATATAATATTAATTATTATAATAATAAGTTAATAAGAATAATATAGAAGAAGTTTATCGATAAGAATTAGAAGAATATAAATAAAAGAAGGTAAAAGATAAAGAATCGAATAAATACTTAATTATATATTTGATTTATTATCTTAAATCGCTTATAGATAATATAAGAATCTTATAGAGTCTTATATAAGGAGAATCTATATAGATAATTTTAACTAGTTATTTCTTGATTTCTATTAAATTACTTTATAAAAAAGTATAATATAAATTCTTTTATTTTTATTTAAATAAAGATAAATTAATTAATAATTATTATTAATATTTTTAAATCTTAATCGATTATTTAAAGTTATATAAATATCTTATTTTATATTATAAATATATTAGAAAGATAATTAAAAGAATATTATTATTTATAAATAGTTACTATAATATATTATTAGATAAAATCAGTAAAATAACTAATATAATATTAGAAATAAAGATACTTTTATTATTTAAATATAAATTATAAGATTAATATTAATTATAATAAAGTAAATATAAATAAAGAGTTAAGAAATAAGATTATAATAATAATAATAATCGATAAAATAATATAAAACGATTAAAATTAATAATAAAGGTAATAGCTTATACTATAACTACTATTAAATTATTAAAATTATTAAAAAATCTAATAAATTTTATATATAGAAACTATATAAATAAAGGTTATTATTTAAAAAGTTATTTATTATTAAGAATTTCGAGTATCGAGTATTATTAAAATATAATTAAGATTTATAAAGAATTAAAGAAAAATAAGACGAATAAATAAAATAAATTAAAATAAAATAAATTATTAATAAATATAGTTTAAGAAATAAATAATTTAATAATATTAATATATATAGATAGATTAAATATTATAATTATCTTAGAATATATAATAATATAAGTTAATATAATTTAAGAAACTAGTATATAAATAATTAATTATAGTATATTTAATTATATTATAATATAATATAATAAATTTATTAATTATTATTTTAAATTAATTCTGATTCGAGTTAGTAGAAATTAAATTATCTATAAGATTGATCGAAGAACTATAAAAATCGATATTTTAAATAGAAATAATAAAAGTAAATAAATTACCTTAGAAAATATTATTTATATACCTACTTTTATAGGAAATCTCTTCTTAATATACTAATTCTATATAAATTATTATAATTAATATAGTAAAATTTATTATTATATAAGTAAAAGAAATATTTATTTTATATACTATAAAGATAATAAGAAGATTATTACTGGTTATTACTATAGAGTAAATATTTATTTAAATATAGCTTAACTAAAATTAAATATTATTATAATAAATATATAAAATATCTTGATTAATATATTATATAATCGAATTAGATATTATTTATATTATATTCTCTTAAAAATAATCGAAAATATAAGTAGATTAATAATTTAAAGAAAATCGGTAAAATAATATTATAAAGTATATATAATTAAAAAATATAAGAGAATACTATTTAATATTAATAATTCTTAGGTAACCGAGTTATTTAAGTTAGTTTATATAGATATTATTAACTCTCTTTTAATAAAAGTATTAAATAGTAAATATTACTTATTAACGATTATTAATAATTATTTAAGACTCGTCTTGATTATTTTATTTATAGTTATTTCTTAACTATTAAAAGAAATTATTACTTAGATAAATATAAATAAATATATATAATCCTATCGAGTTAAAAAGATTTATATAGATAATAGTATAATATTTAAGAATAAAGATATATTAGAATATATAATAAAAATAAGAATTAAATATAAATTAACTATATTTTATATACCTTAGTAAAATAGTTAAATTAAATATTTTTATTAAACTTTATTTGATAAAATTTAAACTTTATTTATATATAAAAATCTATCTTATTTATTTTAGGTTTATACTACTATATATACTTATATATTATATAATATAACTATAAATAAAAGAAATAATTATAAGACTCTATTTAAGTTATAGATTAAATAGTAATTAAATATTATTGATTTTTAGATATTTAGCTATTTAGTATATATATACTAATTTAAATAAGATTATAAATTAACTTTAAAATTAAAGAAATTTATATATATTAAAAATAGAATAAATAAAAGAATAAAAGTATAGAAATTATTAGATCTTATAATTAAATAAATTATTATAAGTTATAATATTATTTTTATCGAAATAGATTTTCTACTATAAGAAACTATAATAAATATATTAATTATATTAAATTATATCGAAAATAATATATTAGTAATAAAATATTATAAAGAATTTAAATTTAAAATAAAATTAATAAATTAAATCGAATTAATTATTATATATTAAATATATATTAATAATAATAAATTAAAGATAATTTATAAAGCCTTTAAACGACTAGATATAGAATAATAGAAATTAATAATTTAAACCGAATTATTATCTTTTATTATAAATAATATTTAAGTTATTATAAATCGACTTAAATTATATTAGATTATAAGATATTATTAGGTTTTTAAGATTAAACGAAAAGTAGATAATATAATTAATAAATATAAAGCTTATCTTATTATTTAAAGATACTTATAGATTTTTAATATCGATTTTAATAAAACTTATATACCTATTATATAAATTATAATTTTATACTTTCTTATCGCTTTTATAATATTATAAAGTTAGTTTATTTATTAAATAGATATATATATAATATATTTATATAATAAAATTAATAAAGAAATTTATATAGAATTACTATTAAGTATTAATAATAATCTTATACTAAAAAATAAATACTATTTATTTTAAAAATTATTTTATAGTTTAAAGTAAATAAGATAATAATAATATTTAAAAATCGATTCTTTCTTATATAAAATTAATTTTATATATTTTAAAAGAGATTTTAATTTATATTCGAAATATAATAAATTAAGAAAAATCATTTTAATTATTATATTTTATATTAATAATTTAATAATTTTTATTATAAATATTATTATATTAAAGTAAATTAAATTATATCTTACCGAAATATTTAAGATAATAAATAAAAGATAAATATATTATATTTTAGAAATTTAATTAACTTAGACTTATAACTTTATTAAAATTTATTAAATAAAATATATAAAATTAATTATTAATTAATTTCTTATAGAAACTTAGAAAATACTTTCTATCTAAATCCTTATAAATTATTTAACTATAAAAAGATTATTTAATAATACTTTATAAATCTTAATAATAAATAAATATATAAAATATTATTTAATTATTAGAAAATTAATTTATCTAGGTGTTTATATATATTTAGATCTTTCTTTTATTATTAACCGACTTTTATAATTTTTAGTTAAACTATAACTTTATTATTTAAAAGTTATTTACCGAGTTATATACTATCTTATTTAATCTTTAAAAATCGATATCGATTATAAATATAATATATTAAATCCTATCTTATTAACTTATTCTAATAGTAATTAAGCTAAAGATTCTTCTATATATTCTACTACTAATATTATTCTATACTATAGAGGTATATTAATTAATTAGAAATTATAAAAACAGTCGATTATTATACTTTTTTCTATTAAAGTAGAGTATATTATAATAACTCTTACTATAACTTATATTATTATTATTCTCGATCTTATAGAATACTTACGAATCGAGACGAATCTACTAATTTTATTATTTATTAATAATCAAGTAGCTTATACTATTATCACTGGTTATTTAGCTACTTAATATATATGATATATCAATATTCGTTTTTATTTTATTTGTTATTATATTAATATAAATATAATTAAACTATAACCAATTTATATAACAGCTTAATTAACCGATACTTTAACGAAACCTCTCGATCTTCAATAATTCTCTTTATCTTTACATTTATTATCTTTAAATTAACGGATTCATCAACCTTCGTTGCGAGGAGGGGTGTTAGGATATGACGTATACGGTACGCCTGGCACGTGTACAGGCGTCACTTGCCGTATCACGCCGTATCACGCCTTAACGCCTGTTCCGCCACAAAGGCTGACGAACCACAGTCTTGGTGCCCATAATTAGCCCATTTGTCAATTATAAATAGTCTCATATCACATGTAAATTCTACCCACCTTTCTCTACCTCACAAATTTATTATTATTATTCAGAAAGCAGTGCCTGGAGACTACAAAACGTAACACTTTGATACCTTCGCACTTGTTCAAGATGTGAAGCTTTATATTTCCTTGAATAAGCTACATCTCTAGCCCTTTTGATCGGATCATCCCTTCGTAAGCGATAGTGCTTGTCATTCAAGTCTTTGTATCTTTTCGGATCTCGAGCCCTTGTTTTTCGAACTGATTCTCTGCTCCTTTCAAGCTTTGATCGATATTCTATCGGCTTAGAAAAGACAGGGGTATATTCAAATTTATTCTTAGAAGAAGAATGATCAGACGAATCCCCTTTCGCATCAACAATTGTTCTTACTGGCTCAGCAACAATTAATAGTTGCTGTTTCATGAACAGAGTAAATAGAATGAGGACCGAATCTCCTCTCATTTTTTCTGACGACGTGATTGAAGTTGCGGATATGAAACACGAGACCTCAAAATTTTCAGAGTTCAATGAACGAGGGAGAAACTTTCGCATTAAGAACGTATATGAGGCAGGAGCGCATTGAGCCCCGATCTAAGGAGAAAGAGTGATGCTTGTGTGAAAAGTGTTACCTCAATGAGGCCTTACACATACGCAAAAGCAATGACGTAGCTCAGTTTGCCAAACGAGTACGTTCTTTACCGTTGCAGTTGATAATTACGCCTTGATTTTGCAATCCACCCAAAGAGAAAGGACCTTGAATGAGTGGAGTACCTTGCTCTGAAGCAAGAGTGGTACCCAAATAAATATTACCTTGGCTTTCAACGTGAATGCCATAAGAGCGTTGACCATCTTGAGTTGGACCTTTGTACCAACTGATAGTGGCACTTCCTGCTCTTTCAGCTTTTGGATTCGTTGGATCGATGCATTGTACCTTAACAACTTGATCTCCTGTGGAAGCGTCTACTTCGCAAGGTGCAGTATAGAAGGAAGCGCCGTTAGGACCCAAACCTTTGGAGCCTTGAACGACGTTTCCGCACGTTGCTTCTGACCATTTTCCGGCTTCATTCTTCAAGACACTGAATTTGTAGCCGTTTCTGTCTCCGACAACGTAGCTGGAAGATGGGTAGTTAGATAATTTGTGTCAATAAGTTATGATGATGAAAGTCGAAGAGAAATACTTACAAGGCATGCGTGTTTGCAGAACCGCTTCCAGCTTTTTCAGGGACGAGGCCTTTTTGGTACGTCACTTTTGCATTGACGGATAATGCGGCGACCAAGACGACGGCGAGAATGAGTGGTGTTTTGTAAAACATGATAGTGACGATGGAGCGCAAAAGGTACGTGAGTAGAGTGTTTGATAAGATGAAAGTGTATGTGTTGATGGGAGTTGTTTGATTTTCGTAATCAGTTACTTTTTTTCCTTTTTATAACCTTTCCAAATCAGAATATGTCCCGTTGTGCCATTGTCAACGATGCAAAGTTTATTATGCATCGAAGCTCTTCTGACGGCAATATATACATAGAAACTTAGCTGACGGCAGCGAAATTCCTCTGACAACGTGCAACGTGGGAGTTGAAGCTCCTCTGATGTTGTTTGCATCGGAGCTCCTAGGCTTCATTTGTGCAATACTACTCCCTTAAATCCGAAATGAAGATTTCCGTTTATCCGCGCGATACGCTGTCAAATTGTTCCGCTTTAGCAATTCACATGAAAAAACTTCCGCCATCTTTGTGTTTATGGTTTGCAATGCGGACCTTGGTATCCCGCAAACAGATGTATATTTGACTTCTTTTGTGACCAGATGAATGCTTGTTTCATAATCCAAATATAAATTGACCTACCTTCATACGCCCACAACGCGGTACGCCTAGGATTTTATTAATGGCTAATTAACCCTTGATTAATTGCGGTTAACGTCCATTTGCTGAACATGCAAACTATCATGTGTCACAACATATATTCTCCAAACTGCTACAAAATGGAGTCAAAAGTCGATAATTACAAGAATGAGGAAAGAGATTGTAGATATTGTCTAAGTCATCGATGGAATAAGTCATCATCGGAAAGGAAGATTGAGAACGGGAATGTTAACCCTCAAAACAAGACGCATCCTAAGGGTAGGTGATATCAAAGAGAGTGTACGTAAATCCGGTGTAGCTTGAAGTTGCCGTGACATGGCCATCATAGTCGATATCAGCATTTGGCAAGTTGTAGTCTTGATTGGCATCGTTTGGATTACCGCTCAATTGCAACGTAACGTATTCGCCACCTGATTTATCATTAAGCCAGTCTGCGTACCACCATTGACGTTCCAAGAGTCCGTTGTTCGATGAAGCGGCATTTTGAATGTGTAAAGCATGACCTTTGTCCGAAGCTACAGGCTTGGCAGTAACGGCTTTGTAATCACCTAAATTGACGTATTTCAATTGGCCAAACTCCTTTGGTGATTGATTCCAACCGCTAGTGGTGCATTCATCGAACTGGAATTGACCTTGATAGTTCCATGTGTCTACAAGGTAGTTTTGATCATCCTTATCGATTGCGAATCCACGTTGAGAGATGTCGCTTGTGTCGCTCAAAGAGCTCAAATAGGTACTGTAAAGATTTCCACGGTATTTAGCTTTGCATGAAACGCTATCACGGCGAGCAAGGTTCATTGGGATAGCAGAAGCCCAAGTGGCAGCAACGCCGATGGTGAGGATGACAATCGTGCTGACTTGCATGTTGAATTGAAGAAGAGGAGGAAGTCCTTGTAGGATGATTTGGATGAGGCAAAAATCGTTTTCGTTTGGAATTTGGGACACTTTATATACCCTTCAATCTGGCTTTTCTCATTCTAACTTTTTCTCGCCAAGACAAATGCTGAGCAAAGTAGCATAACTTGAAAAGTGCGCATGAAAACAGACACGGACATGCGTGTACTTGTTACGGAAATTGCAATGCTGCGGGATATGCATCAATTGTAAAATGGTAGCATTGTTATAAGGGTGTGTTGCCCAGAGTGCGAATGAAGGAGTGATCGCATACACGCATCTGTCCGTCCTCAAGCCACAAATCACTAAAGCCACCCTCAACTTAAACGGAAGTGCCCGCCAATATGCTCATGAAAGCACTTCATCTTTGATTGCATCATCATACTTCAGCAGCTAAGCACACTCAAGCAGAAAACCAAGACACAAACATTTATGGTGATTTCTAAGAAATTGTCTTTTTATACAGAAGTCAAACATCAGTGTGATGATTCATGCTCTATTGCTGTACAATGGGAGGGAAAAGAACGTACAATGGTCTTTGAGATCGAGAGTAGGATCGTGGAAAAAAGGTTCACAATAGATCGCAAGAGATGCGACGCCGTTCCAGATCACTTGCAAGTTGTCTAGCTGAGAATTGTGGCATTGAAGAGGACATACGTGTGACCAGTGTCCTTTGCGGTTGCTGTATCGTGGTTGTTGTAGTAAGCTGCAAAGGGCAATTGATAATCTTGGTTGTTGTCATTAGGGTTGCCGTTCAATTGCAAAGTGACATATGGACCATGTACACCGTTGATATAATTCGCATAGAACCATTGACGGTCCAAGTCGAAACCGGTGGAAGAAGCATCGTATTGGAGACGAAGAGCATGTCCAGAGCCTTGTTTATCGGTATCAGCAGTAAGAGATTGATCGGAACCGTCGTCGTATTTCACACGACCGAATTCTTTAGGAGATTGATTCCAGCCGTCTGCCTTGCTTTCCTCAAAGAAGAAGAAATCCTCAAAGGTTGAATGAGTGAGATAGCCATCTTCACCAAGTGTGAGTGGGGTTCCACGTTGAGTTTCATTGCTGTAATCACCAAGTTGACCCAATTTTACGCTGTAAAGGTAACCGCTGTATTTGGTTGTTCCTGAAACACTTGCACGACGTTCTGCTGGAGCTGCAATGACTGAGCATGCGATCAAGGCGACAGAAAGAATTGTTGTAGAAAGGAACTTCATCGTGAGAGTTGGAGGGGTTTTTGGAGGAGAAAAAGACTGAGGACTTACGAAAGAGAGTTGGATGGGCAAAAGACAAATTGGAAGAGAAAAACTTGACCTCTTATATGTCTTTTACGGTTCATTTGGGCTCACCGGAGACTTTGACAAGATGCTTCTCTTCTGTCATTGTTGTGAAAGATTCGTCAAATGATATCCAGATATCGTCATTTGTCTAGCGCGATCAAGAACACGGATTTGCGTGGAAGTTTTGGACAATCATGTGCAAATCAATGGAGAAAACTGATGATTTGGAGTAGGTCTTCTTCCTTGCGGAGCTTGGCGTCCGAGTATCACACTAAATTTTGCATGAACACATGATGAAGCAAGAAATGATGCATTATTCAGCCCACGAGTAATCCATTTGAAGCGGAAAAGTGTGTCAAGGGTCATCTTTACATGCTTTCACTCGGTCCGAGACGGTGTTTGGTCATTGGATTATGCATGCGTGATATTGTGACATGTGTCGCGCTTTTGTACAATCATGCACAACACCACTGATTCCCAGATCGGTGACATGTTTGTCCGAAATTGGAGCTCATGCCGATCAATGCTTTTTCTTTCTCAAGACCATGAACCTTTCCTTGGAGAAGAGTACGGCATTTGTAAAGTACTGTCAAGTCCGACCAACTCTCAAGCCAAATTCAATATTATTCAGCTAAGGATTTCAACATCAAAGAGGGTATACACATGTCCAGTATCTTTCTTGGTTGCCGTATTGATACCATTATAATAGGCTGAATATGGCAGATCAAATTCATCATCGTCATCATTTGGATTACCTTTGACGTGTACGGTTACGTATGGGCCACCCTGTTTATCATTCTTCCAATATGCATAGAACCATTGACGATCCAACATATCATCAGCCACAGAAGATGCATTTTGCATGCTGAGCGGGTAACCACTTCCTTGTGTGGTCGTATCAGCAGTCACAGCTCGAAATTCACCTTGGGGAACGTATTTTAGTTGACCAAATTGTCTCGGAGACGAGTTCCAGCCATCCGATTCGCATTCATCAAATAAGAATTTATCTCCAACGTCATCGTGGATGAAATAGTTGTCATTATTTATACCAATCCTATGGCCACGTTGACTTGAAACACTCGTATCTGTCACATTCTCAATCACCGTACTGTACAAGTAACCGCTGTACTTTGTGGTACACGTAACGCTTGCACGACGTTGAAGTAGAATGGGGGAGCAAGCGGTAAAGCTGGCAGAAAAACCGATGGCTAGAACTGAAAGAGGAGAGAATTTTATCATCATCAAAAGAGCTTTGAGAGGTCAAAGTGCAAAACAAGATCCCACTTGACAGAAGTCATAGAAGTTTAAATCTCTTCCACTTCCTCGATAAATGTTCTTGTGGTATTGTAAGAACATGACGTCATTACATTATCCACAAAGTTCGGGCAAGCAATGGACAATGCTTTTTTGCGATTATTTTATGCTCTGTCCTTTCACATCAATTCATTTTCGCTCCGCGCTCATCAGAATCTTCGACAGTATGGGGTAGAGGGGTAGATCCTATTACGGTGCCGCGTTTGCAAAGTTGCGAAGAAAAAGGTGAATCAAGACAGATGTCAAGAAGTACTACAATGACGAGCATGCACTTGATGAACTGGTAACGAGACTCCACTTTGTGTCGGAAATTTCTTTAGTTCTGCATCTGGAGGCTGACTAGTTTATGCTTTGTCATTCGTTGAGCATGGTGATTCCCAACAAATGGTCTTGATCCTTTCTCGTTGACGGTTTTCACGCTATAGGCAGCTAGCTCATTAGATGCCAAGTACAATGAAGCAGCAGAATGGGCTTTTGTAGTTCTTGATGACAGCAGAATGGTTTGACAGTCATCTTTGCAGAGGTGATCCCAAAGGGTTAGCAGATTATCGGCGCTGGTGAGAATTACTCAAAGATGAGAAGTAAATTGTGAAAGACTGCCTTGATCTGTTTGCTCAAAAATCCGCAATGCAGCATCACCCAAGACTTCTACAACGGCTTTCCCCGCTTGTTGAGCATACTCCTTATACTGCCACCATTTCAGCCCCTCAGCTGTCTCTTTTGCTTCCAGTTCTTTCCTTTTCTGCTTCCAACTTTCATCCGTTGCAAACGTGTCAAAAATATACTTGATCTGTTCCTCAATCGACACAGCTACATTGGGAAAATCTGTTCCAAATAACACCTTTCCCTCTTTTGCCAATCGGATCAAGTCTGGATACTGTGAATGAGATTTTGGCGGATATGCAATCGTATGACTAACAACGGGTGTTGTATCGAGATATACGTTTGAATATTGGGTTGCCAATTTGATCGCCTCACTTGTTCCTGGCGCTCCACTATGAGCAATCACAAAGATTACATGTTTGTATCTTTGCATCAATTTGTCAACGTCATCCAGCTCAGAGACGGCCGTATGACCGGAGATATGATTTCCAACATGAACGATCACCGGTAGCCTGATTTGATTTGCTATTTCCCAGAATGGCTCCAAGGAGGGATGCAGGATTCCGTAGTGTCCCACTGAACAGTGCAACTTGGCTGCCTTACATCCAGCTTTTAGTGCTTCAAGTGTTGTCAATCGAACACCCTCTTTTTCATCATCGGGGTGAACAGTCAGAGCCGGTATCGCATCGATGAATGCTGTCTCGAAAGTACCTTTTGTGCATGTTACTACGATATCTCCGTTGAGTTGATGTGCCATTCCATCACCTTTGTGAGCATATGGTAACACCCAAATCGATCGAATCCCATTCTCAGAAAGAATCTTTTGCATATTCCCATCTTTGTTGTATGCAGGATATTTCAGTTCGAATAATGGCTGATCTGTGAATGATGGACCTTGATCTTCATCTGCTTTGTTGTAAGCCGGTGTACAGCATATATGATTTGCATCTTGACCAACAGAAAGACCTTCAGCTGCAAGAAAGACGCCGCGAATCTTTTGTGCAAGTCTGGTTGGAAGAATGTGACTGAAAGGGCGGTCTGTAAGTATTGAGTCAGATTCCCTTGAGTTATTCGTATTCACTCACGTATGCACATCTACTATCCAATTATGTCCCTCTGCCATTGTATCACCTAACCTTACCTTCTTCTTTCCAAAACTGCAAATGATGTTTGTGAACAAACAAACAAACAATCATCTTCCCCGCCCCCGCGTTCATTGGGTTGAATTGAAGCAAAGGCATAAGCGGCGCAGTTAACTGTTTGGGGCAACGCGCCCTTGGCCGTTGTACAAGGGAAGCAGCCATACTTGGCAATCTTTTAGGACATCACATAATAACATTCACACTTTTATATTTATTATAAACGGTGACATAAAAGATCATATTCTCAAGAGAAGATTACTAAAACAATATATAGAAAGATAAAAACAATAATGAAAAATATGCAATGCATCTAATAGTAGAGATTGAATTCTATTCTTCTAGTATTTGTAAACGAAATAAGGTGAATGATCACCCATTGTTGCCAACACTTCCGGCGAAATTTGAGCAGCAGCACCTGAATCGATTTGTCGTTTCTTTCTTTGATTGGCAAGGTATAACAACGCCCAATAAATACCTGCAGCAAAGATTGCACCACAATTGAACAAAATGTTCAACAGATAAGATGTCATATATGCAGGTGCCCATCTTTTAAGGAAAATGTTGGATGAAATAATACCTGCCAAGCCACCAACACCAACTTGAATGGCAATGCAAACTGAACGCTTAGTCTTTCCGCCAATGTTTTGCGTCAAAAGTGCAACCACAGATGGGAAAGCTGCATAACTGAAAGAAGATAAAAACATTGCTCCATAACGAACTTTTCCATTGTTTGGATAAGCATGACCGATACCCCATCCGATAGCACTGATTACACAACCACCGATCAAAAACCCAGAACGGTTCTGAAAACGATCAGAGAAGAAAGCGAAAACGACGACCATAAAAGCTGCAACGATATAAATTGGAACGGTCATCAATTGAGCATGAACGGCATCATACTTGAGACTAACTTTGAGAATCGTTGGCAAAGTTAAAGCGATACTGTAAAGGGGCGTAATACAACAAATGTAAGAAATGATGGATAACCATGGCTTCCAATCCAACAAACCAGCTCGAACGTATTCCCATCTGTATGAATCGTCCATTGGAATAGCAGTTGAATCGTATATGATTGCGTTTTGCATGAAGTCTTGTTCATCTTTTGTCAAGAATTTGGCTTCAGGGATGGAAGAAAAAAGGATAAAGTATGACCAAACACCAACAAAAACCGTGAGAGTACCTTCAACAAAGAAGATCCATGGCCATCTGTTGTATCCACCAATTTCGACGAATGACAAACCGTAGGCCAACAAACCGCCAAATGCACCCGCGATGGTTGCAGCGCTGAAGAAGACACCGATGCGGAATTGAATCTCTTTACGTGGGTAAAGGTTGGTCAAGTGGTAGGTGATTCCGGGAAACAGACCGGCTTCAAAGCCTCCCAAAAGAATACGCAAGGCGAGCAACCCTTCAAAATTCTTGACGAGACCGGTAAAAGCCATGATCAAACCCCAAAGAACGACAATGATGGGTAGATAAATCTTGGCTCCGTACTTCTTGAGTAGCAAATTGGATGGCACTTCCAAAAGACAGTACAAACCAAAAAAGACGGAAACACAAGCATTATACTCGGATGGTGTCAACTTCAACTCCTCTTCCATACCAGCAACACGAGCGTTACCAATAGCAGAACGATCGAGGAAAGAGAAAAGGTACAAAAGACTGGCAATTGGCAGCACACGCCAATCCATCTTGCGCATAATTCTTGCCATCTTCTTGGCATCATCGGATGAAACGTAATTGTCCAAAGGTGCATCTTCAGTTAAAACATGAGTGACAACACCTTTGCTTTCCAATTCATTGTACTTGGCATCGTTGAAGCTATCGGTGGGAGTGTGAGATGTTTTCTCCTCAGGGTGCGACATGTTGGCAGGGGTAAAGGGATGGAGGAAAGACGAACAATTTGTGCAAAGATGAGCTGGTTTTATAGACTTGATATGTGTAGGGTGCAGGGTCAACCAATGGAATGGACGCGAATACCGACTTGCCCGCCTTAATTTGCATAACGACGCCGTAATCTGAAGACAAGTATTGATGTTTGAAATCTGCCACAAGAATCTGATGAAAGAACTTCTTCAGTTAAAGCAGATGAAGGAAAAGCAACGACATCACCAAAAAAGAGAGAGGCAACTAAGCCCACTGGTTTGGTACCTATTCGTGGCATCTTCCCGATCGCATAGGTAGGAAATGAACAACGGCTTTTCGATTAGTGTCCAATTAAAGCAGGTACACCAAATATAGGAACACAAATGGGCACACGGGCAGCGCTTTGTAGGAATGTAGAGAGTGAGAAGAATCAACGTTTGACGGGGAAAGAAAGAGTGGCTTGCTCAATTTAGCGTCTTGGCGTGCATTGCATAAATTGTTTTAAATCCTCTCCTCCTTTACCGCGTGCAGGCAAAATCGATAGAGACTTGTCAAACAACAAAACGTTGAAGTGCAATTTGCAATTCCAACCAAAATGGCTTCCTTTTGGCTGACATCTGTACAGATTAGAAGACGTCTTGTTCAGGTACTTTACACTAATTGTCTTGGTATGCATGCACTCCGCCTTTTCCCCACCATCTTCAGGAACTCGAAACCTTTTTTATGTTCTCCAACGAGAATCTCCGTTATATCCTTACACAGCATCAAATTACCAAGTCTTGGCATATGTGGCTCATTTGACCGGTATCTTATCTTAATCTCTTATCCGACATCGTGGTTTTATTAAAAGCCATAGTAAGCCTCTTTATCGGTACATCCGAAATGCTGCTATTTCAACGGCTCTCATTCACCAGCAATCACCGCTCATAACCCCAATATATGCATCTCTTGCAGGATCAATATACCTTTTGGGCTGTGGGGCCCCATCCTCTCAGCCACAAGTCTCACATCACCATGCTTTTCTAGGGTATAATTGCATATATTGCATAAGCGATAGCAAAAACAATGTGCGGGGAATGCATATCAATCGATTGCGCTGCGAATTCGATCACCACTCTTTTGTGTGCTGGAGAGGTGGAATCTGGGTAAGGAGATTGATGATTTTCGAGGCTGATGAGGCATCTGTGGAGATCCTCTTGCAGGAAAGACAGAGTACAAATAAGTACATGCAACAACACTCCCGATTCCAATCATGATTGTGATTCGAGAGGCTCTTGTCATATCTTGAGATCGTAAAATTTGATCGACAAAAGCCGTCAAAGCGATTGAAATCACTCCAGAAATGCTATTTGTGATTCCATCTGCATACTTTGTCACCAATCCGGCCAAAATTCCAGACCCTGTTTGAACCACAATCGCAATCCAAGGCCAGTATCCAGAGAAGAATGCATGGAAGGGTGCAAAGATAGAAGCCGCCCTCCAGCAATCAAGCAGCACCAGTGTGTATGCTGGTACCAGACTGAACACACTTAATTGCAAATTTGTCACCCAAAAGTTGGATTTACCATTTTTGAAGATTCTCTCCAATACCACCACACTCATTGCTGAGCAAAACGATGCAGATAACAGCGCCAATGACCCAAAGACGATGTCTGCGTTTGCATTCTGTGTAATTGTGGCAGATTTCTTCATCCCCTCCTTGGCGGAAATTGCTGCTGATTCAATCACAATCACGCCCAATGCAATCCCCCAAAGACAGAACCATCGTTGTGCGCTTGGATACTTTTTCAAAAAGATACCTGTAAGCAATGCTGTAGGCAAGAGTCGTATTTGCCAAATCGATTGATATATGCTAGGCATCAATCGTTCGGCCGCATATAAGCATAGATTGTTTTGTGCGACATACAAGCTAGCTGGCACTAAGAGCTCCCATGCTTGAGCTGTGAATGTTTCGGACCATACTCTCTGACCAGCTCTTCGATATCGTTGTAGGCGATTGTTCGATCCGGATAGATGAGTTTTGTCGAATTGACGTACTGCGACTGCAAAACAGATGGCAATCTTTGCAAATTCTCCAATCAAGACGGCTACCGAATAGGAATAGTGAGATTGAACGCCTGCTAAATGTAACAAGTTTGATGCTGTACTCCTATAAAGAGTCAGTGAGATCAACAGCACACCAGGCAAAGAGATGTGCATGCCCAATAGCCATGGAATAAGTGGGATCTTGTCGGGAAGAAGGAAAGAAATGTGAAATCCGAAGTACGATTGTTTAATTTTAGCGCGCGTACAGATCATAAATGGCTTCCCGCACTTTGCGAGTGTTGATCCTCATTTCACGTCCACCAACTTGTCAAACGCTCAATGACGCTGATTAAACGAAAAGGGTGCAACATAATCAAATGTAATCGTAATGGTGTATATCCCTTTACTTAAATCCGACGAAAGCTATATATTCTCAATAGTATGAGGAATAAATTCCACCCTTCCTTCTGCAAACAGCCATCATGACTTCTTCAGTAGAATTACGTGCAAGATTTGCTCATTTTGCAACCGTGTATGGCTACAAGCTTCGAATGTATTATCGTGAAGCATGCTCATCATCAAGTCTTGGAGTGATTATCCTCTTGCATGGCTTTCCATAAACCAGCTATCAATTCAGACACGTTCTTGCACCTCTGGCTCAATTGGGCTACAGGGTAATCGCTCCGGATTATCGAGGCGCTGGACAAACATCAAGACCGCCAAACGGCTATCAAAAATCATTCATGGCCAGTGACATTAGAAATCTTCTAGAATATCTCGAAATATCGGAACTCATTAATCTCGTTGGACATGATATTGGTGGCATGGTTGCAGTCGCATTTGCGCAACAATATCCAAGCAAGTTAAAACTTTAACATGGGGTGAAGCTTGTATTCCAGGATCAGAATTTTACGAAAAATCGAAAAATTCCATTGAAAAGTTTAATTTCTTACTTCATTGCTTACCTGATGGACACGCTGAGCGTCTGGTGGCAGACAGGGAAGAAATTTACCTACAGCAATTCTTCGATCGACTCTTATACAACGCTGATGGAATCAAATCGGAAGATGTTCAGAATTACGTAGCTTCTTATCGTTAACCAGAAGCCTTGAGAGCTGCAATGGAAATTTATAGAGCATTTGAAGGGGATGCTAAATGCTACAATGATCTTGATATTGTTTATTGACCCTCGTTGGTCAGATAGGGGCTCATGAATTGGTGTACGCCACAAAGCTGAGAAGGCTGTCCATCAAGCTTGCAACTTAGGTATTAGCTGTTGCTATGTGAAGGAGGAATGTTCAGGTCTGGTTCGCTTAATCTGCGTCTCTTGCTTTCTCTTATGCGGTCGGAATAAGCTCGCTGTCTTCCACGCATTCGCTCATACTGAAGCCGCTTTCGTTCCTGATACTTAGCCTCCATGCTTTGCTCTTTGGGATATCTCTCTTTATTAAGAAGATGACGATCCATTCTTTCCTGAAGTCGATTAATATGGCCTTGTGATTTAATGTGGTCCATTTGCCTTTGTGTCTCTTGTGATTTCAGACGATGCTCATACGCATGATTCATCATTGCTTGACTAACTCCAACTGTATTCTTGTCCATGCGAAAGGCCAAGCCACCAATCAAAGCTGCATTAACGTTTCTTTCATGATGATCACGTTGATCTAAAAGTGGAATAAATTCCTTTCGACTGGTATGGCCGAGAGGTATTTCTGAGTGGATATAGGCTAGACGAGGTTTTTTGGCAACTTTGCTTTTTCTATTCAGAGTTCTATGTGAGTCATTTGGTGGAGCATCTGCTGGGTCTTGATTATTTTCATTTTTATTGGGAACGTAGTTTGTCCAATGATCACTGGTTGCAGCTACGGTGAGACATAAAAGATACACGGACGCCCAGAGAAAACACACGTAATGCATCTTTTTCTTAAAAGAAATGTAGTTGTGGGTTTGGGGAAGATGGAAACCATTTTTTTTGCATCAGCTCTTATAAAGTCAACAGTCAGCCTTACTTTGCATTTGTATAGCCCGACGGGGCAAAACGACCTACACCCTCGGTCTATACAGCCTTTCCTCTGTATATGCAGACTTTGTAGCACTCTTCATAATAGATTAAAGAGGTAAAAATATAAAGTGTAAACATGATAGACTTTATAGTGTAGTGTGTGTTTGACTGATGAAGAAAGGGATTTCATATCTTTAATTCTAACGCTCTTAATTAGGCAACCGGTGAATAAGTTTGTTTCAATCGTCTACCCGGTGATTTGTGTAATCGTAATAAGACCAAAAGTGTCTAAGTGTAAATCGTTCAGCCATTTAATCGAGGGAATAACGGGGCGCACGACAAGACAAACATTCAATGTAAATTGATGTCGAATTTACATTGAATGTGTACACAAAATGTTTTTTGATAAAAGAATCCTACATTGTTTCACGGTGGCTACGCAACTTTTGGGCCTTTTCATCGTCCAAACAAAAAGCACTTTAGCTTGTTTTCATATCCATGCGCTCAGCTTACCGGAAAGTTGTGTTTTTCGTACAGTAAACAGAGAAATGATGACATAAATATAGCATGTCCAACATCCGGTCACTCTGCCGCAAATCCGAGTGTAAACTTATGCGCGGGTTTAGTGCTGTATTTGATAACCAAGGTGTCTTTATGAGGATGCTGTTACTCAAGAACTTTAAAGGAATACCTGATTCATCAGAATTCCGGTAATGTACAACTTATAATACAACACTAATGGTACATATCCATTACTGTACACCCTGTTCAACCGCCAGAGCACGGAAGGTGCTATTTGGGTCTTGCATCAGCTTGTCGGGCGAGTCCAATTCCACCTTTTCCCCATTACTCAAAACCAAGATCCGATCATAGTCCCTCACGGTGGCAATTCGATGAGCAACGGTAAAGATTGTACAATGACTGAATTGCGTTCGTAGAATATCTTGAACGGCTGCATCTGTTTCGTAATCCATCGAGCTTGTTGCTTCATCAAGTACCAAAACACGTCTCCCTCTCAACAAAGCACGAGTAAGATTGAACAATTGTCTTTGTCCTGCACTCAGATTGAAGTTTGCATCCAACTTCGTATCCAGACCGTTGGGAAACCCACGAACAACGTCTAACAAGTGACACGTCTCGAGTGCATCCCAAATTGCTGAATCTTCATGATCGTTCAACGGGTCAAGATTCTCTCGAACAGTGGCAGATAAGACGAGAGCATTCTGTGGAACGATTGTCAGACTGTTACGCAGAGAGAACGCAGTGTAGGTTTGCAGTGCTTTTCCATCCAGTAAAATTTCTCCTTCAGAGGGCTCTAACATTCTGAAGAGAGCCAACAGAAGTGTACTTTTCCCTGAACCACTTCTTCCACAGATCCCAATCCTTTCTCCAGGCTTGGTCTTCAAGCTCAAATTACGCAAGGCAGCCTTCGCTGCTTCAGGGTATGTGATACTGAGATCACGAATTTCCACTTCCCCAATCACACTCTTGGGATCCAACGTTTCTCGCATCTTTCCATTGGACAGTGCCTTCTCCTCCGGCTCCAAAGAAGCAAAACCGAGGATCCTCTCTATTGCCACGCTTGCGATTTCCACCTCCGTATACGACACCAAAGCGATGTTCAACATCATTGCCAATTGCGTTGCGTTTACCAAACCTGCACCTAAAACAGCAACATTCTTCGTATTTTTGAGCAGCACGATAAGCGTAATCAATGCGACATTGACAACGAGTGACAGCAAATTGAGCGAAGTTAGTAACCACCTTCGGATTGCCTGCAAGTAGAAGTATGGTTGTTGCGATCGATCTAATCTGCCTGCATTGATATCAACAAACGTTTTTTGTCGTCCTAATGCTCGAATAGTGGCCAAACCGGTTGCTTGTGATGTCTCAGAGATTTGTGAGTAAAGTGGACTTTTGGTTGCCATTTCCAGTCTGCGCAATTGACGACTGACGGGAGCATAGAGTTTTTGAATGGCAATATATGCGATTGCAACAATCGCAAGCACAGCCATTAAGACTGGAACAGGAATGATGAGTAGCAAAAGTTGAAACATAAGCTCAAAAATGGCAAACATGAAATTTGTCAAAGCCATCGTTAATTCCCAATCCAGCACAAAAATATCCTGTGAAAATCGGTTGATGATCACGCCGGGCGGGTTCGCTTCAAAGAATTTTACGCCAGCATTCCAAACCCCTTTGACCTCCCTTGCATGCATCTTTCGACCAACGCGAAGGAAGCAGATTGCCATGGCTAGAAACTCGATTATTGGAAGTGCTGTCATTGTGAGTAAGATGATGGCGATAAAACCACCAAGCCAAGCCCATTTCTCTTTGACACCCAGGATTGTATCTTGTGATCGTGAAAAATATTGAAGGTACACCACCCATCCATTTTTGCAAGCAGTGATGAATAACAACCCAAATCCCAAAACGAAAAGACAAGCAAATACACCCCCTGCTAAAATCCATTGTTTATAAACAACCCATTTAATCTTTCCATGCTCCACTTCCTCATGCTTTGCATCCTTTCGTTCAGCATTTTCCAAGTACTTCATCGCCTTTTTAGCTTCTGCATTTGCTCTTTCCCGTTCATCGATTGATGCTCGTGAGATCGCATCTCGTGCGTCTTCTGATAAATCTTGTGGTTTCCCCACCTCTACCACTTTGCCACCTTGCAACCGAATGATCATTGATGCCTTGCTTAAAAATGGTACAGCATTTGTGGCAAAGATTACTGTTTTGTTGCGTAAAAGACCAACAGGCCCCATAAGTGCATTCCAAACGTGAGCAGCTGTTTCGGCATCCAAAGCGCTTGTGAAGTCGTCCATAATGTAGGTATCAGTCTGTGCATACAGAGCTCTTGCTAATGCCAACCGTTGTCGTTGACCACCAGACAGATTCTTCGCCAATGTGTCATCATGTTTGTCGAGTTGCATCAGGTCAACGTGTAGGGCTGATGCATAGATCACCGTTTGATATAGCTCAGGCTCAAACGGGGTTTGCAAGGTGATGTTGTCACGAATAGTAGCATTCTCCTGTAGCCATCCATCTTGAGCGACATACGCTACGCTCTCTCGGAGTAAAGGCAAACGTACTTGCCCACCCAACACATCTACTTCCCCAAGAAGTGCCTGTAGGAAAGTAGTCTTTCCAGATCCAATAGGCCCACAGATCATGGTGAGTGTGTCAACGGGTATCTGCACTGAGACATTCACCAACACCGCTTTACCTTTCGGTGACCATCCCAAAGAGGCAGAATGGAAGGATGCCGCTACGTTTGACTCATCGATCGAAGCTAAACTTTGAAGGTCAATTTGCCCTTTTCCAACACTCGGTGTGGTGGCAATGCTTGCCGGTCGACCTCCCACGATATCTTGAGGATCTGTCGATGAAAGCACATTTCCTGCAGAAATGAGTGGCCTTTCACGCTTACCCAAGAAGACCTGAATACGCTTGAGAGAAACCAAAGCAGCAACAATGGAACCATACTGCTGTCCTATCAAAAGCAAAGGCACTTCCATCAAACTGAGTAAGGTAAGGGAAGTGATGATATTGTTGATCGTGAACCGGTGAGAGCCAGTGATGTGGTCGACGAGAAAGACGGTCGTGAACGTAAATAATGCAGTGAACTCTTTGACCAAATTCGTAAAGACACCGATACTGATAATCCAACACATGTATGACCATCCAGCTTTTTGTTCTTCTTCCCGAGCTTCGAGTAGCTTTTTTGCGACAAATTTCTCATATGCCATAAATTTGACACCTTTGGCATTATTGACTGCACTGCTGATCAGATTAACTCTTTTGTCGGTTGATGCACTCCACAACCTTTGTCGAGGACCAAGGCCACGAGCAACGATTGGCGGAATGGTTAGGCAAATGATGATGCTGAAAATCGAAGCCAAAAAACTCCAGCCAAGCTGCAGGTAGAGAAGGTACGCAGATATAGCCACTTGCAACAAACCAGTCCACAGAAAGTGAAATGGGATGATCACTTTGCAAAACCTCTCCATATCAACTGACATCAAATTGGCAATCGATCCTCCACCTAGCTCATTTGCGGTGCTCAAATGTATACGTAGAGATTTGCGATACAAGATATCAATCAAAGCACCACGCATCCGTATTTGTACCTTGTCAGATAGCCAATAAAATTGACCAAAAGCAAAAGCATCAATGAGACTTGTGAAACCGTATGCACCCACTAATCCCCATCCATACGCCGAAGGTTGTGACTCATTTTCATTCAATTGGGATTCTGCAAATGCTAGTGTTCTGCTGACAAGGTATGGTAGGGTTAACTGAACCCCGATGTGTACCAATGCAGGTACTGCTGGTGCCATTATCGCAAACGGAAATGCCTTGAAGCATGAACGTAAGAGAAGTGAACTAGATTCAGAAGCAGCCTCTTCGACTGCGGCCCGGTTGACAGTTTGGGTCTTGTTGTTTGAGGGAGAAGAAGGCAATTCATCCAATTCGATTCCGTCAAGATCCACTGAAGGAGTTGTTGCATGCATGTTATGAGACTGACGTGCCTCTTTCTTGACGGCTTTCTTTACCGCTTTTGAGATTTGTTTGTTCCATTTTTCCTGTAAACGCTTTCCTAAGCTTTCACTGTCGAACTCTGATCCCAACATTTCCAAATTGACCATGTCCAACGGACGTCGAAATCCTGTCCACAAGACTTTCAATAGCCAGTAAAATGTCATTCTTGATAGGAAACTTGCACGAGAGTCTGGTGTGCCATCTGCATCAGGTAAACCGGTAGTATTTTCAGCAAAGAATGCAAGACCTTTAAAGATCAAGTGGGCAACGCAAAGCCGGAAGAATTGAGTACGCTCGATTTGGTCAATTGCTGCATATGTTCTTAGCCTACTTGCATCTGTGAAGACCGTTGCAAACATGTAGATCGGCAGTATGATTGAACCACCGGAAAGCCTTTGACGACTTAGGATCGTTAATGGGATTTGAATAGCAGATGCCACGAATGCTAGTGTATATCCAGGTGTTGCGGAAGAAGGCACCAATGCGTCTTTGAGATTATGATCATCTGTTGCTAGCCCGAGTACTGCTGCTGATAGAATGGCTTGAATGGTTGCAAATGCAAGCCTCAATAAGCCCGACGTATCCCAAGCTTTGTTGCGGAAGAGTGGTTGCCATTTTTGTGAAGTAGTGCCAACGACAGGGAGTTGTATGAGAAAGAGCAGTTGTATGAGTGATGCAAAAATGAAGGTAGCCGAAGAGATGACAAGGATGAAGTTTTGAAATGTTAATGTGAAATCGAAGAATCGACATGTTGAAACCGGGCCAAAGTTGTCATCATTGCAAGTGGTATATTCTCCACTTTCTGAAATTAATTGGATTTTGTTGGATAGCCACAACGGTAGATGTTGTAGAACTGTTGCCGATGTCATCCCTTGTTGTTGATGGAGGAGATAATTTTCCCAAAGGAAGAATGAATTGTGGGAATACTTTTGATCATCTTTTGTTCAAGATGATGCTTTCTTATCTGGAGAAAGATGCATTCATTCAATCCCCCACGTTTAAACGTCAAAATATAAACTTTGTTAATGAAGACACTCTTTGTTTATGCGTTAATAATGCATTACATGCATCTTCCGCATGGCACTAAACGGGCTCAGCACTGAGTAGTGCGTAAGAAACGCTGAGCTTGTCTGGTAAAGCATGCTGAGCAAGTGTTGCGCAGCGCTGCTTGTGCGCAGTGCTCCGCTGCTCAGTTTCAGGTACGCAATTGAATTTAATTAATGTCATTCGCTAGTTTGATTGGGCAATTGAAGATGATGGTACTGCTCTGTAAAGTCTTCCAACAGCTTGAGCAACGCTTTCAACGGTATTTTGTCATCAGGAATTGTGATCGTTGCCATTTTGCCTTGATAAATGGTCTATTGAAGCCAAGATTTAGCTGTTGGTCACAATCAAACACAAACTTGGATCTACTGCAATTGAGCGCCTCACTGTCATAACTCCACGGAGCTCTGCGCTTTGAGTCATTAGATTGGAGCGATCATCTTGCACGAACACGATGTCAAATCAGGATCCAAGGATATACCTATCCCAAGGTCGATTCCATAGATCAGTAAGATGCCCACGTACGCAACAGCTTGTGACATTTGGGTTAGTAGGTGACTGGTCGGAGGAGTATAATAATAGAAACGCTGTACCTTCTAGCAGCACGCAAGATGATCGGGTGATCCTATTCGTTCTTCCGTCTGGCTGTCTACGCTATGTAGCAATCCTACTGGATGGAATATTGAAAGCCTCAAAAAGGCGAATGATTGCTATTGATCGACCTGGAGCAGGAGGAACACCGCCATGTGAGCGAATAGACCGCATGCAACTTTCAACCAAGCACACGTTAAGCGTTTTGGAGTATATGCACATTGATCGAGTGGACATTCTGACACATTCAGCAGGATGGTTTTATGCCTTGAACTTGATCGCAACATCACCCAGCCTCTTCCTTCGTAAAAACGAAACATCAAAATGGATATTCTGTTCACCTTTTGTGCCCACGCACATATCTGGAAGCTTTCTTTCCATTCTTCCAAAAAGTGTGATTGGACTAGCACCACAGGCTGGCAGTGCTCTAAACTATATTGGAAAGGCGTTCAGCTGGTCAGTGACGTCTTTGCCGGACAATGCAATTTGGTCAAAAGATGAAGAGATGGAGGAGTTGATGAGAGGAGGCAAAAAGACCGCTGAGCAAGAACAAAAGGATGACAAGAAACGTGAACAGAGCAAGATCAAATACTCAAAGGCACGCTTCCATCCTCCCTATCGTACTCACCGGTTCTTTGGGCTAGACCAGTGGAAGAAAGAAGCTGCTGTAGCCAGAACCAAGAAACCCTCTCTGTCTTTGTCCGACGTTCGACCGAAACATCCACGAACACAGCGAGCGATGAAGAGCGCCGATGAATTATGGATGGATTACATGACGATGGAAAACGTGATGAAAGCCGCAACAGAAGATTTTCTCTTCTGTCTGGGCAAAGTCGAAGGAATGAACAACGAAACCCTTGACCAATGGACGCAAGAAAAACTATCCGCTATTGCGCAACTTGTCAAAGACACACAAGGATCATCGATCGAAAGTAGAACTGTTTGGGGTGACAATGATCTCTTTATCCCTCAAAAGGGCAAAACCTACCTCGCAAAGATTCTCGAAAAAGAGTGGTCCTCAAAAGAAGGTATTACAGTGAAAGATTGGATCATGGCAGAGAGCGGACATGATTCACCATTGGCATCCAGAGAAGTAGTAGAAGCAATGATTGAATTTTATGGGGAATGATACAGATGATAGAAGGGTATAGATTCAATGTATAATACAATAACATTAAGCATCACAATTTCGTAATCTCGGAGGCATATATTCCAGTCCCAATATCTCAAAGATATCCTCTTCCTGTGGCGTACTTAACGGAGCACGTTCGCCTTGATGAACAAGTCCGGTCGAGTGAAAAGTGAACCCTTTGTGTTTAGCCAATAATCTTATATCTCTTTCGAATTGTCGACTTCCTGTCCATCCAAGCACCGCAGCTCCATGCGTTTCCCAAGGGCCAAGGATGATATCCACACGACGATAACGAGGAACAGGGATTGTTTCGGATCTCGAAGGCATAACCACAACTTCTGCCAATTCTAATCGGCTATAAGTCATCTCATATACGGAAGCAGGTGTGCTCACATTCACAACATGAGTGATGAATGCTTTTCGTTTCAACGTTTTCAACAATTTGTCCATCACTGCGATTTGCTCTTTCACATTCCAAATTCCTCGATCGGGCTCTTCACCTCGCTGCAGAGGGCGTGGTAGACTGATGACGATATCCACATCATTTGATTCTGGCTTTCCCCTGCGATAACCTCCACAGATGACATACGTTGAACCAGGAGCAATGATGTTGAGTTCATCAAAGATGGTCTTTGAAATCTCTTCCACTTCCAAGCGTGGTATTGTGCGTTGCAGATCCGGTAAGATTCGCAAGCATTCGTCAATATGTAGATGAACGCCCAAACTTCCTCCCATTTTTATCACATCGTCCATCGATCTTGCGCCTCCGCTGTAATACTCCCTTGCACGTTTTGGGCCTACACCGTATAATTGCATAAACCTGCTCATTGTCTGAAATGCAGAATCTTTGCGGATTGCATCCACTTCAGCAATCCGACCTTCTTCGTAATATTGCACAATCAATTTTGCAATCTTTGGTCCAACTCCTTTCAAGTTCTTTGCGTTGGATGGATTCGGCTGCAGAGAGTGGGGATATGCCTTGATTGCACTGATTGCACGCCCGTATGCTGTAGCATTCATCTCTTGTTTCCCAGCAAGGATGCGTTGAAGACGCAACACTTCCAATTCGTCCACCAATGCTTGATTTTGTTTTGATTTGAGAGGAGATGGTCTCATGCATGCATAATCCACATTCTTCCAATCCGGATCACCCTCGCAATCTTCTTGTTGAGTGGACTGAAAGGGAGTAAGAGCCCGCTGAAAGGTGGCATCATCTTCATCCTCTGTTTGTGAGTCGTCATCATTTGTCTCTTCCTGCAACGTTTGGCTATCTGAATGTGGAGGAGAAGGTGGCGGGATAGCCTTCTTTTCCTCTGTCTGCTCATGCTCAGATGATCCCACAACATCTAGACCAAGCTCTTCTCTTTGTTTCTCTAGTTCAGGACTGGCACCACCCATAATCTTGTATGGCTCGTACGCCAACAATAATCGTTCACGAGCTGAGTCGTGAAGCCAAGAAGTATGCAAAACTGGCACATGTCGATTGATCACGTCCGCATTCAAATAACGTTCGATCCTACGTGGAGCACGCATTGATGTCAAGATGACATTTGCAAATGTCATATTTGCATTCATTCCGCCCAAATCGACCACCAAAGATCGTAAAGCATCATGCTCTTCCGTTGTTAATTTATCGGCCAAGATAAAAATTCGTGTTGCACTGCTCAATACCCGCTGTCGTTTAGGGGAAGATTCATTTTGTGGTTCGATCAGGTCGATTCGTTTTTGCTTCCCTTTCCTATTTGGAGAAGGTGTGCTTTGATGCACAGAGTTCGACATGGCCGAAGCCAAGGTCAACCACCAAGTCTGAAGATGTTGAGGTAGGGACAGTGTATGCATTTTACGCGTGATGGACATCAAGCCCTTCTTTCTATTATGTCAAACGCGTGTGTATGCACTCTTTATTTAAACCAACACCATCACAAGTAGCATTCATTGGATCACATTAACACAAGCAGTAAAGACAGAATCGCATATTCAAAAAAAGATGGGCATATGAGAACTCTTATGGCGTTGCACATCCAAAAGAGACAGCTTTCGCACTCTTGAATGTTGAAATGATTGTCTCAATCGATCCATAAAGCCCTAATCCGGCCATAGCTACGGAAGCCAAACCAAATACCAAAAATATAGCTTTGCTATAGACATTCCCACTAAAAATGGCACGATGCCAACGGGACCATTGTCTCCAAGTATCAACTCGATGATCATATTTGCCTAATGCGCCAGGTGCATAGGGATGATCGCCTTTCATCGCATCAACTTGCATATCAAAGCTCAATTTCATCAAAAATGGGAATGAAAAGGAAAATTGAAGAACGGTTGCCGCACCAATCACCCCGGCCACTGTTCCCACTTGTGGAATGGATGCAGCAATGACATATGCAGTTCCCCAAACAAAGACATTGCCGATCATATAGTATGGATATGCTTGACGTGACATCAATCGAGGTCCTTTGAACCAAGTACGCACAACAAGGTGGTATACCTCTTTTTGGACAATATTTCCGTACAGCAAGGCTGCCACCACGCCACCATATGTTGCAATCGCATTTCCAACAGTTTGATATGCATACTTGCTTACACCGTAGTAGAACAACGGTTGGGTGAATTGACCTTGACGAGCATATATAACAATGCCAACGAGGATATAGAAGATGACAATCAACGTTTCCGCAACAAAGTAGGATTTATAGAAATCCCAAGGCTTTCGCATTTCTGCACAAAAGTTGGGAAAAAGCATACTTCCTCCAAAGGCATACACCATATTCATGATTCCATTCACCTTGGACGCTAACGGAAGCGAAACGAATGCGACCGCAGAAACGGGTCCTTTTGGGATACCGGCCGATGCCATTGCTTGCTCGTAATTTGGCGGTGAGATGTAGATGAATGTTGTAGCAATGATGACCGCAATAAAGGACAAAGCCAAGTTGATTGAGCTCAGTTTACCGATCGGCTTCAATGATCGAATGAAGGAAAACGAGAGCGTGATGAACATGAAGATCATGATCATGACAGAGAAGCAAACGTGATTGCGGGGGGAACCATCTTTGTTTGTTTGGGACCCATCAATGATCAAGCCAATATTTTGTGCACTCGTAAGTAATAACAATCCAGAGGAGAACAAGAGTTGGATGATGAAAAAGATGTCAACAATTGTCTTACCCCAAAATCCCCAAATCCGATATACAATATCGCCAAATGTACGCACAGGAATCTTGTCGGAATCGATTCGCAAATAAAGGACGTTGAGAATGCAACCAGTAAGGTATGCCATCACGCCCATGACCAGAAACACGATTGTGCCGGGTACAAAGCCAACTTGCGAATAGACGTACGGTGCTTGAAATGGACCTAAAATGTCGGTTGTGAGAAGGAAAATACACCTCAACCACGTCACTCGTCGGAGCAACAGTCTGTCGATTATATCTTGGTTGGCTTCTGCTGTAGTGTCAATGTCTTCCGCTCGGATGACGCTCGTGTACGCTTGTGGTACTGTGGTTTGACCGTCTTTTGGCTCATCCGTTCTGATAGATGGTGATTTGGGACCCCAAATGAAACGCAAAGGGCTGCTTCGGATTGTAGGACCTGGTGGTTGCTCAATCACTTCCGCACGAACAGGTTCAGCGATTGCCACTGGTCGGTTGTTCCAGCCAATCAACTTGAACAAAAGGCCTTTGGTATTCACAGAACCACCTCCTGCCATTGCTTCGATTGGATGGGTGTCGTTTGAATGATATTGCTGATCGGCATAAAATACACAATCGTCCAAAGTGACGTCTTTCGCTCGTGTCCAAACCGATGATGGCATCACTTGTTCCTCCCTAGCTTCGTAGATTGGGGGCGCAGCATTCTCGCAAACGGGCACTGTGTTAGAAGCCTCTTGATCGGATTGCTGCGGGGTATGTTGGTTCTTTTCACTCATTCTAGGTAGCAGTCAATGAAACGATGATGATGATGGTTTTTCCCTAACTTTACGGAAGCGATGGATTCAGTACAATAATGAACAACCCGGAGTGCTACAGCCCTACCAGCCGCACTGGTGGTGTTGTGCAATTTTTCCATCGAACATTTTTAACGGCGCCGGTATTTGGGTCTCGTCCCACAACTCGTGAGAGGGTCATGTGCTTTAGAGGCGTCAAGAGTTGTGTGGAAAAGTGCTTTAAGGTAACGAATATCAGTATCTAATCTTGCGCAATTTGGAACCTTTCCTTGTCGATCTAAGACGCTGTTGAGGCCAACTCTTCATCTTTGATTCTTGATCCACCACGGATTCTAGTCCTAATCGCTTTGCCTTTCTTTGTTGCATTCTCAGCGTTGATCGAAATTTAGAGTATTCATCTACGTGATTTGCTCGCCAAGATGAAATTTTTTGGCGGAGAGATTTGTCCAAGTCATACCTTTCAAAATTCATATCTACTTCGCGAGACAATTTGAAGTTTTGCTCTTTCGTGGACATGGCGCTTGAATGTATAAAAGTGCTAATTAGCACGAAAGTGAACAGCACGAGCATGTTGAAGATCATTGTCGGATGTGGTGAAGGATGGGAGAGAGGTATCTGGGGCCTCACCAAGAACTCGGAACAAGCTGTGGATGCCCCGATCTGAGCTACAGTGTAAATTTGTAATCTATAGCTACGAAATTGTATAAGGCGAAATACAGGCTAAATACAGATACAGCTGCAAATCAACAAATGAGGCCTATACGATCAGTCAAAGTGATCATTGGAGACCATCTTGACCGGGCGGCATGGTCTGTTGCGCATTATCTGGCAAAGCACCTTTTTTATAGATTTTCCACATTTCTTCATGCGCTTCAACTGCTTTCTTACGTGGTTCCTCAGCCTCATTCCTCATGACTTGTGCCAATCCTTCGTGTTCTCGAGCGAGGAGTACAGACGTTGTTGTTAACTCACGTACTCTATTTAAATTTTCCTCTCTTTCTTGGAACTTCTCATGGTAGCTCTTATGATCATATTTACCGCCCGGCAAAGTTCCTCTTGGAAGACCGTACTTGATATTTAAACGTCTTGAACTACTACGGATTCGACTATTTTGCAACATATCGCGATACTTATCACCAGTAGAGGGGTCATTTTTCAGAAAAGCATATCGGCCTTTCATATATTTCAAACGTTCTTCATACTTTGGGTCTCCGAAATTCTTTTGTAGGTTGTATCTTTCACGTTTTCTTGCTTGAGCTCGAATGTTGCTCTCGGATTTATTTTTCATCGGTGGAGATGCGCATACCTCTTGCAAGAAAAGAATTGCAAACAGGAGAAGCCCAAAGATCATTTTAAGCATTCCGATGCTCATTGGTCTTGGGTGATGCTAGTGAGGAAGAGGGGAAAGCTATGCTTTTCAGGCTGGCAACCCCATATGCATAGCCTCATATGCAAAAAAGGGCAGAATGCATTCAGGCCAAGGGGCTTGTTTCCCATTCGTGTGTACGAAGTGGTAACTTTGCAATATGTTGTTATGATTTCGCTTAAATGCAAATGGTTTCCATGCTATGAACAGCATTCGAAGGCACCTGGTCACTAGAAGCTTTTTTAATCACCGTAATTGTTTCAACTAGAAGAGTGATACATATCCGTGCAAGGTTTGATCAGATGAACTAAGCTCTTCCAGTTCATAGCCCCGATTTGCATAACCAGCACTGCTATTTGAAATAGAACTACAACAGAATTGAAAGACATCAATTTTGAAAAGAAAAAAAGGTCATGAAGAGCGTACAAGTAGATATTCAATGATTATGAATAGATTCACAGGCATTGACGTGAACAGCCTTAATGGCATAGAGAGCGAGCAGGCAGCACTTTATGTTTTCCGATAACCTTCTTCTTCACTCATCCTGGAAGTCCTTTCTGCCTTGGATGATCACATCACGATAAGGGCTTGCTGTATAGTGAACGACGATGCTATGACCTTGTAAATCATCTCGGGGTAATGGTGTCGCTTTGACCATAACCTGAAGCAACTGAATGATCGCAAACGAAAAGAAAACAATATTTTTCAACATGCTCTATGCTTTGTTACGAACACGGTTGGTGGCTTGAGTGACGAGTAAGAGCGGTCATAGAGCAAAAAGAGAATGAATGAGCAATTTATACCTGCATCTTTCGCAAAAGTTTGGATGTGTGAGCGCTTCTCGGGGCCTCACACACTCTTTATTACAGCCTCAAAAATATTCTGCACATGAATTAGCTCAATTCAGTCTAGATGCTGTTGATGGTGAATGCCTAGATATTGCTGTGTCATCGCGGCGTCGAGCTGAACTGGCCACCTGTGACTGAAAACGCAAATACAAGACTAACTTGTCTTTTGGTTCTGCCAAATCATCGTGTACGCTGCAATATTTGCCCCAATTACAGTCATAACAGAAAGGCCCGCATGCCCAATTCCTCCTTCTCGATACGGACATGCTCCCGATCGCATACCTCACTTCAAATATTATTTTCCGTATAATCATTTATATCATAGTCTCTCTATTTTGCTTTGTTGCAGCAATGGATTCGAAGCTTGAGCGCTATAAGAAAAATCTTCGTCTAGAGCCGAGAAAAGAAACCGTTCATTGGAGGCACTTACTCAAGAACCCAAGTCTGGTAGAAGGTGAACCAAAGCATAGACAATTTACGAATACGGACAATATTTCAAAAGATTCTAACAAATATCTCAATATCCGTGCTGAAAAATTTCGTCAACCTATACGAAACCTCGAGAGATACACTCAAGCAGAGTTGCCACCCGGACATACCCGAAGGCAAGATTTTATCCCTTTGCGAAATTCTCGAGACAGAACTGAAGATCGGGTAAACGGTGCACTCGTTGCAGGAATCTTATTGTCAAAAGAGAACAAGGGAGTCAGCCACTCTTTGTTACATTATGCGCAAGAGCAACGTCTCAAATCTTTAGACAAACAAAAGTCAATGAATGATATAGTGAATCAAGGTCAAATTAATGAAGATATTCTACGTCAGAATAAACATGAACTTGGAAGAGCAAATAAAGATGAACACGATGAACGAATTAGTAGATTAAATGAGGCTTACAATCGAAGGATGAGGCTTACGATAGAAAGAAAGAAAGAAAGTAGGAAAAGGAAAAGGCAATAATTATATCAATCAAAGTGCCGCAAGTCAGATCTTCCATCGATCAATTACCCGTCCCCTTTTTAATTTATCTTCTTCAAAATTCTCCGGCCTACTGAAGAGTGATGCAAAGACTGCACAAACAATGAAAAGGCTGTGTAGATCGAGGGCGTAGGTCTTTTTGCCCCGTCGAGCTATACAAACGCAAAGTAAGTATGACTGTTGACCTTTCAAGAGCATATGCAGATAATGATATCCATCTTTCCCTAAATCACAACTTTGTTTTGCAAAATCAGGATGCATTACGTATGCTTTCTCTGGATTTCCGTGTGTGTTTATCTTTTGGGTTTTACCGTAGCTGCAACCAGCGATCATTGGACAAACTACGTTCCTAATAGAAATGAAAATGAGCATGACCCAGCAGACGCTCCACCAAATGATTCACATAGAATTTTGAATAGGAAAAGCAAAGTTTCGAAAATATTTCGTCACGACTATATCCGTTCAGAAATACCTCTCGGCCATACCAGTCGGAAAGAGTTTATTCCACTTTTAGATCAACGTGATTATCATGAAAGAACGTTAATACAGCCTTGATTGCTGGCTTAGCCCTTCACAGGGATAAGAATAAAAGTGGAGTTAGCAAAGCATTGATGAATCATGCGTATGAGCATCGTTTGAAATCACAAGAAATACAAAGGCAAATGGATCACATCAAATCACAAGGCCATATTAATGAATTTCAGGCAAGTATGGATCTTCATCATCTGAATAAAGAAACACATCACAGAGTAGGTCGCACCAACCCTGATTATAAGCAACGAAGGCGACAACAGTATGAGCGAAAGCGTGCAAGAGAACAAGCTTATATCCGCCACATAAGAGAAGGCAAGAAACGTAAATCCAAGGAACCAGACCAGGACATACCTCCTTCACAAAGCAACAACTAAGCTGAGAGCATGGGTATGATGACAAGCCAAAGGGCCCTTGGCTTGAAAGATAAAAATACCCAAGAGTTGCATAGCCACTGTGAACATTGTAGGATTCTTTTATCAGATGACGTTTTGTGTACACATTCAATGCAAATTCGACATCAGTAGAAATTTCGTACTTTCATCCTATAGAGTGTCCTGATGTTTTAAATGGCTGAATCATCTAAAGTGAAGATAGACACAAAGGTTACATAACCACTGTGAACAATGTAGGGTTCTTTTATCAGATGACGTTTTGTGTACACATTCAATGCAAATTCGACATCAAGAAAAGTTTCGAACTTTCATCCTGCAGTGTGCCCCGTTGTTACTTCGATTACATGGCTGAATCATCTGCATCGAACCATTTTTTGGGGTTTCATTGCGATTACACAAGTCACCGCTTAGATGATTGATGCAATCTTCTTCATGAAAACATAACTGCATCGGTTGCCTATTTAAGAGCGTTAGAATTGAAAATATGAATTCCCCAATTCTCATCAGTCAAAGGAATCCTACACCATGAAGTCGATCACATTTGCTCTTTTCATATTTTACCTCTTTGACCTACTGTTGTATGTTCAAGCATCTTCTGAATACAGTTTAGTAAAGAGAGGTGGAGGTCAAAGCTCTCGACGCTCTCGACGTAAGTCGGAAGAGAGCTCTGTTCGAGACCAAACTGCCGCACTTCCTGGTTCTTCTAGTCTAGAATGGGGTGATCCGGATGCAATGGCTAGAATGCCATCTGACCCTAGTGAATCATTAAGCCCAAGTTCAAAAAGACGAGTAAATAGAAGAAAGGCTTGGAGTGGTTCAAGTTACGAAACAAGTTCAGGTTCAACCGATCAAATGTCAATTGCACGCGGAGAATTGTCGAAAAAAGGGGACACGGCAATGTCTAGATATCGTGCTAAGAATGAAGTTGGAACGAGTGGAAATCCTCCTGGAATGCCAAACGATTGGTCGAAAGGTGGAATTGTAACTGCTCAGGATGGAACTCAGCAAAGATATATTCATATCCAAAAACCAATTAAGCATAAGAGTAATTCGGTTTCAGAACAATTATATTCTGGAAAGTATCCACGTAAAGCAACTTATCCTAATCGAAACACAAAAGTGTGGCGATTAAAAAAAAGTAACGATGATGCAGCTCAATTGTTCACTGGTCGTAGCAATCGAAATCGCTTGAAAGATATTTATGGTCCAGAAACAACCTATGAAGATCCTAATCGACTACACTTTGGTAGACAAAGCATGGATTCCGCTAGAGCTACAAACCAATTAAAGACTGCTATGGACCTTCATACACGTCAAGATCATGTCTTTAAGAAAAAAAGAAGAGCTTCAGAAACGCCGGAAGAACGTAAAGCTCGGAAATGCAAGAAAAAACCGTCCGGTCAAATTGTTTGTGAGCGTTGAAGAGATAATCCTGGAGTACGTTTTTGCTGGTCAAAATTGTTGCTCAAGAGATTCGTTGTGGTGGTACGTGTTTCGATTGACTGCTGTCCCAAATCCAGTAAATTAAATCTAGTGACCGCTATTTCCCATTACCAACCTATTTCTTTTCTCAATACATGTCGATTTATTTTTCCCTGTGAAGAACGATGCTGTGATTGCAATGTTGCATATAATTGTGTGAGAAAACGATCAGAGCTATTCATAAGATCATTCTGCAGGCATGCATAATGTATTCAAACTTTACAACTCAAAACCCTGTTTGACAATGTGTTGGCATATGTGCCAACGGTTTTAGTGTGGGCGTTAGGGTAGGCGTTGACGTGTGTGGCTTTTTAATACAAAGGGTTGCATGCAAATGTAGAAATGAATTCAAAGGGGTTGTGTGCTGTACATGCAATAAATTAATTTTAGATCGTTGGAAGATACATGTATGCATACCATTGGCCCCTGCTCATAAGAGTTGTACTCATTGATGAAACATCTTTATCTTTCTTTGCTTTATCTCCTCATTGCATCACCACCATCTCTCACTCAACCCAACATGGCTTCCGGTGCTAACCTTCACGAATTCGAAAAACCACATGCGTATACTATGCTTCAAGGCTTTGAATGGTATACGCCTGGAGGTGGACAACATTATGATTGGTTGGGAAATAACGCAAAACGGTTCGCAGATATGGGCATTACTGCAATTTGGTTACCACCTCCATGCAAAACTAGCAATCGAGAAAGTACAGGATATGATATTTATGATTTGTGGGACTTAGGTGAATTCGTTCATCCTCGTGATAAAGATGAACAACAACCAGCCGAAAGAACAAAGTATGGTACACGTGCTCAATTGGAAAATGCAATGAACGCATTGAGGGATAATGGAATTGCGATCTACATTGATGCAGTCTTGAATCATAAGATGGGTGCAGACGGATTGGAAACATTCAAGGTGAAAGAAGTTGATCCAGAAGACCGAAACAAGGTTATCAGTGATTCACACGATATAGAAGGTTGGACAAAATTTACCTTTCCCAGTAGAGGGGACAAATATTCCGATTTTAAATGGAATTTTGATCATTTTACAGGTGTTGATTGGGACCAAAAAACCCAACAAAAGGGCATTTTCAGGATCGAAGGAGAAAATAAAGGATGGGCACAAGACGTCGATAAAGAAAATGCAAATTATGATTATCTGATGGGAGCAGATATTGAACATGCCCACCCAGCTGTAAAAGAAGATTTGTTGAACTGGGGTGCATGGATGGTTCGCACTTTCCCAATCAATGGTTTCCGTTTCGATGCAGTCAAGCATATATCGAGAGAATTCGTCCATGATTTCGTTAAACGAATTCGAGAAGAAGCAAGCAACAAACGTAAAGATGACGGAAGACCTGAGATTAACGAAGATCTTGGCCCTGTCGCATTTGGCGTTGGAGAATTTTGGAAAGATTCAGTGGATTCTTGTTTACAATATTTATCAAATTTTGGTGATGAACAATTTTCACTCTTTGACGCACCTCTTCATTATAACTTCAAAGAAGCAGGAGATACAGGAAAAGAATTCGACATGCGTACAATCTTTGATGGCACAATCGTTCAACAACGCCCTATCGATGCTGTCACTCTTGTTGAAAATCATGATACCCAACGTGGACAAGCATTGGAATCAAGTGTCAGCCCGCAATTCAAACCGCTTGCATATGCAATAATTCTTTTGCGCAGAGAAGGTTATCCCTGTGTATTCTTGGGTGATCTGGACGGATGTCATGGTGGTGATGGTGATGCGAGCAAAGAAGGAAAAGAAGTCGTTTTTCCTCCAGTGAATGATTTGGATAAATTGATTAAAGCTCGTAAATGTTTTGCTTTTGGAGACCAACATGATTATCTCGATCATCCTCAATGCATTGGTTGGGTACGAACAGGAGACGGGGAAGGAAAGACTGGTTGTGCAGTAGTGTTGTGCAATGGGGAAGATGATGGAGAGAAACGTATGCAAGTGCATGGTGCTTCTGAAGGTGATATTTTTGTTGACGCATTAGGATGGCGTCAAGATGAGATCAAGATCGGACAGGATGGTTGGGCCACATTTAAGGCACATAACCAATCCGTCAGTGTCTGGGTCCCTAAAGAAGCCAAAGAGAAATGCGGTCTGTAGAGCATAGATGGTGTATAGAAACTCTGTTTATAGATTTAATACCTTTGCTTGAAATTTTGTTATCTACCTAACTCTTGACGGGCTGGTGTGATTGAGCTAGACGTCGTTGGTAGGGTATAAGGAAGGTCATGTGCTATTTTGCTTGTAGAAAAAGGCATAAGCTACTGGTCTAGACTAGTCAGGCAAGGGTGATGATGGCAGACTAGTCATCTTTGATTCTTTATCGTCTGGTATTTCCCTGATCGAGATGGTATAACAGGCTGAACATTTGGATTTTCGTCATATGATTTTCGTCATTTGGATTTTCGTCATTTGCATTATCGTGTAATTCCGCCTATTTCAGATAAGAATTTGGCTTTGCGGAATTCTTGGCTTCCCGGGCGTAATCATCATTGCGGTTGAGGAGCAACGGCGCAACAAAGTAGGATTGCGTCTGCCTTCCTCTTTGCCTCGATCATCATCAAACAACTGCGATAGGACAGAAAGAGAGATTATTACGCCAGCCTGTGGCGTTCGTGCTAAGAATCATCACCCAATCTGGCACCCTTTCGCCTAAACATTCGCAAGGCGTATTCAAAGGGCGTTTTGTAGACAGGAACGTAAGAAAAGGTTGTCGAACTCCAAGTCGTTTCAGCTGGTGTATCATTTATACAAAAGCATGTTTGTTCAAAGTTTATATAAAGGACATGGAAAATACAGATTTTCATTTGTCGTCCTCATCCTTCACTTCAACTTTTATCCTGATTGCGTTGATCGCTAATCTCTTCCTACTTTTCATCAATCTTAACATTTTTCCGAATTTATTCGACCATTTTAAGACTTCCGCAAGATGTTTCCATCCTCATACAAATTTTTCACGGCTTTTATCATCATCACCATTTTTCAAACTGTAAATGGTACTCCAATTCCTGGTCCTGCTCCTAATCCTGATCCATCACCTGCGCAGCCTCTTCAAGATCCAAATCATGATTGCAAACTTTGGGGAACGTGAGTGTTCGTTAATTTCATCTAGGATTATGCGTAATGGACTGAAACTTCTTTCTTTCCCTTAGTAAAACATGTGCTCGTCTTTGCTCAAGAGGTATGAGCGTGGTGGATGATGCAGCTTGTGGTGGTTGTGAGTTCGATGAAATGTTAATGATTATCGTCTGATTCTTTCCCTTACTGACAAGAAGATTCATTCTTTTTTCTTTCTTTAATAGGCAATGGACTTAGATGCTGCCAAGGTCCCCTTCAATGCCAACAATATTATTGATCACGAGCTGATAACCCCTCCGCTTCATTGACCATGACCTCTTTCGCTCTTCAATACATCTCCACAATCTATCCTTCACCTTTATTCGATTGCTGTATGCTTTGAAAGAAATATATTGCAATTGTTCATTGTCTATGAATGATAGTGTATAGAGTCTGAGAGCAGAAAAGAGAAGGAATGAATATGGCGGGGGAGAGTGCTGACGTGCGTATTGGAGGTTTTATTGACAATGACTTGCCGAAGAAGAAGAAAAAGAAATAATGAAGTAATGCTGTTGTCGTAGAAAAGGTTGAATAAGTAGAGTTAAATACATTGCACTTACGGGATCATAATTGATTTCGTATGCGGGTGTTGCTAAAGGAGAGACAAGATATTTGTTTGATGCCATTGATGGGATTGATCTTTGTGAACGTTGATCGCAAGGGACATGAGGCTTGGAAGCTAGGCGAAAAGAAGCCAAAAAGAAAGGCGGTCTATTGAGTATAGAAGGTGCATAGAGATTCTGTTTATAGGTCCGATACCTTTACTGTGATTGAGCTAAACGTCATTGCTGAGTCATAGCGAAGGTCATACATTTTTTTTTTGGTAAGATAAAGGCATAAGTTACCGGTGCAGACTAGCCAGGCAACGGTGATGATGGGCAAATAGCTATCTTTGATTCTTTACCGTCTGATTTCCCTGGTGAAAATGGTATAATAGGCTGAATCTTTGAATTTTCGTCATTCGTATCATCACTCTATTCCGCCTATTTCGCTATTTCGAATAAGAATTTAGCTTTGCAGAATTTTTGGCGTCCCCAGCGTAATCATCAATATGGTTGAGGAGCAAGGGCGCAACATATTAGAATGGTGCCTGCCTTCCTCTTTAGCCTCGATCATTCCTTTTAATAGAAATACGATAGGATTAACAAAGAGACATGATTTCCATTTTCTACTCTATTTACGCCAACCTTTTTCGTACATGCCTCGCCACCCAGTTCGGCACTTTTTCGCCTAAATACCATTAAGGCGTATTCAGAGGGCGTATCGTAGACAGGAACGCACGGTAAGGCTAACGAGCTGCAGGACTGCTTGATAGAGGCTATCTAGCTGCGGGTTGTTTATGTGTTGTATCGTTTAGAAAAGAAAGCCTTCCTGAATGTTTATATACAGGACAAGGAAACTAAAGATTTTCTTTTGTCATCCTTATCCTTCACTTCAACTTTCACTCTGATTGCGTTGATCGCTAATCTCCTCCTACGTCTCATCAATCACACCATATTTTCCAAGTTCATTTCACTTTCCTACAAGATGTTTTCATCCTCATACAAGTTTTTCACAGTTATCTTCATCATTACCATTTTTCAAACCATAAATGGTACACCAATTCCCGGTCCTGCTCCTAACCCTCATCCATCACCAGCGCAACCTCTTCCAGATCCAAACCGTGATTGCAAACTTTGGGCAACGTAAGTGTTTATTGATTTTATCTATGATTGAGCAAAATCGACTAAATTTTTTTTCTATTAGTGCATCATGTGCTCGTCTTTGCTCAAGAGGTACGAACGTAGCAAAAGATTCATATTGTGGTGGCTGTGAGTTTGATGAAATATTAATCATCCTTGTCTGTTTCTCGCCTTTGCTGACAAGAAGAATCGTGCCCTTTTCGTCGTTGATAGGCAAGGGACTTAGATGCTGTGCAGGTCCTATGACATGTCATAGGACTTAGAGGCTGTACTGGACCCCTTACATGTCAAAGATATTGGTGACCCATTGACCATGACCCTCTTCACTCTTCAATACATCCCAATTTTCTATCCTTCTATCTTCATTCGATTGCTGTATGCTTTGAAAGAAATATATTGCAATTGTCCGTTGTTTCTGAATGATTTATATATAAAGTATGAGAGCAGAAAAGAGAAAGAATGACTTATTCGTATTAATATGGCTGGGGAGAATGCTGACGTGCGTATTGGGGGTTTTGTTGATAATGAGTTGCAGAAGAAGAAGAAATGGAGTAATGCTGTTGTTGTGGAGAAGGTTGAATGAGTGGAGTTGAATACATTGCACTTGCAGAATCATGATTGATTTCGTATGCAGGTGTTGCTAAAGGAGAGTTAAGATATTTGTTTGATGCCATTGATGGGACTGATCTTTGTGAACGTTGATCGTATGGGACATGAGCTGCTTGGAAGCTAGGCGATGACATTGGAATCGGCGAAGACATTGGAATATCTTGTTGACCAACACTTCTATATTGTGAGTTTACACGACCGTTGGTATAGCCCGATACGCCGTAAATATGTCCTGATTCATCCTTGTCATTAATGGTAGCCTGTTTTGCTGTTGCATTACGTCTTCTACGACGACGGCAAAGGAAGATGGCCAACAGTAAGAGCAACAAGACCACGAACCCACCAGCAGCTCCACCAACAATTTCACCAATGGTAGTGCCATTTGACATTCCTTTTGGCATAGCATTAAAGTTGGGATTGTTAACTGCAGCAGCTAATTGACCTGGTTGAGCGGCAGAAGTGATAGTATTGGGAATTGCAGCCGCTCCGAAAGTTTGCGTACCGATTTGAATGTACTTTCCGATAGATGGAACACCATCAATCGTAACGAACAAAAGAGCTGGACCTTGAACGAATATATTTTGATTGCTTGGCATTGGCATAACTTCGTACGAGACTGAGCCATCATTGTTGACTGTATAAGTGTGTTGCAATTGCAAGCTTCTTTGACCCATATTCAATGCGTGGGTAGAGAAACCAGGTCTGATAACCATGACACGAGTATTGTTTGCTTTGTAGTTGGCCGAGCTACCCATGAAGTTGGCATCCATAGTGAAATTCCAAGTGTTTCCTCCGTACATCAAATTATTTGGCAATCCGGCTGGTTGTGGACGTGTCTCGAAAAAGTATGGTGGGTACCATTTCTCAATATCATAAGTGGTATTGAAGGCCTCAGGGGTCATACCTAAAGGCATATCTAGTGAAACATCTTGATGCGGGTTTGAGCCACCGATCAAAACTGATCCATCAGGTACCAAGATTGCACTTGAATGATACAATCGTGCAATTTTTGAAGACCCAAAGCCTTCACGGGTTAAACGTTGTCCTAAAGGCTTGAGTGGATCATACATAACAGGTTGATACGTTGGAGTTTGCGAGCAACCTTCTTGATTGATACCATTAACGTTATTCCATGTTGCGTTTGTATATCCTGCCGTACCATTTTGTGCACCATTGACGATCACCAGTTGACCAGTTGGTAAATGAATGAATTGTCCCATCGATCTTGGTTCGGGTAATTGTTCTTCACGGACATAGGAGTGTGAAACCAAATTACCATTTGCGTCTTCTGGTGTGATTGATGAACAATCAGTTTGTGCTTGCACTTGGTACATGTTTGTTCCTGGTCCACCGTAGAATCCCCAGTCTGCATCAGTTGGCATTACTGAACCACCACAGAACAAGATTGTTGGTGTGTAGTTGTTGGCAGGTGTGAGAGGAAGCATTGCAGCTGCACCAGAAGCAGGATAAACACGTACAATTTCATCTGGCATATTGTCCAACCAGTTGTATGCAGTTGCTTCGTTATTCTCGTATGGGTTCCATAATGCTGTACTGTAATTTGCTTGGATGAACAATTTCCCACTTGGCATGAGATATGTATGAGGATACATGTTTAATCCAGATGTAACGTTCATGAATGTCATGATCGTTGGTGTGTTGTTCTTTGATGGAAAGAATTCCCAAGTTGGCGTTGCACCCCCTCCTTCGTATGCTGGATCAACATTAGGCAAGTTTCTATTGATGTAACCACCACCCGTTGCACCACCGATCAGGAGTGCTGAACCATCAGTCATGACTTCCATACCAGGGTACCAACGTGTTGCAGTCATTGCATTTTGTTCGTCAATCCAATTCAAATTTGCAGCGTTTGATTGTGGATCCATTATACGAATTGCTTTACCTCCGTCAAAATCTTTATAAGGACCATTTTGAGGAAGTACTGTTCCCAAAGTACCACCACCGTAACCGATAGCATGGTTTCCACCGGCAACGATCCAAGTACCATTTCCTAATTGAGCTCCTGCAGCGCAGAAAGGATTTGTAGTCATTTCTAATGCACGAACGGTATAATCTTGCAAGCTCATAACTGTTCCCCAAACAGGTTGACCGTTGTTGAGCTTTGTTGGATTGTTTTCAGTCTTATCAATAATCATCACATTATCTTGATCAATCAATGCCATCATCATTGCTGATGCTTGTGAATTAGGTTGAACGACTTCAAATTGACCCGCAGCTTTTTGAGCATTGGCAGAGATCGTGGCCAGGCTAAGCGCCATTGCCATCGAAGCGGCCAATTTTGTAAACTTTGACAAAATCATCTTGTCGAAAGTATGAGGTAGGTGAGATAGGGAGAGTTGGATGATGGAGTGGAAAAGAAATTGTTTGCGCATTCACAATCTATTTGTGTAACATTAATGATTCCTAACAATTGGCCCCTTTCTACCATTTGTTGTGGCGGACAGATTGCTGTTGAACCCGCATTTAGTGTTCAGAATTCTCTACGGTATACTAAATTACAGATTATAGAAGCCGAATTGCATACAAAAGGCACATGGTTTTTTTCTCGGTTGACAGGAATGATTAAAGGTAAAGTGCATTTTGAGTGCCGTTTGTCGGCATTTCTTGCATACGAAAAACTCAAACGCCAAACAAGGGGTGCATGCAAAACCGGCGGGAGGCGTGTGTGTTACATTTATAGAATCGACTAAAGAGAAGAGAAGCAAGCAATTGTTGCCGAAAACCGTTGACGCGCGCAAAAAAGAAAGATCGACAAAGAATACGCCGCACTTCCGATCACACGGCACGCTGATCTAAGCAAAAAAGAAAGGAGATGAATATTTGCTTACTAAGTTCAAAGCAGCCAATACAGCTAAGCGCTAAAAAGGATTCAGAAGACGAAGATTTAGTCAGATAGGTAAACAGTGAATCTCAAACGGCACAAATCATACGCACCAGCAACCTTTGGGGCATGCCATACAGACTCTAAGACCGTAAGGGCATTCATCCGAGCTCTCTGGACAAGCTTCCACACTTTGAGCTTGAAGGACAATGATCATTAAACCACCAAAGGCCAAAGCTGCCATCTTGCGTGAAAAGAGATTATGAAACATCTTGATGATTAGAAGAGTCAATACTGATTTCAAAAAAAAGAATTGTGTTTGGATGTTTGATAAAATCAAAGAGGTGGAAAATGAGAATATTTATACCCTTTACCCAATATTTTAGAGCTTCTACGACACCATTATTACTCATAATTTTTTCTTAATTTGTCCTTTTGTCAAAATTAATTAAAATATCTGTCTTGGTACTTAAACACTATGCCACACCATCCAACTAGGAGTAACATCCCCTGATATTTACGCCAAGCAACATGCGAATCTACATTGAATCTTGAGCAGCCTGGTACAGAAGATTAGGGATGTTGATATAGTGAAAAAAAGTCTGAAAACCCTTTTGCGTAGGAGCAAAGTAACGAAAGGGACATGTACGCCGAGCGATTCACAGATCTCAATCAAATATAAGTGGAATATTACAGAAGCTGAAAGATGTGAACATATGAAGAAGGAGGGTGAATAAATTTGTACGTCCGCCAACTAAGCCTTGGCCTGAATACGGGGGTGCGGCGATGTTCTTGGTGCAGAATTAGCTTATGACTTTGAATGACTATTTCCGTCTCCTCGATATTGCTCTGGCACGGTGAGGTAAGGTGCTTCTGTGATTCCATCCGGTCTGAGGCGGCCAGGATATTTTCTTGGTGCTTCATCACATCCTTTGCCACCGTTATATAACTTATTACGCGGCCAATTGGCTCCATAACCACCCGTACTACGATCTCCTCCCCAAATGGTTAAATTCGGATTCGTATAAGCTTCCCAGTGTTTATTAATATAGTTCAATGTTGGCCTATCAAGCGGATCACATCCAAGATTTTGTTTGTCTTTTGCTTGATAAACTCGAATATAATCAACTTGCATCGTAGCAGGAAAGACGAGTTTCTTCCAATCAATATAACCAAAACCTTGAGAAATTGCTAAATTCATTATAATGTACATTGGCTCATCGGGAATTGGACGTTGACTGATTCCAGCAAGAGGATCAGGTCCAACAGCAGCGGCGTTTAATGTCCATGCCATTTCTCCGTCAATGTACCATCGACTATAGCCTTCTGGACCAGGTAGATATTCGACACCCCAAACACTAAAATTGCCACCTGCATTTTGATAAGATTCTTGATTTGTGTATGCAACAGCTGAAGCCGCCATTTGTAAAACACTTCCTTCGTAACTATTCAAAGTAACATTTTTACCGTTCACTGTTCCTAGCTCATACTCTGTTCCGGATGAATTGAATAATTTATACTCATCTGAAGCGGGCATGAACTGACAAGAAAGCGATAATGAACCTTGACCACCTCCAACTTGCGCTTCGAATAAATCAATTTCAGGAGCACTACGTCCAACATACGATCCATCATGATTGACTGGTCCTGGATGATCATCTTCGGTACACGTACATGCGCTCAACCTTTGACCGGGTTGCCAAGATAGATTTTTGGTTTTATATTGAGCATTAAACATCACATCGCCTCCTTCGATTGCAGCTTCAGGTCCCATTCCATCAGCATCAGTCTGATTGATCAGGGTTCCACGATCGCATGAATTGTAAGAATAAGGCCATGTTCCTTCTGTTGTAGCAGCATAATTAGCTCTGCCCAGATTACCCATCGTCCAAACAGCAGGCCACCAACCAGAAACGGTAGGATCTCCAGGTAGGATAATACTAGCTTCCAAATAACCACCTGTAAAGCAAAATTTATTCCAAGAAGTAACTTGACCACTTGTAAAATTCAAATTATGCTCTGCATGGTTAGTAGCGGTAATGACCAAAGCACCTCCTTTTGTCATTACGGCGGAAGGGTCATACCATTCCAAATCTCCCGTACCGTGAGCGTACAAATTGACAGCTTCCCAAAATGGATCTTCACCAGGATAAAAACTTCTTCCGTCTGTGTTAAATTCATCACTAAACATCAATTCCCAAGTTTCTGTTTTGTCAGCTCCAAATCCGCCTTTGGTATAAGCGCTTTTAGGTGTGTCCCTATCGATCAAGCCTTGACGAAGACCATGCATCAATGTTAAATCGGGAACTTGACCTGTAGAATTTGCGCCTCCGAGCATAAAGCCACCTTTATCTCCATATCTACGTTTAATATAAAAATCATAAAAGACCGGATAGCCTAAAAACAAAACTGTGATTGTGACTGCCAAAAGGACCAACGTTGCAATATTCAAACATCCTCTGAAATCTATACTTTGTTTTTCTGTCTCTTTGGTGGGATCATGAAAATCATCATCTGCTTCGCGTTTCATCGTATGCCAAACACCTGGATCTGCACTCATTGCAGCTAATTCAAATGCTTTTTGTTCAGTTGTGGTTTTGGTTTTCGTGATTGGTTCACGTTCAACGGTATACGTATCTGTACTGGATCGCATACTTTGTCTTTGCCATGGTCTCATCCGCATTCCGAGACTATTTCTGAATTGGCTCTTCGTTCCCGGCGTTTGAGTTCCATCATTGCTTCCAACTTTTACACTGCCTTTGTCAGACATGATGACTAGGATATTTTAGTTAAAGGTGATGGCATGATATCGAATTCGCAAAAAGCGTATTTACGAAGAATGTTTACCAAAACAACATTTTCAAGTCGAAAAGGGGCAGATTCTCAAGTCGTGAAGTTTTGTGGAGGATCTCCTAATTCTCATCATCTCGTCCTTCACAGCAGGGTACTCACGTTCACATCCTTTCTTAGAAAGAGGAGCTTTGATCTGTATCAGTCACACTTGTACGCCTCGTTCTTTAACATACGATCAACATTCCAGCAAATCAAGTAAATACAATGATTAGGGAGTGGTCATCCCTGTTCGGTAGAATACGGCGAGTATGTTCGAGCGAAACGAGCGAGGGGCCTTGTAAGAATCTCTCAGTGTTCTTTGCCCGATGAGAAAAGGATGTCTTCCAACGATGTAGAGCTCCTTACTCCTGTCCAGCTTGAGATTGCAGGAAAGCAGATCTCCTATGAATAATGCAGCATTTAATCGAGATCGATCGCTTTGTGGATGGCCTGAGCAGTTGATACTCGTAGAGGTGTTTGAATGCTTGCATGTATGCGCCCTATTCTAGATTGATGATTGTGTAATGATGTGATTGAGTTCCTTAAAAAAGTGTGCTTGTGCATATTCTCGTTCAGGTTGTTGTGGTGATAGGAGTATTGTTTTGTTTCTTCTTGTTAGGAGTTGATAAAGCAACAGCAGCAGAATCAAAGCCACTGAATGCCATATCAAAAGACATACCTAAACTTGCTGATCTTTTCGTTGCACTTTGAACGATAACCTTTGCTCCACAATTGGTAGAAGCTGATGCTCCTGCTCCGTTGAAGAAAGCAGAAGGAGAAAAGATTGAAAACATTGCGTCCATTATTGTTGTGATGGGTGGTTTCTGTAAAAGCGGGTTGTAGGATAATGACTTGCTTGCTTGTCAGAGTCCGGCTTTTTATATATTTGCATCACCGGCTCAGCACAATCAATCAGATCCACATTTGACGTAACGCGGGGACAAGGATTAGTACCTTTAACGCCGTGGAAAGGGTAAAGCCGTGTATGACAGCTAGCCTGACAGGAGAAGTAAGCGTGAAAAAGACGTTGAAGCCGGGTCAAAGAAAGCTTACGCGGATTTAAGTTTGGGCAGCAATCAGATTATTTCTTGTAAGCAAACAAGCAAAACAATAAAAAAAGCACGCAATTCAAGCGCTGCCCAATTAGAGCGGCAGGCAGATTTTGGGGGATCTAAACTCGTACACGCGCGTTCAGGACGCTCATTTCCCAACCAACGGGCTAAAGCAACTTAAATCGGCACAAAGGCACGCAACAGCAACAGCAAATGGGAATTAAAACCGCGGGTGAAAGATAGTGCTTACTAAGCAGGTCTACTATTGCCTTTCCCTTAACCGCGGCCTCACCGCGCAAGATTATCCCGCGAAGGATTTTGCGTGTGCGTTCGTCTAAGGAAACGTTGCGGCTTGTGGTCAGGTACACGAAAAAGCGATGTATGTAGTGTCCCCGCATATTGTGATGAATAGGAATTCAAACCATAATTCGGTGATAGTTGTACAGCATGTAAACAGCGAGACTGTCAAAAAATATAAAAAAAAGCAGTTCTAAATGATAAGATGATAACATGATAACATAGTCATCTTCATCAGTCTTTTGTCATCATGGATTTATTCATTCAACCAACTTCAGCAGCTGAGGATCTTTTGCATGCCAAAATGATTCTCAGCGTTCATGTGATTCATCGTGGATACAACATGTGGTCGCTCATTGGACTAGGAAGCGCGTTAGGAGTAGGAGCATGGAAAGCACTACGACCAAACCCAAAGAATGCCAGCATCACCTCAATACACACGAATCCTTCTCCTCTCGTTCAACGTATTCTGCGCTACTCTGCTAGAGGAAGTTTATTTGGACTTGTGTTCGGCGCAGCAGCTGTTACCGGTCAAATGTGGGGAAGAGGAGCGATCGAATGGCAAGATCGTTCTTGGCGTTTGTTGCATAATCAAACACAAAATCAAACAGATCATTGGAGTATAGCAGGAGCAGCTATTGGAGCAATAAGTGCATATTCTTATGCTCAAAGAAAGGCAACTTCATTGGCTGGATTAGGATTAAGCACACGAACGATCGTATTGGGAGGTACGGCTACCGGTAGTGCGATCGCAATCATTAGCATGTTGGCCGTTCGAGCACTTTTACAATCCGGTACAAACGTCAAAGCCATGCAATGAGAAGCAATATTCCGAACACTATATACCATTACCATTCAATATCTTCATTTCTCTTCTGGGATGCTGTGTCATTGTTTATGAGATTTGCTCTTTCTCTCTGTTGTGATTTAATTTTAGATTAAGGTGCATCGGATATTCGGATATAGCTGCAAGATATTCTAGTATACAGGATGACCGTTGTGAACAGTAGTGATATTGCCAAGCTTCAAAGTGGGCGTAACAAGCGAGACCCAACACAATTGATTGAATGTACTTTACACAAAGTCCGCATTGAGTGAGATCCTTCATCCGCCCGTCGGAAAGAATAAAAAGGCGGCGGCGCGGCAAGGAAAGAGTGTTTATACAATTAATTACGCGACTTGCTTCTCGTAAGAGTGGGGATAGGCACTTTAACACAGCGGCATCTTGGGGAAATAAAAATGCCGATTGAATGCATTGCATGACCAGTCTTCGCTTAAAGAAAAATAAATAATAAATGCTGATCCCCCCACAGGTAAAATGAACTAGAGCCCGTAGTTTAATGGATAAATCTTGCCGAGAGACAGAGGAACACAGGCACACGACAAGCGGAATAGTTAATAAAACCCTCTAGCGGAAGCGAAGAGAGGAAAAAAAAAGACTTTACTGCGTCATCAGAACGCCCAACTTTCTTTTTAGTCCCCGGTATGATTCCCACGATCGATTCTCTTATATAAGTTGCCCAACATCCACCTCTTTCCCGCATTCATTCCCACCATCACCTCATCGAGCACAAAACAAGATGGCTTCCGATCCTGAAAAGGGCACAAATGCCGATACAACATTTGCAAATAACTCCCCAACTGCCACACCAAGTTCGCATTCAGCATCAACTCCAGATGAAAAGCAAAAAGGAACAAAAAAAGGTGGTAAACATATCACAACTCAAGATCCAGATCGAACCGATTTGGACGTTATGCACGATCGTCATAAACGTGATGCAGAAAAATACATTTTAACCGAAGATGATTGTTATGATGAATTAGGATTCAGTTTTCCTACATGGAAAAAATGGATGATTTTAACTGTAATTTTTATCGTTCAAGTTAGTATGAACTTTAATACTTCTTTGTACTCTAACGGCTTGGCTGGAATTTCAGAAGAATTCAACGTTAGCGAACAAGCTGCCAGATGTGGTGCAATGATCTTCTTGGTCACTTATGCGTTCGGATGCGAATTATGGGCTCCATGGTCAGAAGAATTGGGTAGAAGGCCAATCTTACAATTCAGTTTGTTCCTTGTCAATATTTGGCAACTTCCCGTTGCTTTGCCACCAAATTTCGGTACAATCTTGGTTGGACGTGCGCTTGGTGGTTTCAGTTCCGCAGGTGGTTCGGTCACCTTGGGTATGATTGCTGATATGTTTGAATCCGACGTTCAACAATATGCCGTCGCTTATGTCGTATTCTCATCAGTTGGAGGTTCAATTGTCGGACCAATTGTCGGAGGCTTTGTGGAACAAAACCTTTCATGGCGTTGGTGTATTTGGATTCAATTGATCTTCGGTGGTTTCGTTCAAATTTTACACTTTTTCCTCGTTCCTGAAACTCGTACAACGGTTATGATGGACAAGATCGCTAAACGCCGTCGTAAGAATGGAGAAAATGTCTGGGGTCCAAACGAATTGGTTTCCTGGAGAGAGCGTTTCTCGGTCAAAGAAGTTGTGCATACTTGGATTCGTCCTTTCCGCATGTTCTTGACAGAACCAATCGTGCTTGTGCTTTCACTCTTATCTGGTTTCAGTGACGGATTGATCTTTGTTTTCATTCAAAGTTTCAGTTTAGTGTATAAACAATGGGGTTTCAATGCTGCTACTACAGGTCTTTCCTTCATTGCCATTGGTGTGGGTTACTTTATCGCCTATCTCTCCTTCATTCCTGCAATTCGCAGAAACATCGCCGAACGTGAGGCTAAACCGGACGATGAACGTGCTCAATATGAAAGTCGTCTTAAATGGCTTCTTTGGACAGCTCCTTGCTTGCCAATCGGTTTGATCGGTTTCGCATGGACAAGTGGCGGTCCACCAATTCACTGGATCGGAAGTATGATCTTTGCAGCTGTGATTGGAATTGCCAATTACTCAATTTATATGGCAACGATTGATTATATGATTTGCGCTTATGGACCTTACTCTGCTTCTGCAACTGGTGGTAATGGATTCAGTCGTGATTTCTTGGCAGGTGTCCTTACTATTCCAGCAACGCCTTTCTTCCAAAATATCGGTCCTCCAGACCGTCATTTGCAGTATGCATCAACGATTCTTTTCTGCATCTCATTCGTTTTGGTAGCGGCTGTTTATATCATTTATTGGAAAGGTCCAGTCTTGCGTAAACGTTCACCATTCGCACAACATTTGGCCAAAGAAGCATTACAAAAAGTTTCTTCTCGCGGTGATGGAACGGCGGCAATCAGTCCAGGTGAAAAGCATCACCATGAAGCTGCCGTCGAAGCAGCACGAGCAATGGCAGGAGCTGAACCTGGAGCAGGAGGTAGACCAACATTCTCACGTAAAAGTTCTCAAGCCCGTGCCGATCAAGATGCACGTATTAGACCTGGTCATACCAGCAAGACCAATTCTAGAGGAAATTCTCGTGCCAATTCTCGTGTCAATACACCTACTGCTTCACGTAGACCTTCATTTGATCGAAATGTTGTTCAAGAAGAAGCCTAGAATGCAAATTATCTCTCATGCCCGATCACTTTTCTCATACCTTAATGTAGAACCAGCCTTGCAATTATTATAATGACAGATTCGTATTTTATCATTTGACTGAATGTTAAGAGAGAGAAGAGAAGAGAAGAGACCCTTAAAATCTCCACACGCGGCCTGCATACGTTGAGTGGAATGATAATGCCGGCGGCCGGCGTGTTAGACTCAAAGAACAAGTGGAGTTTGTCATTCTTGCCATAAGACTTCCATCTTTCATTATGATAAAATGACTCCAAAACAGAATGACAAAACCATCAAACATAACCGAGATACAATGGCAAAGCATAAAGACCACACAGAACCAGGAAAGGGTGAAAGCGAAAGGCAAGATATAACAACAGTTGCAGGAGCAAATAGAGCAGCATTACACAAACAAGGATTATACAAACCAAAAGGATGGATCACGCATGGATTAACATCTTTGATGCAATTACCAAATGCTACCCCACTTGCCGTCTTACGATGGACAACGCCTGAAGGACCTATGCCACACATTCTCAACCTACCATCAAGAGATGAAGGTAGACATATAAAGATTTACGTTTGGATACCACCTCCAGGTTCAGGCTCATTTACTGGAACACGAAGACCTTGTCTGGTGGACTTTCATGGAGGTGGCTTCACCATGGGAGGTCCGCTCGAACAAGCTCCATGGTGTGCTGCTTTGGCAAGGGCGGGAATCATTGCAATCAGTGTTCATTATAGGCTAGGTCCAACTTGGGAATTTCCAGCGGCACTTTTGGATGCGGAAGATGTGATTAATGCAATCTTGGACGTTGAGGGAAATACGGAGCCAGGTAAATTCATTCGAAGGGAAGTTCTGAGATGCAGTAAAGGTAGAACGGAATTCGATGAATCAAAGGTTGGGATCAGCGGATTCAGTTCGGGAGGGAATATAGCTTTGAATATGCTACTTTCTATACCTGCACATCTGAACACATCAAAGGCAGGTGGTTCAATCCTGACAAGCACGGATAGCGACAGCTCAGATGAGGGTGGAAATGATGGTGATTGGCCATCTCCGTTCCTAAATGCACAATCACCACTAAGGACTATCCCTGCTCTGCTATTCTTCCCATCTCTGGATGCTAGACAAGCACCATTTGATCGAAAGAGACCAGAAGGAATGGCACCTCAAGGTGAAGTGAGTAAATGGATCGGTAAAACACTGTTGAACGCATATCTGCCACAAGAATTTGTGTCGCATTTACGTGCAAGTCCGGGATTGGCGCCTATTGGACTTCCTGGAGGTTTAGAAGAAGAGGTGAATGTTCGCAAAGTGGCAGCAAAACAACTCGGCTTGCCAACCGAGAGTGATGAAACTGCTTTGAAAACATCAAAATCAAGCACATCAACCCAAAAGCGAGTCTCAGCAGCAATGAAACATGCAACGTTGGATTGTATGCATCCGGCTACTCGTGCACTACTCATTCTACCTCAAATCGACACTCTTTCTGAACAGAGTGAAGTATGGGTAGAAGCATTAGATGCTGCTAACAAGCTGACTACATCTCCTGAGAAGGATGGAAGCAAAATCGGTCAACCACTTGTTTTGGAAGGCAAGCAAGATTCGATGGGACATGTGCGCGTTCACAGGATTGAGAAGATGTCTCATGGATTCACAACGTTCCCGGACTCATTTATCGACGAGAAAACTAGAGCGGCCAAAAAGTTGGTCATGGATCAAGCATTGTTGTATGTTATTGAGATGTTCAAATCGTCATAACTACACATTATAGTCATCATCGTTATTGTATAAATTTAATAGATAAAAGGTATTACCCTCCAGCGTCGAGAGAGGTATTCGTCGTACTCTTCCCCGAATCGCTTGCGTAGCATTGCCTCTTCATCGGGAATTCGAATTCGCACAAGCCAGATCTGATTACCCATGTATAAAATGGCAAGCCCACAGGCGGCCACTTGTGCTAAAAGTCTAGAATTCAAAGCGATTCCGTTACCAATCTTGGCAATCGTTTTCGTGCTGAACATATTCATCCAAACATTGAATGGGCCATACGTTCCGCCTATAATACCGATCACGTTCACTGATTGACCCAAATAGGATGGATGAGCCAAATATCGATAAGGGCCACTTTTGATAACCTTTTGATCATCTTGCACTTGAAGACGGAAAGTGAAGAACTTATCCAGCGTACGGAAACACCAAATCCGCCAGCTTGCCCCAAGTATAGTTACCAAAAAGAAAGAAGTGGCATACTTAGTCGGAAATTTGACTTTCTTAGGGTTCGAAGCAAGATACAACAAATAACCTGCTTGTGATAGGGTAAGGAATGGGCTTGCGTTCCTGAGTGAGAGCATGATCTTGGAATAGACTGGATATTTTTCAAATGATCCCCAGACACGATCAACTGGTTTATCGTTTGAGTCGTCCGGCATACGCCCTTTGGAAGGATACCATGGTGATCTCCAACCTCCCCAGCCTCCCCGACCTCCCCAATCACGATCAACTGGTTTCTCCGTTGATTCGTCTGGTTTCTCCGTTGATTCGTCCGACATACGTCCTTTGGAAGGATCGGTGATGGAGACATAGTTTGCTGCGCTAGCCACGCAAGCAATGAAAGCTTGTATTGCCAAAGAAGGATCAGCCATTATGATTGATGATGTAAACAATGGTGATGGTGCAAGATTAAAGTACCTTTGTCTTACTTTAACCCTTTTTGGTTCTCCTCACACTTTTCAGGGGCGGCGCCGTAATCAAGTAGGGAGTCACTGCCAGATCAAGTCCGGATAAATCCGTTGGAAAGAAGGGGGCGATCCTTAGTGCATTTGTACGAGCTAGCTAACTGTGATCAGATCCGTTCAACGACTTTCCCATCGTCTAATAGCACATACTTGCCCATCCGATCAGGCCATTCGTTCACATAATGGCTCACCAATACCAGTGCCATCTGCTTCCTCTTTTCTGCATCTGTTTCTCGATCCTGCTCAGTACGACCGACTGCGAATGTGTCTTGTTGCGATGCTACGGGTGTGCTGGCATCCAAATACTCTCTGATTCTGGAAATTTGCATAGCATCCATGCCTTGGAAAGGTTCATCTAAGATCAACAATGCAGGTTGATGAATTACTGCTCGCAAGAAGAGGACAAGTGCCTGACTACCCCCGTTCAGATCGATAAAAGGTCTCTTGAGAATGGTATCAGTGATATCGGTTGACGTTGAGTTGAATTGGCTTCTATCGTCCCTGAATCCGATGCAATCTGCAAACAACTCTGTTAGTGCGTGAATGCGGTCAAATTGGGCATCACTAACAGTCGTTCGCGAAAATACACCTTCAAATCCTGATGCAATCGACTGCCCAACTGAAAGTCCACCCATTTCGAGCCCCAATCGTGGGAACGCAGATAGCAGATCAGGTCCAAAATATCCAATCTTTCTGTTCAAGATCCGAGTTGCATTGGCAGGTGCTGTTCGATTCTGCCCAAACAAACGGTAGGATGAGTCATCGAATTTGTACGATTGCGGGTGCGTTCCTGTCAACAGGGACAACAACGTTGTCTTTCCACTCCCGTTAGCGCCTTTGATGATCAGCCGAGAACCAGGATAGAGAGCCAAATTGATAGAATCCAAAACCACTTTGTCGCCATACTGCACGCTAACGTTATCCAGCATGATTACCTCCGCCCCTTCCTTCCTGCCAACACCGATGTCATTTGCGTTATTCTTGCGAATCCCTTCTATCCCTTGTGGCACCTGTGCCTTGCTTCCATGCCACTCTTCACGAGGTCCGCTCCAAATGTTTCCATCTGCAGCTACATCCACAATATGCGTGACACCTTTGGGCAGATCATCCTGTCTTCGCAGCACAAGGATAGCCCTAGGAGAGCCCCTTGTATGCAAATCTGCCAATAAGCTCGAAAGCTCATCTCTGCTTGGTTCATCCAATCCAGAATAAGGTTGATCAAGAACAAGAAGAGTCGTTCCTCCTACGATATTATCTGATTGTTGCTGTCGTGCCAAGCTAACCAAAGCTCCACAAATTCTAGCCCTCCTTGTCTGTCCATTGCTGAGGGAGATGATGGGTTGATGCAGTAAAGGCACACCACCAGGGCTACCCGGCCCAGGTTTATGCAAGCCCAAAAGTGGTGATAGTCTCTCTATGTGCTGTTTGGTCTCTATTGCCGCCGTTTGTAGATCTTGATCTACGCCCTCGTCCATCAACTTATCCGGTAAAATTCTCATCTGAGCAACCCTGCCAACTTCAAATCCTTGATCCCACATTATGCTCTCAAATAAAGTAATATGATCCTCTTCTCGAAGTGCACCATATCGTTTTGAATAATCTTGAAAATCATTTCCGGCACTTGCTGATTCATTTTTGGAAAACGTTGCAAATCCGATTCGCTTTTGCTCCTGATTGGCGAATGGATGAACAGAAGGATGCAAGCGTGTGTCTTCTTCGGTATGCATCTGTTGCGCTCTTGACTTTCCTGCGAGAACTTTGAGCAGTGATGATAGCACTTTCGCTCCTGGACCAGCTGAGGTAGCAGGTGAAATGACTGCCCATAATTGATCTGATGAATCGGGTACTGTCAAGGATATCGTAGGTGTATCATGTTGAAGGTTAGGAAGTTTTGCTCTTTCAAGCTTGATGAGAGGCTTATGAGCATTTCGTATCCGTGGAGTGAAATGAAAGAATCTTCTTATGATCATTTTTGTTTACCACCTTTGATGATGATCGAAGAAGGGAGTCATGATGATCAGCGTGGGGTGCCTTCGTTCATCTTTCCTTCTAGCGCCCTTTTTTCTCACTTTTGCGATCCAGGCCCAGCTGTGCCTGACACGCGGTTGTATGCATGCAAAAGCACATCAACGAAACACCGAAGCAAAAAATTGTGGCTTTAATTACACTTCACCTTAATTTGACACCCCAATTCTTTTTCCTTCTCTCACACTGGTTCACCCTCCTACCCCTCCCTTCTCTCATGATCACGACGTCCTGACTGGTACACGATGGCACCAGCAAAAACAGATTTACTCACATGGCGAAAGCAGGTAGGCCAATTAGCAGATCAAGATACATCTGCAACAAAGAAAGCATGTTTAGGATGCAGAAAGCAAAAAGTTCGTTGTTTGCGTGGCGATGATCCATCCATAGCTTGTTCAAGATGTGCACGGCTAAAGCTATCATGCGACGTTGAACCACACAGAAAAGGAAAGCGGGCAAAGACGATTGCATCTGAAAATATTCCTCGTGCAGAACATCATTTTGCCAAAGATCATTCCACACCTTCACGATCTGCTCATCTTCCAACGTTCCCTCTCAATCGGATGGCAGACCAGCCTGGACAGCACCCAATAAGCCATTATGCCCATTCAAGGGAAGGTCCACCAATTCATCCCATACATTACCGAGATGAGGTGCAAATGTATCCCAACCATACACGAAAGGCGATCCCGGTTCAACCCAGCTCAGTTCGTAGCGACATCTCAAGCCAGGCCAGTCAAGCACGAAATGGAGACGAATTGCCGAATTACTCCACAAAATCCCTCTTTAAAGTTGGAGAAGGAAGTCAAAATCCACTCAGCGTTGGACGATTGACGTTGGCCTCTCAACTGGAACAAACAAACAGTCCTTCTATAAACAACGAGAATGATCGTACAGCTGATACGGAAATGCGATCGGACGTGATCGAGGAAGGATTGTTCACAGTAGCAGAAGCGCAATATCTGGTCGATTTCTACTTTGAGCGGATGAATGGAGTGATTGCACTTTTGACTCCATCAATCAACACCTTTGCCCACCTACGCGCAAAACCATCGGCCAGCTTTCTCTTGACGTGCATTTGTGCTGTCGCATCTCGATTCGTTTGGCCTCAAAGGTCAGCAGCTGTGTATGATTTTGCAGACTCATTCGTGATGCACATCTATCGAGGTGCTCAACCGGGAAAGGTGGAACACTGTCAAGCATTGAGCATCCTGTCAATGTGGAGATCTCCCGTGGATCCTACTGGTTGGAGGAAGCTATATGCTGCCATCACGATGGCATACGAGCTTAGTATGCCAACGATTGCTCGCAAGCTGATTGATTCGAGCAAGGCAGATGCCGTAGAAGCAGCACAGCTGCAAAGGACAATGTTTCAAATCACATGTACGGAAGAACACTTTTGCATGCAAAGAAGACAAAAGCCAATGTTAAATGTAGAAGAATTACCTGAACCACGAGAATGGATCGCATCGTTGGGGGAACATTGTTTGGATATTGATATTCGTATTGCGGCGGCTATTGATCAACTCAAGATCTATCGAAGATTACGTGATGATCTTGCAAGTTTGCGAGAGGAGAATCCTTCAGCATGGCCTAAAGCGGTTCAAGAACTTCGATTCTTGAATCAGGCACGATCAGATCAGATGCATACAGGCACATTTTGGCTCAATGCTCGTGAGTACGGCATGCCAGCAGACTTTGCATCTTCTGCTTGTGGCCATTATAATAGCATCAATCATGATTTCAACTATTTACAAGCGATCATGGCAGTCTATTCGCGGAAAGGACTTCCAAAAGGAGGAGCATTTGAAAGTGATCGTTGTGCTGCATTTACAGAAGCGACGGATCGTGCTATTACATTGATTGAGCTTATTGACAAAGTCATGCGAGCGAATGAACATTACAGATTCGTACACGATGGAGTGATGTGTTCGATGGCAGCAGCAGCAATTTGGCTGGTGGATAATGTTCGACAAATGACATCAGCGGATGTATCAAGAGCAGCCACCGCATTGACGAAATCTGTTGAAGTTACTCTACCAAGCGAAACAAGATGGCAAGAACAATCTGCTTATCTTCATACCCTTCTCACTTATTGCAGAACCAAACTTGTGGAACAAGAAGCAGCAATGGCAGACGCAGCTTCAACGCATTCATCTCATGTTGGTCTTTTGGACGATTTGAGTTGGATGATCGATCTTTTCCCAGGTCAAGAGAACATTCATGCTTGGGCAGATGCGGCTTTCAATACTTTACCGATCGTTTAAGTTGTTTTATTATCGTTATGGGTACGGCTTTGTTCTGTATTGTATTTTTATTGACATGGTATTTTTTCCAATGAGAAGTGATGTACATTATATTGTTTTGGTGCTTAGTTACAGCAAGCACCGCTGTTTGCTTGATATTTATCCGTTTTATGAATCGCATTGAGGTATGCTGGAGTACTGGCTGAACCCATGAGTTGAGAATCATCGAATTCCGTGTTGAGTTCGATTGCCTCCATATAGAAAACATCCCAAGTGGAAACAAAGTGACCAACGATTCCACCTAGTACAATGGAAATTAAAATGTATCCATTGAACGACATGGCAATCAACATGACGATATATGCACCAGCGAATTGAACGCCATACAATAAGCTACGAATGCATTGTTGGAATGTGGTTGGTTGCACTTGAGGTTTTCCCAATAGTTTGTTCGATTGAGCAGAATTGCCAAAGAATGAATGTAAGGCTTTCTTAACATTTCCTTTCGTGCTTTGGTTTGGGGTAGTACCTGAGCTTGTCACATTACGCTCGTTGTCATCGATTGGGACAGCATGTGCAAAGTCTGAAGTAGATGCTTCTTGTTGCGCACGTTGTCTGATTGCAGATTGTGCATTTTTGTATGCATTTCTGGCAATGTAACGATCCCATTCTCTTCCAAATCTTCTTGCGATTTCGATTGAGAGTACGATCAAAAATACACCAATACACGTTCCAGCAAATTGAGCTTCTGTGCTGATATGCCATGATGAAGTCAAGAAGCATGCGCCAATTGTCTTCCAGTTGCCCAACATGTCCATCGAGCATTTCATTGACATGCTGTCCATACCATCCGATCCGCTCATCCCGCTCATTCCACTCATTCCATTCATTGATGACATTCCGTTCATGTTGTCATTTGTTTGATCGAGTGTGTCAGTGGAAGGTGATGGTGAAGAAATTAAAACAACAGAATGACCTGTTCTTTATCAAAAAGCGGTAGCCGTTCATCGCCAAATGAAGAACGCCTGCGATCTGAGTGTCAACGTATTCGGCGCCTTCCATTAGGAGCCGGAAGGGGTATGCAATGTTATTGTTCTTGTGTGAATGTCATTCATCCTCGGTACCTTTTTCTTCGGTTCAACGGTTTTAAGCGCGCGCTCTCCTGAAACGCGCCGAAAGAACAATTAGCGTGGCGGCGATAAAACTTTAACATTTCAACCAATCAAACACTTCAACAGCCACTTTTATCATTTTCATCCGGCGGGCGGGAATCATGCACAACCTTCTTCTCGGCGACTTTTACAGGGTGCCAAAGTATCGGTGTACCTTACGGTAAACTCTATTTCTCCCGATCTTCATTGTATCTTGCATGCCGCTTCGGACCTTTTTCTTTGTCTATAATCCAATCATGAAAATGAATTGAAGCGATCCAATCAGCACTTTCTACTCAAATAAGGAACCATTTCTCACGATAAGAAGGAAAATTTTCATGTTCATATCATCTTTCTCTAATATCATCATTTGATAGAATTAAAATGAATATGTCATCGATGCCCTCGATGGGCAACTCAAACGATATGATGAACACTGTCCATGACTGGCGTTGGGCACAAGAAATGTGGCCAAACTGTCGTAATCTAACAATCTACGGTCCAAATTCACCGCAATCACCACCCTCCGCAATTCAAATAGCAGCAATGACAGGAAAAGATTCATGGTACGGAATGGAAAAGTACGCAAAAGGAGTAACATGGATTTGTCTAGGATTGATCGGGTTGACAATCATTCCTGGTCTTGTACATAGATGGAGAAGAAATTATCCAATTCAAGCAAATAAATTCTTGACTTCTACCGTCATCGGAAGAGTATACCTTTCTGGATTAACCCTATTTCGCGCAGTCGGATATCGTACCCCCTCTTTTTCATGGGGTAAAAAAGGATGGGGTAGATATTATCTTCCACAAATGAATCATCTGATCGTCATTGCATCTGTTTGGGTTGCAGTGACAATCTGGATATTCACCGTTAGGCCATACTACAGATGCTTGCGAGAATGGGGTTCTCCACCATTATCACTTCGAGCGGGAATGATGGCGAATGGTTTGTTCCCATTCTTGTTCGCATTAGGTAGCAAGTACAACATCATTACAATCGTTTCAAATATATCATACGAACGGTTGCAAGTCTATCATCAATGGCTAGCAAGACTGGTCTTATTCTTAGGCTTCGTCCATGCCATCCCTTTCATTGTCCAGCCCGTGCAAGAAGGAGGTACAGCATTGATGCACGAATATTACTTCAATCCAGATGATTACCAAATGTATTATACTGGAACGGCTTCTATGGCTTTGTTGGTTTGGATGATCATCTCTTCCACAAGCGTTTTGCGGAATTTATCTTACGAGTTTTTTGTGCTTCAACACGTCGCATCCATTATCATGTTCCTCGCCTTCTACTTTATTCATACTGGAAACGAGCTCAATTCATGGCTTTGGCTTTGGGCAACAATCGGATTATGGGGGATTGCAATTCTGGTTAGAATGGTACGTGGTGCTATGGCAAGTGACTTCTTTGTTGGTAAACGTGCACTCGTTGAAACAAATTTGGATACGATCGAATTGGATACTGCTCTTCTTGACCAAGATCCTATGATTCGTATCACCATTCGTACTAACGTCAAATGGTTACCTGGTCAACATATCATGTTGCATTTCCCTTCCCTTGGCTTTATGCAACCGCACCCTTTCACCGTGACTACGCTACCTGATCCTGATAGACCCGATTTTGACTCAACAGCCGTTTTCATGGCTAGAGCACGATCTGGATTGACACGATTGCTGTTCAACCTCAATGTGAAAGCACAGCTTTCTGACAAACTGATTGAGAACAAAAATAACTACACCAGTCCTACCGAGATGGGTCATCAAGTAATTCTCCGCAAACAGCACGGAATCGCGTCTAATAATGATTCAGCTGATGTAGAAAGTGAAGTCCAGGATGAAAGCGAGAAAAATTCAGTAACAGCTTGTCCGAACCTAAAAAAGCAAGGTACCATCATTCCTGCCTCGGTCGATGGTCCATATGGCACAAATGCAAGTGCAGCATCGTACGATGGTGTGATCTTGATCGCCGGCGGTTCAGGCTTCTCTGTAATTATTTCGATCTTACAGGATCTTGCCATCAAAGCAGTTCGTCAACGATCTTCAATTGCAACCAGACAAGTACATATCTTTTGGAGCGTACGAACGTCATCCTCCGTACAATGGATGAGGGAACAATTAGATAATGCGATTGAAATCCTGTCGAATGCAGGCATTGATACGCAAATCCAAATTGCCATCACTCGTTCTGGAGCCACGGTTGGCCTACCATCTTATGCAAGAATCAATGCCAGTCGTGCTTCGGTGGAAACCATTTGCAAAGATGCTATTGATGAAATGTCGTCAAATTACGTCAAGAGCGTTTGCTGTACAGTTTGTGGACCAATGAAAATGGCTATGCAAACACAAAATGCCATTCGCCAATCTCAACGTGCAATCTTGCGTGGTCGTTCGGGCTCAGTTGCAGAAGTTTACCTTAACAAATGTACCTTCTCTTGGTAGCTGAGAACTTTCTTCCAAAAAACAATACTTTGTACCTTAAAATAGAATGAATATCTAGACTCTCTTTCAGTAATGAATAAACCTAAAATATAGTCAGGAGGGAGGAATGATCTGTCCTCTGAAAGTGCTGTGTAGCATTTGCGTCATTCTTTCCGATGAGTGATGTTTTCAAAGGCGTTAAAGCTCACAGGCATATACGTCATCTTCCATACTTTCAAGCACAAACAATTTAATCTATTGAACGACTGAAGTAGAAAGACTGCTTTGTGCTGCGTTCCGGTTCTCTATAGAACCATACGTCAGTGATAAAGCGGCGATGAAAGCAGTGTTCATTAGAATACAAGACAGAAAAAGCTCAGATTGTTTACAGACCACGGACAATTGCACAGCAAATACGCAAGGCAGTGATATTATATTACGATAATATGGTGACCTGATCGGAAAGATAAAGACGTTGCTGTATGTACAGGCTAAGATGGCAGTGAGGGCGGTACTATACATGAAACCTTTCTCATAGCAATAAAGCTATAAAAGAAGCAATTGTATCACTAACAATTCTTTAAAAGACCCTCATCATTCTACAAGCTTTAAATATCGAGATGTTCTCCAAGAAGCAAAGTACTGCTATCGTATTAGCCATTACCTTCACTGCTTCTATGTTCCTATTCACGGAAGGACTGCCTTCTGGTAATCAACCAGCAGAGGGACAATCAAAATGGGGAAATCACTATTCGCCAAGTGCTGCCGATAAGAAAGCTGCTGAAGAAGCAAAGAAGGCTGTAGAAAATCAAAGTGATCCTCGTCACCCCTTATACTTTCCAGGTCACCATTCAACTCGTCCTCATACAGAAAAAGAGGCTGATAAAGATGATCACGCTCGTCATCGTGGCATTGGCAACGCATCAAACACTGGCAATCGAGGACAGTGATCAAGGATAAAGTGAATCTTCAGACATACTCTCTTTTCTTCTTCAATGAGCTATTTGAGCAACAAAGGTACTTTGAAACTATTTGTCTGCAACAGAATTAAGTAAGAGACTTTAAATTATATCTGATCCCAAGTGTAATTCTCTGACTCGAAGTGTGCTTAGTCCACGCCGTATGGATGCAGAGGAGCCATGCGGCTGAAAATCCGAGTTAAACGAACTTGTTAAGCCGCCGACACAGTCCTAATTTTGATTTAGACGTGGTTGAACATTCCTTTCTTGCCTCATCATATGCTCACGACGACGCGAGCGCATGACTTCATTAAATTTTCTCTTGCTTGATTGACCTACATTCGCAGAGATCCCACCGTCTTTATCAGGTTCAGTCTGCTTAGTTTTCTTTGTATTCTCTAAGTGAGATTTGTTCTGACCTTTAGATTGAATCTCATTCATTTGACGTTGAGTTGCTTGAGCCTTTAAGCGTTCTTGATTCGCGTACATTAGCAGTGATTGACCATGCGCATAGTTGGTTTTACGGAGCAGTACCCCAGCAATCATAGCATTATTGACATGCTCTTCGTTTTTAACCCTTTGATCCATAAGAGGAATAAGCTTTTCACGGTGAGGATTAGCAGAACCAATGTCCATTTGAATTTGTCGTTCGCGGTCTGTGTCGAGTATGTTATACTTCGAACGAAAGTTTAAGAATGTGTTGGAATCATTTGTGATATGCTTTCCTTCGGAGCTTTTGTCTCTAGATGAGTCTTTCGTTTTGAAGAAATGAGTATAATGAACATCTTTTGCAGCATTTAAAGCCAGAACTAATGCGTAAAGGAAGATCAATTGCGAGAGGAAATGCCATTTGTGAGCCATTTTCTATCAGGACTGCTGGAGTGATGACCGAGTGAGAAGTTCGGACGAAGGATAGAAGGCATTTCATATCTGTAAATTGTTGAAATTTGTGTAGGGACGGGGTTCATATCGATTCGCCCCAGTCTTCCGACGCCCCCTCTCTTAATACACCCTACAGATGCCGCGAAAGTCGATACAGATTCAGCACAAATACGCACAGAAACAGGAGCAAATATGAAAAATGGTGTATGATGATATTCTAGACAGGATAGGGAGCATATTATCCTACGTGCCATCTATTTTGTAGCGTTTCAGTATCTGCAAGCCCCATCTTACACTCTACCGTACAGTATAGCATTACGCTGAAATGCAACCCCTTGTCACAGTTAAGCGTACTAGACAACCTCGAAGTGTTTGATGGCCAAAAGGATAAATGCGTGTTTTGCTGTTTGATCTTTCCAATGCTGAGCAAAAACAAACAAACGACGCGTCTACTCTGTATTCACGCAGGCACAAACTCGATCGACGTCTTGTTGATTGTGCATGCATAAAAATGTCCGATTTAATCATAGTGCGTGGGCAAGGCGGGCGTATGAAGGGTCAAATGCCTCCACGTCAAAACAAATAAAAAATAAAAATAAACACAGCTTTATTTTCTATTTGTGGGGAATAGGAAAAAATGCATCCGCTTCTATCTTTTACAATTTAACATTTAACCACCATCACCACACACACTCTTTCATCATGGCATCCATCACTTCTTCTATTGGTTCAATCTTCAGTGGCATTGGAAACATCTTTTCAGGTTTATTGGAATCAATCTTTGCAATCTTTAGTCATGCTTGGTCGTTAGTCATTGGAATCTTGTCAACTGCTTGGTCTGCTGTTGAAGGTGTAATCAATGCTGCTTTGCATACTGTCTCTGGTATCTTGTCAACTGTCACACACGTATTCGGAGATTTGATCGGAATTATTACGAGTGAGTATGATGGATGGCTTGATTGGATGCATGGCTTGCTTGCAGAGCATGGTGGCAAAGTGGATGGTGAGGGCATGTTGGCGGGGATGAATACAGTGGCAAACACAATGCAGGAGTCAGCTGTAACAGGTGTAAAAGTGGCAAGTGCAGCTGTCTGCAAATCAACTTATGCTCTCAGCGAAACATGGACAGAAATGATTGACACGATTCACGAATCATCTCTCCCTGATCTTATCACTTCTGCAGCTAATATTGTCCCAATCGTACTTGTTGGAGCAGGTGTTCTTCTGGTAACCTTTTTCGCAGGCAGTAAATCGGGAAGTTCACCTGCTGCTTCTGTCAAAAAGACGGCTAAAACAGGCGGTAGACGCAAGAAGGCATAAGTGCTAACAACATATACCATAATCGGCTCAGCGCTTCTCTCTCGCTAGACTTCTTCTCACCAATCAAACCGATTCCAATAATTTGTGAACAATCTCGCATGTACGTACTTCTCTTTGCTTGCTCTCGATACCCGGAATGCAATAAAATGAAATGCAAATCATAACAAAGGCTATTTGCGTGTGAAAAAGTGACTTCAGCCCAGTGTTTTGAAACGGATGCCCCGGAGAATTGATGGTTTTATTAAGTCTGATGTAGCTCGGGCACCCTTCCTCAACTCCTTCTCGGTTAAAGAAGCAGATGAATGTCGGGGCAGTAAATGCAAATCTCGAGTGCGTCCAGTTCATCTCGCCACTGTAGTAGACATGTCCACTTCTGCTTTCCGACGTTGAACGCTTCCTGTACGATTAGACTTCTTCATCCTTATCTAATGATGCTTCGCTTCATAAATGGCAAGATACTCTTTTGGCTTTTTGTGATGGCCCTCATCTTTTCTGTTGAGGCGGTAAGACCAATATTTACTTATGGTCATCAAATACCATCAACAAGCTCAAGCCTTTCCTCGCAACCTCATTCAGCAAGTAACCGTAACCCAGGCCGGCATGGTCCAGGCTCCACTGCATCACCTTCTTCAGCCAAGAGTGGTCAAGGTAGCAAGCATGATCCGATCGATATCGAATCTATCCCTGAAAAGACCTCAAGTCAACATCAAAGTCCACATAGCGGACATGGCAGTCGTACAAATCCAATTCATATTTCCGATTTAGGTGAACGAACACGACCGATTGAATTGTCTGATTCACAACACGGATCTTCCCCTGTGAGACAATCAGGACACGGTCATAGCCCAACAAGAGAAGCAGCGGCAAGAGGATCGTTTGAACATCAGCACTCTTTATACGCTAATAAAAAGAGACCGTTTGGAAAATCCACTGCTGCCGAAATGTAGTATGGCAATGAACTTAGTGGCACTTCTGCTTCTAAACGAGGACGTAAAGGTAAAGCCAGTGGGTCAGGGACGCAAGCGATCGATCAATGGCTTAACCATAAACCACCTTCACCACCAAAGAATATGTGAAGACTGAGTCTTTTCAATCTTAGCCCAATTTCTCTTGAATCATTATATTTTCATGTTTTCGCATATATCTCTCAATATTCTTTGTAAATGCAATTGCGTTCTCTCATCTTTCGAAAATGCACCTTCAGTAAGACTGCGTGTTCCTTTGCTCATAATCTGCATGCCGAAAACGGCGTTTTCGGTTGAATTCTCGGTCTTTAAAGGTATTTACAGTGGATTTTTCATAGTATCGATAAACAAAGTCAGCCGCAAACCCCATTTCGGGACGGTAAGAGCGCTTGCATAACAAGTCTTTGGGAGGGTTATTGTGTACACAATAGTTGCATCCTTTTACACATATCAAGAGTTTTCTGTTTGTTGAAGTATTCGAACGCAATGGTTTTGGTAAATTGCCGGAGTGACGCCCCGTTCTTGTTAAGGCAACGACTTGCAAAGTTCTGAACTCAAGAAAGTGGCTTCATTCTTCATTGTTCTCTTAAAATCAGTCACAACAAGGTCTAAATTACCGTGAACTTCCTTCAAGTACGATGTTTCAGCGTATCTACTACCTTCTATTGTTCTTCTTATGTACGTTGTATTTTTGTCAAGCTGTCCCAGCCAGTTCAGCAGGTTCTGTTCCGGATGATACATTCAGGAGAGACGGTGGCCGCTCTCAGGCACGTCATGAGGTAGCAAAAGCAGTTCTCGGTGAAAGTTCTGCAAATTCTTTATCACCTCCAAACAGAAGAGCAAGAAGATCTCGTGCTTTGGCAAGTTCAGCAAGCTCAAAGAAGCAACCTGTACATATCAAAGAGAAACAACCTTCTACAGAGTTGAGTCTCGCGCCATCTCCTCGTAGATCTTTTGGTCCAAGGAATGCTGTCAAGAAGGAAACGAGCGCTAATGTCGGCCATGCAAGATTTCGAACATCGAAAGGAGTAGCGGCAATTGAGGCAGAACAACCTAGAGCAAGTATTGCTCTTCAACAATTTGGTAGCAACCAAAACCCAAAAGATGTAGGTGCCGCTCACGACGATAAAGCATCAAGAATGGAATTGGTCCGAAAGCATACAAGTGGTGAACTGATGAGACAAATTCGCGAAGCGGATGAACGTAAAAAGCGAACAAAGAACGAATTCGTAGACAACGTAACGCTACCCAAAAGAAAATCACCTTCTGGAAGTGATGAGACAGGCAAAAGCAAAGGATTAGACTTAAATCCTCATTTACGTCGTCGGGCTTTCAATTCAGAAAATCCCAACGGTCCTACAACTCGACCTCAATTGGCAACTTCAGTGCAACATCAATTAAGCACCTTAGCTCAACCTCGAATTGGTACTTCTGCGCGATCTCAACTACAACATGGGTCTCACCATTTCCCTTCAGGAAATGCTCAAGATGGTCGTCCGTTAGCAACTTCTTTTCACCATCAGCCAGCTTATACGGCTGTTCGTGCTACACATGTGCCCGATCAACGAAACAATGTGAATGCTGCTCGCCCAGTAGCGATCACTTTTCATAATCAACCAGCGTATCCGAATCATCAAAACACTCAACCCTTTGCCAATCAGCGTAGCCAGAGCAATGTGATGCACATTAGTCACGCACGAGCAATTGCACCGGTTGGAGGACCAGCACGTCGACAAGGTGCATCCGCCCGCGTACATGCTGTAGTTCCTTATCGAGCTCAAACGGTGCATGCTCCAATCAATCGTTCTGGTGCAGGATTTACTCAAAGTACAAGAGTGGTTTCAGAACGTACTATGCACGCAAATGCCCCAACTCAGCATTCACGTAATCAACAGCATGCGGAAACCCCGATTAGCCCCGGCTCGCAAAATTTGATTGACCGTGTGGGTCATTCGGGTCCTGATACAGGTACACAAAGTCATCCAAATGGACAAGCATCAACTTATAATCACAGTTCGGTGAATTTGGAATTGTCTTTGGGCTCATAAGAAGTCAAGTTGTGCTTTAACATTTCAAACCATTTCTTCTATATCATCTCTTCCACTCAATCTTCTAAAACTACATTGTCCTATTCTCATCTTTCAATGAAAAATTTGACCGATATGCAAACAAAGAACAGCTTAGGCATCTCTCTTACTCTCTTGTTGTACACAATGTTGAAGAGCTGTGTACGCAAATTTCAATGGCAATACATGAGCACAGCTCTGGAAAACGGACGGCTGTACAGTATCAAGACCCGTGAAAAACACAAAAGTGTTAACCCCGGCAAAAGGACTTCGTCATTATTAATTACTTTTCTAAAATCAGCCAGAATATATAAGTACGTTTTGGAAAATACGCTCATATCTCACGCATGAATCATATCAAAATGATCGTAACACGATCAAATGTTCCTATCTTACATTTCTTATCCGTCCTTGTTGTTATCTTGAATTTCTGTTGTGGACTTCATGCTTCTGACCATGAAAGCGGTGAACACTCCCACTTAATGCGCAGAGGAATTGGAAATAAGCCTCAACAGCATCCTGAACAAGGGTCTCAAAGCGGTCTGCATTCAACTTCTGCACCTCAACAGCAGGGACATCAACAGCTAAGTGCTCAACAACTATTGCATGCTCATTTGAGAGCAAGATTGTCTAGCATACATCATGCTCAGCAGCATGCTCAATTGCGAGATTCTCTTTATCGCCCAGCTGCAAGAGGTGGTATATCTTCTGCATCACCTTCTGTCCAGCCGCGAGTTAGTGTTAAAAGTGCATCAAGCGCAAAATTCGAGCTGGTTCCAGTACCAGATGGATTGCATGATCATGATGCAAGAGCACATCTTCAAAATATTCAATCAAAAGCATATGCAGATGGACATAGACTTAAAGGACATGCAGTCATTCAAGTTCCATCAAATCATGAAGCTAAGCATGATCTGCCAAAGGTGACAGTTCATTCTGGGCGTAGGGCTGGTCTGGTACATACGTCCTTTTTGCAAGCACCATCAACGCCAAGGCAACCACAACAGTCTCAAATGTTCAGTCAACAGCATCATCCAGGATCTTCATCTGTTGATCCAGGTACACATCAGCCCGTACACAGTTTTCAACTATCAGGTTACACCGCCCCGTCCACAGCCCGTACACATTCTGCAACTACGGCCAACTTGCTCGATCGTGTATCGGGGCAGCAACCATCTCAACCCATTACACAACACGCAGGTGACAAGAGAAGGCGTGAAGGTCACACAAATGCGAATTTGGACACAACTTTGAAATTGGGAAAGAGGAGCTTAGAAGGTGAGAGAAGGGTCCAAAACTATTGATACTGCAACACGTTTGCTAACATTGCAACAGACTATTCTCAGTATCGTCCTCTAAAGAAGAGAGCAAGCAGTAGTGCTAGCGACAGCAAAGGAGAGCCTTCACCTTATCAAAGACATTCTCCAGACTCGGCCTCAGAATCAGGTACCAGACGGGGATCGGGATCAAAATACACTGACTCTTATAATACTATTCTACGACTCAGAGACGATGGCCACACAATCAAAGGTACTTCAGACGTTGGAATCGTTGCAGATAAAAAAGCGAGGATCCCACTACCTCAAATTGACGTCGATCACGGGCGTAGGAAAGGTCATGTTGTTTCTTGGGTTACCATCTCTCCAAAAAGCGCCAAGAAGAGAGACAAAATTGAGAGTAGAATACGCCATCAAAGATTCTCTCGCTCACCTACAAGAAAAATCAAGTCGCAATCAGCTTCGAGATCAGGTTCCATCAAAGAGCCAAGCGCAAACATTAAAGCTACTTCACCAGCGAGATACAGATTTGGATTTATAGAAACTGACTCAGACTTTGCCGAGCATCAAACCAGAAACGCCGTAGAAAGAAGATTAGATCGGGGTCATCACTTACCAAAAGTTAAAGTGTCTCGCACGTTGGGTATTTCGCACTCTGACCACACCCTTCCTGCACTTCATATAACACCTGGAAAAACGAAAGCAAGAGTCACAAGTATTTTCTTTCATCGTGAACACTCTCCTGCTTCTACGCCATCAACATCTCCACATCGCACTCAGAAAGCAAGCACAACGAATCTTATCGAAAGTCTATCAGGTCGAAATCACTCACCGGACCATTCGGGTGACAAGCGAAAGAGGGAAGGTAGCTCAGACAACAATGTCGATACAAAGCTGAAGTTGGGAAAAAGATCATTAAAAGGTGAGAGCAGGCTTTTACGGAATTAAAGCGACGATTACACTAACGAAAGACTTTTCACAATACTCAGAATTCTCCATACTAGAAAAAAGAGCGGACGATCAAGGTGAAAGCAGCAAACAACAATCATCAAGTTATAGGCAAAGTTCTCCCACACAAATGTCCGGAAAGAGATTTTCGGATTCCCAGGTTGCAATTCATCAACTTAAGAAAGGTGGTCATCGAGTGAAGGGTATTTTGGACGTTGGAGTTCCGTCTGATAAAAGTGCGCAACATCAACTTCCACAAATACAGGTTCAACATGGACATATGACCGGTCATGCTGTTTCTTGGATCACAGGTGCGCGTACAGTAGCTGAAAGAAAGGTCAGGTTTCAATTAAGAAAAGGAAAGGAGACCTACTACCGCAAACCTGGAAAAGATGAAAAACTATACACCACTAGACCTTACAGAGCAGCATTTATCGAAACGCACTCGAAACACGCCGATTCTCATCTTGTGAATGATGTTGATCAACTGCTTAAACAAGATCAAAGGCTGTTTGATGTTAAAATAAATGACGTTCATCATCATCGGAATTCTGATCATACATTTCCTGCACTTCAAATAACACCAGGTCAAAAGAAAACGAGGGTAACAAGTGCTTTCTTTCACCGTGAAAAACCTACTGCCTCAAAGCAACCACCCGAGCAGTCCCAACCCATAACCCAACATGCTGGCGATAAACGGAACCGTGACGGCATAACAAAAATGGAATTGGGTAAAAGATCTCTTCATCACGAGATCCAATCTCCAAGGAACTCTATTGGAATCTGGAAAAGAGGAGAGAATGATGATCCCCCGCGCAGCAAAGGTCCTCTGCCAAAGGCTTTTGAAAACAGCTTTTACAGAAATGAAGCTAGAGGAAAGTATCGAAGCAGTATAGATGATCTTAAACGACTAAAAGGTCAAGGACATACAGTCAAGGCAATCTCAAATATTGGCGTTCATGCAGACAGCAGGGAAACGAGAACTGAGCTGCAAGTCAGTATTCGTGACGGCAGACGATCTGGACATGTTGTCACATGGGTAATGCAACACCCAAAGCATTCTTCAACAGCACATGTTGCAGTATATAGGAGGAAGATATTGCCGTCTACATCGCATCATGGTCCTGACGTCCATGTGTCAGGCTTTGTCGAATTGTCAAAACACACGAATGATGACGAGGGTATTGTCTCGCGTGGGGTATACAATTTACACCGTAATGGGTACCTTCTTAAACATACCAGTACTGTTCCAACAAGACGTGATCCAAATGCATCTCATAAATTACCTGCCGTTCATGTTAGACCTGGCAACGAACACGCAAGAGTCTTGAGCGTTTTCGTTACTCCTCGAAAATCTTCACCAACAACACATCAACATAGTTCACCTGGACCGAGTACTCAGCATTCATCCGAAGCAGGTCAGACAATGAATCTGATCGAAAGGCTTGGAGGAGCTTCTTCACCACAACACAGCCATTCAAGCTCAAGTTCAAGAGATTCGAGTCCTGGTGTACGCTCAAACAAGAGACCACGAACGGATCTAAGGCTTTAACTTTCTACTTCTTCTTTTGTTCCGATCCTATTCACCTTACAAATTTTTCATGATTTCGCATCATCATTTTGATTAATTAAAATTAGCCATTGATGGCGCTCATTCTGTCGTATTCGGGGAGCATCTTGTCCTGCATATACACTAGAAAGTCTCGCATACAACTAACACGAATGTTTTGTTGCTTATATAGTCGTTTTTACCATCTTTCAACAAAGCACTATCGAATCGTTACTTGAAATATACGTTTTTATTGCATCATATGGACTCAGCCAATCGCTCTAAGCTCGTGTTTCGTTTACATAATCTGCATTCTGATGATTGTCAACTCTACTGCTATAGCTCAAATAAGCCAAAAACGCTATACTTTGACCATAAGCTCAGATTTTGACCATCTGTGATAAGAGCATGTGGTAAGAATGATGCTTAATATGATCTTGCCAAGAAACACTCTGCAGCTCTACTCTCGAAAAGGTTAAAACAACTTGAGCGAGTCACAGGTCAGATTCTATAGTGGAAATGTTTTTCGAGTATTGTGGTGATCGCTGATGATGGGATGAAAAAATTTTGCCTAAATTGGAAATAGATAAAGGTAAGAAGTTCGGACATGTAAAATCATGGGTTCTGAAACATTAACGTGAAAGATCCTCGCAACATGAATTACAAAAACAAAAAGGAAATGTCATAAACATCACAGTCATCACAGTGACAGACTACGAGTTTAATCGACATGCCTGGAAAGCGGCTGATGTCACCCTCACGGTCGTATAGTTCCGGTTCATATTCTAAAAGAGCTTTTCTCAGCAACAAGAAGTCAAGAAGGCCTTAATCATGTTAAAGTGCCGAGCTGCTTTGCTACCCGAATAAGAATTCGGTATCATACTGAAATACACAATGCGGTGATGTTTCTCCCTTGCATATGCAGATATTAGCAAATCACTTGTTTTGGTTACTATTTTGACCATGAGAAAAGCCCGTCATCACAGCCATTGCGTTTTGAACGCCCTCATTCGCTAGTGATGAATAACTTGAGTGTCCTCAAATTCTCCACAGCCTCCTGTTCATTGACTTGTGCGTTCCCAAACTTCCCACAGCCTCGTATTTATGGAATAGTTTATCCTTCAGTTCCGTCATATGTGCATAGAGCTTTTAAAACATCTCTAAACAATCATACTACTTCTCCTTCTGCTTATATCCCCGTCGTCTATCTGTGAAGAACAATGGTAATGTTCACCTTCATCAGAAGTGCATGCTTTATTTCATTATTATCCGGGTTGATTGGCGTGCTCAAAGCCACCAAAGATACAAATTCTGGATCTTCTCATGATCGCGTTCCATCAACAGCTAGTCTGAAAAGCGCTTCAACTGGTTCTTCCGATGTACGGATGACCAAATTGCAGCTGGGGTACTTGCCTGAAACTGGCAAGGGTGTAGGTACTTCAACTCAACCAAAAAGCAAAAAGCGCAAAGATATGTCAGCCAGCTCGGATCAAAGCAAAAAACAATTGCGATTCGATCCGTTACACTCTCCATACAAAGGAGGTGATAACAAGCTCTTGCAACTGATCGAAGAAATGCCTGGGATCGGTAAAGCGCAAAGACAATCGATAATTGTTAAGGAAGAACTATTAGGAAGAATCTCAAAAGCACGCAAGTTTCCACTTCATCCAGTCAAAACAAATGATTGGGATAGAGAAAAGCTCAAACGTAAGCTTTTGGATACCGAAAGGGTTAAACGAAGACCTTTGGCTCAATTGCGTGGTTCAAAAACGCAAAGTTCGACTACAGGTTTGATTCAGTTGGGCTCCGATACTGGCAGTAGTCACAGTAAACATACTGATCTGGATACGAATCTTAGCTTGAGTAGATCAAATACCTTTTCAAGTCCCCAAACATTCACCTCACCAAGAGCAAGTAGTGCAGTGAACCCTAGTTCTAGCAGTGGTAGCATAGACACTGGAGCAAGACCCAGAACATATTAGTGATGCGTGTATATCTCTTTGTTCAGCCTCTTTCTTGATTCGATTAAATGATTCATATCTATCTCAAAGTCATAAGACCCTTGCTTGAGCTTCATTTCAGAGCAGAAAGAGTATCAGGTGACATATCTTGCATATGCGACCAATTCATTGTACAAACAAATTCAGCGGAACTGTGTAAGTTCTTCGGCTCGCTGTGAGTATGCGGTGAAGCATAACTCAAAGGCAGTTCTGACGCCCCGAAGGGAATGAAAAATACAAGATAGATTACCTTGAGCACAATATTCCCTACCTTTGTCTCAGCTTGTTTCCTCAGTTGCAATTGTAGATAACATGCTTGTACAAACATTTGCCAAGATTGTCACCATATTGATCTTCTCCTGTCTTGGAGAATGTATGAGGCCGAATACGCCTACTGGTCATCAGGGAAATGCTGATGGACAAGCAAGTAGTCAGCCTACTACTTCGGGTGCGACTACTTCCCTTCCTCATAGAATCAACCCAGTATTCACCGCTACTGCGAGGATGAAGCCTGTTACTGGGTTTGCAGATCCGAGGTATGCGGAAGGATATCGACAAATAAAGGCTTCTTCTACCACGAAACAATTAAAAGGAGTTTCGCATACGGGTATTCTTGGAAATCCTTCTTCTGAATACAAATATCCAAAATTGACCTTGAAATCAGGCAGAAAGGAAGGTGGAATCATAAGTCACTTTCATCATCCGAGAGAGATTCCAGGACAGGCACCATATGGATACATGCAACATCAACAGCTTGAAACAACCTTGGATCGAAACACTCTCGCAAGAAAGGACCCGCTCAACTTTAGAAAACATGATCGTTCAACGCCCAATAAACGTACCTTCGAAGCTGTTCGAGAATGGCAGGACAATGCACGACATCCAAAAGCATCTTTAGCTTACATGGTGCCTGCCAATCCTTCTGCAAGTCATAAGAGACCAAGAGTTGACGTTGATGGAGGGAATTACCATGGCCATCTAGTCACTCTTCTCTATGGTCCTGAATCACCTCCGAAGCAAAGCAGTCGTAATCGTTCACCAATCAGCGGAACAGCAGCTCATCCCAGCGCACAAGAAGATGATGATTTCGCTCGAAGCCTTTTAAGATCCCGAACACCCTCACCAGATGCTGGTGAAAGTAGTAAGAGAAGACGCACAGGGGAGTTGCCAAAATGAGCAAGAGCTTTACTTTACTATCCTCGTCCTTGACCTGACGCTCAACACTTTTGATTTTGTCAACAGAAACCGCATCTTCTGCTTACTGAAGCATCCTGTAGCCATCTTCAATGTTGATTGGTCTTTTGTATATTGGTGGTAGATAATCTTCATGACAGATGCAGCAATTTTGTGGCTGTTTTTTGAACGAACGGTTTGCTTTTTGCCGCGTTTTTGACACTTTTTTCGTGGTGGGGTTGAATAAAGATATAATATTACACATGCAAAAGCTAAGAATAGTTATTCTACCTTCTCCTTCAGCCATCTAGCGCCACTCTGCAAGCTTTGCGTAAATGCCTTAAGAATTCATCAACCTTTGCAAATGCAGAAGGTTCATCTAGTTCATAATGGTGAAAATTTTGATAATGCAACACATTGTGTACGCTTTTTACGCAATTTTCCTATACTTGCCTCAGCCTCTTGTGTTCTGTAATTTGTGCGACTTTTTGCCCCGACAAGTCGAATTATCACCATGAATGATATTGCGCATCTCTTTGCTTCCAACCATCATTGAAAGTACAATATCGCAGAACGAAGCAGTCGAAATGCAATTGTCCTTGTTTCACCATCTCTTGCATCTCTTCCTGCTGTTGTCTGTCGTACAATGTATGCGGCCTGCACATCAACAGGACAGCCCAACTCATCAATCTTCCTCTCGACAGGCTACCGGAGGACAAGCACCGACTGCTCTAAGTGCGTCAGAACCAAATTCTCAACAAGCTGGTCATCCTGTTCATCCTGTAGATGTGAGTACTGGAAGAATGAAGCCAGTCACAGGACCAGGTAGCCCAAGGTTTGGTAGAGCATATCACAACATCCGGACAAGCCCTGGTGGTGCAAAATTAAAGGGAGTGTCTCATACCGGCATTCTTGCAAATCCCAACTCGGAATTTGATTTCCCAAAGATGACTGTGACTAGAGGAAACAAGGAAAGCGCTGTTATAAGCCTTTTCCATCATCCTAGACACCCCCCAGGTGATGGCCCCTATCAATACATGCAGCGTCAACAGCCAGATACGACTGTTGATAAGGCTGATCGCGCGAAAACATATCCTCTTGGATTCAGAAAACATGAACCTGGGTCGGAAGATGATCACCGTACTCGTTCAAGGCTAGACAGCATGTCATCCGATCAAACTCATCCGAGAGCCGCAATATCATACAGAGTAGGTGCTGATCAGAGAGTAAAACATAAACGTCCAAGAGTAGATGTAGATGCTGGAAAGTATCATGGTCATTTGTTAACCTTTGTTTTTGGTCCCGAATCGCCCCCAAAACATGGTACTCAAGGTCAATCTTCTGCAAATACCGGACATCAACAAGGAGGCCACGGCGACCCTCTCGCACACGACTTTACACAAACATATGCGTCTGGCCAAGGCTTGTTCAGAGCTCACTCTCCCGACCGTGGTGAAAATAGCAAAAGAAGACGAGTAGATTGAACAAGATTACTGTTTCCTTTCGCAGCTTGTACGAGATCTGCAAATTTACTGCATGTACCTTTGTTGTGTATCAGAATGTGCTGATGATGATCCCAGCTTTTGTTCAGTATGCAAGATCTGGAGCCCTCTTCGCCTCTTATGACGATTGTGTGCCATGAATGTAATGTATATTATTAGCTAGTCCTCTTTGTAACTGATGAGCCTCGCTGTACAAAAGCCTCCTTTTAACTACGCTGCGGATATTACATAAGCGCATCTGGCTGCCAATCAAAGGTGCGATGGCCGCGGCGCTTTTTTGCAGGTGCATACATCCATCGTTCTAATGTCTGCTTCAATTTCAATCAATCTGAGACACTGTACTTGAAAGACTATTGACCATTCCCTGAAATTGATCAGTACAGCCACAATGTGTATCATCAACAACAACTTAAATTAATTGCAATTTTTCGCAGTGAAAGTATATTCGTATATCGCAAATTTTGAACAAATCGCAAACATACACAATCATTGTTTGTTTCCGCCCCTGTTCGGGGTGATCGAAAGACTGAAGCAGGCTTGATGTTGTTATACTAGTTCAAAAAAGGCAAGATGGGTTTTGTTTCTCTTCTTTCATCACATTGGCAGAACGTCAAGCAAATTCAACAAAATGCACGTCAAGTTGATAAAAAGCATTCTTACAACAATTCTCAATCTGACATTGATTTGCAGAAGTTTGACAGCTGATGATCCACCACACATTAGTCTTTATGGTCATCTTTTGGATCAACCAGACGTAGGCACATCAGAGGGAACGTCGCGAGGTAGTCATCCACCAATGAAAATCAGTACAGCGAGAATGAAACCCGTTACATCACCTGGAAGTCCAAGATTGCAAGCTGCGAAGGCACAAATACTTGCTGGACCGAACAAAGTCTTCAAGGGAATTTCGCATATCGCTGTTTCATCGATTGGTGATACACAACATTTGTATCCCAAGGTTTCTGTTAGACCAGGAAGAAAGGATAGCACAGTCCTTAGCCTTTTTCGTCATCCACATGTTTATCCTGAAGGAGCAAAGCCGTATGAGTATATGCAACATCAAAATTTGGATTTAGTTGGCGATGTCCATCAACGGGCAATGATCTATAAAGTTGGGTATCGTAAGATTGATGATCCCGATTCGGAAGATATTCACCATTCAAGAACGATCCAACAACATATGGCAAGCAACCAGTATCATCCAAAAGCTGCTTTGGTAAGCACTGTACCGGGTGATCCTCGAGCAAGACGAAAAGGTCCGAAAATTGATATTGACCCAGGCAGATTATCGGGACAAATATTGACGCAAGTGTACGGGCCTGCTTCACCTCCAAAACACGGCAACCCTACTCATGAATATCAAGGTCAACCGCAAGGAAGTGGTGGTGCTGGTAGGGCACATAGTCCATCTCATGATGCAGCCAGATTTCGTTCTACCTCTCCTGGTGGATCAAGTAATAGCAAAAGGCAACGTACACAATAAAGCGAGACTCTTCGAAGCTCATGCATAGTAGTGTACATTATTCAGATTCCAGCTTTTCGTTTACTCTTGATTTATTGTTTATCCCTTTATCGTCTTCTTTGCTATCAATTCTTCCCTCCCTTATAAGCTTTTTGTTTTATTATCAATATTAAAAGCTCTATCGAACGTAAATTGTATACCTTTGGGCAATAGATTTCTTTGCGCCCGCCGCCATCGTATATTAAGTCCCTTTGCTGTGTTTGCTTTATGCAAATCATGTAGTTTGAGTGTTTGTCTTTTTATTTTGAAGAAATGCCTCTCTCTCTATAGAAACTTTCATCACCACTGCCGACTGTACAGATGCTGAATATGAAAATACATTTTGTTATGATTGCTTCTAACCTTGTGATCACAGGCCTTTCAGTCAATCCGGATAATCCAATCAGTATCAATGCTCCTCTACTTAATCAAAGCCAGGAGAGCGCACCAGGAGGAGCTTCATCATCATCTCACGGTAGTCAGCATTTGAGATTTAGTACCGGAAGAATGAAGCCAGTCACATCGATAGGAAGCCCAAGAGTTGCGGATGCGGCTATAGAAAGGAGTAAGAGGAATCACAATAGTATCAAAGGTCTCACAACCACTGCGGTTTCGTCTGATCCTTCCTCTATACATGCTTATCCGACTGCCACAAACTGCCTGTGCCAGGCAATTTCTTGCGGGGGTCTGTACTAGAGCGCAAGAAGCATTTTCTACTTTTCCGCATGTATATATAGAAGAGAAAGCAGGCAAAGCTCGTTTACAATAGTATTCTACCATTTTGCTAAATCCTATCTCAAACTTATTCTTGACATTGCAGATCGTCCCCTTGATCATCGAATAGTAAAGATTTATGAAGGTTGAAATTACGTCATTGCTACGTTTTCAAATGTTGTGTATAGTATGCATATAATCAAAGCAGTAAGAATGTCATTGTTGTAGACATAGCAGCGCATACAGCGTCCTTGAAAAACAGAACGGGCTTAGATAGAGCCCCGAATTTGAAGAAGAAAGCTATAAAATCTAACAATGTTGCCACTAATTTTGATAACTATTCGAAACGACCATCTAAAGCTACAATGCGTTTTGTTACCAGGTACTCTATTCTAGCAGTAGCCCTTTATATCACACTTATTTGCTCTGTAGCCTTTGGTCTTTCGCTTAAGATTACCGATGAGGAACTCGAAAAGGCCAAAGGTACAGGACATGCATCACCGCATGCTCCTTCTACATCATCTCAAGAGCCTTCAGTGTTCAAAACTCATCGAATGGTAGCCTCAACGGGACCCTCAAGTCCAAGATTACGGGAGAATTTCAAAAAGATACGGAATGATAATACTGCATCAGTTAAAGGTATATCATTGACTGGAGTGCTGAAAGATAAGAAGTCCGCATTTCTCTATCCCAAAGTGACAAAGATTGCTGGAAAAGAAAGAGCATACGTTTTAAATTTGTTTCATAGCCCAATTCAAGAAAAGGGAATCAAGCCAAATATGCATATGCACTTCAGGCAACAAGATCATCCAGCCGATCTAGCACAAAGAGCAAGCTTTTATCAAATTGGCCACATCAAAGACCGTATAAGAAACAATATACACGTAAAAAGAGTCAATGAACAGATCGGAGAGATGAAAAAGGACGTCTTTTCTCCCAAAGCCGCAATGATACACGACATGCCTGCAAATCCTCATGCGCATCAAAAGCTTCCTTCTATTGCCGTAGATGGGGGTAAGTTTGATGGTAATTTGATTTCGTTGGTCTTGGGTGCACCATCGCCAAAAGGTAGTAAGCGGAAATCTGCAGAACCTGGTGAACATGCTGCAAGCAGTCATCAAGTACAGCCTGATGGAACTATTGATATGCTTAACCGGGTTGGTAAGTCCCAATATCAGAGTGAAAGTGCGGATAGTAAGGGCAAAAGGAGGCGTACAGAATAAAGTTAATACAGTACATTCTATACTTTGCTGCAATCCATCACTCAAACTCACTTCATGTATGATATCCCCGAAGAAACGCCAAATTATTGCATGTCTTTGTGTTTGATCGTAGTCAACACAGCGCCCCTTCGAAATATGACCCCGGCAGCTTGAAGTATGTGTATCAAAAGTTGGCATGATTTGACTTTGCTCCCTAATATCATCGAAATCTACACTTCTGGTGAAGATCAACCATGAAAATCTATTCCAAGCTCTACATCGTCTCAGTCTATGGTGCCCTCCTCTTTGCAGATGCCATTCGTTGTTTGACGTCGAATCATCCGAATGAAAATCAGTCTCATCAAACAGGCACTACAGGTCGACCAACTTTGTCGGTCGATACTAGTCGAATGACACCTACTACAGGCTTACGTAGCCCTAGATCAAAACAATCGTTTGATCGTATCATGCACCAGGAAGGTCAAACATTTCATTCTTCTGCCTACAACGGCGTTCTTGCTGATCGCACATCCAAGTATTTATATCCAAAAGTCAGCGTTGAAGCGGGCAGAAAGTCAACCAATGTAGTCACCATGTTTCAAGCTTCTGGTAATGTAGGCAATCATGTCAAGCCGCATTTTTATAGGCCCTATCAAAGATCTGAAAATCCAAAAGATATTCAACAACCAGCAAGTCTTTATCGTATAGGTACAGTCAAAAATAACGATCATGATGCAAAGGCTATTTTAACTCAACTTAGAAGTATGCATGCCGAAGCTAGAAAACCCAAAGCGGTGTCATTCATCAAATCCCCGGCAAATAAAGACGCTTTGCATAAGAATCCAATCGTCCGTATAGACCCTGGTACTTTACATGGTAATATGGTTACCATGGTATATGCTTCAGACTCTCGCAAACAAGAGAAAAGTTGGTTAAAGCTAGGCCTGCCTCACGGAGAGCATTCACAAGGTGGTCTTCATGCTACAGCATCAAGACAACCAGTCACACCTGAGCAACAAGCCTCAAGTGGATCTTCACGCCCACGAAAGACCACATTGAATTTGTTTCCTAGCGCAGATGAGCATCGATCCAGTCGTACTAGTCAAAATGGACCAGCAAAGAAGAGCAAGAATGCTTGAATGCACCATCCTACATACCTCCAATGGAGAGTAATTTGATCTTTCCACCTCTATCACTTCAATGATTCGTCGAGATCAAGCTGCATCTCTCACATCTCCCTCCCTTCTCATACTTCAATCAATCAATTGTCCATTTCATTACGTAATTGTCCGAGTTCAATTTTTAGTATACATGTTGTCTGCTTTTCCGATTACGGACAGGCCTCTTCTTTGATGATATCAGCTGCGTACTCTGCGATTCCATAAACTGTCGCTTGAATATGTGCGCTTAGATGCAATGGAATGATGGAAGCGTCAACAACACGTAAGTTTGACGTTCCATACACTTTTAATTTTGTATCAACCACTCCTCCATCTTTTCGAGGTAGCATTGAAGTCGTTCCGATGGGATGATATTCAGATGCGAATGTTGTACGTGTGTATTCGTGTATGTCAGCTTGCAATCCTGGAATTGCTTCGGACTTGACAAATGCATCACTGTAAGCAGGACTGTTGCCGATCTTGCGTAGATACTGCGTCCCGAAAGTTGAGACATCAAGATCGAAAGGCGCATGAAAGTAGTTTGGTCGAATGCTTGGTGATAACGAAGGATCGGAACTTGTGATATGAATCGATCCACGGCTCAAAAGATGCTGTTGAGCAGCTAAGAGTGTCATGTAGGCTTTTCGTTGACCGGGTGTACCTGTTGTCGAGTAGAAGCCATTGATCCCCACCACTTCCATTTGTGCGCTCACGTCAAGATGCTGTGTCAAGTACTCCAATTGTTTCACCAACGTTTTCTTGAAGGGATACGTCGTGGCTGCGACAAATGTTCGTGCTGATTGAATGATGCTCGCAAGTTTGCCCGTGTCAGGAATCAATTGAGGAAGTGTGAGATATCCGATTGCAGGTACAGCAGTACCCAGTATGGACGGTTTGCCTGCCGCCCGTAGCTTTTCTTGTTCAGTAGAAAAAGTCGTATTGAAGCGCAATGTATCCAGAGTGACCTGTCCCTCCTTCAACTCATATGCAACGGATGTATAGGTGTGATCTTGAAGATTTTCTCCAACACCTGGCAAATCGATCAATTGCTTCACACCGGCTGCTTGTAATACTTTGATATTACCGATCCCACTGAGCTCTAGCAATTTGGGAGTGTTGACCGAGCCTCCAGAGACAATGACTTCCTCCGAAGCCCTTACAGTGTATGTGTGACCACCACTTGAAAAAGTCGCACCGTGAGCAGTTAATAATGTAGGGTCACTTGTAGACTTTTCCAACACGATCTTGTCAGCCACTGTCGAGACCAAAATTTTCAAATTTGATCGATGTTTATTTGATTGTAGATACGCTACCGGTGAACTTTGTCGAATTTGCAAAGTTGGATCAATATCACTCGGTTGAATGGATACGCCCAGATTGTCACCAGACAATGGCGCGCTATTCTCTTTCAAACCAATTGACTGTAATGCCGGAATCCAATATTTGACTTGATTGGAGATGTATTGTGGCAAGCTGATTTTTACCGGTCCTTTGTCACCAAGCTGGGTATTATCTCCTTGAATCGTATTTTGTGTAGAAGTGAACATTTCAGCTTTGCGCATATACTTGTCCATCATTTGCCAATTCCATCCTTCGTTTCCCATCTCTTCCCATGCATCGTATTCGGCTTTTGAGGCACGATCCCAAACAAGAAAGTTCAATACCGAGCTGCCGCCCAAGACATGCCCTCTGGGCCAAGCGATCGATCGATCTTGTCCACTTGATGAAGTTGTGTAATTCCAATCGTACTGTGTTTTCAGATTTGCGCCAAATCGACCTGGGATTAGATTGATTGGGTCGTCAAAGCCTTTTGATCCTGCTTCAATCACGCCTACGAGGTTTGTTTGAATCTCTGACAAGCGGGTTGCAACGGCCAATCCTGCCGTACCACCTCCGATTACCAAATGAGTGAAATTTGTTTCAGCGAACGTTTTGGCGTCATTTATAATGCATGCGTTAAAGTCAGGTGAAGTCGATCGACGAGCTTGATTCAAAGGAAGCGCAAGAACAGATGTCAAGTAGAAGGTATGAATGATTACGTTGAAGAGAAACAGACTTTTCATTATTGAGATTCAAATGGAAAGGGAAGGGATGAGGAGAAGTAGAAGGAAACGTTCGTAAAGATTGGGCCATTTTATACTTTTCGATCAATGGTTGCGCGGCCCTCAAAATCTCAATGAGAAAGTACTACATGGAAGGCTGGGAAACAAACAGCCGAATATCATCATTCGTACGGAAACGGAGGGGTTCCTGCTTTGGCGTAATGATCATCTTGAGCGACATGTACTCGGACCGACGCCAAAATGCAGCAATCCCGAAAATAGAACCACTCTAGACATGCAAAGGGGCAAAAAAACGACCGCAGTAGCGTTCCCGATGGATCTGTGATGGTTGTTGTATATCATCAAAGAAGTTATATACGTTGAATGTGGGCGTGCATTTGCTTACTTTTCCCAGCCTTCAGCCCATGACTTGCATGAAGTTCGTACGAATGAAGGATGAGCGTGAGAAATCAAATGCACACAAGAAAGCATAAAAGTTGATTTGTTGTTACGCGTAGACAAAGGCGGCTTCTTCTTAGCGTGTTGTAGTGGAGAATTAAAAGTGTTGTTCTCTTTTTATAACAACATTCATTACCGTCATTTGTGTTAGACAACGATGAACATTGATGCAAGCCAAGAACTCGGCAACGATGCGAAAAGAGTCAAGTCCATCTATCAGCATTCTTCTACACATACTTCAATCATTGAACAACTATTAAATGCTCGACATGACATACACATCTCACAAGCCAGAGGATTGTGCTCCCGTGTATACAAGATCCCATCTGGGCTAATACGCCGCAACACACAACAAGATGAACAACAGCTGTGCATCAAGAGAGTAGATGAAGATGATCAATATGCTCCTCATGCTGTTGCAAGAGAAGTTTTGGCGTATTCAATCATAGGCAGTGCAAGTAGGACAGAGGGTGCAGATTGTATCATGAATCTCGTAGCAGCATTCAAAGATGAGAGTGATGATTTTACCACTCTGTATGATCTTGTGATGCCTTGGTATCCGTGCACACTGCAAGACTTGCTAGACGAGCCGCATTTCCAAATCAGTCAAACTGCAAACGGATCAAGTTCAGAGGCAGATGAAGAGCAGAGACCCGCTCTACAAATAGCGAAAAGCATCATTGATCCGGTAGCATTCATTCAAAAGGTTACATCGCAACTCTTTTCTGCACTTTGCTTCCTGCACGCCAACGGAATAGCACATAGGGATGTGAAACCGACAAACATCTTACTCAAAACAGTCGGAACGAACGACATCCAATTGATCGATTTCGGTACTTGTTTCTTATCTCAGAATCGATACACGCCTGGCGATGACGGAAAAGGTGGATTGGCAAGTGAAGTTGGAACAAGTGCATATCGGGCACCCGAATGCCTGCTTTCACCATTGAATGGCTATGATCCCTACAAAGTCGATATATGGCAAGCAGGTGTTACATTGGCAGAATTCTTCCTTCCGCTCAAGGATTTGAATGAGGAGAAAGAAGAAGCCCTGTCAGAAGAGGAAGACAACATCAGTAGACCTGACGAGCGACTGGACTGGGAGCGTGCATTGTGGTCAAAAGATGATGGAAAGGGATGGACAGACTTGCATGAACGATTCGACAAAATACAAGGACATTCAGAAGACTTCTTCAGTGTAATAGACGATCCGCAGCCTAAAGTGCAAAAACAGCAAAATCAATCGAGCTTCACCAGACAGACACTATTTGAAGGAAGCAGAGGAGATTTGGGTTTGGCAAATTCAATCTTTGACATTTTGGGCTTGCCAAATGGCGATGCACAAGGTGAAGCAGAATGGCCTGAAGCGGTTCACTTTCAACCATCGCTGTCAAGACTGCCTTTCAAAAGACGGCTGCCAAGAGAAGGAGGGCTGAAAGGGTATCTCACAGACTTTGTATCAGAAGAGATCGCAAAGCCGCTCAGTAGGGTGCTGGGCGTATTACAAGAGAGCATACGACTTTCAGCAAGAAGCAGAATAGATGCGGCAAAAGCAGTAGAACAACTTTCCAAGTAATGTAGCATATATACTAATAAAAAGAGGTGTGAATTCTATGGGGTATAGTACATTTTTCTTGCAATCCTTATACGATTATACAACCATTTCCGCCTCCTTCCTCATCATCAGAATCTGGTTCCGGATCTTCCAAGGGAGGAAGTGAATGTGATCCAAATTCATCTAAACGACCTTTTGTTGATGTCACTTCTTGCACGAAACCTAAGCCTTGGCTAGATTTGGCCGTACCATCCTCACCATCTTCCTCTTTGCTCTCTTGCTCGCTTTGACTGACTTTTCCGTCAACAAGAGTGTGATTCTTGGCGGGATCCGATCTCTTTGGCGGAAGTAAGCCGGACAATTTGAGAGCATCGATTCCCGAGAGCCAATCGTCTGGAGGAAATTCGATATTCCATTTGATGTACAGATCACCCGTTCGTGCTGATAGATATCCTGGAATACCTTCACCTCGCAATACACAAACATCACCCGGTCTGATCACTTCTCCCTTCTTTGTCTCGATCCTGATTGAACGCCCATCCAAATGCGTAAAGACAGTGCGATTCAATCCAAGCAATGATTCACTTAGAGTAATAATAGCCTCTGTCAATAAGTCGTTGTTGTTGACCTGAATGGAGTCATGTTTGCGTAACTTGAGAGTGAGAATCATATGACCAGGCTTTTTGCACCCAGGTACGCAATCTGCCTGTTCACGAAAGACGAGTTTCTGACCATCACGCATACCCGGAAAGATCTTTACGTCCAATTTTGCTTTTGCTTTGACAGTTTGAGAACCTTTGCATCGTTTACATCTATCACGTTCACGAACCCTCATTCCTACTCCTTTACAGGAAGTACAATCGACATACATTTGACGAACGTATCCATTCCCCATACTTTGTAATTTTGTCTTACTTCCACTTCCACTACATTCAACGCACTCTTGTGCTTTTAGTCCGGGTTTGGCTCCACTTCCTTGACAGGTTGGACAAAAGATGTCGTGTGACACTTGAAAGTGAGTCTCTCTGCCCATATAGAGATCTTCTAGGGTTACTGTATAGTTCAAAGTAGTTGCTGGCGCTTGCTTTCGTTCTCTTCTTGCTCGCCTTCTTCCACCACCACCTCCTCCGCCGCCCATTCCCATACCATCCATTCCGCCCATTCCGCCCATTCCACCAAACATAGAAGCAAATATATCATCCATATCTGCATCCATTCCTCCCCCACCGCCACCCGGTCTCATTCCTTCTTCTCCAACTTGATCGTACGTTGCACGTTGTTGATCATCATTCAAGATTTCAAATGCATGATTGAGTGTTTGAAATTCTTTACTTGCTTCTTCTTGTCTGTGTGGGTTCTTATCAGGATGACATTCGAGTGATTTCTTGTGATATGCTTTTTTGATTTGTGATTGACTTGCTTCTGGTTCAACACCCAACAGATCGTAAAGTGTTGTATCCACCACCATCTTTGCGGGATGATGGTCTTCTGCTTAGGTGGAGTAATGTTAACGCGCCGCTGCATACAAAAACTTACGAGACTTTCTATAGTCCGAAAGCCGAAGATTGAATTGATGATAAGCGTGATAGTCATTATAATTTCATGTTTTCGTGAATTATTGTACAATTGAATACATCATAACAAGGTAAAGAATATCTAGATAGTACGTATCAATGTTTGATAGGGATAAAAGACCATGCCGTACCAAAACTTGCAACGAAAAAGGTGATGATCAAAATGGTAAAATCGAGCATGATTTGTTTCTTTGACATTTCATGACGGAATAAACGTAATTTAGCCAAAAGAGGTCCAAAAATGCACGTCACACATGCCAAAAATGCACCCAAGAATGCCATCACTTTCTCAAACCCGGGAAGAACAATCGCTGTTGTCCCAATTGCCACTGTGATGAGAACTTGAACTCCAATTCGTGTTCCTAATCGCGTCGATTTTGACCAATTCGCCGTTCTTTGTGCTGCTCGCAAGGTGATCGTAGAGCCCATCAATGGACTTTCTTCATGTGCACCAGCCGCATTCTGCGCATTGTCCTGCTGCTCATCCAAATTCTCGGATTCGACAGCGCCGTTGTGTTTTGTAGGCGTGGTTTCCACTCTTGTCGTCGGTGTTGCATCTCCCGGTGAAGTGACATCAACTGTAGCGGACGGAGTAATCTTTGGAGAGCTTGATGCAGGATTGGGTACTTGAGACTGCTCAACACCCAAGACTAATTCAACTGTGGTCACCAGCGGTCTTGCTGCCAAGGCAAATTTGGATAACGGGTTGATGATGATAAGCCAGATTGCAACCTTGTTCAAAATGCGTGGATAACCATCAGTTTGAGACAAATCCCTTGTGATTTCATCGGATACCATTCTGCCGAACATCAAATATCCAATCAATCCCATTCCAAGATAGATCAAAGTTGCAGCAATGTATGCCCAATCCAACATTTGGCAAAATTGTCTGGGATTTCGCATGTCCTTGAACAAGCTCGGAATGATTGGATGACTACTAAAGCCGCTCATAATAAGGCCAAAACTGAGTGGGAAACGCATCCATTGAGGTCCGAGATCAATTGGCATTGGCTGCAATAATGATCCTGGGGATGTCTTCTTGATCAGACCATCTGAGAGGACGACAACAAAGAGCGTCACAACGCTAACGATCCCCACAACTGAGATCGGGCTCAGGAATCGCAAGGGCAAAAACATCGTTGGCAAAACGATCAGAACTCCGATTGCTTTGTATGCCGCTGGTGACCATGTTGCTAACTCGGAGATAAAATTTGATGGATTTCCTTCTTTGCTAGTTGAGAGTACCAAAGCATGCAAGCTGTCGCCAAACAAGATGACCAAAGCTGTTGAAACTGCCCAAAGCTCCAAGCAGAAGAAAAAGCTTACAAGAATTCGAGCTCGCGATCCAAAAGCAAAGTTTCCGATATCAGCATATGTTCGTAGTGATGGTTCGGCAGACATGATGTGAGCCAATACCTTTCCGGTATAATTTGTGACCAATCCACTCAAGATAAAAAGGATAATCCCAGGGATCAAGCCAGCATAGCTTATTGCTAGTGGAAGTGCCAAAATACCAATCCCAATCAGCGCATTTACTGTATTGAACCAACTTTGCCAGAATGTGCTCGATCCATAGCCTTGCATGCGATACTTGCCCGATGTAGCGCTCACACCAGAATTGCGGAACCAGGAAGGTGTTTTGAGAAAAGGTGGTCTTTGCAAGCCTTGCGCTTCTTCCAGCTCATCATCATCATCAACTGAGAGATAACGTTTCGAATCTTTTCGTAGCAGAGAGGATCGCTCATTTGCAGTTGAATCGAGATTCCTTTTGTTCATGTTCGAGCGAATAGAGCGGAGGATAGGAAGCGATCCTTGTTCTTGCCCGTCGCTGTCAGGCTTGTTGGATGATGAAAAGCGCAAATGTGAAGATCCAGGCCTGCTCACACCAACACGCTTAGGACTTCTACTTCTACTGCGACTTCGTTCATCTTCTTCATTGCTATCGTCAGTTATTCGTTTGATATTTCTGTTCGTGGTTCGAGTATTCGTTTGTGGTTTCCTTTCTGAGGTCCTTTTTATTCCCCGTCTTCCAGGTGAGCTTTCTCGGGAGCCTCTCCGTACCCTTCTGCCTAGCATGCTCAGATCTTGTTGTCGACCAACTGCATTTGGCGGAAGTTGTTCGTCTTGCCATTCCATCGGACCTGCTGGGCTTGCTGCTACAACGTCGTCATATCGTGATCGTCTGTACTCATCGTCATAGCCCTCTTCATCCTCGTCACTATAATCAGATTCGTCCAGCTCCTCTTCTTCATCTATACTCGCTTCATCCATCGAAGAGTCAATTCCACCATTCACATTTGATGGACCTGCCCAATGACGATCGACAAAAGAAGGAGAAGTTGAAATATTATCACCATAAAATGCTTGTGAACGAGAATAAGACCAAACCAAATCCAAACTACTTCTCCATGGTGCTTGTGTTGTTTCACGAACGCTTGGTCGTCTTGCTTGATGATTTATACTTCCTCTGCCTGAAGGTGTGGCTAGGGCGCCTGTCCTTCGATTATTGTTATTTACACTTTCAACATTTCTACTTTGATCTCCTTTTGGAACGGGTATTCCTTCTCTAGCAGGTTGAGCCATTCCCTAATTCTCCTTCTTTACAATTCCCACCGAAAAGAAGAGAAGAATGATTCGCTGTGAATTGAGTGATATGATAGGTGATGATGATGTATGATATCGGTAGGAGAGAAGGTTTCAAATTTGTTTGAGGAGAGCATTGTCAACCCCGCTTATTGTATTGTATGCATCATCTCCCTTTGCGTGTGTGTGTGTTTCTTTTATTTTTTTTTTTCTAATCTCTTTTTCCAAAAGAAACTTTCAATCCAGGCAGGTTGACGCCTGGGGAAACTTTACACAAATTCCTTGACAGGCAGGCACACATACTCACGCGTTTACGGCGCCGTACCGCGCGCACGCAGCACACGGCCTTATCAGAGCAATTCTTGGCCGAAAGAATTGATTTGAGCTGGGCAGTTACAGGCACAATTCCTTGCTCAGCGGAATTCCGTGTTTGGCGGTTTTTCGGCCGCTTGTATTCTGTACCTTTGTTCAGGCACAAGTTCTAGTTAACTTAACCTATCTATCCGCGCTGAACGTTGAATAAAGATTCAAATGTCATTTATTTGCTATATATCTTGCTTTCAATATGCTAATAAGAATTAAGAATACACAATCTGTTTATGACATACTTTTTGTGTGTATTGCATTCGGGTCTTAGCCAAGTGATCTCCAATCAAGTGGCTATGAATGTGCGGCTGAGTGTAGACTTATAATTCAGAAATGACGACATGACAACTTTCCATAATTTTATTAGCATCATCTGCTACACCTACCATGTATACCATGTGGAGTCACGTTGTTCTTATTTTAGTAGGCTTCTGTGCTGTTGTCTCGACAATGGATAAGGATCCATTCGCAGGTTTAAAGAAAGATCTTAGTTTGTCTCCAGATTCTGTCTCGACAATAGATAAGGATCCATTTGCAGGTTTAAAGAAAGATCTTAGTTTGTCTCCAGATTCTACCGATTCTCCTGCTGTCCCACAGTCTCGATGGAAAGAGTCAGAGATCACAAGTGGAAAGAAAAAGTGGATAGCCCCTCCAGGCTACTACACGAGTGAAAAGAAAGATGCAAGAATGCTAGCAGGACTCAAGAGGAAAAATCCGACGTTGAGCGAAGAAGAAGTACAACAATTATTCAAAACAAAAAAAGAAAATAAATGGAAATACCCTCAAGATCATTTCAGAAAGGATATCTTTATTGAAAGAATTAAGCAAAAGATTTTAAAAAAGAATCCTGAAGTTCAGCCTGACGCAGCTGAGAAAGATGCAACGGGAAAATACACAGACTACATGAAGCAAAAATCAATAGTAATGAGAAAACAAAGGGTTGCAATGAAAAAAGCAAAGGAGTACGTAAAGAGTATCGATGGAGATTTAGCCAAAACAATGCGTGTTCGTGTCTCAAATAAAAAGGTCGATTGGATTGCAAGAAAAACGAGATGGCTCAAAAAAACCAATAAAAGCCTAACAAAATCAGATGCAGAAGAAGAAGCTCATAACCAATTTGCAGAAAAACGCAAAAAAGAAGCGTTGAGAAAACGGAAGCAGAAAAGTGAAGCTCTTCAAATCAAGCCAAAGCCATCTAATGACTGAGAAGAGAGAAATGGCTTCGCATTTTCACGGCGTAAGCAAAACATTTTCATGCCCCGATCGTTTCTCCAGATCGTATTCATGCACCTTTCTCACATGTCGCCTGGCGCTGATTCTTCTAAATCTGCATACCTCTTCCCACATTTTGTCAAAACCATTCTATTCTGCCTACATTGCAACAACTTCGCTGCAAACCAAAACGGTTCTGAAACACTAGCCCCAAATAACATGCTCTTCCCAGCGATCATTACAGTGATATCTTTGTTATCTTTTGATATGATCCTAGGAGTGGACGATGACCCCTACAAGTTTATTCAAAGCACACTTGGGCTCTCCGATGAACCAAAGGCCTCTTCAACTGAGCAACAAACGCAAATTCTTGGAAGTCCAGGGCAACGCAAAAAAGCAAAACGTAACATACCGAAAGACTATTATCGAAAAGATAATTATATCGAAAGAAGAAAGAGAACTCTTATGAGAATCAATACGACTATGGATCCGGAAACAGCTCAAAAAGGTGCAATAAAGTCATACGAAACTTATTTGCAACGTCAAAGAGTGAAAGTCTCCAACATGAGAGATACTTATAGGAAAGCCAAAGAATACGTTCAAAGCGTTGATCCAGAATTAGCAAAAACGATGCATATGGGCCTTCCCAATACAAAAGACAATTGGATCACAAGAAGAATTAAAAAACTGCAAAAGTATGACATCAACTTGACCCATTCTGACGCACTAACACAAGCGCAGGCACAATTTTTAGATAAACGTAAGAAAGACAGAGAATCGAACAGAAAGCGTTATTGGTTAAAGAAGGCAAAAGAGATGAAAAACGCAAGTGACGTATCATCTCATCACAAGTAAAAGCACAGCCTGTAAACTCTTTAGCCGGTGCTGTCGTAGAGAATTCTCTGTTTGGCAGTCCGATGAGGTTCGGTGCTTTTCAATTATACAACTTGTATATCATAAAGCTGTTCAGCGCAATGACATTATAAACGCCGAGCAATGTTCCATACACACTTCATAAAGGTGTAGGGTTCTTCTTACCACTTAAGCAATCTTTTCTCTTTTTAGAGTTGACTCTACTTTATCATGCAGGTCCTATTCCAAAGAACAACGAACATACTCACTAGATCGTTTCTCTTGCGCTCTTCAGTCCTCATGCTAGTATCGGGCATGAATCCGTACGAAAACATCTGTAAAGAACTTGGCCTAGCAGTTGACCATGACAACTTAATTGGAGACTATCAAGATCAAAACGTAGAACAGACTACCGCAAGTGCAGGAGAAGGCAAGAAAGGGAAATGGAAAGCACCGCCAGGGTATTTCTCAAATGCCGCTCGAGAACAAAGACAATTTCGTAAAGTGATGAAGGACAATCCAAGCTTTACCGAAGAAGAGGTAAAAAGAACAGTTCATACACTTGCGTTGAACAAGAAACCTAATGCGGGCTATTATAAAAAAGATGCCTTTATCGAAAGAAAAAAGAAATCGATTACAAAAGGAGATCCAACAATGAATCAAGACGTAGTGCATGTAAAAGCTACCAAAGAATATGAAAACTTTCTAAAAGGACAAAGGGATAGACAAATGAATCGAAGAGCCGCACTAAGAGAGGCAAAAAGATATTTGGAAAGTATTGATAGCAGTCTGGGAAAATCATTCCGTGTATACAGCGATAACAGAAAAGAAGCATGGATCGGTAGAAGAGTTGACCGCCTTAAGAGAAAGGATCCTCAACTGAAACAATCGGATGCTTATAGTCATGTCTACAGCCAATACCTGCGAAAGCTAGAAAGGGATAAGATTACTAGAAAGCAAAGAAAGGCAAAGCTGGCCCGAAATCAGGAAAAATAGAATTATACAGCGCTTTATACTTCCTGGCAGTGGTGGCTTTGCAAGCAAGCCACTTTGTTATACTCCTTTTGGCCGGTGACATAGCATTTCGGCGAGAAGAATAAGGTTAGCGAATTGCAACCGAAGTCCTTCTATGCATTCTCCATCCCTTGAGAGTTTCAACAATCATTTGTGTGTGTATTGGGCAGCGCCCCGTGAACCATAAAATCAAGTAGAAACTCTCAAATCAAATTGATTCCATTTGCATCTTTGTTTTGTATATTGCTATTACCGTTATGATTGATCATATTTACCCCGACAACCAAGTCCGACCAAATGACGATACATTACAAACGCTGGCTTTCCCTGATTATTATGATCACAATACCTCTGCAAGTGATCATTAATGCAGGATCACAAAATGATGGAAGCTCAAGTCCGACTAGCTCAAAGGAAATCTTACGATCTCTCATGCAAGACGTCAATGCAGCCAAAGATTCCGCTTGTACCGTCAAAAAGAAAGCTGAAAAACGACCAAAAGGATTCCTTCGAAAAGATGTAATGATCGAAAGAAACATAAAATTTCTACTAAAACACAATCAAAATCTCTCCGTGGAAGATGCAAAAGAGCAAGCAATCCGTAGGTACGAAGCATACATTGATACACAAAGAGAAAAATCAAGATTACGCTCTCAAGAACATCGAAAAGTAAAAGAATTTGTAAGACGTATTGACCCAAATCTTGCAAAGATGGTTACACGAGATCCACCAACGAAAAAGATACACTTTATTGCACGAAAGGAAGCGCAAATTAAGCGAGAACATGTTGGTATTCAACACCCTGATGCCTCGAAAATGGCACAAAAAATGTATGACGATTTAGTTGAAGACCGTAAAAGGAGGCAAAATCGATTTAAAGAAGCCAAAAAACAGAAGAATATACAAACTGGCAGAAAGAAGCAGTGACGACTTGTCAAGTTCATGCTATCCTGTCAGATCAGGCAATATCTCAATAGATAGATAAAATACATTGCAGAAGCAAAACAAAAAGATGAGAATACAGTAGAGAAAGAAAAGAAATCAGCAAATCTATGCTGGATAAGCAACGTGTGGAGGAGTTTCGACTTTTATTCTTCCTTGATCATCGCAATTGAATAAGCCGGCACAACATCTATCCGTATCGCCGCCGTTTGCACGAACGGCAAGTTCCCATAACCGTTGTGCTGATTCGTGATCTTGTGGATGGATTGGTAATTCATGTTGCTGAGATTCATTATAGGCATTTTGGTTGAATGCTGAACTTCCACGATGCTGGTCTTGTTGATGATGGTCCTGATCCGTGATATGTTGTTCAGATTCTTCAGCATCATCATTAACATGTTGAAAGCTTTCTAACATTCGCATTTGCGATTCCGGACGCAGATCCATTACTTGGAATGATTGTGCAGTTGAGGACTGAGGTGATTGCAACGATTGCTCAGACGCTTGTGAAACTGCAGAAGTGCCAGAGTTCAAGCCATTCGATCCTGTCGAAACCTGAAGGATAGATGAATCGTGTCGATTGGATAAGTTACTACCAATGCTTTGATCATTTTGATGATTGATTTGAGCTTCATTCATGTTTCCGTCCGAAGAAGCAGTCTGGATGGGATAATTGTAGGACGAGCTTGGCGTATGCGAAAGTTGATCGAAGCCTGTGTTGAATGACCAATGATTTTGAATATTTTGAATAAGTTCTTCGCCACGTCTAGACATGGTTGAAGGCATGGAATTTGTACGATCATGTGCTCCATGATGGAAGCCGTTGTAGGTATTTTCGTCATTGACATGCCTTTGATTGTTTGAATGATCAATATGTCCAAGCGTGCTGTAAGACGATGATGGTCTCTTTAAAAGTATGCGCATTCTTTCATTTTCCCGCCTTAGATCAACATTTTCTCGTTCCAACCTATCAGCGCGATCTTGTAAGATCTGTAAATCGTTTGCTTTTCTCTTTCGAAATGCTCTAGATATCTCTAATTGCCGTGATGGCGGCGCATCTGGATTTTGTCGTCTACCTCGAACCATGATGGGAAGGGTTTTATGTAAGATTGTATTTCCTTTGTGGTGCCGCTCTTTGTGGCAATGCTTCTGAGAGGATAGCCAATGTCGGCCCAGATGCTATATCAAATACGTGCGACCATCTAACATTGAAGGAGGAGGAAGAAGATGAGATTGTGATGATGATTGTGAGGAGATTTGTTGTGAGAAAGATACTTTACCTTATCGGCCTCTTCCCCCCAATCTGCTTTGACGGCTCTTGAAAAGGAAAAGCCGAAAATGTTCACTACGCCTGTCACGAATTAGTGGCGCGAATTAAGACCGAGAGACAGAAAGTGAATTTGAAATTCAGCAATACAAGGCAATTCCGCCCCTCTTTACCTCTACGCGTTCAGAAACCCTTTCTTTTGCTTACAATGACCCACACCAGAAATGATATCATTTTTACACTTCTTCCCTGCATTTGTGCCTGCAATCTTAAGGTTTCATTATCTCCGTTCGATCGGAATTAAAGGTTTTTGAAGAAAACTCTCATTTCCGACATCATTCTATGCATTGGAATTGTGTCTTTCTGTCGGATTTACACATTGTCATGTCATCTTTGGCTTCTATTTTTATTTGCCGAAGGTGCATTGAGATCGTTCTTCTCCGTTTTATCCCAAGTAAGCTTCTTTCTGAGCCATAATGCAACCCATGATAAGATTAGTAATACCGGCACTTCAACCAACGGTCCAATAGTAGCCGCTAACGCCTGATCAGAATCTGCTCCATACACTGCAACTGCAACCGCGATTGCAAGTTCAAAATTATTACTGCCTGCAGTGAATGCTTGTACTACTGCCATTTCATATCCCCATTTTGTGCGTTGTCTAATGTCAACCTTTGATTCCGTTTGCTCATTTGATGCTTTTTCGTCTTGTGAGACATCTTTTTGAGGGCTTGAATCCCTTTCTACATCCTCCATCAGGCTCTCACGTAGACTGAGACGCCAGACGAGAACAAATGTGAACGTCCACATGATGGCAAAATACAGCACAAGCGGAACGAACGTGCGAAAGGTGGGACCGAGGTTGTCTAAAATACGTTTGCTCTGTTCTGCAAAGATAATGATGATTGTGTATAACAGTCCAACCAGTGAAAGTGGGCCAAAGAAAGGCAGAAAGGTGTTGTAAAACCTCTTTTTGCCTAATAACCACATCACACCAAATCGGGTCACCACTCCTGCGCCTAGTGGGATTCCAAGATAGATCAAAACAGAGATGGCAGTTGGGCCATATTGCAAGGTGAATGATTGTGATGCATGTGAGATTACGTTAATGAACCAGATGCAATAAGGAGCATAAAGTGCCATTTGCAATACTGAATTAATGATGACCAAGATTGCACATACTTCCGCATCTCCTTGAGCGATATTATTCCAAATCATCACCATTGCAATGCACCTTGCCAATCCTACCATGATGATACCCGTTCGATATGTTTCGAGATCAGGTAACGTTGCCCATGCCAGCCCTAACATCAAGAAAGGTCCAATGATCCAATTCAACAGTAGCGACATTCCAATCTGTGACCATAAACGTGATGTTTGAAACGTTCTATGTAAGCTTTCAAATGGAACTTTTGTCAAAATTGGCCACATCATCACGATCAAACCAATAACAAGAGGAGCGGAAACGCCGTATAAATGACCTTTTGATAAGTTTTCCTTTGCATTAGGCGCATATTCACCAATCACAACGCCAATCACCATTGCTATCACGATCAAAGGCGTTAGAAGCCTGTCCAGCCATCCTAATCCTGATAGAAGTACGAGAATGACGCTCTTGTTTGATTGCTGTTGTGATAGTGGTTCTTTGTCTGTGGCTATGTCCAGTCTAGGGCAGCACTTTGGATCTTTGGCAATTTGATCATTGTCATCGTGTGATGGCGTTTGAGTGTGATCATCCATCATTGTTGCGCGAAGTGGTATGTCGGAATGAGCCTTTTCTATTGATGATGGTAAAGAGGTGGTTGAATCTGTTTGTTACATTTTTGCTTTTCTTCAATTTGAACAGAATTCCTTCTGAATCGAAAGTATGTATATTGCTTGGCAAATTTGAATTTGGTACCTGATGATTGATGATGATTTTGTTGTTCGAATTTGATATTTGATAATCTTTGGGCGGGAATGCAGTCTGTTTATTTGTTGAATGTATCTTTGATTTTGTTTTGACGTATTTGAAATTGATTTACAGACGCGTGCATCAATTGACCGCTTAAATCGGATATTATTTCAAATTGAATTTGATATAAATGATGATCATCAATAGTACTATATGCAATCAAGGTAAAGCAACGAACGACTCTGCCGAGTGCAACATCTTTCATCGAGATAAGAACGTCATCTTTTGACCCCATTTTACTGATGCAGAAAGCTAGACCGATTCGGGTCAGGATCAACCCTAATTCAAGCCTGGCATTTATCAACTGATCCCTGCCTACATCATTCTTTTCATTCCAAAAAAGTTTTAATGTTAGAGAAAAGGAATGAAAAACCAACATTTGCTTCCCTTTGACCTAGCATGACCAACAAACATGCTTTCAGATGCTTGGTAGTTGACTTTCACCGGATGTATGCTATCATCATCATCTTACGTACGACAAGAATTTGTGCTTAACCCGATATAATCTTTAGCGCCAATTCTTTTCCGGCGCGTAAAAGGCCGTTATTTAATTGCGGGCCGTGTATTGAAACGAGAAGATTGAAGGATTGCGTGCTATGACTCAAACTGGAAGATGTGCTGTGCAATGCTTCTTAATCACCCACGATAATCGCATTCATTGTCATTTGAACCGGAACCCCTTCAATCTTGATGAGCAGAAGGTTACCGACTCAGATCCCATCTATGCTCTCTCATAACACTCGTCCATCAAAAGCAGCCAAGATAGACAATCACAATTTGACATCGACAACATCTTCAACAATGAGCACTTCAAGCGGTACCAACAATGGTGGACCATCTGCTCGTTTAGCAAAAGTCGCAAATCGTCTCGTTGGAGAAGTAGAAAAAGGTCCTGATGTTTGGAGTGTTTTTAACCCTCTGGTCTTTCCAACTGCTGTCAACCTTGGTCAAGGGTTTATGAACTTTCCACCACCTCCATTCGTACGGGACGCATTCTTGAAAGAAGCTTCTGAACGTACAGATGTTCATCATTACAGTCATCCAAAAGGAAGACCACGCTTACGTCAAGCTGTTGCCAAAACATATGGACCTTTCATCCACAAACCCAAGGATGGATATGATCCAGCACCAGCATCCGGTCAAACTCCACAGATACGCAAAGAGACAGAGCCCTTGGATCCCGAGACCGAGGTTCTCATTACTGCAGGTGCGAATGGTGGTATGTATAGCGTCTTGACAGCATTCATCGAACCAGGAGATGAAGTGATCTTCTTAGAGCCTTTCTTTGATCAATACGAAATGGAGGTTGTGTACAACGATGGTGTACCTGTATATGTCCCACTCATTCCACCACCGGCTCAAGAAAGTCAGACGTCCGTAGGTGCAGACAAATGGAGCGTTGACTTTGACCTTCTGCGTAAAAAGTTGTCAAGCGGGAAAGTTCGTGCGATTATGCTAAACACTCCGCATAACCCAGTCGGTAAGGTATTCTCTCTAGAAGAGCTGCAAGAAGTTGCAAAATTGTGCATTGAACACGATCTGTTGGTATTGGCAGATGAAGTATACGATTGCTTGACATTCGATGGCAAGGAGCATATCAGAATCGCATCGTTGGAGGGAATGTTCAACAGAACTGTGACAGTAGGTAGCGCTGGCAAGAGTTTCGCATGTACAGGATGGCGAGTTGGATGGCTCTTGGGACCAAAGCATCTCCTCAATCCCACTTTGGCAGCACATACCCGAATCTTATTCTGTGTCAATTCACCCGCCTCGGAAGGAGCAGCAATCGGATTAGAAGAGGCGCCAAAGCACAACTTCTTTGCAGTGCAACGAGAGCAATACGATGATCGTCGTAAGATCCTGATGCGCGTACTGGACGATTTAGGTTTCAAATATACCATTCCACATGGAGCATACTTTATCATGGCTGATGCAAGTTCTTTGCAAATGCCTGAAGATTTCCAATTCTCGGATTTTGTTTCAAAACAGAGCAAGGATTACAAGATGGCTTACTTTATCGCAAAGACTATTGATGTCGTTTGCATTCCTGCAACCGCATTTGCATCAAAAGAGAACGCCCATCTTTATGAGAACTTCTTGCGATTCTCTTTCTGCAAGGATGGCGATCTGGAACGGGCTGCTGAACGATTGCAAAAGCTGAAGCCGTACCTCAAGAAATGAAGCTGGGTTGTGTAACTTGTACTGTGATCAATAGATGATAATGAGATGGGATTTGAGACTATTGATGACAATATTCATTCGTGCATCAACGGAAGACACACAAAATGGATAAGCACTGGATACCACTGATGTCAGAGAGTGTATGCAAATTGCTGTGCATTCCTTATCGCCCCTTGGAGAGCTTAGTTCTAAACAACACGTTTCTAGTCATGCAACAGATCTTTTCTCACATCCACCTGGATTGGCTTTGATCAACATGCAGAAGCTATTTTATTTGGTACTTTTGCTTTCTGCTTACATTCTCGCTTCTGGCCATCGGGGAAGCAATGAAAGGTTCCTCAAAAGTCAAGTAGCCGAAATTCCCCCAAGCGGAATGTACACCTTTCTCTGGAAGCGCGGTAAAGGTTTAGATGTCGATTTGAATCTTTCGCCACCTCAGGAAGAGGTTCTCAAATCTCCTGAAGGAAATGAACAGCATGGCAAAGATGGGCAAAGTACACCAGCTTCTGTTACTGTGAAGGAGAATGCGCCTCGCTCCGATGATGTTGAAAATCAACGTAGGCTGATGAACAACAAAAAGGAAGCCGAAAGACGACGTAAACAAAGAGCAGCTTGGGAAGAAGCGGTTACAGATTCATCAAAGATGACACCTGAATTATTTCAACAAATTAGTAGACATTACCAAAGTCAACGTAAACGACAAAAAAAGTATTACGATAAAGTGGAAACGAAAGTGAAGAGTTCAACTGCTAATTCGAAAGAAATCGCAACTTTTAATCGACATCATCGAACTATCGAATGGCGTTCGGAGTCGGAAGCAAATGAGGCATATTACCAGAAATTACTCAAAAAGGAACGTGAAAGAAAAAGGAAGAATAGGGAGAAGAAAAAGCAAAAGTTGCAAAAGCGTGCTTTATCACCTGGTATCGATCTCAACATGGAGCCTGTGGCTGAACAAGCAGCATCTTCATTGCCCAGAGATGAATCGCAAGCGGAAGTTCATAGTCAACCTGAAGGCCAAACAGAGAATGTGCGTAGGAGAGGACGTCCACGGGTACCTGCTGACGTGAGGATGCAAAAAGAAAGGATGAGAGGGATACGATGGCGTGAAGGAAAAAGAGCTAAAGAGCAAGAAGGAAAAAGTGAAGATCCATCCATAGTTCGACCGAGAAGGGGGCGTCCAAGGATTCCTGCTGAAGTGAGAAGAGAGAGAGATTTGGCAAGAGCACAACGATGGAGAGATCAGCAGAAAGCTAGATTTAAAGAAGCACTTCAAGATCCAAGTAAGATGACGGAAGAAGTGAAAGCGGAGATAACAAAGTATAAAGGTATTCAAAAAGCCTCAGCAAAGAAGCATTATGAAAAATTAAAAGCAAAGGTTGAATCAAATGCAGAAATTAGTCCGTACGAATTCAGAAATTATCACTTACTCCATCAGACTGCACAATGGAGGTCTGCTTCAAAGGAGAATCAAGCAGCATATGAACGCCGTTTGCTGCGAAGCAGGGAACGCAGAATTGCAAAACGTAAGGGTGCAGTAGTAAAGGAGGGCAAAGATGAACAAGGGCCTATCTTAAGGAAGCGTGCTAATGGTCTCAAGATTGACCTCAATCACACACCTCCGAGGGACGAAGAAGGCGAAGAAGGTGTGTTGATAGATACTGCCTCAACTGCTGCTGCTGACGACACGAAGGGAATAAGTAAAGATCAGCGCCGGGAAAGATATCGAATTCGTAAGCGACTTGAACGTCTCAAAAGGAAACAGAAGTGGAAGGAAGCCCAAGAGGATCCAACGAAATTAACGCCTGAATTGAAGGCCTCTATCGAAAGATTTAAACACAACAAGCGACTTGAATATCAAAGAAGGGCCAAACGACAGAAAGAAGCAGCAAAGGATCCTAAAAATATCGAGGCTTCAAAAAAGAGGAATCGACAGCGAGTGCAAAAGTATCATCTAACAAAGATGCAGAAAAAGAATTCTGGTCAGCTTCTAACGCCGAATGAGCAAAAGTACTTCGATCGACATTATCGAACCCTTGAATGGCGATTTAGCAATAAAGAATCACACGAACGTCATTTGATGCGAAGGAGAGAAAGTTACCGCGAAAAACAAACAAAAAATGCAGCAGATGACATAGGTGAAAAGGATCGTAATTGAAGTTTCGTCAAGCTTATCGTGTCTCCGGGGATGAATTTGCTGTGTTCAGTGCGAGGCAGTATACTCAAAGCTTGCTCGGGACTTCCTTTCGGGGCCTTTCGTACTCAAATGGTGGGTGTTACGCGGCAGAAATTGTATAAGAGTGACATCGAAACCATTATTCAAATCTGGTGCAATCCATTTAGGTTTGGCTCTTATTCACCATCTCGGCCCAAAATGCAGCTCTGTAAAAGTGTATTGCTTTACACGATATTATGTATTGCCATCCTCTTTAGTGAACTTTCTTGTTTATCACACTCGAAGGAATCAGATTTAAATGATCCCAACCTAGCAAAGCGCCAAACAGACCAATCTCCTACATCTAGCTCAGGATCAACAGGTCACCCGCATTCTTTACTAGAGCAATACAAGAAAAGCAAATCGTCAACATCACCTCTTTCTTCTTCTTCTTCATCATCTAGCACAGTACTAACAGGTTCTCCGCCTTCTTTATCAGAGCAAAACAAGAAACGCAAATGGTCAACAACATCTCTTTCTGAGACAGATCGGAATGCCCTTAAGGCAGCAGAAGCATTTCTGAATGATGATCATATGTCCCTCGAACAGGCGTTGAAAAAACATATGACGAAGCGCGAGCCTAAACTTTTTACCAATGAAGTTCTACATCGAAGCAAAGTTCATGGAAGACCAGCTGGCTATGAGTCTGTGAAACAAACAGCAGCACGACACGCAGAATCAGTACTACGATCGGGCAAACATACAGAAGAAGAGGCAAGAAAGATAGGACAAGCAATGGTCGACCGAAAGAATCAGCGCAGGGTTGATCGAAGGGCATATTGGATAAATATGGCAAATACAGATCCTTCACAGGTACGTCATCAACATGAGAATGTTCCTCTTCGACTTTCAAAGCATCATTATGTAGCCCTTAGATCTCATCAGCTAGATTATCAAGGGAAGGCTGAAAATATGCACGTGGCCAAGAAGATGGCAGAGGAAGAAACTGAAAAGGCTCACGCTCGGAAAAGTGATAGAGAACGTAATCGGAGAGCAAAGCTTAAGCAAAAGAGGCTAGGCCAAAGCTAGTTCTCTTTCACATTCCATTCCTTCTTGCACATCTGTCAGCTATTTCATAACTTTTTAATAAACTATAGTATCCACGACTAGATTCTCTATCACTTAGGAGACTGTTAATGCAAAAGGTACATTCTCATCAACCTCTATAGCCTAATGATATAAGGTACTGCAATTGCCAATTTCGTAATCTTGGACGGAGAGAAGCCAATAAGGAAGAGCACGATCGCTTTCAAATGCAGAGGAGAGAAAAAGCCATGCAAAGCAAGCACATAAGACAAAAGATGACAAAAAATCGAGTGAGTCTAGATAAGACCAACATTCAAACTTCAATCGTCTCCGTTTAGAGTCTGCTATGCTGTGCTCCCTGCAGATGCACGTTGTATCTGCAGTGAGATTTTGCTGTGTTTTGTAGCATATCTCTAAGGGGAAAAAGCAGCCTTAGTTACCTTTGTGTACACATGATAGCTTACACAGTTTCACATCTAATATTTTTGGCCCCGCGATCATATTTTGAGCTTCAGCTGGCTCTTTCCTTCAAATTGCTGGAGACCATCTTCTTTTGGACATCTCCTTCCTTCAGTAGATCATCAGTTTGCCTATTCAATATGCAAAAGCGGTTTCAGATCTTCTTGCTGTCGCTTATATGGCTTTCATTTTGCTTTGCAACTCTTCAGGGTAAGGACCTCGACTCGGAGGACGACAAGATCGACCGTTCAGCTATGTCTTCAAGCTATTCGAGCTCTGGATTCTGGAAGCGTGGTCAAGGCCTTCAGATCGATCTCAACTCTTTGCCGCCAGTGAATGAGGAGTCCGCTTCACCCAGCCAGCAAAATCATCAAACTATAGCACCTGTAGAATCTGCCCCAAAACATACTTCCACATCAGCCAATCCTGAAGATTTGGCAAAGTCCAAGGTTGGAGAGAGGAAATTGCGAAAGAAAGTACGAGAAAAACTCAGGAGAAAGGAGCAGAGAGCGTTATGGGAAGAGGCCAAAAAAGACCCAGCCAAAATGACACCGGAGCTGCAACGTCAAATTGATAAACAAACTGCATCCCATCGCAAAAGCCAGCAACGCTATCAGAAAAATATGTCAAAGAAAGCGAAAGAGAATAATTTTGCGTCTGAAGCTCAATTACGTACATGGCATAGGATGCGTCAAACACATCAATGGCGTGCTGAGTCTAGTGACAATGAGGCCAAACATCAAAGTCATGTGGAATACGTACGCAAATGGAGAAAACGAAAAGACGAAAACGCAAGTTCTAAGAAAGGTTCACAACGGAAGCGAGAGCTATCTTTTCCCATCAATTTGTTTGAGTCGGAGCCCTATATTCTTGTAAAACGCTCCGGTGGCTTAGATGTAGATCTCAACTTACCTCCACCAGAGCAGGACGTAGAAATTGCACATGATAGCAATGACGAGTACAAAGCATACTCTCAATCATCCTTGCCTTCAATGCCTACCTCAAGGAAGAAGCGCGGGAGACCAAAGCTGTTCACGGATGCAGAGCTGAAAGCAAGGAAGAACGCATATTCAAAGAGAAAGAGAAGTGAACAGTATCAAGCTTGGAGCGAAGCTAGACAAGATCCAACAAAATTAACTCCAGAGATGAAAGAGTCCATTGAGCGTCATTACACATTACAACGCAGAAGACATAAACGTTACCATACAAAGATTGCTTTGCTCATTAAGAATGGTGAGCCGGTCACTTTACAACAAGCTAAAGCATATCACCTGAAGAAAATGACACCTGAATGGCGTGCGGCGTCCCCTACAAATGAAGCCAAGTATCAAAAGCAAAGGGGAAGAGAGAAGACACGGAAGAAGATAAGAAGAGCAGAAAAAGCTGACGGAGAAAGATCATTAATGCATAAGCGTGGCTTAGATCCAGATATTGACTTGAACAAAATGCCTTATGATATTGAGCAGTATAGTTCACTTTTATCCGCTGCACAACCGAATGATGCTGTTCATCAAGATCAAGCGGAGCATACAGAAGTCAATCAAGGCGATAAAATGCGGAAACAGCTGGCGATTGAGAGAAAAAAGGAACAAAACAGACTGCATTCTAAAAAATTTCGTGAACGCCGCAGAGTCCGATTTGAGGAAGCACGTAAGAATCCCGAGCATGCGAAGCCAGAAGTGAAAGAGGAAATGGAACGGTATTACAAATCTACAAGAAATAGGACACGCACATATTACTATTCTCTTGATGCCAAGGTCAAATCAAATGCAGAACTGACACCTGTTCAGCTCAACTCGTACAATGCGAAGCGTAAAACCAAACAATGGAGAACGTCTTCGGCTGAGAATGCGGCAAGTTATCAGAAGCATTTGGCGTACAATCGGGCGAAGTGGCCGAAGGTTAAAGAGAAGATGAGACAGAAGAAAGAGTCTAAATTGCAGAAGCGTGGTATCCCGTCTGATGCCAGTTCGGATCCAGTGCATTCTACATGTGTACAGCCTGAGTCTGATGAAAATCTTCAAGGATCGATTTCAAACCCCACTCAAGATGCGATAAAAAGAAAACCTTGGCGTCCCAAAAAGACTGCAGAGGAGAAGAAGCTTACTCACAATCGAAGAATGCAGCGGTATCGAGCTAGAAGAAAGATAATTTGGCAGGAAGCGCTTGCAGATCCCGCCAAGATGACCCCTTTGATTAAATCGCAGATTCAACGTCATGCTGAAGGTAGACGAGCACGTTCGAAGCGATATTATCAAGCACTTAATGCAAAGATTAAAGACAATTCCGAAATCGCACCTGCGCAATTTCAGATGTATCATGCTTTACACCGAACGCCGATTTGGAGAAATGCTTCAAGTAAGAATCAAGCTGCTTACGAGCAGCACTTGAGCAATAATCGTAAAAGACAACGTGAGAAACAAGACTCAAGTAATAATGCTACTCAGTATCCATCAGATCCCCCTTTGCAGAAGCGCGCAAGCGATACAGGTCTTGATTTGAATAAGTCACCACCAAAAGATAGTCCAGAGGGTGACAAAGAACCAAAGGAGAATGTGAGCTCACATCAGCAGCAATCAAGGAGAGGAAGGTTAACCTTGGAAGAGAGAAGAAGACGCAACATGATTCGAGCCCGCATCCGAAGAATTAAACAGAAAGACGAAGCAATGAAAGATCCATCTTATGTGCAGCCGCCGAGTAAAGAAGAAAAGCTCGCCATTCGTGAGAAGAGTATGAAAGAGAAAGCACGAGGGTATCAACGGAAATTGTATCACAATCGAATGAACAAGGCAAAAAGTGGTCAAAAGCTAACCGAAAAAGAGGAGAAATATTGGCATTTTAAAAAGAAAACGTTGGAATGGCAAAAAGAGAATCCTGAAGCGTATGAACAGTACTTAAAGACGAAAAGGGAGGGTATGCAGAGAGCAAGAGCGCGGAAAAAGGCTGAAGAAAAAGTGATCGAGAAAGAGAATCAAATGAAGAAGCGGGCTTTCGATACGGGTATTGATTTGAACCGTTCTCCGCCTGAAGATGAAAGTGGTGCCGAGGCCGCATTGGAAGCACATTCTCCATCTCCGCCTATGATTACGCCATTGAAGAATGAAGATACGAGCAAGGCTGAACTAAAAGAGAAATATAGAATGCGAAAACGACGTGAACGTCAACAAAGACAGCAGAGATGGAAAGATGCAATGCAAGATCCAGACAAAATGACCGAAGATATAAAGCGTGCAATCGAAAGAGCAAAGCATAGTAGTCGAATAACCACTCAGCGATATTATAACTCCAAGATGGCAAAGATAAGATCAGGCCTACCGCTTACACCGGGAGAGGAAAAATTTATGCATCGACAAAGAAAGACACTCAAATGGCGAACGGAGAATCCAGGAAAATACGCACGCCATTTACAGAAGTCGAGAGAAAGTAGAAAGCGGCTGTCAAGCTCTTCTAAAACTGCACAACAAGCTCAATTCGACGATGATACTGGATTGAAGAAGCGTGGGCTAGATCCGAACATTAATCTGAATGAAATTCCACCAGAAGAAGAGCAAGAGACTTTGACCCCTACTCCTGAGTCGGCAAAAAAGAGTTCCAAGAAGAATGGCACTGGCAGGGAGCTTCTGTCAATAGTAGAGCGAAAGAAGAGAAAATTGGAACAAGTAAAAGCCTATCAGAGCCGGAGAAGGACGAAGATAAAGGAAGCATTAGCGGATCCTAGCTTGATGACGCCGGAACTAAGCGCATCTTATGTTAAATCCTTAGCATCAGCTCGACTACGTAGTCGCCGACCCTATCAAAAGAAGAAACAGAAGAGTTTCGAAGGCAAGCAGCTCACGGCTGCTCAAACAAAGAATCAAGATTATGCTGATAGAAGGTTTCAAGCGAAAGTGGATAATCCAGTGGAGTATGAAGCATACTTGAAGCAATTGAGAGATCGTAGGAGGCTTGTAGCGAGTACAAATCAAGCTCCTTCTCAACGTGATTCTGTATTGCGAAAGCGTACACTGATTCCCACGATTGATTTGAATGAGCTGCCAGCTCACAACGAAGGAGATGCTTTGTCAGCTCTACCGGGGTTCTCTGCAGAATCTCCTAAGAAAACTGTCCGCGGCAGGGTGGTGCTATCGCCAAAAGAGAGGAGAAAGAGAAGAAGAGAATCAAAGAAGGCTTACGTCAAGCGACAAAGAATGAAATGGAAGGAGGCATTGTTAGACCCCACGAGGATGACGCCAAAGATAAAGGCAGCTTTGCTAAAGTCCACGGAAGCAGATCGAATACGTAGTCAAAGATACTATCAGAAGAAGGTGGAGAAGCAAAAAGAGGGCCAACCTTTCTCACCTATAGAATTGAGAAAACAAGAGCGTGCAAATAAAAAGCTCCAATGGAAAATAGAACATCCAGAGGAGTATGCAGCATACTTTTTGCAGCAGAGAGTACATGTATTGAAGAAGAACAAGAGCACCGATTCTGGCCTGCAAAGAGGTGCTCTAGAACCAGAGATTGACCTCAACGAATCACCGCCCAAGGATGAAGAAGTGAGAAGCTCACCTGCAGCTGAATCGCATGCAACTGGAATCATGCCACGGAACTTCAAAATGAGCGATAAAGAAAGACAGCGAAAACGATCCGAACGACACAGGAGGAAACAAAAATGGAGAGAAGCAAAAGAAGATCCACGTCTGATGACACCAACCTTACAAAAGTCTATAGATAATCATTTGGCCTATGATCGAAAGCGTGGTCAGATATCTTATCAAAGAACCACTCAAAAGGCTCAAGCAGGTGAACAATTGACATCGATAGAACAAGCTCGCTACGATCGCACGCATAAAACTCTGAAATGGCGCAAAGAAAATGAAGAAGTATATGCACGCTTTCTGAAGAGACGCAGAGATCGTAGAAAGGAGGCAAAAGTTGACGAAATGACAAGCAAAGACCAAGTTCATCATGAGTCTAACTTGCATAAGCGGGGTTTGGATATCAACTTGAACAGACTGCCAGATTTGGACATTGATCTGAACGATTTGCCCCAAGAGCATGAGCAAAGCGTATCACCTGCGACAGTAAACCGTGAAGACGCAATTACTTTGGAAAAGCCTCCAAGTAAAAGGCTCAAAAAAGCGCCTTTGTCACAAGCCGAAAGGAAAAGGCGAAGCCTGATTGCATCAGAAAATAGACGACGTCGAAAGGCAGTCTTGCGGGAAGCGATGAATGATGCATCCAAAAGGACGCCGGAGATGGAGGCCGCTTTTGAAAGACAAAAGCAAGCAAATCGGAAGGCTTCGAAGCGGCAATATCATAGAATGAATCAAAAAATCAAAGATGGTCAATCTTTAACGCCTGCCCAGACTAAACGATACAACATCATCCATAGAACCAAAGTATGGCGTGAAAATCCTGCAAATCTAGAAAAATACAACAAGCTATTGGAGCTCGATCGGGGACGGAAGCGTAAACAGAGGGAAAAAAAGCCGTCGAAAGATGTTCAAAGGGACACCGGAGATGTAGAAAGATTGCACAAGCGCAAACTTGATCCCAATATCGATTTAAACAAATCTCCGCCAAAGGACGAGTCAGAAGCTGTACCTTCCAATATTGAGCATGCTACAGCTGTTCTCCCGCAGGGACAGACTGTTGAAGAGACGAATCCTCCACAAAAGAATCTGAAAAAAAGACGCCCGAGTAGAAAGGAGTATGAGAGACGTAAAAGATTAAAATGGAAGGAGGCATTAGAGGATCCTTCAAAAATGACACCGCAGATGGAAGAATCTATTCGAAAGGACCGTGAAAGAAATCGTAAGACTTCGCAGCTTCAACAGCAAAGGCTTAAAGCATTGGTTAGAAAGAACGATCCATTGACACCTGCGCAAGAAAAAAGATATCATCTAATCAACAGATCAAAGCAATGGAGAGAAGCAACGCCACAAAATCAAGCACTGTATGAGAAGCATAAAAAGCGTATGCGCGAACGTCATCGTGAGAAAAAAGCTCGCAAAGATGAAAGCTTTACTTCCACAGACCATTTGCAAAAGCGTGGATTGGATCTAGATATAGATCTGAACGAATATCCGCCAGAGTATCCGCTCTCAACCACCAATGCCAGCGTTGAAAAAGCTGCGCAAGCACGATCTATGATTCAAGCGCCTGAAAACAGTACCAGGGTCAATCCAAAAACGAAGAAAGGTGGAAAAAAGGATTTAGTGAGTAGTGCAAAGAAAGTTCGTCCCTTGTGCAGATCTGACAAAAAGCCGAACTAAACAGTCACCAGAGCAGTTGAGGAAGAAATCGACTGCGATAACGTTGGCGTATAGGCGTCGTTTGAAGGAAAGGTGGAAAGAAGCGTGAGTGCCAATTCTTGCAAAATATTTTTGGGCAATAAAAGCTGATTTGACTCTTCAAAAGCGTAAAGGATCCTTCCAAGATGGTAAAAAGAATAATGCATCTTCCTCATCTTCATACTGACTGACGGATTCCTCCATACTTATCAGACACCCAGGCTTCAGCTAACTATGGAGAACTTTAGAAAAGCGAATAAGCGAGCCCAAAAGAAGCGTTACGACAAGATAAGATACAAACAGTTGAATAACGAACCGTTGACAGAAACAGAAACCAAGCGAATACAAGCGAGTCTTCGTACCAAAGAATGGCGTAACGCATCTGCTGAAAATCAACGAAAGTATGAGAAATTACTTATACAAAACCGTGATAGAAAAAGAAGGCTCAAAAGAGAAGCTATGGAGAAGAACATGGCTGATTAGAAGGTTTAGAGTACTGCTTTCTCTTTCTGGATGGCGGTGTATTTTTCCATTCTATTGTATGACGCACACAAAATTGATATGCAATCTCCATCTAGCAGCGTGCCCCGGGAAAGTGGATTGAAGGAATGTATGTAGTTACGAAGCGAGGATATTGGGTGTTTTTTCTCACCAATACACAAAGGAATTCTCTCATTGCTGATCTTTATCGACAAGATGCTCAAGGTTATAGGGACAATCTTGCCTTGCGTGTTATGCTCTTGTCTGTGCTTCTGTGTCCAGGCCATCAGTGCACTTGGTCCCTTACGAAAAGTAGAAGTGGCACGATCGCTGAAACCATCCATGAGTGGTGAAACGATGGACTTTGGATTAAATTCATCCCCGCTGCAAGAAGCAAGATCTATACTGCATATCGATTCAGGCCTGCCTTCATTTGGGCCACCAAAAGGAATAGAAGCCAGATCTTCTCTAAATCTTCTAAAACGCGGGCTGGATCCTCGTATTGATCTGAATGCTTTTCCGCCAGAGTACGAGCAATTCTACTCTCAAGATAAAGGACAGCCAGCAAGTGCCACAGAAAGAACTCCAACTGCTGTACCGGTGCAAAGGAAAGAGAAGAAGAAGAAGCTAGTGAGTTTGACGATTGCTTGACAGGGTGTTTTAGTTATTTGATGTCATTTTATTTCAACAATCACTAGTCTCCGGAGGAAAAAAGGAGAAGACAAGTGATCGCAGTAACTGCTTCCAGATATCGCTTAAAGGAGAGATTGAAGGAAGCGTGAGTTTGAGATAAATGTGATTTCTACTTAATGCAGTCAAGGAACTGAATCGAATTTATCAATAGGCTCAAAGATCCTTCAAAAATGGTTTGTATAGCTTGAATTGCGTTACGATATGTGTGAGCTTCGGCTGATTTCGTATCCTCAACAGACGCCTGAACTACAGAAATCTTTTGACAAACTCAAAGCGACAAGTCGTAGAGGTGCAAATAGATACTATTCGAGATTATCGGAAAAGATGAAAAATAACGAACCGTTGACTCCCGCAGAGCATAGAAGAATACAAGCAGGTAACAGAACAAAGGAATGGCGAAACGCAAATCCGAAAAATCAAAGAAAGTATGAGGAACATCTACAACGCAATAACAAGTATCGAAAGCTTAAACAAAGTCAAGAGAAAGACGATTCAGAGAAATATGAATCACATTGAATTCTCTTTAACCAATATTTAAACGTTTTCTGTATTGACGAAGGTCACCCCGCCCTTGCACCGCAGAAATGGAATTTTCTGGACCCCCTAATGTGTAAAACGGTCATGATATGCAAAATCTTACATAACTCTTTACGCCCCTTCGAGTCTGTGGCGATATTGAAGCATACTTTTTCACACACTTTGCTGCTACCTGTACACTTTTTGCTACAACCTCTATCTCCAATAGTATCATGCTAGAACGTAGAATTTTGCTAGGCTTGATATTGCTCCTCATCTTGATCTGCAGCTTATGCTTTGAAAAGCGTGATGTTGATGCAAAATGTGCCACAGATTATCTTCATAGTACTCTTGGCCTTCTTCCGCCTACAGTCCTACGCAAACGAGGTGAAAGTTTCAAGCTTGATCTCAACTTGCCACCAGCTACAGAAGAAGGAGTAGATGCTCCACAAAGTGGACAAGTTGGCTCTAGATTGGCATCTGAGCAAGAAAAGGGGGATACTGTTTCGCAACAAGTTGCTCCACAATTGGCCGAACATGATTCAAATCCTTTCGCGAGGATGGGACGTAGGCCAAAGACCATGGTGAGTGAAATGATCAGATTAGCCTGCAGCATCCACTCATACATGCTCACAGTCCCCAGAGGAGAGACGAAAAAGCAAGATTGAGAGATCGAGTTTTCTGAGACGTCAAAGAAGTGCAATGTATAAAGAAGCGTGAGTGAACTTTTTGGTGAAAAAGTTGTTGCTGTGAGAATATTTATGAGTTTTTCCAAAGTATCATAGACCCAAGCAAAATGGTAAGCATGAGCTCTTTCCATCCGAAGTTTCTACTTCTTATCATTTTTTCCATCTTGTAGACTCCAAAGCTTCAAAGATGGGCAGAGAAATATAAAGCGACAAATCGAAGAACTAGCTTAAAAGCATACCACAAGATGAAGTTCAAGGCGGAGAACAACTTACCTCTGACAGAAAAAGAATACATGCGACTTCAAGCAAGTAGGAAGTCTAAAGAATGGCGAGAGAGTAATCCTGAAAATCGGGCTAAGTATGAAAAACATTTGAGACAGAACAGGGAGAGAAGAAAATTGAACAGAGACAGGAAAGCTGCTAACGAACAACAAGGCTTGCAAAAGCGTGCTTTTGACTTGAACAGGACACCTGAGCCTGAATCTGAATCTTCAGCCAGCCATCATACCGATGAGGAAGGACCATCTAGAAAACGAAAAGATCCATCTCGATTGGAAGATTCAGGTGCGCCAAAGAAAAGGTTAAGATCAGATCCAAAGGTAGAAACTATACGGCAAAAATGGAAAGAAGCACAAGAAGACCCCTCGAAAATGACCCCTCAGATTCAAAAAAGTATCGATCGATACGAAAGGAAGAAGTTGAGTTCGAGACGTGCACATGCAGCCTTGATGGAAAAAGTACGAAAAGGCGAAGAGCTTTCACCACAACAGAAGAAGCGATATGGGTCTCTCTATCGTACAAAAGAATGGAGAGAGTCTTCTGAAACAAATAAAGCCAGGTATGAAGAAATTCTACAAAAAAAGTTGGGCAGGTATTGGATGAAGAGAAATAAAGCACAATCAGTGGAAAATCCTGATTCAGAGCAAGCCATCTCATCTTTCAAGCGGAAACGATTGCGGGTGGGTACAAATTATGTTGCTATGAAACATGCAATGCTAAAGCTATATGTATTTCTTTCTCCTTTTTCAAGGTCCCCGGCAAGACTGCAGAACAAAAGAAAGAATCGAAGCGAGTGATAAATCGAATGTATTATCGTCAACGCATGGATCGATACAAAGCGGCGTAAGTCAGTTGGTTTGCTATCCGTATCTTCCATACTAACCTTCTACTTCATCTTCCTTAGCCGTAATGATCCATCTAAAATGGTATGCACTTTTTTTTGCTTTTATGTCTTCTTTAATACTCACCTTGATCATCTTTCTAGACTCCAGAGCTTCGTGAAGAGATGAAGGAATACTATCGCAAGAATAATGAGAGTACAAAACGGTATCATGAGCGTGAGCGGAAAAAGGCGAGGGGAGGTAAATAATCCTATATTGGCGAGCAAATATTTTGTTGTGCATCTTTGTACGAATAATTCAAACTGTACAGATTGTGAATAACTACTATTCGTATGATTATCATCCCATCTTTAGCTTATCTTTTGGGCGTTGAATGGCATTTCAGGTAAAACAGCATTGTTTGGTTACGACGCTAAAGATGGGCGTACACGGGCTTTTATTTTTATTGCGCCCACAAATTGACTGCACATTAACATGCCGTAGGATTTAAAGTGATCTTCTTCCTGCTACTACCACCGCATCTACTCAAATACTGCCAAGCACAATGTGATCACCTTTCATTCTTTGATCAAGCAACATTGCATATGGTCTGGTCCTGATGGAAGATGATAAGTGACAAACATGGAACAGGTGCAGTAATAGCCAAGAAGGCGTTTATGAGTAAATATGCCGATTCATTGAGGAGGCGCTTGAATCGGAAGGCGCGAGATGAATGTTGAAATGGCAAAAAGACTCTGCTGTCAATGAAGGAAAAAGTCTGACATTTGTTTATAAAGAATCAGATTTACATCTTTCTAATCTACAACCATTGTCGTTGTTGTCTGACCCTCACACAAAACTCATCCCCTTTCCCTAACTTTTACCGCTGACAGAATGACAGAGCATATGAACAGCTACCGTATTCTCCGTCGAGCTCCTAATGATAATGCTCCAAAAAATGACAGTAACAGCTCTCAGGTGAGCAACAGTCAATCACAACAAGCAACCTCATCAACATCTCAACACCAAAACTCCACCACGCAATCACAACAAGCAACTTCATCAACATCTCAACACCAGAACTCCACCACAGCTGCGCCATCCAAAAGTACTTCGGAGTCGCATTCGAATTCGGAGCAAGCTTCCCAGCCATCAACAGCAAGTCCTTCCAATTCGACTTCTCCTAGTAACAATAATAAAAATAATGGTGGCAGCAGTAGCAATCAAGGTCAAAATAATGCAACACAAGCACAAACCCAATCAACTCCAAGCGCATCTACTCATGCCGTATCCAATTCAACCTCTCCTCAGCCCAATTCTACGAATACTACTGCTGCCAGCAATACGTCCATTGCGGATGCTAGCCAGAGTGCATCAAGATCCAATTCAACTGCTGCAGTAAATGCAAGTACGCCATCAAACAACTCACAAATCACAATTCCAAACACTTCTGGAAGTCAATTTAGTCCATTCTCTACTTCAGTGACGGGTGGTCAATTCGGCAACATTGGATCAGGCTCTCAAGAAGACCATCATTCTTCCGGCAGCATCTCACCTGCAACTATTGCAGGAATTGCGATTGGCGGTGTGGCAGCATTGATATTGGTCGTTCTTTGTGTTCTGTTTTGTTATCGCAAGCGCAAAAATCAGAATGAAGTCATGGATTATGAAGATTTTGAAAAGCAAAAGAGTTTACACAGACTCAGTAAAGAATCCCTCAGGTTTAAAAGATTATCAGGCAGTAGCTCTATTGTCTTTGATACCTCTTCCCGACGTAGTTCTGCACCGAGATTGGACGTCCGCATGCTTCAACATCACGTCAGTATGGAAAGCGAAGAAGATCGTGCTGCTTCGGCAGGTTTGTCCGGTCTCGAAAGACTTGAAAGAAGATCAAGATCATTGGTTGATTTCTCAGATCAAGTTCATATCCATCGTGAACCAGTCAATGGACCGGATGATCAACGAACAGAGGATGAACGTATGGAATTCTTTTTCATCAATGAAGGTGCACCTGAATTGACTGAGCTTGTTCGTAGATGGAGCTCTTCCTCCATAGCACCTTCACATAGAACGTCAAACTCCTTACCTGGTTTGGCTCTACACAAGATTGTAACCAACAGTGGAGAGCAATCACCTCACGAAGAGCGTCATGAAGGACCGTTTGAAGCAGCAACGAATCGTAGTAGCGTGATTCATTTGACAGAACCTTCTAAAGAAACACGAAACTTTTCGCGAAATAGCATCTTAAGCAACCTCTCTGCGTAATGATACCTTTTTAATAGCTCTAACTCATAATGACATTGATGTAAAAGAAATATCATAAATGAAGTGATATGAAAGCATATAAAGGGTAGAAGTTGAAAGGGCAGATAATCTTTAGTCACTAGAAGAATGCAGAGCAATTCGCTCAATTCATGCCAGGTTCTGGTGCCACTTTACCAAGACCACGATTAGCGGAATTACGTTGAGCACGAAGTTGAACGTTTTTACGAGCCTTTTTGATAGATTTTTTGGCCAAGATAGCTTTAGTGATACTGTTACTTGCATTGCCGCCCGTTTGACCTGCGACCATACGATTACCACGGTGACGAGTGGTTGTCGACTGTGCACGATTTATGGCTGTACGAGGTCGCTCTGGGAGATTGATCTCGTTTGAAGGGCCAGGCTCATTGGTACTACTGAGTGTTGATGTTGCAATGATCAGAATTGTAGCAAAAGCGAAAAGGATTGCTTGACTAAAAAGCATAGTTGAGAATCAAATTAAGATGATGACAGGGAATACAAAAGTATATGTTCAAATTCGCTCATTTATACTCATTTTCATGTTATTGGAAATATCTGCAAAGCCTCGCGGCGACCAAATTTTATACGCCATTGCATCGGGAACTTAACGCAAATCAGTATATTAACATCTCTTAATTTCTTTTATAACCAGTTCGATTTTTCTTTGTTCATACAATGTCATAAATCGTCTAACGCAATTGGAAAATCCTTGAAGCAGCCCCGCGATGTGTTTTTGTGTTGGAATGCGCCCCTTTCATTGGTGCATATTCTGAGTCAAATCCGATCCTCATGGATTTCTTAGCCTGTGTGGTCCAGATGGGGATGAAGGTGAATGAATGCTGTGAAGTTGTGTTTTAAGATGATGTTTACGTACGAAACAAAAACGCACAATAATTCTTACGTAATCCAATCTGAGTATTTTCATTAGCGTTGTTTTATTTCAGATAAGAATTTGCTTCATTCCAATAAGACACCATCAACATCAATCATACATCATGTCAGATTCAACACCCAAGAACCCGTTAGAAGGGGGTAACGATTGCGAGACAGGAAATTGCGTTCCTGAGCAAGCAACAAGCAAGACAAGTACAGCATCAAAGGGTTCAGACAGTCTAACGAACTGGCAAGAATTCATTCCTCCGATCAAGAGTGCATACGCATTCGGCGATGAGCTTTTGCCGAGCATCGTAATCGAATACTGCAATAGATGTAGATGGCAACATAGAGCAACATGGGTGCAAACAGAGCTGTTCATCACATTTGAAGATAAACAAGAGCAACAATCCAACGATCAAAACCAAAACAAAAGTGGAGGCAAATATGCTTCTTCGGTTGGACTGAAGAGCATTCAACTCATACCTTGTAATCGACCTGAAACAGGAGGCAGATTCCGAGTGTGGCTTTATCGTAGTCATCAGGAGTCAACCACCAACGCAGATCAGGCAAAAGGCGCAATTGGGACGTTCGAAGATGGAAAGATTGTACTTTTGTGGGATCGAAAGATTAAAGACGGATTTCCAGAATTGAAGGAATTGGTGAGTAATTCAGATGCATTTTGTGGCATTGCATGTCTCTTATACCCTATATTCGCCTCTCACAGAAACAGATCGTACGTGATCAGATCGCTCCCGGACACAATCTTGGGCATTCAGATCGAAAGAAGGAAGCGTAAACGCAAGTCAAAATGAATTTGAATATCGGGGCTTGACCAAACCAATCAATGTTGAAAGATGACGAATTTTAAACAATGTCTTTTGAGATGATCTGTTAACTCTGCTCCAAAATTATCTTCGCCACCACGTACTAGTGGTCGACAAGCATACATTCTGCAGAAACAGTATGTCGATCCCTATCATTCGGACTTTGGTAATTGCATACTTTTGCCTTCTTCCACACAAGTTCATTCTCTGCGAAGACTGTATTTCTGCTGGCGGATGTGCAGATTTCACTACGCTGAAAAAGCGACAAAGTGATGAGTCATCCTCTCAAAGCTCATCGCGAAGTAGATCGGCAAAACGAAAGGAGCGCGAGGCTGACTTGTCAAGTAAGGGGGGCAAGCGATCATCTAGTTCTAGGCCTTTACAGGATCAACTACAATCATCTCGAACTGCAACGTCACACAAAAAGCCAAAGATTCAAAACTTCATTGATCGGGTTGGTGTAAGCGAATCATCAAGTTCGATGCATGCTCAAACACAAATATCTTCTCATGAACGGCCTTCGACGATGAGTCTTGATCTTTCGCTCGGTGGTGCTCGAAGTCATGCTAGTACTTCTGTCCAGAAAGATGCCAGAAATTCCGCATCTCCTCCAGCAAGTTCAAGCTTTGATGCAACTCAGGATACCGCACATCGTGATACAACACATATCAAGCCATTTTCCAGCGATGTTTTGCGCGGTGCTCGCGGCGGCAAAAAGCCAGCTGGTTACGACACAAGAGCACAAAAGATTGCACGATACACTGAAAAATACCTGAAAGCGGGTGAAACAAAGAAAGAAGCAGTGCAAAAAGCAAACAATGAGTATGCTCAACGAACGCGACGTAATCGTGAGGATTGGAAAGCTTGGCGAGAAATTGTGAGGACGGATCCATCTAGAGCCCGTGAAATGACAACACAGGTACCGAAAAGAATGGGAAGGTCAGATTATATTCGTCTTCGTACCCATCAACTATTATCTCGCGGAATGACTGCTGATATTAACGAAGCAATTCGGATCGCTAGAGAAGAGAATGATCAGCAACTTTCTCATAGACGAAATTACAGTAAAACGTTTGTTCGCAAAAACAAAAGGCCTTGAATGCATGTGCATCATCAATCTGCTTTTGGGCGCAATTGCTGGCGGCGATATGCGAAGCAAGAATGCAAACGTATGGGGCTTGGTTTTCGGTGCTCAGTCTCAATTCATGCTTATTTCTTCGCCGAATAAAATGTCACTTCTTGCTATTTGGATCACAGGATTCATTATCTTTTGCCCTTTTTCTTCAAATCCGCACACAAAATGATTCTCTCCATAGCGATCAATCTTTAGAGTTTTTCAACCTGGAGAAGCGTGAAAATGGCGAATTATCAGCAAAACGCAAATCGGGAGGATTAAGCGAACAAGATCGGAAAATCATTAAAAGCGTACAATACTTCTTTAATAATGATGTCAGCCTCCAGGAAGCAATGCACTCTCATGGCATTGGGCATCTTCTTCGAAGCGGCAATGAACGTCAAAATCATCTAGCTAAAGTTGTTAGAAAAGAACGTCAATCGCCACCTATTGGGTTGACCATGGAAGAACGTCAATCACCACGTGCTAATGTCGGTCACAATGAACCAAGAACACAAAATTTGATTGATCGTGTTGGTACTTCTGGAAGATCAAGTGCACCGCATCCAAACACGCGAATTAATCATCCGTTGTCAGATCTGAACTTGTCGCTTGGAAATGGTAAAGACCATGCCAGCAAAGCAAAAGTTGGTGCTGATTTGAGTTTGTCACTCGGACTAAGCAGGGGTGAGAGCCCATTTTTGCCGTCAGACAAAAGACATCGAATCTCGTGAGCGGTCCATCTTTTAAATTTGTAGCGATACCATGACGATTACGAAGATAGATTTTGTTTCACTTTCTTCTCATTTCCCTTTATTTTTTGTTAGTCATCGTCTACGTAATTCTGTCGTATATGCCGACTGTTTTCTCTTCGGCATTCATACCCAAGCCCCTTCTTACTTCTACTGACACACAAGGATCATTTTTGCATGCAGTTGCGAATTTTGAATTTTCAAGGGCTCGATCGGGACTTCAATTCGGGGATGCTCCTCTGCTGCCTCGTGGGACAAGGATCAAGCACGATTGCTATTCTGCCGTCTCATCAATCAAGGGTCAAGCACCAAGACTGATCAATAGCACAGAGTTTGCCACCATCACCGCGGTATAACAATGCTACTAAACAATCTTTGCAAATTCATTCAAGCAGCTTCAATACTTTTCGTTTTGGCTGAACTCTACCCTTGTATGGCAAAACTGGCAAGATCAGACCAAGAGAGTACCGAAAGTTCATCGAAAAGAAGCATGAAAGCTCAATCTACAGGAACGTACTTTACAAAGCGCACGAATATCAGCCCACAGTCATCCTCAGAATCGAGAAAGAAGCGTACGCCATTGTATTTGCTTCCTGAAAAAGATCAGAGTGTGCTGAAAGCTGCAAAATTGTTCTTTGAAAACGATAATATATCACTTGATCAGGCAAAGGGTAGATTTAGCGTTTCAGAGAAAACTTCTTCGAGCTCCCAAAATTCTGCTATAGGTAAGCTAATAGAATTCACACATCGTGAACACAACTGACAAAGTATGACTTTCTTTATCTATCAGCCTCTCAGCCAATTCATTCCGTTCCAAGTGTGAATTCTCCTACATCCAGCAGTAGCGGAATCGCAGAAACGGGGCTCCGACCATTCTCGAGTGGAATGATTCGTCATGATAAGAAAGGACCAAAGCCAGTAGGATATGATACGAATCAGCAAACAATAGCACGTCATGCAGAACGGTTGATACGTAAAGGTACGACTAATAGCGAAAACGACGCATTGAATCTAGGAAAGGCAAAGATATTGGCAAAACAAAAGCGTAAAAGTGAATTAATGGCATCATGGAGACACATGGCAAGAACTGATCCATCTCAAGCTCGACAGATGAAGACTAATGTGCCTATTCGACGATCAAAAGCCCACTATGTTTCTCTCCGAGCACATCAATTGGACCATCAGGGTAAAGCTAAGGGTATGGAAGCTGCCACTCAGATGGCTAAAACGGAGATGGATCAAGCGCTTTCTCGCAAAAATCAGAGAGCACGACACCTTCAAGCAAGACGTAAGCTGCAGAACGGTCAACAAGCTGTTTGAAGAACGAATCTATGCTCGCAATGTTGCGACCAGATCTTCCTTTTGCTGGATATAGAAGGACGAAATCCGCTGAAGTGGATTAGCGGCACAATCATGTCATTCCGTTCTGCAGGAGCAATTCATGTGTGTGGAATAATATGCCGTACCAAATGTATGATTATATTTGTTGATAGAGCAGTTATGCGATGTACGCTCTTAAGTAGAACACTATGTATGAAAGTATGCTTAATATTATTATCATTAATATGCTCTATAGTGGTCACTCCGGCTTTGAAACAAAACCTTCCTTGCAGTGCCATCCTGCCCCATTTGATAAATCTCCTATTTCATATACCTCTGGAGCTTAATATGCAGTTGTGCAACGCAAAAACGAAGTTGTGACGCATATCCGGGGCATGAGCTTGTGGCAGTAGGAAATCAAGTGTAGACTGTATTCGATCGTTTGTAAGCGAGACTTCAGCTTCACACTCTACCATAAAAGTCCATAATGCATTCTTGCAATTATGATATCTGCTTTCATGCCCTGTTGTTATTTGGGTTCTTTGTTGGACTGCTCTTGTCCGTGTCTGCGATGGACAGGTATGACTTGATTATCAAAGACGAACAACATTATCAAACCTTCAATGTTCCTTCATCTGTCGTGACGCTGGCAAAACGGCAAGTATCCCCTGACGCACCCGATACTTCACCAATGTTTCGCACAGAAAAACGAACAAGAAAGCGCAAAGAGCCATCACTGCTTAAGCATGACCATGCTGCTCTCAAGGCAGTGAGTATGTTCTTCAAGAACGATCATGTATCATTGGAGCAGGCTATGGCGAGACATAATGTTCCAAAGAAAGGGAATATAATTGCAGATGCTCACACATGTACGTTGCTTCATTTGCTTATCAACTGATTATACGTGCTAATGTTCTACTCTACAGCTTCTGTACACATATATACCCCCAACAGAGCAAGTCATCATGTTTCAGGTGGTGAGGATCACGATGCTGCAACGGACATTGCGCCCTTCTCTCACGAAGTTCTACGTAATAGTCATGGGAGGAAGCCGGCTGGATATGACGGAAAGAAGCAATTGACCGCTCGAGCTGCCGAAAAGTACATTATCGATGGCACAGCAACAGATGACAAAAATGCCTTAGAACTGGCAAAAAGTAAGATTGCGCAAAAGTATCGGAAAAAGGGTACGCTTCTGGCTACTTGGAGAGAAATTGCAAGAACAGATCCATCTAAAGCTCGTGAAATGAAAACTCAAGCCCCTAGAAGATTGAAAAGTGAAGATTATATTCCTCTTCGCGCACATCAGTTGCATCATCAGCGTAAAGTTGCCAGTCTGGAAATTGGCGTGCAAATGGCTAAAGAAGAAAATGAAAGAGAACTTTCTCGTAAAAGAAATAATAGACTCATCGCAAAAAGTAGGCCTAAGAAGCTTTGAATTCTGTCTTCCTTGTATCTAAATGTAGTTTTTAAGATCCTTATCATTCAATCTATTCTTTTCCTGGAATGGGAGGCTTGGATACAAAAGGCCGATCTAACCCCTTCATGGGTGACTCGCTGTTCTGTGCGGTGCAAATTACTCGAAACTTAGCCGGAGCTTCCTATCAGGGGCTTACGCATTCAGCTGATGGGTGTGGTGTGTAAGAATGCATTGAAGACATAAGAGTCTGACCATTCTTCAGATTAGTGGCAATACTCTGAGTTTTGGATCCCACTCATCATCTCAGCTCATCATGCAGCTCTGTGAAAGGTTATCATTCTACGCGATGTTATCGATTGCCATTCTCTTTGGTAAGCTTTCTTGTTTAGCACACTTGCAGGAACCAGATTCGATCTATCCCAACCTAGCAAAGCGCCAAACAGACCAATCTCCTGCATCTAGCTCAGGATCAACAGGTCCTCAGCATTCTGTACTAGAGCAATACAAGAAACGCAAATGGTCGACATCATCCCTTCCTGAAACAGATCAAAAAGCCCTTAAAGCAGCAGAGACATTTCTGAATGATGATCATATTTCCCTCCAACAGGCTATGAAAAAGCATATGACGGAGCGCGAGCCTAAGCTTTTTACCAATGAAGTCTTACATCGAAGCAAAGGTCATGTTAGACCAGTCGGATATGAATCTGTCAAGCAAGTAGTAGCACGACACGCAGAAACATTATTGCGAGCAGGCAAACATTCAGAAGAAGAAGCAAGAAAGTTGGGACAAGCAAGAATTGACCGAAAGAATGATCGCAGGCAAGATCGAATGTGGTATTGGAAAAATATGGCAGACACAGATCCTTCACAGGCACGCCATGAAAAAGAAAACGTTCCTTATCGGATTGCAAAGCATCGTTATGTGGCCCTCAGATCTCACCAATTAGAGCAACGAGGAAAAGCTGAAAATATGCACGCTGCAAAAAAAATGGCAACGGAAGAAATTGATAAGGTACTCGCTCGGAAAAGAGAATCGGAGCGTAATCGTCTAGCAAAGCTCAGACAGAAGGGGCCAAAATAAGGCTTTCATCTTGTCTTGCCACCTTCTCTTCATATCTTCCTGCCAGTTGCGTATATGTAGACCTGTCTCTTAAGCTACATTCTGCTTCAATAAACCAGTCTAAATTTTGAATGATAAGGGCAATGAATCGAATACTTGTTTATGATACTAAGCCGGCTGCAAATTCCACATCAGTTTCACAAAAGATGTCTATCAAAACATCAATACACGCCGTACGGGGCTTGATGGGATCATACGAGTACATTGTGTCCTTTTCATATTGCATCTTTCATCTTCATCACTTTCTCATACTTTATACGGCAAGAATCTATATCTGCGGCCCCTGACTTACTCGATTATGGTGATTATCCTCGTCGTAATTTTGACACTCTTTCTTGGTGTAGCGTCATCTTCGGATGCTACTCAAGCGCAGTGCTGTGCATTGAAAATGAATTTCGAGACTCAACGTCCACAGCACGGTGGCGTCATGATAGAGAAGCGGCAAGTATCAAAAAGAACACGGCGAGAGCGGCTTCCAGGCAAGAACCAGAAGTATTTAAGGGCAGTAAAAAACTTTTTTGAGAAAGATGATCTACACCTAGCCGATGCAATGGAACAGCAGAAGCTCAAGTTCCAAACAATAGGACAGACGGACTCACACAGTTCGTCAGGTTTCGGTCATGTGTCAGATCCTCCTTCTCCCACTACACAAAAAGTGAATGAGCTTGAAATGCTTCTCAATGCACCACCTTCTCCAAAAATGTCACACCAGTCTCAAGGTGCAGCTTTTAGTCAACATAAAAGTACGCTTCTGTCAACCTCGCCTAGGCATTCCGAGATGAATCAAGTGAGCCCTCCATCCGGATCCGGAAAAGAAGCTCAACATTCGCAACATTCAGAGCATTTAATAGCAGCATATTCACCAAAGTCCCACTCTCGTACTTTTGCTTCAATTACTACGCCGTTTTCGAAAGAGGTGAAAAGAAATAACAATGGTCGTAGACCAAAAGGGTACGATTCAAATGCCAACAAGATCGCACTTTTTGCGGAGACATTTCTAAATCATAATAAAGCAGCAAGTCAAGAAGATGCGATCAGACTGGCGAAAGAGAAGCTAAGCGCAATAAGAGAGCGAACTTCAAATAATTTGAAAAATTGGAAACACATTGCCAAAACGGAACCTTCAAAAGCTGGCGAAATGAAAACCAACGTACCCAAGCATTTACCAATCAACCTTTACGTTTCAGCCAGAGCCCATCAATTGTATCATAGGGGTCAGTCAAAGGATCTGGCAGAAGCTGAAAAGCTTGCGAAAGCAGAATCGGTACAATTTAGAGAAAAAAAGAGAAAACACAATGCAATATATGAAGATAAACGCCGCCAAAAGAAACAAGCTTGACTGTTACTATACAATGAATTTCTGGATTTAAGCCCCGAGCTTTCTGTTTCAATTTTCACACCGATCTTCATGGCGATCTTCATATGAAATCATAGCCCCGATACTGTTCGGAAATTTAAACAGAACAGCATACATAGCAAAATTTACGTCAAGACTTTCCGAATATGGTGACGTCAAAGAATTCACATTTGATGACGTAGAACTTTAAATTTAAGCGACAAAAAGTGTCGAACTTTCGAGATTGAATCTACCCATTTCCTACCAACATCTGAATTTTGTTTGACGATATAACGGAACAATGTCTTTCAGAAACCCTCTATTCTTCTCTCTTTGTATCGGGCTTTGCTTGTGCCTGCCATCTTTGAATGGTAATAGGTACCATTCTGCGGATGAGCTAGTAGACCTGATTCAGTACAAGCCGCTAGCAAAGGGAAGAAGAGATGCGCAACCGTTGCACCTCTCTGATGGTGCATTCGCAAGTTCTGCGTACGGAGGACGAGATTGGCTTCGAAAGCGTAGCACATTGGCAAGAACTTTACCAGAACAAGATCAAAAGGCACTTAAAGCAGCTGATTTGTTTCTTAGCACTGATCATATCTCACTTGAGCAAGCAATGAAGAAGTACAATGTTTCGAACAAGAGTTCTTCCAGCTCACACGGTTCTACAGGTATGTGGTGATGCAGTCAGGGAATTTAATATTGTTTATCTCGGATATATTACTTATTCCTTATCGTACAGTTTATAATCCTAGCCCTTCTGGATCTAGCGCAAGCTCTCGTACTCCAGACTCCAGCGCTCACGGTGAATCTCTTAAAGTACGCCCTTTCTCTCAAGCTGTTCTGCATCGAGGCACTTCAAAAAGGCCAGCAAAGTATGAGACAAAGGATCAATTCATTGCACGCCATGCAGAAAGCTTGATGAAACAAGGTCATACCGAACGTAATGCGATTACAATGGCAAAGACTAAAGTTGATCAAAGAAATCACAAGAAAGCAAATAATCTCGCTACTTGGCGTCATCTAGCAGATACAGATCCTTCTCTTGCCCGTCAAATGTCAAGCAGAGTACCTACAAGGTTAGGTGCTGCGGATTATATTCCACTTAGAGCGCATCAATTACATCATTGGGGAAAAGCAAAAGGTATGGAAGAGGCAACAAAGATGGCGAAAGCAGAATCTCAAAAAGAAGTCGAGCGCAAAGCTCAATCACATTTGAAATTGAAAGCTTTACGCAACCAAAAGGCAAAACATTAACGTGATGCATAGATTCTCTTTCATGTCTCTCATTGTCATCCAAAATGTGGATAGTTCGCACTTAACTTCGCGGTCTGTTTCCTACTTAGTCATGCGGAACGGTTTTAATTCAAGTAGACTGATAAACGCTTTTTACTCTGTGCTTCCTCTTACTTTCTAAAAATAAGACCAGCCGGATGCTACAACTACTTTAGCGGGGCTGTAGCATGTATATACATTGTTTTGTAAAGCTACAGTTGAACGCAAAAAGTTTTTATCATAAGCTTTGGCGGCTCTGCTCTTCCATTACATCATATCACTCATCACAAGCGCTGCGCAATGGATGCATGGCACTTGAAATTTCTCTTTAGGCTTTTTTGCTTGCTTGCAACCTTACTTGCATCGAGCTCGGCTTTCTCGCATACTGAGTATACATTGAAAAGGAATGTAAATCAAGCAAAAGCAGCAACGCTGACTGATACATGGTTGTATAAGCGCCAAGCAAGTGATACATCACCAAAAAGCTCAAAAACGAAGGTGATACCAAAGAATAGGCAAGACAAAAAATCTTTGAAAGTAGCGGAAATATTTCTGGAAAATGATAATATTCACCTTTCTGAAGCAATGGCAAAGAAGAACCTGGTCTTTATGGAAAACGAAAGCACAACTAGCTCACAGCATGGTGCTTTACCTTCTCCGACAACCCGAAAGATGAATGACCTACTCGAATTGATGAGCAGACCTCCTTCCCCTAGCGAGCTAGAACATTCCTCGCATGCTTCAAACTCACCCAAATCTAGCTCTAAGAGTCCAAATGGCTATACGTTTTCTTCTCAACAAGTCCCAGCACTTTTTTCCAAAGATGTGATAAAACGTAACCAAGCAAAAAATGGATCAAACAAAGGACATTTTAAATCTAAAAATCTTATAGCTGTCAATGCTGAATATTTGATCAAGAAAAAGAAGACCAACGATCCTGAGGAGGCGATACGCATGGCACAAAAGAAAGTTGTAAAGCAAAGGGAAAAAGTCAATGCAAGCCTTAAAAATTGGAGACGCATTGCTGAGACAGATCCCTCGAAAGCAGCACAGATGCGTGCAAAAGTACCACAGAACATCTCAATGAAGCTCTATGTTCCTGCTCGAACACATCAGCTATATCATCGCGGCGCAGCAAGAACGATGGAGGAAGCTCACCATTTAGCTCGTGCAGAATCAAAGGAAATTCTTAGCAAAAGAAGAAAGTTAAACAACAGAGTCAGAGGAAAGCCAGAAAAAAACATATGACGTCAAGAATACCATTTCAGTAACACCTGAGAAGCTAATCAGTTGTTTGTGTAGAGTTTGATAATCTCTAATCCGGGGCGCAATGCCGTTTGTCGTGTATGTGTATGATGGCAAGACTATATTACGCCATGCGACAGTGACTTGTGCTAACACTTAAATTCACCTTGTAAGTCTAATTGTGCTTTCATTTTCTAATATTTAACCACGTCTTCTCGTCCATACATCATGTTAGGCCAAAAGAAGATGTCTCAAAGCCGCTTAATTTCCGCTGCATATATCTCTTTCGTTCTTATCATCTTCCTTACATTAGCGTCCAATGCAACTTCGCAAGTTTCTAATAAGTATAGTTCTATGCTTATCAAACGTCAATCACTGGATAAAGAGTCCAATCCAAAAATACCGACACAAGATAAAATCTTACTGAAAGCAGCAGAACTTTTCTTCGATCATGATGATATGCATTTGTCTCATGCCCTCGAGCAGTCTAAAAAAGAGTCTAAAGACCATTCAAAACCGGCGCCATTTACATCTGACGTATTGCGACGTGGTTCAAGCTACTTCAAAACGCCCAAAGGGTACTTTTCCAACAAAAATACCGCACTTTTAGCAGCAGAAACTGCAGAAAAGCAACAAAAAGGTCAGCATGGAAGAAGCAATAAAAATAGGTGAAAATAAAGCAAAGACTAAAGCTCAAAAGAATTTTAATTATACAAATATGTGGCGAGAAATTGCAGTTTTTGATCCAGCAAAAGCAAGATATATGAAACAAGATGTTCCAAAGAATCTATCCGTAAAACATTATGTAAGAGCTCGCAGTGAACAGTTGCATGGAAGAGGCAAAGCTCAGACCAAAGAAGATGCCACATTACTAGCAAAAGAAGAAATGCGTCAAGATCGAGCTAGAAAAAGAAAATTGGATATAATTAGTAGAGAAAGGCGAGCTAAAAGCAAGCTGCAGTCATGACTGCTCGAGATTCTGCTGACAAGAAGAGGTTTTGGATGTCTGCGTAAAGATCTAAAGAGTAAAAATAGGCCTTGATTCGGCAACAAACAACCGAAGATCACCGCTTTATGAACTGTGGCGGTACTGAAATTTGTGTATCTTGTCCTAATGCAACTTTCAGGATGCTTGGAATGTGACCATCATCAGTACGTTAAGATGCAACTGCACATGTATGCGACCTTGCTTTTGTCTCCTGTCTTTTTCACCACCTTAGTCGCTTTTCATTGTCGCATTCAAGATACAAGGCCTAAAAATGCTGCGGATGACTTAGAGCGGGTAACCCAAGAACTGGTAAAGCGACAAGTCAGAGAACATCTACCTTCAAGCGTGGAGAAAGCGTCTTTGTCTTCTTCTCAAGCTCGCCCAATAAAGAAACACAAGGCTTCAAAACTCTCCGAAGAAGATCGAAGATCGATTAACGCAGCCAAGTTATTTTTCTCCGATGAGAACATATCCCTTGAGCAAGCAATTGGGAAGCAGAATGCAATAAGTGAAGGACAAAAAAAGCAAAGGAGCTCCAACGGTACGTATTTTCGAGTGTTACCATTCATCGTTATCTTAACATGCCGAATAATATAATTTCTTCTTCCTACGCACTAGGTATGCCTCGCACTTCATCCATTCCCATGCCATTTTCCGATGAGTTGCTTCGTAACAAATCCGGTAAAAAGCCAAAAGGCTACAACACGAATGATCAAGTAGTTGCACGCCACGCTGAAAGATTCATGTCTGACGGGAATATCATGGATAAAGATGTTGCGATTGGTATGGGGAAGAAAATGATACAAAGAAGTAATCTACGTAAACAAATCAAGTTAGCTCATTGGAGGCAAATTGCAGAGACAGATCCTTCAAAAGCCAGACTTGCTACAACAAGAGTGCCAACAAGATTATCCAAAACACATTATATCCCTCTCAGAGCACATCAATTAGATCAACAAGGAAAAGCTAAGGGTATGGAAGAGGCAACTCAAATGGCCACTGCGGAAGCTCAGAGAGAACTCGATCGAAAGAGAACGTCCTATCACAGGTTCAAAGCTCCTCTTAAGGGCAGAAGACCAAAATAGTATACGAATCCCCCATTGCCTGTATAGATCATTTCGGGTCTTGTCTTTCCTATAAGACTGTTAGAGAAGTATATTACCATTTTAACCAAGTAGCCTAAACATTCTTTACGCCCCCATTAGCCTTTGAGACAGTCGAGTAAACATAATTTTTGTGGAAGTTGCCGATGTGCGGCAGTGTCCGGGTCTTCTTTCTGCGTCTCTCAGGTCAGACTCAAGCAGATCATTTGAGATAGTTTAAATATCAATACTTTGTCTATCAACGAACTACCATAATTAAGGCTCCCACAAAGAAAAACTACAATCACGATGCTGTATTTACTTACGATACTTTATCTTAATACCGGTGTTCTTCTCGCTGTGTCCTTGATATGTCCAGCTTTAGCTTTACTGCAACCGGACATTCATATATTGAACAATGTGAATACAAATACTGACATCAAAAGAATAAAGCAAGATACACCAATGTACAAACGTCAAACAAATGTGGAAGATTCTACCACAAGGAAAGCTACAAAGCGCAATTCTCTCTCAGATAGTATGAATAAGGCTAACCGGCCTTCAAAACTGCCTAGACTGAACATTGGGAAAGCGAATATGCGTCGTGATCATCAGGTACTTAAACCTGTCCCTCGACGCATTCATAGTTCATTAAGCCCATCTTCGCCAGCTATGCAAAAAATCAATGAACTTAAAGATCTGATGGACGCGCCTATACCAGAACATTCAGCGGGACATGCAATGCATTTGCAACATTCACCATCGACTTGGAGAGTTCAAGAGCTACATCATCTTATCACAGCGCCCCCAAGTCCGGCAGAGCTGAAACAGAGAGAAAGTAGATCTCACTCGCCCGTTGTGCGTACTAGCACGTACAAGCGTCCAGCTTCACCAACGACAAAGAGAGTAAATGAATTGCATCATCTGATTACGTCACCGCCGACCATGGAAGAGTTGAAAGAGAGAGAATGTAGATCGCACTCACCTGCTGAAGGTGTTGGCACGAACCATGGGGAACCTTTGGCTAAAGCACACCGCTCCAGCTCTGATGCTAGATTGTTTTCAGACGATGTCATTAGGAGAGGTTCCAGGGGCACCGCAGCATTTGGGTACAGAACAAATAGAAACACTATTGCATTAGCAGCTGAGACGCTCATTAAAAAAGAGAAAACTAGAGATCATGATGAAGCTATCGGCATGGCAAAACAAAAGCTACTAGACAGGAAAGCAGCAGCACAGGAAAGGAAAGAAGAGTGGCGTAAACTTGCTACAAATAATCCAGAGAAAGCTGGTGAAAGGAAACAAAGTGTACCGAAAAACTTATCTAGAGACATTTATGTCCCTGCTCGTGCTTATCAGTTACAGGCGCACGGCAAAGCAAAAACATTCGAAGAAGGCAAAAAGATAGCCAATGCTGAGCAAGATAAGATAGCCGCCGGTGCCAAGATTAGAGACGGAAGACGTAGAGCAAAACAGGCTCTTAAGAGTCCACGGTAGTAGTTCCAAGCTTTGTACATAACCTCTTCTCTTTTTCGTATCTCCGCATTTGATATGATAATGAATAAGTTAAGGCAAATATCGCGAAAAAGACCACCTCACACCAATCGTGTACCCAATAGTCTCTTTTCATCACACATTTGGATGGACAGAACAATGATCCATTCTGTAACTCTGATATGTATACATAGAAGGAAGTGTAGAAGAAAGATGATTGAAGACGATAAATCAAATAATGCCAGCATTAAGATGATGCGGCGCAATGAGTGGAGGTTCAAATGCCTCACCTGGCGAGAATTTGCGATAGTTACGACGACTGAAACGGTAATTTGGATAAATGTGACCACCTTTACCTGAAAAAAGAGAGGGAGGTAACATGTCAGTCTCACTTTTAGCAGACAAAGTTGTACGGCGCAGCTCAAAGGTGGACCTTTTTCTTCAACCAATTACCCACTCAAATGATACGAAAGACAATCTTCACGGTAAAGGGTGAACATCGCGCTTTCCAACCAAGGTCGCCCAGTCTGGACCATAGCCAAACTTACGTTTCTCCAGAACCATGTGACCTTTTTCGGCGGGCGATTGGAAAGAATCTCTGCGGAAATGTTCATCCATCGGTAAAGTTGATTTTGTTGGCTTGAAACCCGCTTCCATTAGTTCCAATTCTTTCCATTTTCTCTCTTCGACGTTGTCATGATCACTGCGAACGCCATGATGAGGATGATGATTGCTATGAGCATGGTCATGATGAGAGCTCCCGTGATGATGGTGGCGGTGGTGATGTTGTTCGACTTGTTCAAGTTCTTGCAATTCTTTCAACTTTTCCACTTCTTCGAGTTCTTTTAATTCATCCAATTTCTCCATATCATCGAAATTTGTATGGTCTGTTTCCATGTCTTCGAAATCTTCAATCAAATCCAAATTATCTTCAATGATCATGAATGTCTGATCTTCGATACACAGACTGATTCGTTTTACTTCTGGATGCGTCAAGCATTGAATAACGTCAGGATGCAAGAGCAATGCCATTGCCTCTGCATCGTTCTTTTCGTCTGAAGCTTTTTGATCTTTCATTTCGGCCATGTGTTTAGGTTCATGCTTGGTGCCATTTGCAGGTTTATGATTTGGATCAACGATGTGTGGTGGATGAGCTTCTTCCTTCTTACCCTTGCGGGCTTTTTCACGTTCCTCTGAATTGGTCAAACATTTTGTGAAGTGTGTCAAGATTGGTTTGCCAATACACTTTTGCACATCAGCAACATCTTCATGCGTAATCATGGACTCATCAAATGCAGCGTCCAATAAATCTTCCAATTCAGATTCCAAAGCCGAATGAATGACGTAATGAACCATTCTACGATGATGAGCATTCTCCTTTTGTTTCTTTGTGCGGAATGGCACTTCAGCCGGAATAGGAGCTTGAACAGGATGAACTTCATTCGGATGCTCAGCAATCACGAGCGGGTTGCTTGTTTCATTTTTTGCTAATTTGCCAGCGTCTTCTGGATGAATTGGAATAGATTGTGCACTTGACATTGAAGCTGTCAAAGCGCTAACCATGACCAGCATGGAAATCAAAGATTTGTATGCAAACATAACTGCAAACCTGAGAAGAGTCAAACACTTGTCGAAAGTGATGATGATGATTTGAAGAAGCGAGTTGACTTTAGGATTTACCTCTATTTATGCCTTTTTTGATCAAGGTACGACTTGTTTGTGTCTTGCTATACTGCAGCGCACATGAACGCCAAAGGCGATGACTTGCATTTGATACGCAATATCATTCATTGCCGTTGAAACCTAATCGGGGCAAAATGGTTTTGCCAAGTCAGCTTTGCGAAGCGTTTTTATATAAATCAGATGAAGGCGAAGTCCCGGTGCGGTGTTAAGCGTACGCAATCATCAGTTTCGCCACAATGCAAGTGAGGGTTGCAAGCAAGTTTCAGACCGTTACTAAAAACAAAAAAACCTTTTTGTTTACAATATAAAGGTGAAGAGGCTTACATGCACATCGATTGGCAAACGCCTCGCCCCCATCGGCGCCGCGCTGAATGGTTCATACCACAAAGGCGTAAAATTTGTGGTTGCATTTTGTTCATCCACAGCTCCAGCCAACAACGATCGGGCGCAACATGTAATCATCTTCTCGTACATCTTTCAAAATAACGGCGGAGGTAGACGATATCTATGGCGAAAAGACAAGCAGCCGATAAACAACATCATTGTTCAAAGCTGAAACGCAAATCGTCAAAATTCACACACAAAACATGCAGTGTACACTAAAAGACAAATAAGAGATGAAATTGGTATTACGTTGTTGGTTCTTTTTGATTGACAGGTCGCTTGCTGCTTTGTTTCTTCTTCTCGAGAGCACGTGCATAATCCTTTTTACACTTCTCTTTATATAATTTCATATTCGTAGGCGATGCTTCTCGCCATGTCTTATTTCGATGATACATTCCCAAAGTCATCGCTTGTTTTTGGGTGATCTCACCTGTTGCAGATAAAGCTTTAAGCTTCTTCACATACCTATGTGAGGCAGCTTTGCCTTTCGCCTTGAAGTTTTCCATCTGCTTCTTTAATTTGGGAGTCTGCCATTACGGATATTGATTTTTTAGTCTCGCTCAAACATGTTAAGCGTATTTACTCTCTTACCATCTTTGATTCGTCTGTAAGGCTTCGGATTAGACAGAGAACGTATTTCAGTATACGGAGAGTTATAATGCCTAATTATTCTTCGATCACTTACGCTTCTTTCCATTTCTGCTTACGTTGTTGGTATTGCATCCTTTTCCTTGCATTGATCGCATCTCTTTGTTCTTTTGTAAGCTACGGGAGCAGTAAATCAGCATTTAAACTAGAACTTTCATTTTCATTTCGTACTCACCATATTGACAGGTATATACGTTTTGCCTCTCGACCGATCTACAATAGAAGGTTTTTCTTGTACGGGATGAGTATTCACATGTGATTCCACTTGCTCTCCAGTCGGCTCTTCTGCATCAATATTTAGATCAAACGATCTTGGCTCTCCTCTTTTCTGCAAAGAAGAAGGAATATCTTCTTTGTTTTTCTTGGCTTTTCTTTTCAATTTATCTTTTTCTTTTTTATTCTGTAAGAAACGTTGATATTTCTTCTCATGAGTGGGCGAAGAACTTCTGTAAGCTTTTGTTCTAAGCTTTGATTCCCACATTTGTTGTTCTTTAAGCGTAGCACTGTCCGTTCGTATAGCAAATTCCATGAGACGATATCGCTTCTTATTTGCAATACTTTTTAGGCTTCTCTCGTGCTCAATCTTTGCAAGAAGTGCTTGTTTCTGGCGTTGAACCGAAAGCTACTTAGAGAATGACCACATTTATGTTTATCAAAATGCCAACTTACCTCTTTTGAATCGTCAGGTTTTGCTAGACTGCGTATGTAGAATGGGAGTTACAATCAATTCAGGATCTGTTACAAGACCTATTTCGGACTACTATTGACTCACATCAGCTTTCTCTCAGCTTTTCGCTTATAATATTGCTTCTTCGTGCTAATCAACTTGCGCATTGGCGTCTGAAGAGAGAGTATAAGCTAACATTCAGTGTATATCCCTTTTCACTGAACATACCTTACGTCCTTCAGACAGTGAAATAGAATGGGCCTGGATTGATAATGTCAACTTATTGAGTAAACGGCAATACGACAATTCAGCAGCTTTTGTGTTTACGTACTGCCTTTTTATCATCGTGAATTGACCCTTTGTTAGCAGCGGGATTACCTCGCTCTGTAGCATCATCTGCTTCGTTAGTAGATGCCACCGCACCGATTGCGTTTGCTATGCGATCTAATGTCAAACAGGATGCCAAAGAAATAAGAACGAAGCGATAAATCAAGACCATGCTGATGGATGAGGGTCAAAACCTGACTCTTTCCCGTTTGACAGATACAAATATAAAATGAACATTTGAGCTTTGACGGGGCTTTTGTTTTGAGCGTATTAAATCGTGTGCTATGGTCACAGCCATTGCGTACAAATGTGGTGATAGATGAAACAAATGCGTAATAGCTGTCAATATTGTACTCATACATGGTCATTCATACTCATTTCTTAGGAATTGATTATTTGTTCGAATTGACTAAAAACAATTTCTGTTTAAGCTAATGAACCCTGAATTTGGTCATGCGTATGGTGACAGCAATTCGCGTAAAAAAGCAATCGACCCTTTGATCATAATCTTTGCGCTATAAGAAGCATAATCCATGTTAGATTAAGTAAGGATAAAAGATTTTCAAGAGAACTCCACATCAAGGAGAAGGTGTAATAAGAAGAATTCAAAGCATTCACTCCTAATTAAAACTTCCATAACATTTACTACATTCAATAAACAATATGTCCGGAAACACAGAAGAAGCTGCCCGTTTCAAAAAGACGGAACAAGTCGTTGGCGGAGTGAGTACACCGTGATTTATGACTTGATACAGGGAGTTACTGACAACAATATACTTCATCATCAGGGCGAAAACAATAATACAGTTCCAAACTATAACGAGCAAGCTATGAAAAATGCATTCGCTGGCACTGAACAGGTAAGTGTAAAGGATGGTCTTCTTTATAATACGCAAGTACTGATGCTATAACTCACCTCTTACCAACACAGAATCAAACACAAGAACCACGTCCAGCAAATTCAGCGATTGAACGTGACCTCCAAGAACAGGGATACACAACACGCCAATCCGATGAAGCCTTGGACGAATATAAAGAGATGGAGAAAAAGTTGGAAAATCGTGCAGGTGCAAATGCAAATTGAGGCTGTGTGAAGAGTGAATTACTGTCATTGTGGACGTCAATATTGTATCGATTCATGTTAAGTAAAGTCTTTTGACGACCCTAAAGGTATAGCCGAAGAGGTTGCAACGGCAAAAACGCAATCATCCGTACGCATTTTGCGGTCGTTCTCTTTTCAACCAACAAAAGTTTACTCTCTGTAGGCGCCTAATTCTTGGCAAGATACACATTTAAATGGCATTAAATAGAGGTCTAATTACCCTTGTCTTTCACGACGATGAAAAAAATGAAAGCATCTCTACTGCTTCTTGTCATTCTTCATATCCAACATGTGTACTCTACCTCGAAGAGTGACTTAGAAAAACAAAGTTCTATAACTCTTGACACTTCTGCGCTTATCAGAAAGCCAGGCAAGGTGACATCTGCTCTTCAAAACAACATCAAGAGGGTACGACCGGAAGGCTATAACACCAAGAAAGCAAAAATTGAACGTTTGGCTTTATCTATCCGTCTCAAAAAACCGCATCTGGGCGCAGAAGGAGCAGAGATAGCTGCAAATGATGAATATTTGCAAAAGAGTAGAAAGCAAGCTCAGCGTTATAGGGATAAACTTAAGGAATTAGGTGTTGCAAAAGATACAAGAAAGAGAAAATACAAGCCTAAGCCGAAAGATTATTATTCTACAGAGAACAGAACAATTCGAAAAGCCTTCACAATCTTGAGATCAAAAGACAATAACATCACAAAATTTGACCAAGCACGAAAGGAAGCCGAAGAAATGATCAGACAAAGACAACACACCGAACGCATCCGTGCCCGAGAGAAGTACAGAAACCAGAAAACTCTGAAGAAGCAAGGAGATGACATGATCGGATACCATCAGCATTAATATTTACCTTTCTTTGTCAATTTGGAAGCGCTTCCCTGCTTCCGTAAAAGCCGCTGAGCCAATGTCTTTTGCTTTTCTCTGGCAAATTCTTCCTCTGCTAATTTTCTTGCAGATTCATGTCTCACTATATTATTCTTCCCAGATAAGATCCTTGTAATTTTTCGACCAATAATCCTTCTCGTGAATTGTAACCTGGTCTCCGAAATTTCCTTTCTTTTTTTCCCATCTCTTTCAGTCTTGCTCGCCTTGCCAGTGCGGCCGCTCTTTTCTTCTCTCGGATATCATTCCAAGCTGCTTTCATTGCACTCTTTTCGTTGGTAAATCTACCTTCACTCACGTATCTTCTTGCAGTGCGTTTTGCCAGCTCTTTATGGGTGAAGTAGCCTGCAGGTCTTACTCGTTTCTTCTTTCGCTCATCTTGGGCTGATGTGGGATCTGTCCGGACAGGAGAGCTTCGTTGAGCCACATCAAAGACATCGTCTGATGAAGGTGAAGAAGAAGAAGGAGAGTCGCTCTCATAATACTTGACGCTTTTACGCTGCCTCTTGGAATTAATAGTCGGCAGAATTATGTCTCTTTGACCGCCTCGACCTGAGCGTTGTTTTTTTGCTTTCCAATCTGGAAGAAATGATGCTGGTACATTAATTTTCTCGCTTTTGGATAATTCTACTGCTTCTGAGAAGCGTAGAAGTGCTAATACAGCGAGTATGATGTTTGTAACCCTAATAACATGTGTCATGAATGATTTCAATCCAAACATAGAAGGGGGAAGTACAAACCAGGCTAATATCAAATGCTTATCGACCAAAGTTATATCTTGCGATGGTACACGTATCAATCTTCCTTTTGGGGAGTAGAAGCTGTACAACATAGTGTATGAACCTAATTTGGTAATCAAAGATAAGGAAAGGATGAACAACTTTACATAGCTTGAACGAAAGCCCCGAAGTTGATATTTTGCTTTACTATAATACTAGATTCTAGCAACACCCAATTTGAGCTCATTAGTGATTTGTTGTCATAATCTATACACAATGTAGGCAGTGCATCCACTTTGTTTAGGGGCTTTGTCAAGTATCACAAAATATGCAACGAGAACCGGTTCCGAGTGTCAAATCTTTGCATATATGCATAGAAAGCCCAACTTTATACTTCCAAGTCACATATATACGAGTTAGAAATACTCTGAAATTCAAAATCACTCGAGTCTCATAAAGATCATTAGCATTCCCTGCAGATCGTACTTTGAGTCGACAAAAGGAATTTGAACATGATGAGATGCCTTGCAAGTGCCTCAATGCTTTATTCTATCCTGGTTTTATGTCCATTTCTCAACCTGGAAGCTACTCTGACAAACGCTGGCAGCGCAGAGCCGAGTAAAAGCGCACAATACTCCAGCATTCCTGCTCAGGCACAATCTTCAATTGATGACGATGATACTATCACGCATGTGTACAAACGTATCCGTGGCAATACAGGTCATACAATCGCTGTTCCTATTCCAAGAGGCGAAGAACTTTTAAAGCATGACGGACGAGGAAAGCAACCAAAGAACTATAATACAATTGAGCAAGTCATTGGAAGAGGAGTCAAAAGAATGATGGAAAGCAACCCTAACATTCAAGAGAAAGATGCGATTCAATTAATGCAAGAAAAGATTGAGCAAAAAAGCATTAAAGAATGTAAGCAAAAAAGAGAACGACTACAACAGGAGAGAATATTGCATCCAAAAAAAGATCTTCGTAAAACAAATGGTCGGCGAAGTTATGAAGTGGAAAAAGCACGTAGTATTGCTCATATGCTTAAAACGAAAAATAATGGCATTTTCAATCGTGATCAAGCTGAAATCGAATTTGAGGCGAAAAGAGAATTGAAACGCAAAAAAGATCGTGAAAGAAAACAAATTCAACGCAACGCCCAAAAGGAAGCAAAATTGAAGAGTTCCAGGTAATCAATCTCTGCGTTCGCATTGTGTATAGGCTGTACACTTAAAAACTTTTCGTAAGTTCAGAGATAGACCAACTGCTCTGAATCATAGTGGAAATTGCATTAAAGGTAGCTTGTCTGGCAGGCTGCCCCGAAAGCAGCCGCAACCCTGATAGATCCTCTTAATTCCCGGCTGTAGACGGTGTCTCTTTTTCATTAGCAAATTGATCCTCTATTTGTGCAAGTATGGTACAATCGAGCCATATCGTCTCTCTTTTGGCACATTTTCTACTCATTCTCTTTGTCGTATATGTGGGCTGTGTTTCAAATGATGAATCAGAAGAAAGACATCTTTCCCCCTCCATACAATCTCCAAAAGATGGTCAAAGTGATGATGAAACAGATTTGAGATATACAACAAAGTATTCGCGTGACAATGTCAAACAAATGCTTAGAGTTGAAATACCTACAGCAAGTGAAAGGTTGAAAAGAGATTCAGAAGGAAACAGACCTATAGGTTTTAATTCAAAAGAACAAAGGATGTCAAGAGGAATTGATCGTTTGATGGCTTCAGGTGAATGTTCAACACGTAAAGAAGCAATCGAAACACTTGAACGGCAATTCAAAAAAGAATCAAAACAAAATGCAAGGAACAGTACCGAGAAAAGAAGAAAGATCAACAACTACATCGATAAAAGAAAAAGACCTGGAATCGGTTATGGAGAAGCATGGATGACGAAAAGGATGAAATCTTTGCTGAAAAAAGAAGGAAACGATATCCATACCCCCAAGGAAGCCTTAAAAATGGCATCGAAGCAGTGGGAAGAAATCAAGAAGAAAAGTAGGGATCGAAAACGCTTGAAACTCAGAAAAGCCAAATTAGAAGCACCTTAAAATCGCACCTTTTGCCTCTATTCAACTGAATATATTCCAGAAATATGTTAACTTTGTAATACAAACTCTACTATCCTTTCTTACACCATTCGACTACGAGGCTCTGCTTGGGCTGGCGTGCTGGGTGATCCTGCGACCTTTAGACCTGTTCCTTGTTCTACACTTTGCAATCCACGCTGAACAAGACTTCCGGTGTTTTGACGTGCTTTGCTGTATTGTTCTTCAGCGGCATGCTGAGTGCTTTTGAGAGCGTTTTGGAAGTTGTGACGTTGTTGTTGCACGAAGGGTGGAAGATGTTTACTTTCCAACTCGACATAGTACTGTCCAATGTTATGCGCGGTTTTTGGTAAGAAGTAGTTTAACGATCCAACAAGTGCGACTGGTGGTGCTAGAAGACGTAAAGTGATTCCTCTGTAGCGACCAAAGACGAAAGCAGACAGCGTCGTGACACCAACATACAAGATCCCAGGCGTGATCGGTTCATCTTCTGGAATCAAACTGGAAATACGATTTTCCACTGCATGTTCCACACTGATCCAACGACGAACTTGATTTTGAACACTTTCACGTAAGTTGTGTGTCGCGCCCATGATCGTTCTTCTTGCACTGGCAACTTGATCTTCTAGCGGTCCACGAACTTCTGCCAAGATTACGGGTTCAGGTGGTGCACTGTAAATGGGTAATTTTGAACTTGTTTCACCTTCTAGACGTAATGATCTTTGGTTGGATGTTGCATATGCGATTGCAGTCGTTCCTGTTACCATTGCAACGATCTTTGGTGCGAGCCCAACTGCCTGTCTTTGAGCTGCCATTTTGCTGTAATCTGTGATCGATGATGATGAAAGAGAAGTTGATCAAAAAGTTGAATGCAGTCTTCCTTCAATCAGCACGCGTGCATTCCCCCGATTGCATTTACCCCCGGCCCCCCTTATGCTTGAATGCTTTGTTTTATTTTAGCCGCTGTGTTCCGAGTCAAAAGGCACGCCTACGGAATACGGACACAAACACAAGAAGAAGAAGTTGTACAAAAGTCCAGCATAAACATCCATGCTCCCCAGACTGATCACTTCTGCTCATTCTCGTCATTGTTCGGTCCGATCTGTCCGCTTTTTGCACAAAATGCCTCTACTCAATCCAAAAGAACATTCACCTCTGCTGGTTGCATCCCATAACAAAGGCAAGATTTCTGAATTCAGGGAGCTTTTGCAACCTTTAGGATTCCAAGTGGTTTCAGCTGCTGATAAAGGATTAGACGAGCCAGAAGAGACTGGAACGACATTCGAAGCAAATGCACAAATTAAATCATTAGCATCAGCTAAATCAACAGGATTACTTGCACTTTCGGATGATTCAGGACTGGCAGTAGACGCATTGAACGGAGACCCCGGCATTTATTCAGCCAGATGGGCAGGTCCAAGTAAAGATTTCGCAAAAGCAATGAAAGATGTACATGATAAACTCGTTCAAGCAGGTGCAACAACACCTGAAAGTAGAAAAGCAAAGTTTGTAGCCGTTTTAAGCCTGGCAAAACCTGATGGAACAACCAAAGAATTTCGAGGTGAAGTTCAAGGAACGATTGTTTGGCCTCCACGTGGAGCAAAAGGATTTGGATATGATCCTTTCTTTTTACCTGATGGATACGATCGTACGTTTGGCGAAATGACTTCAGACGAAAAGCATGGTTGGAAACCCGGTCAATCAAACGCTCTAAGTCATCGTGCTCGTGCTTTTAAATTGTTTGCAAAAGATGCTCTTGGTGTAGAATGATGCAGATTTTGGTTGTTTTATTGTACAATAGCTTATTGTAATGCTCATAAATGCTTCTGTCATTATCCTCTGGTTGATTATGTCACACACAATCGATGGAAGCAAAAGTACGCTAGACCAGTCGTTGCTGTCATTTGACCACTATGGCGCGCAATGTATGACACAATTTGGATAACTGATGAGGTCTTCACGATATGACGTGCGATTTCCATGCAAGCGCCTTTTCAGTGTTAGATAACGCTCAAACAAATCAAAGATTGTGGGAATTGGATCAGACTGTCGTTAGACACTTGCACAAAGGTACGCAACTTTGAAGGTCCTCTTTCCTCATCTTCCAAGCACACATTGTACCTTGTAGGATTGCAAGCCAGATGATGAGCACAAAGGTAGGAAGGTTGTCTCATTCACTTCATCTTGTTCTCCCTACTCACATCATCCTCACTTCCAAATATGGCAGCTAATAGCAATGATGGAGAAGCAGTAACCTCAAATGGATCCACAAGCACAACCAACACCACTCGCAAGAATAGACCATTACGAAGAAAAACATCCCACAGCGTGATCGAACGAAGGAGACGAGAGAAGATCAATGAAGGTCTGATCAGCTTACAACATCTCGTGCCAGCATGTAGGGATGAATTGCATGAGCTTTTGCTATCAAAAGCACAAAGTAATAAACGTAATCTCAAACGATCAAAACAAGAAGTTGAAAAAGAAGTGGAGGGATTATTGCAACAAAAGATTGAAAGTCAAATGGTTTTAGAAAAGTTGTGTATCATCAGTCATACGGTCGATTATGTTCGTGAATTACAAGCATCTTTGGCTGCTTATCGTAAAATGTGTGGTTGTTCGCCACCTTTGGCTGCTCAAGATGGAGCTGCACCTGCAAAAACTCATGGACAAGTTCATCTGATGGACCCAGAAGGGGACGAATATCTGATTAAGGCAGGGAGCAAACATGCTGATGGTTCCGAATCATCTCCCGAAGCTGAAGAAGATTGTATCAAATGTACGATCAGTCGTGCTAAGCGAAGACGGCACTGGGGAAGCAATCATCCGCTCCAGCTAGCAACCGTTCATACATATGACGGTTCATCCTCCAACACGCAAGAGCATCAATCACGTCTTGAGCGTCCTCGTCGTAAAGCTGCTCCTACCCTACACACGATGCGAGAAGAAAGCGTTGAAAGTATTTCTGAGGATGGCGAAATTTCTGCTAGAAGTCTGCCGAACACAGTCAATCAAGAAAGTGACGAAATCATTGATGGTGACAGTGATGATAATGCAAGTGATCTTGCTTTGGATGATTGGCAAGAACGTAGACAAAGTCATACAGACAATGGTCCAGTCACACCCCCTTTACCGTTCTCTGTGAGTTATACGCAGCTGTATCACACTTGCTCTCTTCGTGATGAGCGTCACAAACATGACAGACGCTTGCAAGATGCTGGTCAAATAAATCTGGAAGATGCAAACATACCTGCCCCGAACAAATCTAGATCATTGATGCACCCTTATGCAAGAAGCAGCAGCGATGGCGAGCAGCAAAATATCGCACACCCTCCGACTTTCAGTCGAAAGCGCAGAGCTACTGAAATTTCAAGTTATGCCAATGATGACTACGGCACGCAAAAAGAAGTGAAGAGGGGAAAATCGATTGATTCATCGGACAAGACACTGAACAACAAAGAGACATGTACGGATTGCATGACCCCGAACACTTACATCATGGGACCGAAGCTTGGACCCAATCACCGCAATGCTGTCCGTCAAACTTCGCCGAGCGATCGACTTTTGCATCATTCAGCTGATGCGAATCGATTGGACTTACTAGCAAATGTCGTCTCACGCAATTGATCTCGAGCAGGTCTTTAATGATGTACAATTTTTGTACAAATGCAAAATGAAATTTGATGAATACTTTTGCCCCTTCCAAAAACACTGCATTGCCGAAGACTTTGTGTAGCTAAAAGGGTTTGAATACGGACGCCCTCAGCTGTGCTGATGTACAGGATTTTATTAATGATGTGAATGGTGGTTGAAGACCAGGCATGTGAAACAAATCTATGTGACAAACTGTAGATGCTGATCTACTGATGAATGATTGGTGTAAGTCGTAACAAGAGTCTCAAGAAAGGCGTGTGTGTCGATCAACACAACTTTCATTCCTCACAGCTTTCATTCCTCGGCAAGTTCTACGAACAAAGCAGACAGGAACAAACACAACCTGAGCAAAAATTGCGTTTTCGGTCAGTCGAAGTATCTCGAAAGACCCGACTTAGGCCTTATTCTAGATTTAGTGGCCCCGGAAAGGCAGAGCTTTCATTATCAAGCATATGGAAGAAAGACCAAACACATCGTTTTCATGCTAGTAAAGCCTTTTTTCTCAATACTATTTATAGAGCTTTTTTTCTTGCGAGTGTTCATCAACCTTCTTCAGACCGCTTTTCTTTGAAAGTTTGAGTAAGATGCAACACACTTTCCTTTTAAAAATCATCTTCTTTGCCATCGGGTTCAAACAAGCTTTTGTAGAAGCTTCCCCTACGCCAGGCTTAGGCAATGAAACCCCCTCAAGCGGCAGTCCAAGCTCATCGAAAACACCGGCGCAACGTACAAGTTCCCAACCACTGAAAATTTCCGTTTCTTCAATGGATCCTGAAAGTAAAGGTCGACATTTCTATGAGATGAAGAAATCTGTACGAGACTCGTCTTTAAGAAGACTTGTTGAGAAAGGCGAAGCAAAAAATCTCCGTGAGGCCAGTCACATTCGTGCAAAAAAGAACCTTCAAGTGAATTTGAAAACAGAAAAATCTGGCAGTACTCGTAAGACTCGTAAAAGCCAAGTAAAGCCCGTCGAGCAAAGCTAAACAGAGCAATGTCTAGCTTACAGGACTTGCGAAACAGTCAACCGGAAACAAAGTGATAGATGATTTCTGTTACGTCTTTTCAAGTCATCTGATTTATTTAACATCTTTAACTACTACCAACGTATTTCACTTTTTCTCAACTTTTTCTTTTTGTATCCGTCACAATTCCTACGCATACTTTTTGTGTACACTTGTCTCTATTTAGTGATTCAATCTATCTCATTTTTCCTATAAATAGTGTGTACAAGATCCCTCCTCCAAATTATAAGAAGTCAACAATATTGATACCAGAACAACAACATTCGACATCATTGGTTCTCACTTTGTATCTAGCTCGCTGAAAGCATCTGTCAATAGAGTGGGACGTAAATCTAGGTAGACTATTCATCCGTTGCCAGAAGTATATTCTATCGCACATCAATGCGCAAGAACGAGAAAACTGTTTGGCAAAAGTTTTGTTTACATTTTTCACGCACGCAAAGACGCCAAGCGGTACTTGCATAGAAATATACTTCTCCTTGTAATTGTATGATGGACGTGCTCGGTGTCTCTTTCGGTGTTTTCGTACACAAGAACTATAAACTTTTCACTGCATGCAAACATGCACAAACAAAGTATCTCAATCAAATTCTTGCTATAAAAGAGTTTAATTTGCAGTCCGTCCTCTAAAATCTTTCGTCATACGAGCTTCAGACTTCAAGATGGTTTTGTATGTTCTTTCGTTCATCGTTCTGATATGTGCCGCTTTCATGCTTAGTGCATCAGCAGAGCATTACTTAGGCAATGAACGTACAACCTCTCCAGGGATCACATTTGTACTGCCTTCTTCACAGCCAAAAGATACAGAATTAATCATGTTCAAGCGTTCAAGCATACCTTTGGTTATGCATGATAAAGCACCCCCGAAGAAATCAGCGAATCTTGAAGTGGAGTCCAGTTCAAGTAATCCTGACAATAATAACAACAATAATAATAATGAAGGAAGCTCAAAAGGTACAAAAAAGAAAGGCAAGAATAAGCAAATTGCAAGAGCTGCTTATGATCAAAGAACTCATCGAGTTACGAACGACATAGTAACATATCGACGCAAGCCAAAGCAAGTTAAACCAGGATTTCAGGATTTTGAATATCACGATTTCGGAGCACTCGGTTCAATGCTTGTGTTGGATGGTGGTTCAGATCACCCTCAGCCAAGTGCATCAAAGCCGACGAAAAAAGGCAAGAAAAAGCAGAACTCTTCTTCTTCTTCAACTTCTGCTCCTAAGTGAAATTTCAACAGCAAGCATCGCAAAAGGTCTCCTTACGGAGCGAGCCTCAGCTTCAGCACTGCTCGAGCGAATCTAACGATTATCTCTTATTTTGATCCTCTTATGTTTGTACCCAGAAGAGCTATACTGTGTATATATGTATACTGATATAATTATAGTACCATTCTACCTTTCACTTCATGATCAGTCTCTGATAAGATTAATTCTGACGCTTAGACACAGCATAGCTGTTACGCAAGGATAAGCTCCTTTGTCTCTAGCAGTGACACGCGATCACGCAATCGTCAGAACAACAGTAAACAAACTTTTCTGCCCCGTGATATCCTAAAAGAGTTTCTGATTTTAGTATTTGAGAGAAGAAAAATGAGGGAACGAAAAATTACCCATACTCGTTGTTTGATTCTTGAAAAATCATTCTTAAATTATTGATGATGAAAACCTCAATCATTTTCATCATTTACTTTCTCGGAGATACTTTGAATGCTGCTTCAGCTGAACAACATTCCGAAGATCCCCTTTATCCCGTTCATCGTCTCGCTAGTGAACCTTCAAAAACTATGTTCAAGCGCTCATACGGCTGGGGTTTACCGTTGATGTTCCACAATATAGCGCCAGGCAAGATCTCAAGTACCAAGAGAGAAGCAAACGTTGCTTCTGAAAAAGCTAATGTGAATGATCAAGGTCCCCCAAAAGCTATCACATCGAATAGAAACAACGGTAAGGACAAAGTTGAAACCGGAAAGGTTGCTCCTAAGAATGATCCAAAAGTAGATACATCGGTTGGGACTGGTGCTGGAACATATTCTCGCTCTACTGATTCTAGCGCTTCTTCCGCTTCTCAATCGTCATCGAAAAAGAAAGGAAAGAAAGAGAAAGGTCATTCGACTTCTTCGTCACCCACACCATGATCTTATCTACTAAACTTCGATCTGGTATACCGAATGTATTAAGAGATTTACTTGTTTATAATTTCATTGTTTTCATATCGTGATCTGTGTCAAGATCTTGCGGCCCGAGAAACTTCTGTAGTCATTATCCGTATTCGAACTGAAGGGCACGATAAGAAGCCTTCAGTCATAACGCTTACGTTCGTATTCATAGTAGAGTGATGTGCCAAGCCGCCGGGCTGTGTGATGATTCGGTTGATAAAATGCAAAGTTTGCGTATCTGATCAGAGTTACAATAACTCCCGGCAGGTATAAAATACCTCTCTTCTCCCTCAAACCTTATTCCATCTTGCATACAACATACTAACCTTTTTGAACGCAATGCTTGTAAAAACATTACTTGTTGCCATTGCTTGCGCATTGGTTGTACTCTTGCCATTACGTGCTGCCGACAGTACTGACAAACTACGCATCGAGATTCCAACTTATACTGGGGTCAATAGGCGTCCAAACGTAACTCCTGACGATCTGAGTGAGCTGAACAAATCAATAAAGTTTGCTGATGGCCCAGGAGGCTCTAAGAAGAAAAGCAATTCTGCAAAGACTCTCACTCATAGTCATACGGTCAGAAGAAAGAAGGAATTGGGTGCATCTTCCTTTAATCCATCCATGCATCGTATCAAGACTCCTGTGCCTGGTTTAAAGGCTTTAAAATCTTTTGGCGGTTGTAGCTCACCTAAGGCTGCAGATTGTCATACTCCAACCCGCAAGTCAGGCAAAGGTAAAGAAGCTTCATCTTCCTCTTCTACAAAAGAGTAGCTCAACGCCATCATCACGCTTTTCTCTGTTGATTAAATCTTACAATTTTCTTACAAGCTCCTGTTAGCGATAATATTTCCTTGTCAAATGAGTATAGTTGTGTGCTTTGTGGAAGAGTTCTGTTGTGAAGACTTACGCTGTCCTATTGCATTACGCAAGGTGCATTCGAAGGATTGCCCCGTTGGCTGAGGTTTTGCGTAAACAGTGTTCAGTCTGCAGGTCTATAAAAAGACTCCACGCCACCATACTCTCTTCTCTGGATTGTCAGAGGTTAACAATGTGGCTGCCATCATATTTTGCTATCAAGTTGTTCATTTTGGCTTTTATCGTATCGTTGGTAGGAGCTACCAAAGATAAAGCCACCACATCGCATCCTTCAATCAAGCAAGAACCTCATTCTCCTTCTTCCTCTGAGCCTTCTACTCCTGTTTCTGCGATTAAGCTACCTTCCACACATGTTGAAGCTTCTCCAGTCCTGAAGGCAGAAATCAAGGCAGAGCCTTCTCTTTCTTCGCTCACTGCCAAGTCTGTTCGGATGGGGCCAAAACTTAGAGCAATGAAGGTTCCCGGTCGTGGTTATTATAGTCGAGCTGAAAGAGAAGCAAGAGATGCCATTCGTACGTTGCATCGCTTGAAGCTAAGCGATCGAACCACTTCAAGGAAAGGTCAGACCGACAAAAAGATCAAAAAAGAAGAGCAATAGGTCCATAGCAGTACGAATGCAACAACGTCTTCTTGATTTTCTTCTAGTAGCCATACAGATATTTCCTCGACAGCATGTGCATTTATTCTATTCCGTTTACATCTATTGTACATTGTCCATCTTTATTTATGAGCTAACAACTCCACGCCTTCGATTTGGCACGATAGTTTCACCGCTGTCCAATAATCTTCTAAGGACAGGATCCTTTTCCGCTCTTGAATTTGTTAATTGTGAAGCAACAGCATGCATGATATCGGAAGATCCAATTTCAATCTTATCATCAACGATTGGATCGCCACGAGTTGGACCAACGTTGATGAGAAGCGTTCGTTTTCCTTGTTCTTGTGCTGATTTAAGCAATCTATAAGCAGAATACGTTGCTAATGAAGTTCCCATCAAGATGAAAGCATCAGCTTCGTCTACCAATTCGAAACTATGATCACGTATGATATCCGGCACGCTTTCTCCAAAAAACACAACCGCTGGTTTCAATATTCCACCACATTGAGGACAAGGACTATATTGAAAAGAAGAATAATCCGTATTCTTTCCCAATTCAACATCACCGTCTGGATTTGTCTTTGGCTGTGTACCATGCTGTTCCATATCATGAGCAAGCTTATCCCATTGAGGATTATTTTGTGCTAATTCCGATTGAAATGCAGCTCTACTTCCGCGATATCCACATCCTTTTGGATAAGCAACCCTGCCGACAGGTGTATTTCTCGCTTGTGGTTCTGGTGGCTTTCGCGGGCCTCCTTTCGTTAAATGAGAGAGGGACAATCGATCGTAGAGTCCTTGATCGATAGGTTCTGCGTGATGGTGAGCATGTTGCTCGGGATCCGTACCAGAAGGTGAAGCAACGCATACAACGTTTTGCAATGTTCCATGTAGTTCCAGTATTGATGAAGCTGCTAGTGATGCTGAAGGTGTTGCAAGATGATGCAGGCTATCGACATTTTGTGTGATTATATTTTCAAAGTATCCTAATCGTTGCAAAGCAGCCATTGAATAATGTGTTTTGTTTGGCCTTGCACGTAAAACGGGCGGAAAACCTAGAAAACTTCTACTCCAATATCTTTGTCTGTATGCATGACCTTTTTCTGATTGATCGATAAATTCATGAAAGAAGATCGGTCTGTACGATTTGTGTACTGTATAATGACCATCTTTACCTCTATAAGGTGCGATTCCACTATCAACGCTTACACCTGCACCTGTCATCACGAGAGTTTTGCCTCTGTGTCGTTGTAATAAACCGGCAACCAAGTCTGTCGCCGTCTGTAGGTTATAAGAAGCATGTTTTCGAGCATTTTGACTTACCGAATCTGGTATGGATGGGATAGATATCCGCATTCCAGATTTCGTATCAAAATAATGATGGACGAGAAGAAAAGGTTGATGTTCTCTTATTGCATTACGTAAAAAGTGTTGTTCGTAGTGGAGAAATTGATCTTACGCGTGAAGCGCTGCCAAGAATGACTTAAAAGGGTTATCATACAATCTTAATGAAGCACACAAAATTTATCGTTTATCAACTTACTGAAATATACGCAATCCATACATCTAAGCAAGAATATACTTCGACATACTCTACAACATCATGTTGCATAAGTTTATGAGCCAGGCTTGCTCTTTTTCACAATACTCTTTTCTTCCTTTATCTTCTTTCTCGCTTCGATCCTATCCTGATTTATTCTCTTACTTCGCTCTTGATACCATTCTTCAGCTTTTTTCCTTGCTTCATCATATTTGTAGATTTTATTTTTCTCTTTCAAGAAAGTATTCATCTTCCTAGTGATCACGCTTTCTTTTGTACTGTGGTCTTTCATATGATAGTCTTTTCGCTTTCTTCTTGCTACCCCTGAAGATGATTGCACGACTATAAATCGTCTATTGGCTTCTGTCTTTTGTTTTCGTAGCTTTTCTTTAGCTGCTTCAAACGCCTCTTCAAACGTATTCAACTGATTTGTTCGCAGAAAGTGTTTGTTATTCGCCATACGTTTCGCTTTTTCTTCTATTGTATAGAAGCCGGGTGGCATCTTTTTACCAGGTTTTGGGTCTTGTTTCTCAACCGTTTGCGTTCCCTTTCGAGTTGGTATGTGGTATTCGGGAAGAGAAAGCTTTGGTGAGTCATGTTGTTCTCCAGCATCTATCTCTGAAGGAAGCCCCCGATCTGGTCCTGAAGCAGATAGACGGTCTTTTGATGTGCAAGCTACAAATCCTAAGATCTCCGTTGATGTAGAAAAGATAAGGTACCATTTTGTCGTACTTAGCATAAATTGAACCATCTCCCTTTTAGCTTTCGATGTGGTAGATTCGAGCGCAAAGAAAGTGTGTGGCAGCACTTTCCAATAGTGAAAAGCAAAGAAACATATTCATGGAACAGGATAGGGAGACCTGGGAAGAGGCGCTGTCTTGTTGCTCAAATGCCCCGCACAAAAAATGCATTCGCATTGTCGTTCAAATAAGAGACTACTTATACTTGGACGAAGTATGATTAGGGTCTTTCTTCTTTTTGTGTACGAATGTAGTATCTTTTAACAAATCGTGTAGAGAATGTGAAGCACAGCATTTGCTGATGCTGTGAGCGGAGATGAGCCCTGAAGAAACGCTTGATTATCCTTTACTGTCTAATTATATCTTGTCCTTCCGTTGCGTTCTTTTATGCTTCGTCGTATGTTTTCTCCTTTTGTGTTTCAGCAAGTGCTTTCTTCTTATGTGCTGCTCGAGCAGCATTGACCCTTTTCTGTCGTCGGAACTCCGCCTCAACAATTGCTTTTGCTTCCTTGATCTTTTCTAAATCAGTATCACGTCCGACCATTTTTATCACTCGAGCGGTAATGATATGTTCTTTAGATTGATCTCTTACATAGTTTCTCTTCTTCGTAATACGAGGTATCCCAAGAGCTTTTTTCTTTGCCATCTCTCGCGCCTTCTGTTCACGTTTTTTCTCTGTGAAATCTTTTTCGGCATGTTTCAAAGCTTCATGATAGTCTGTAAATTTACCTTCTCGAATATACCTTTTAGCTGTGCGAATTGAAGTCATAGCTTTACCATCGTAGCCCGCATTTTTCAAGCGGAATCTTTTCATACGGTTTGAGCTCTTTGATTCTTCCACCGCGATTTGATCGTCTTTACCGTCTTGAGCAGACTGTAAGGTATGAAGCCATGAGAATGCCAGTAGAATATAAAGAAGATAGATACTCAACATTTCATACTAGATGAGAAGTAATGATATGCTGAACCTGTATGTGAGCAGTAGATTGTGCTTGAAGAATATGAAAAGAAAATCACTGTAGCTTAAATAGCTTGCTCAGCTCCTTTGATTACTTTTCACATCTTTTGAAGACTATACAATAGCCATTGCTTCCGGGGCTAGCTAGATGCTGGCGTAATATTATGAAGAGCATAATGCAGTGTAATTTTGATTCATTTTGATTTCTCTAATACTTGAACCGGTAAAGATAAGAAATAGTAACCTCACTAAGATACGAAACATTAAAATGAGCTTCAGTATTAAATAAAAGCTTATCTATACAGTAAAACTATATCACCTATCATAAATTATTTCTGAGCTGTTCCGCGCTTTAGCTTCACTCTTCCTCTTTTCCTTAGAACGTGCTGCTGAAAGTCTTTTTTGCTCACGAAATTTCGCCTTAATAATTGTTTTTACCTGTTTGATTTGATCTAGATCAGTTTCACGTCCTACTAACTTTAAGACCTTAATTTAATAATATTATCTTTTTATCTTGAATTTTTTCTCGTAATGCCTAAAGCTCTATTTCTCGCCTTTTAAACTCTCTTATACAACTTTTTTGTTTCTATATATTCAGTCTTTACTTTTATAAGAGCTTCGTTATAGTCAGTAAAAGTGCTTTCATCAATATACTTTTATACTCCTCGATCCGATCTTTATAAATTTATATTATATCCTTTCGCCTTTTATTTCTAAGTATACTTCTTTTCTATCTTATAATCCGGGGCAATCTCAGGACTATTACAGTAAGAGGAGATATAGGTATAATATATACTTTAATATACCAGCTCTTTGATAAAATGATCAATGATGATTATATCAGAACTAGGGCGGTTTCTATATTTCTCTTCAGTAGCTATATTTATATAGAAGATTCTTAAGAGCGAAGTATTGACCTATGCTGAATAGCAAGATATCACTACGTTAAAGCTTTGTAAGACTACTTTTTACCAGCTTCCTCTTCCTTGCCATCGTTTTTATTTGCCTTTAAAAGCCTTTTCTTTCTTCTGTGTTTGGCAGATCTTTCCCTTGTCCCCTGCGAATAAAGTTGCTCTGCTAATTTTCTTGCATCATCATGCCGAACGATACCATTCTTCTCCCCCAAGAGTTTCACGATGTACCGCCCTATAATTTCATCTTTGGTATTATAGCCTTCTCTATGGTATCGCTTTCTTTTCATTCCTTGCTCTTTCAGTTTCTCTCTATGTTTCTGGGAATACATTCTAGTGTTCTTACGTAGCTCTTCGGTGGCTTTCTTTGTACATTCCTCCATGCTTAAACCTTTTGAAGATTGGAATAGTTGGAATGCTTTCTTTTCTATCCTTTTGTTTTTGCTTTGATCGCGAGGCTTTTCTCCAGCTGTCTGTTGAACCTCTCCCTCTGATTTACTTCTACTTTGCTTTCTACTTCTGCCGTTGATATCGTTTGATGTAAGGGAGAAGCTTTTGTCTTGTTCATAGAGTCTTTCTCCTGCCGGATAAGGACTTGCTTTGAATGCGTCGAACTGAGCCTTACCAGACTTGCCACAATCTACCATTGACGCACAGAAGAGGATAAAAAGCAGCATCCATAACATGCACTCTCGATCTTTGCAGCGCTTTTGGATTTTCATACTGTTTGCGCTTTCAAATATTAAATAATGGTTGAGAGCAACCCTTCAGTGGACGAAAACCTTCCAAGACGCACCGATGTATACAACCTTAATGAAGCACACACAATCTATCTATTATCAATTTACTGAAGTATTACGCAATCCATACATCCACGCCAAAACTTGCCCCGACATACTCTACGGCATCATGTTGCTTCAATCTGTCAGCCTGGCTTACTCTTTTTCATAATACTCTTTTCGTCTTTGATCTTCTTTCTCGCTTCGATCCTATCCTGCTTTATTTTCTCACTTCGCTCTTGATACCATTCTTCAGCTTTTTCCTTGCTTTATCATGTTTGTAGATTTCATTTTTCTCTTTCAAAAAAGCAATCATCTTTCTAGTGATCACGCTTTCTTTTGTATTGTGGTTTTTCCTGTGATAGTCTTTCTGCTTTCTTCTTGTTACCCCTGAAGATGATTGTACAACCATAAATCGTTTATTAGCATCTGTCTTCTGTTTTCGTAGCTTTTGTTTAGCTGCTTCAAATGCCTCTTCAAATGTATTCAACTGATTTGTTCGCAGAAAGTGTTGGTTATTGGCCATACGCTTTGCTTTCTCTTCTATTGTATAGAAGCCGGTTGGCATCTTTTCACCAGAAACCGTTTGCGTTCGCTTTCGTTTTGGTCTGGGTGTTTCTTCCACATCCGGCTCCCTCGAACTGGGGCTAAGCTGAACAGGTGGTCTAACCCTACTTTTTCTCTGGCCGTCCTCTTTCGAGTAGGTATGTGGTATTTGGGAAGAGAAAGTTGGGTTGGTGGTAAGTCATGTTGTTGTTCTCCAGCTTTTGTCCTTAAAGGGAGCTTCCGGTCTGATCCTGAAGCAGATAGACGGTCTTTTGATGTGCAAGCTACAAATCTTAAAATCTCCGTTGATGTAGAAAAGATAAGGTACCATCTTGTCGTACTTAGCACAAATTGAACCATCCCCTTTTTAGCTTTCGATGTGGTAGATTTGAGATCAAAGAAAGTGTGTGACAGCACTCTGCAATATAAAACATATTCATGGAACAGGATAGGGAAACCCGGGAAGGGGCGATGTCTTGTTGCTCAAATGCCCCGCGGTAGTTTATGTATTAGTCAACTCATGAACAAGACAATGTTTGTAGTACACAATCTTCGCAAAAGTAAGATCGTTCATCCAATGACGGTACCTTAAGATGATTGGACGACGCTTTTAGAACGAGTAATCTGAAGAATTACTTTTCGTTTGCAATGCTTTGGCCTCCTTCTTTCTCGCTCGATGCGACGCACTTCGTTCCCTTGCGCTCGCTTTGTACCACTCTTCCGCCGCCTCTCTGGCATCTTTATGTCTGACAATGTGATTGTCTTCCCCTAAAAGTTGAACAATTTTTCTGCTAATGACCGCTTCCTTACCGTTGTATCCCTTTTTGCGGGTGGCTTTTTTTTTCTTAATTCCTTGATCTTTCGATTTATTCCTATATTTTTCGCTATCAACCCTTCTTCTTTCTGTAAGTTGCTTATGGGCCAGTCTGAGTGACTCTTCTTCAGTATATCCGAGACCTGAATTATAAATCACCCGCGCTTTACGACGAGTGATATTGTCCCTATTAAAGTATCCAGGTTGACCGTACTTTGGAGTTTTAAACAATTTACCCGCTTCTCCATTACCAAAAACTGAAGACCTGCTACTTGTAGACTTCACAAGACTTGGATAACTGTTGTGAGAGTCCATAGAGTCGTCGCTTGAAGAAAGAAGATGAATCCGCTCCGCATCTTTTGGAGAACTTATAGGTGCCTTACCCTTATGAGCGTAAGAAGACTTCTCCGACCTATACTTGGCACTGAAAGCGGAAGAGAAAAGTAGTAGATTTACGATCAAATATATGCTCAGTACTTCTCTAGTGTACCAGTCCATTATCTATTCGTGTGATTGTCACAAGTCAGCATAACGTTAAAGAAATAAATGCCAATAATGACCGCAACGACTTGCCCCGTTTACACTTTTGTGCTGCCTGACGCCCAAGTGTATGCAAGAGTAAATATACAAGATAAAGGTATTGATTAGCACTGCCTCAAGGCATCAACATGATCTTAATTGTATGCATAATAGTAAGTAGCTGTGGTAACAATTTTGATAGTGAAGAGTGCAAAAACTATTCTAAAGAACTTATTTAGGTTCAGAAGCTTTAAGGGTCTCTTCTCTTTTGATCTTCTTCTTCATTGCCCTGTTTTCATAATATCGTTTACCTCGCTCCTTAAAGATTGCTTCTGCCATCTGAGTGGCGATTGCAGGATCAGTAATCCCATTCTCTTCCTCCAATATTCTTTTTGCCTTTCGATTGATACGACTGATTTGTAAATTATATCCAGGTTTACGACAATTTTTTCGTTTAATTCCGAGCATTTTCTTCTTTTCTCTATATTTCAAGTTGTCTTGCTTCTTTCTTTCAGTAAGTAAAATCATTGAACTGGAAATAGCTTGATCTAATGTGGTAAGATCACCTTTCTTAAACAATTTTGCTCCCATTCGACGTGCTTTTGAGTCTATTGAATTGGATAAATAATCGCTTTTTTGTCCTGGTAAATTCAGATCTGGCAAAGGATTTTTGTGTGAAGGAGTATTGCTCTCCATAGGTGTTCTTTGCTCTTCACTGTGACTCCCCTGACTACATTGTATGTTGAGCATCATTGCAATGCAGAAGACCCACCAAAGCGGGCTTTTAATGAATGCGAGCATCAAATCAAACACCAGGTCTCATCCGGATTGTTGTTCAAAATAGAGAAGTATGGTTCAAGAACATGTTTACTTTACTCTACGGGCACTCATACACATACAAAGCGACATTTGAGCCCCGAAAAAAAAGGCAGCCAACAGTTTGGGTGAAGACACTTTCGCATTCAACTATGAAATAGTGAGGTGAAAGTGCTGGATCGAAAGCAAGAAATTGATCAACAGTGTTGATACTCTGGCTACACAAATCATTCATCTAATCCTTTTCGCTTGGCTCTTGCCGCTCGCTTGCGTTCTGATATTGCCTTCTGTTGATTACGATACCACTGCTTTGCTTTTTCCCTTGCCACATCATGACTGAAGATGGTATTTTTCTCCTTCAAAAGCGTCGAGTAATCTTACCTTCTTTTGTTCTAGTATAAAACGTATGATAATTTTTTGGCTTGATGCCGAGTTCTTTTTGATTTTGTCTTCGTTTACGATTTTCTCTTGATTTCTTCTCCTTCAATTTCTCTTTGGCTGCTGCTAAGGCATCATCAAAGTTTGTATGGCCTGTTGCATTCAGAAATTGTCGAGACTTTGCCAATCGTATTGCATGTTGTTCCTGGGAAAAGTAACCTGAAGGATACCTTTTTCGACTTTCACTTTGCTGTTTTGATGTTTGATCCTGTTCTGGCAGTTCGACCTTCATTTCCGAAGGAGCATTGTTCTTCGATGATGGTCTTGTCAGATTTGGAGTTCTCCTTCTCGTTGGAATTTGCTGCGCACTATACTTAGACGAAGGTCGATGTATATTTGGAGTTCTTTGCCTAGTCGGTATCTGATAGGAATGCTCAGGCACAACACCATCTTGGCTTGTGCCATCTAGTTTAAGCCTAACTGCCAGAGAAGTATGGTAAAATAAAATCACGACGGCAATAAAAATCATAAGTAGCATTAGGAGATGTTGGATGTACTTGAAGTTCAAGCTACAGACGTAAATTCAATCAAATGAATTCAATCATACATACCTCACTTTATTGAATTCACTTTTCAAGGTTTGCATGCAGACGCAAAAGACCCGAATAAACAAATCGAAACTATCATGATCATAACATGCTGCACTGCCTCAAATTCCTAAGTCCGTCGGAAAACAAAGCTACGGTACAGCTTTGAATTTTTCTTTGTTTTTTGCTCTATCTGCTATCATCTTTTGACGGTACGTTTCACCTGGTTTCATGAATTGCTTAGCAAATTGCTTTGCCTCTCCCCGATCTTTGATTGGATTAGTTTCATCTTTCAAAATGGCATCTACTTGTCTTCTAAACCGACTATTGGCCTTATGGTAACCTATTTCGTGATAATCCTTCGTCTTGATTCCGAGTGACTTTTTTCTTGTTCTTGCATCTTGACTGTATCGACGTCTACTTTCAGTTATTTTTTCTCTGGCCTTAAGAATTGCTTCGTCTAAATTTGCAAACTTTTCTTTCTCAAGCTTAAAAATTCTTTTACCCATCCGAATGGCACGTTGGTCTTTTGAATAGTAACTATTATTCTCTGCTGGTAAATTCAAATCTGGAATCCGCTGTTTCACTTGCGATGGTTCAGATCCCTGTGGACTAGGACTACTTTGTTTGCCACTACCGTGCTCCGAAGTACACCGAACCGTAATTAAGAAGATGCTAAAGAACAGTATGCTGCTCGTAAACGAAACCAAAAGCATATCAGCTTGGCATCAAACTTGATCATTGAAGAGTATCAAGGAAGAGTAAAACATAATTGCAAGTGAGTTTTGAAAAAAACCTTTTAGATTGCACGTTACACAACGAGACAATGAGAACACATACGATGCCAGCCCCGACTCAATAGATCATGACGGCACCTTCTCGGCCATCTCACGCCGCGCTTCAATAGCATGCACGCAATCTTATCATTGTGAAAGGGGGTATAGATACAGTACTGCAAATGATGGTAAAGTGACAAATAAATGAATGTGTGTTGCTTACAGAGGTAGAATCACTTTGAGTCCAGGCCTGACAAGACTGATAAACCTGCCATGAGCTGTTCTTTGGATGATTCGTCATCTGTGTAGGCAATGATTGGCTCTTTCATAGAACTCAATAGCCCAAATTGGGTATCTGTTGATAAATGGATAGAGAAAGCATGCGGGACTTGTACCTCTTCGAATGCTTCTGATAATTTGACAATCGATCCTTTCATAACTTTGATCGTTTCGATCAACTTTTTGCTCTGTTCATCCTTCGATTCGTCGTAGAGACTTAAGCGATCGTTGTACAGCTCAAAGAGTGCTCTACGAAATCGTTGACCTGAACCGAATTGAATGGTAAGCGAACCATTGAGCAAACAATCTTTCGAATGCATCTTTTGCTTCATCTCTTGTTGTATTTGCAATCTTCGTTGTTGACGTGATTGTTGTAGGCCTTTGATTTCTTGATGAAGTTTTAATTGCATCTCTTTTGCCATTCGAAGTTTCTCATTACGGATCTCTTTTTGACGAACAAGGATCTTTCTCCGTTCCTCTTCTTCCATAATGCGCTTTTCAACTTCTGCATGTTCATCCTCTAATTGACGTTGCTTTTCCTCTTCTTGCAACGACATATTATCCGTTCTTGCTCTCCTTGAACGCTCTTCTGATTCCAACAAGCTACGCTCATATGCGCCTAGCTTTTGTCTCTCGACTTGTTGACGTGCCCATCGTGCTCGTGCTGCTGCTTCGACTTCTTTGGTGATCGTTCGTTTACGTTGAAGGTCCGATAAAAGATTGTCCAATTGATTCTGTCTAGCAAGAATTGCATTGAGCTGATCGTTTGTCATTCCATCGCTCTCCTTTAGCTCAATTACTTCTTTTCGTTGCGGTGGTTCATTAAATTTTGAACGGAAAATTTGATCAATCAAAGTCGTACTACTCGTCTTGGTGAGCGCTGTATCTGCTGTTTCATAATTTCTGCTGCTTGACACACTTGGTAGAGAATTTGATGTCACAGTAGAGAAATTTGCTCTGTGTCGATTATCAGATCCATGGTCTAGCGCACGCGAACTTTCGATCATTTCTACTAATTCATCAAACCTTTCAACAGATGATGCTCTGGAAAGACCAGAAGCGATAGGAGCTCGTTGTTGCTCAGCATCGTGTGTTGCAGCGACATCAACATCTGAAGCGTCAGAAAGCGTTCCTCGTCTGCTTGAGAATTTCTCCGAAAGTGACTTCTTCTCTTCCTCTGTATAATCGATCGCAAAGCCAACCATTTCGGATAAATGCAAAAGTGAGGGTGTAGGTGATCCTGATGATCTTCTTTTTGACGATGGTGGTAAGACGGGTAGTTCTTTGTCTACCGGACTGCCAACTTGCATTCCCTTCACTTCGGATAATGCCCATCCTGAACCAACTTGCTTGCCATCCGGATCCACGACCTTGATTACAGCAGGTGAGAGTGGCGTAGTACTTGACACGCCCATATCTGCCGCTTTGTCGGTAAATGCATCCGAATAATCTGAATCGCGATGACTATGACTACTCTGGCCTGAAAGTTGGGCTTTTTGTTGTGCTTCCATCATTGATTTGATCAAAGGTGATTTTGTCACATCATTACTTCGACCGTCAGCTGAAAGGCTGGGTTGTAATGCATTGACTGCCGGTTGACCTTGTTCGCCATACGAATGTGCTCGCATTTGTCGAACGCGCGGTCGAACATGTCCTTCCAACGTGATCACCGGTCTGCGCATCTCTCGCTCGATTGCCGCTTTCACATTGCCTGCTAAAGGTGGTGATGTTTGTTGTCGAGATATTCTATCGCGTGATGATCGAACACTTGAATCATTATCGGTTCCACTTGTCATGTTTCTAAGATCTTGAATTGATTTCTTTAAACTTTCAACTCCATCTTTCACTTCATCACTTTGCGCTTTTGAATGTCTTGCAAATATTGCCGCAATGTCATCCGAACTTGTTTCTGAAGTTTTCTTCTTTTGTATTTTTGATAGTGGTTCGGATGGACTTTTGGGTAAAGGAAGTAGAGGAGGCGGATGAAGAGGTGATTGGGTAGATCGCGTGCCGGTGGTGAATGAACGCTTGGACCGCGCTTTCGTCGAAGCACCTGACTTTGATTCATTTTTGTATTCATCTGATTGCGAATTGGTGCTAATGGTTGATTTACTCTTTGTTGGTCGGATCACTTTTGTGGGTTGCTTCACATCTGTTTCTCGTATCTTGGTATCTTTCTCATCGTCCATTGTCGGTGTGACAATTTGATCAGAAAGACCTTGTTCGATTTGTAATTTCTTCATCACTTTTTCACGTTTTGCTTCATCCATCAACCTTCTTTGTCGTTCACGTTGTTTTTCTTTGGCCAAGATCATTCGTTCTTGATCTTCTTTCCATCGTAAGAAATCAAGTCGTTCACGTTCAAGTTGTTCAAACGAATACAAATCATTTTGATCAACAAACACAAGGTCTCGTGCATTTCGTAATTCTGCAAAAACTGATTCATGCGTCATTACGGAAGAAGCAGAAAAAGAAGCGGCTCTATTTTGTCTACTCCGATGTGAAATTGATTGTTTGTTATTTTGTAAGAATGAAGGTACTACTTCAACTCCGGTTCCGTTATTGATACGCCCAAATAATCCTCCGCCGCCACTGTTGCTGTTTACTGCACTACTTCCGTCTGAAACGGAATTGAAAATTGAAGGTAATGAAGGCGCATGACGAATCGATCGTGTATGAATAGCATTTCTTGACAAATTACCTGTTTCAATGCTCAGATCAAGGTCGCCGATTGAATTGAGTAGACTGCCTGATCCACTTTCTCTCATTTGCGGTCTTTGTTCGAATGAATACCTTTGTTGGTAAGAATCAATCAAGCCGGTAGTCGTACTCATTGAAGGTGATAATTGTCCTTGACCCTGTTCTGGTACGCCAAGTCTGGATAATTGACTGTTTCGCTTTGGAGGGTCGGGGAATTGCGGGTGCAAGCTGTCTTCCAATCCACTCTCAGAATCGGCGCCAATAGTTGATTCCCTTCTCATTAATGCACCTCCTGGTTCCTTAATAGGCGATGAACCAGAACGAAGACTGATTGGTTTATTCAATCTCGTGAACTGCATAATTGTACTGTTGGACTCCCGCTTCTTGTCATCTTCCCCATCCAACATCATTCCGCCATATGCATCATTTCCACCTTCAAACGTTTCACGAAAAGGCGAAATTGCACCTCCGCCAAATCCACCAATACCCAACCCAACAGCTGGTAGCCCAGTAAAGGAAAGATGGGTAGCATGAGAAGTACTTGAAGAAGTGTCGATCGTTGAAAGGCTATGGCTTTGCGGGAAAGGAGAAGAGTGCAGCGTTGTCGAAGATACACTTATCGGTACATCAGGCGTATGACCGTGTGCCGAAGGACTGCCAATACTTGATCCGGCTTGCATAGAGGATATGGACGATTGAGTGAACGATCGAGGAATAAACGAAGATGGACCACTTGATGAACCAACTGCAAGCTGAGCACGTAGAAACGGATCGGTAAGCTGAATTGCATCATTGATAGTAATCACATTCACTTTAGAATCCCCATGATCACGACTGTTGGAGGATGGCATTTGGGCAGCCAAAGAACGACCAAAGACCATCAAGCGAGCACGTTGTACGGCAGAGGTATGTTCGGGCACAAGTTGGACCAAGATGACTTTCGAGCAAAATTTGAGAAAGATGAATTGAAGGTCTTGATGTGTATATAAGATTTGTCGTAAACCATCAAAGCCACCATCTTCTTCCAATGATCCTCTAGCCTGAACTATCAAATTTGCACTGTCATATCGCAACCCCGGAGAAGATGAACTGGCACCGGCACGATTGCTTAGGACGATATAAGATGCCTGATGAGATGATTGCAGCTCTTTCAAGCTGTCGATCAACGGAGGAGGAGAGGTTGATGAGCCGGGTATTTGGGATAAAGCTGGCGTCATTTGTTGACTGGATATGGCCATCATTCTCTACCGATTGCTTTTGATCGGCACCATTACAATATTTCGAATGCTGCTCTTCTTTCACTACTGGCCATTAGCATACTTTTGTTTGGTGGTCAGACAATGATGGCAGCTATGATGATCAAAAACTTTAATTCAATCATGTACGTGCATTCATACATACATGACACTCTCTTAGCCATTTAACTTTTGTAGATCCTCGGGCGGGCCAAAAGATATTGTTCGCATTAGCGGCGGCTATTGCTTGTTTTACAGACACTTTGACTGTTATGCAAAGAACGGACGGACATTGCGAGATTTAAATTGATTCTCTATTTTGGCATCTCTTTCATCTTTTCATCTGTGTGTGACTGTATGCAATACAACGCCGAATATCCTCAGGGGGTTGGAAATGCAAACCAGAGAGAGGGTTGGTTGTGTACAATTTAAATCGTTAACGGCATCGGGCTGCATTAGCACTCAACAAGTTTTAAGCATTGTTTTAGCTTACTTTTTCAGATGCACTCTCACATATTAGTGGCGTATACATTAAAACTCGCATGAGAGCATCAGGGAGGATGTTTTAAAAGTGTACTCAACGCTTTGCTCGCTGCCCTGGACCGCTATTGCGCCTTCACCTGGTCTTGTGGCTTAAACCTTCTCAATTCGGATCACTTTTTAAAGCGGCGCCATACAAAATATTTTAATATTCTTTTAAAGAAGATTACAAGATTCTTTGGCAGGATCTATTCTATTCTAACATGATTGCTGTTTAGCAAAACCCGAATGACCCTACTTATCATAGAAAGGATCGGGCAAGGAATAGTCCAGCCGAAGAAATGATGCATTTAAGGTTTTGTGGGTCTTTAAGGGAAACGCGTTTGTGGGGATGCGAGAAAAAGACTAAAGAATCTTTTGTGCATTTAAGAGCAAAGGAAGAAGATGCAAGGAAGTTCTCTCTCGTAAATAACCTTGTCTTTCCTTAGCTTGGGAGAAAAGTATGTTCATACACATACATAATTCCGTTGATTAATTGGATTATTTGTTCGGTAAATACGCTTAACTTGCAGCAGCAGCACCGATGCTCTCATTATATAATCCTACATCATCTTTCTGCCTCTAGCATCGGCTTCAAAAGAAGAGAAAAGTGAGACGATCTTCCTTGTCAGATTAATAAAGCAAGAATTGAAAAGATTCGTTAGTTGCTAATCCAACTAGTGGAATTCACTATGCCAATCGGCAAATGATAAAGGATTCCTATGCTATTGGACAATAATCTGATAAATAACTCGTGACAAAGAAGTTCCAGATGTCTTCGCATTTATCCACGTGCAAATCAAAGAAAAGCAGAATGGCTTGTGCGAAAGTTGAACTGTCATTTAAGTTAGCGTAAATTGATTGCGTGCGATTCATATCACGAGCACGCCATACTCTTCACCATATTCAACAATCAACGGCTCCTTCATGCTAACTCATAATGGACTCTGTTAATACACTGACAGAATGGCACCAGATATGGATAGACTTGACTGGCGTGATATGAACACTGTTCTTGATGAGCTTACGTCGTCAACCTCGGTCCCGGTATTTGAATAGAATGATGCACTTATCCAGACGAATAGATGCTAACTTGAAACGACTCTCGTCCGAAAACTAAGGATTGGAATTTGACTAAAGCTAGAAGAAGTCATACAATCATCTTTACATCTCCACCCATCATCATTCTTCATATTCCTCATACAAAACCTAATATCTCCATCATGGGCAGCGTTCAAGATGACAAACGTTGGATCCTATATGCATTCGCAATGGGCTGTTCAGGCCATCAAAGTCCGGGCTTGTTCAGTTTACCGGAAGATAAATCCGTCTACCACAACAAGTTGAGCTACTGGACAGATCTAGCAAAACTTCTCGAGAAAGGAAAGCTTGAGGGTGTCTTCTTGGCAGATGTTTGGGGTGGTTATGATGTTTATCAAGGTAAACTCGATCCTGCTCTTTCGAGTGGATCACAATTCCCTGTGATTGATCCTCTTTTGACAATTTCCGGTATGGCCGCTGTTACGAAAAATCTTTCTTTTGGTATCACTGCTACAACATCTTATGAACATCCTTATGCACTCGCACGTAGATTTTCCACTTTGGATCATCTTACAAACGGTCGTGTAGGCTGGAACGTTGTAACGGGTTATTTGGATTCGGCTGCTCGTCAATTTGGTGCGAAGAATCAAGAATTACATGCAAAACGTTATGAAGTTGCACATGAATACATGGATGTATTTTACAAATTAACCGAATCATCTTGGGCTGATGATGCAGTCGTACATGATATCAAAGCCAAGAAGCCAGTGTATACAAGACCAGAACGTGTTCGTCAGATCGATCATAAAGGTCATTATTTCCCTAGTGTTCCAGGACCACACATTTGTGAACCTAGCTTGCAACGTACTCCGGTCATCTTCCAAGCTGGTAGCTCAGGTCCAGGTTTAGCATTTGCGGGTAAACATGCAGAAGTGATCTTTATTGCCGCTCATAGACCTGATGTTGCACGAGCAAGAGTTGATGCCGCACGTAAAGCAGCACAAGAAGCAGGCCGTGATCCAAAGACAGTGAAGGTATTGGCCCTTTTGGCTCCAATCATTGCTGAAACGGACGAGGAAGCACAAAAGAGACACGATTACCTTTTCGAACACGGTAGCGAAGATGGCGCTTTGGCATTATTTGGCGGATGGACAGGAATCGATTTGAGCCCTTATGGAGATGATGAAGAATTGCGAAACCTTCCTGAAGGAAATGCAATCAAATCGGCCGTAGAGGGATTCGCACGTCAAGATCCAAAAGTACAAAAATGGACAAAACGTGAAGTTGCAAATTTGATTAAGCTAGGCGGATTAGGTCCAGTTTTGGTCGGAAGTGCAAAAAGTGTTGCAGATCAACTTGAATCTTGGATCAAAGATGCAGGTGTTGATGGTTTCAACTTTGCCTATACTGCTTTCCCAAACACGTTTGTCGAAATTGTGGAATTATTGGTCCCTGAATTGCAAAAGCGTGGTCATGTTTGGGGAGATTATGAAAAACCTGCTCCTGCTCCATCTGATTGGCCATCAAACAAGAAACCTGAAGGCGCAGTAAAAGGATTCGGAGAAGATGAAGTCTTGGGCCTTACAACACGTGAAAAGCTTTATGGTGTCGGTCAACGTCGTTTGCGTGATGATCACTATGGTTCCACGTTCAGATGGCGCGCAGGTCAAGAGCCTCCAAAGCTCAATTGAGTGTCACATTGGATGCATCTTAAGTATCAAATCTCTATCGTCTATATCGTGATTATTTGCTACTCATGCTATCGATGAATTTGTGAACAGAGTATATATGAATGAAACATGAAAAGAATTATAGGTCATAAGCAACTACTACAACGTACAGAAAGCCAGCTCTGTTGTGCGTGTGCAACTGCTGTTATCACAAGTCCTGATTTTACTGTGAAGAACCACTACCTTTTTTCTTAATATGTTCTTTGACTTTATCTTGCAAATGGCCTGTAAATCCTTGCCAAACATCATCGCTAATCACCTTTTCTACGTCTTGTGGACGTACGGTTTCCAATTTTTACGAGGTGGCTGGGCTGGTAACTTTGGACCACGATCGCTACCACTGCCGCTTCCACTGTTACCAGAGCCACTATTACCGCTTTGATCTTTTTTGTCATGGCTTGAACGACGAGCAAAAGGGTTTTCTAAAACAGTGATTGGCTCGAGAAGCACTACTTGACTTCCAAATGAATCGTCGGCGAAGCGTTTGAACATGATTGATGCATCGACAGAATGATTTTTGCACAGTGCAATCAAGCCAACAATGTACAAAAGCATGTGGAACAATTTGATTGACAGCATGGTTAAGAAGGGAAATCTAAGGATGTTTCACAAAGAAAATGTCTTCGAATCCATTTCTGAAAAGCTTATATCCTTTTTATTGCATATTTTGCCAACTGTTGAAGAAAAGTAAACCTCAATTGAAAAATCAAACACACCCTACACACAAAATGAATTGTACGCAGCCATGTCACAGCCCGATGGCGATGATGAGCAATGCATCAATCTTTTTATTCACTACCCTCACGATCGTTCAAAGTGCAGCACCTCGTTGAATGCAAAGGCAGTGTCGCATTTCTTTACAGCCTTCTTTTTGAGTGCGGTGTGTGGCAATAATATCCTTTCCCAGCTTGTAACGCAGAAGAAGAGGATGCTGCCGTTGTCAAGACTTGCGGCTTCAATTATTGCATTCACACAATAAAACAATGCAAGAGAGTTGCATACACAAGACGAAGATATCTCAAAGCGGTCGTTTCTGCGTACGCCCAGGATCGAGCACCGAGTGATATCGACTAATATGAATCGCTAAAACTAATACGCAATCCATCTTTGCTCATAAAGACATGAGATACGAAAATGAAGAAACAGAAATGACTATGATACACAAGGAATAACCAGCTCCGCTCACGACGCCGGTGCATCGCATTGGCCTGGACGAATAGCACACCATTGAGGCTGTAAAGGAGCAGCTCTGATTCCGATTGCACGAAGACGACCACGAGCTTCCAATAAACGTGGCAAGGCATCGGTAAGAGTACGTTTATGTTTTGATCCATTAACTTTTGCACTTTCGCCTGTCCAAAAAACTTCTGCTGCCGAAGCTGCTCTTGGCCAAAGTAAACTTTCCAAATTTGCATCATCAGTTTGTTCGCCCCATAATGCAGTTTCGCCACCTGCAATACGTTCTTGTCCATCTTTGATTCCTTGTGTTCCATTGTAGGGATCAAAAGAATAAATTCGCTTCCAAGAATTATAATCACACCATGACTTTCCATCTGCATTTCCTCCTGTAAAATCTCCCATTCCACAATCCAAATAGAAATAATCCGAAGGTGCATGTACGATTCGTGTATCGTCTCGCGCTTTCAAAATCTTTTTCACATTTGCTGATGACGTCCAGGCTTCGACCAGCGTGCCAGGTTTCAAAGATTTGGATGTTTTTGGATAATCAAGAGTTGCCTCTTCCCATACCATTGGGGTTTTGCCCAATTGTTTCAAATGAGAATGAACCGATTCCACAAAAGGCGCAAGAATCTTGTCCATTCCCTTCTTGTCGCTCTTCTTTAATCCATAACACTGCGCTTCCACCTCATCATTACCAGTGCTGACGTACGGACTTGTGAGGTAAGTGGTCAACTCCGAAAAGATATCTTTCATCAATTGAGTCGCGGCAGGTTTGCGAATGTCTAAATGTCCGCTTGGTGGTTCAGCAGCCCATTTTTCCCAGTTCTTTTTGTTACCGCAAGTGATCAGGTCACCTGGATAGTCCTTCACGCCCATGTATTGATGACCAGGCATATCAATCTCAATAATCACAGAAACTCCACGTTGAGCAGCATACTTGACAATATCTTTGATTGTTTCAGGTTGATAGATACTGTTTGGATATGCACCTTTCTTTGCTAAAACGTCCATTCCTTTTGTCTTTAAACCAAGAGGCCAGCTTGAAGTATCTGTGATGTGCCAATGAAGCTGGTTGAGTTTGACCAGTTCCATCGCATTCAATTGTTGTTTGATCACACTTGGTTGGAGGAAGTTTCGCGCGGTATCAATCATAATGCCTCGGTATGGGAAATGCGCCTTGTCATCAATCGCAATCGGAACGCCATCCACGAATTGTTCGCCATTTTGACTATGATAGACCAGCTGAGAGAATGTCGCAAGACCACGCAAGACGCCCAAAGCATTGGAAGATTGCAGAACGGCAACACCATCGTGTGGAACCTTTAGGGTATATGATTCATCCAAATTTTCCAAAGGCTGTACACTGAGCGCCAACAAACCATCGCCAGTCTTCTTGCCCTTGTCTTTGCCTTTGTCCTTCTGATGTGAGATGAAAGCATGTGTATCACGTTTAGAAGAAGAACCTTTACGAATTTCCAGAGCGGTGATGGAAGAAGATTTTGATGCTTTTTCCGCTTGACTTGCACCGTAATCCACCGTATAAGGGTATATGCTTGAACTATTGATACGTTTCAATGTTCGTTGAACTGCTTCTTGCAAATCGCTATCATCTTTCCATTCTTCTGTCAACACTTTGATGGTGAATCTTGAACTTAATCGTCTTGCTCCACTTCCATGTTGCAATGAAGCAGGCTTTGGCCAAAGTGCTAATGCATTGCAGCTCGCAACCAGTGCGATCAGCAATACTACTGAGAGTGTAAACCTCTTCATTTTGAATGGGTAGCTGATGAGGTGATGGGAAAGAGTGCATGATTAGCTTCACATATCAAGCTGTATTTGTACTTTTACGATGTATGCATCAATCATGTGCTTTGGGCGCTTTTAGGAGAGAGTGCGGTTACTAAAAATCATTAGCGCGGTCGTCGAGCATTGCATTGCCATACAAAACCCAACTGTCGGGCCGTTACCTAGAATGAAGAAGGGGATGAGATAACAAGCAAATTGTTTATGAATCCTCATTTTCCCCTTTGTAAGCCCTTCTATCCCCGGAAGGCAAGAACAACGCCCAATTTTGACACCCTCTCGGCACATTCAAGCCCCTTTCTTTGTCCATTGTCAAGATGTTATGATTGTAAGAGTGATGAATTGATTACGCATACAAGGCGCAATAAATTGTACTATCATACATGTCCACGATTCGGGGTTTCGTCTTTGATCCTCAGGAGATGTGGGCAAAATTCGCCGTTCTTGACGCCACCTCGAAAAAGTGTTAAGTGAATGCTGTGTCGAAGTGCGATCAAGCCAAGGGACTGATGAGCCTAGGAAGGATGAATTGCAAGAAAGCATGGGGTTAGCAATGTGCCGAATTGCAGTGAAAGGTTCCACTCACTTGATCAAACTTGGTCGAGGCGAAGAGTTTGTGAATCCGACAAACAAGACAAAGGGAACCCATCTGTGAGACAAAAGAGAAACGGGGAGTCGTAAGCCGAAATGAACATTGTGAAAGGACACCGAGACGAAATGACGTACCCATAATGTAGGACGCTATTGAGACCAATTGTAAGGAGGTGAAGAAGGTCAGTATATAGTTCGTACTGTGAATCGAGTTGATATGTAAACGCACGTCTTTCCAATGTCGACCGATCGAACGATCATTTCCTGTGAAGATGAAAAAGTCCAGTCAGTACACCTTGCAAGTCAGCTTGTACAGTCCATATGTGCTCACTCTTGCGTCTTCGCTGAACATATTGGATGCGATCGTTATCAAGGTATGATTTGCAGTGGAGGAAGAAAGGATAAAAGGATGTCTCGATGAGATAATTTTTAATCGTCTTGCATGCATGCCTTGCACTCACTCAAACGCGTGACCGATTTCCGCCTTGTGATGCAAATTTTATTAGCGTCAAATCGGAAAAATGTTCTTCTTCTTGCCATAGCTCTGACGACATCATCTTCCCGACAATTTGTGGTAGCATGGCCGCAATCAATGGTGATGCTATCGCTGATCATGCATCTAGCTCAAAACTGAAGCTAAGAAAAGAGCCACCTTATTGGTTCGAATACGATACAAACGTCAAAGCGCGATGGACAGGACGCAAATTAATCGAAGTTCTAGTAACAGAATTCAGAGATCGATCAACAGAGTATTATCAATGGGCAATTCATTCGGGAAAATGTAGGATAAACGGTGAAAAAGTTAGACCGGATCACGTTCTGAAAATGAGTGACAAAATCCAACATCTCGTTCACCGACATGAACCTGCAGTCACTGCTGATCCGATCAGAATATTAGAAAGAGATGATGATGCTGGACGATTGGTGGTTGTGAAACCAGGTAGTATCCCAGTACATGCTACCGGAAGATATACGAAAAACACCCTCATTCACATGCTACAAGAAGAACTCAACATTCCATCAATGCAAACATCAAATCGATTAGATCGCCTTACCTCCGGTATCCTTGTATGCACCACAAGAAAGGACACCGCTCGAACGCTCAGTGAACAATTCGCAATGGGCAAGGTACGGAAAGCATACGTCTGTCGGGTAAAAGGTAAATTCCCAGAACAAGAGATCACAGTCGAAGAGCCGCTGTTGCAATGTGATCGACAATCAGGCACTAGCATCGTTCACCCTCTCGGAAAACATAGCGAAACGATTTTCAACAGGCTTTCTTATGACGCAAAAAGTGATACTTCTGTCGTATATTGTAGACCGATCACTGGAAGAACACATCAAATAAGAGTTCATGCACAGTATCTCGGACACCCTATCCCGAATGATCCAATCTATGCACACAAGATTTGGGATAAACACTCACCTACGATGTTCGCTAAAGCACCACTAAAACAACAAAGATGGAAAGTTGAACCAGGTAGTCCCTTGAACGTTTGGGGTTCGCCAGAGCTGGATGAAGTGGTTGCAACTCTCAAGATGGCAAAAGATGATAATGATGATTGGGCACGATGGAAAGATGAAATGTTGTTCGGACAAATGTTGAAAGAGGAAGGGCTTGATAGAATGGAAGTGGAAGGTGCAAATGGAGAGAGTGTTACTGAACAACGGAAACGATCAGAACAAGCCGCGGCTCAGATCGGCACAAACGTGAGCGGAAAGACGCATTACTGCGAAGAATGCAAGATGCCTCTCTTACCCGATCCGAAAGCAGAAAATCTGTTTATTTATCTACATGCGATCAAATATCAGACTGATGAATGGACGTATGAAGATCAGATGCCCTGGTGGGCTCTGGAAGATTGGCAGGACCCTACACGGTCTAGGCCAACGACAGGATCTAGAGTGGAAACAGGACTTTCAACAAATGCAACCATGCCTCCCGCTTTTGGATTGGTAGGCCGTGGTGAAAAGGTTGAGAGGGAACATGTTGAGCTGGCCAACATACTACCTGTCAACTCCGTTCCGGAGACTGTCCCGAAGCTATCTTTGGAGGGAGGTGCTTCACACCCTTCTGTTCTGTTTGAGATCTTTGGAGGTATGGAGGATTTTGCTGCTCTTCATATTCAACAACAAATTTGCAGCGCATTTGGTGACAAAGAATCTTCTTTGCAACTCAACTACCAACTTTATACGGGTCACGTCTCTGTCCCAGCAGGAGAGTGGTCAGCAAAAGCTTTGCAAGCCTATAGGGAAGGCTACATTTCGTGTGCAAAGACGGCATACGTTCAAATTGCAGCACCAAAAATGCCAACAGATGTTCTCACTTCTCTGGCTGATGGAAAGTTGAAACTATACGAAGCAAGAAGTATAAATGCAGCTAGACGGAAAAAAGGAGAAGAGGAGATAACGGTCCCCGGTCTGGATGGTCAGCTCACATCGGCTGAAGTGAAATTCATGGAAGCACTGAAAGCAGCATGGGATGCATGTGAAGATGGCAGAGAACATGCAAAGAAGATTTGGCAAGATATACATGGTAAAGATATTGACACAGATCGGAAGCCACGATTCCGAGCATCGTGTGATCGTAGAGGATATGCTTTGCCGACGCTCACGACAACACAAATCGAAAAGGATTTAGGATCATGGATATGGTGGTGGTTGAACGGTGATCCAGATCTAAGTGAAGGTGAATGGGAAGTCAACTTGATGCAATCCGATCTTGAGATCGTGTTCAAGTTACTTGCAGGACATGAAGATGGCGTAGAGCTAGAGGCGCACTGGGCAACAAATCCATCGAATGTTCCCGGTCGATTTGCATTCTTGATCCCGATCGAAATGAAACAAAGTATGGCTCATCGCCCACAGCTACCAGGAGATTTAGTTGGAGAGGGTACCGTTCTGGCACGATTCAGAGCTTATACATTGGCTACCGCATTGCCTCTGGATGTCGGTCTGCTGAAACCAGGACAGACACCACTACGTATTTGGGAACCTTGTGCTGGTACTGGCAGTGTTGCTATCGAACTGTCGGTCGCCTGCAGAAGACGAGGAGTGGGCTGTCAAATCTTCGCCAGTGACGTTTTCGCAGCAGAGATAGATCGAGCTCATCAAATGGTCTCACTTTGTGGACAGTTCCCAGAAATCTCATTGGCAACAGTTGATGCATCAAAGATGAATGAAGCTTTGCTGTTCATGGGAGAAGAATCTTCTTTGGATGGCATTGTGACAGATCTACCATGGGGAAGACGTTCGCTTAATCATCAAACTATCTCAAAGTTATATCCTGCCATGTTACAGGTATTTTATCGAATGCTCAAACCTGGTGCATGTGCCCTATTGATGACAGCAGAACAGAACAATCTGATTCGTGCCGCAAAAGCACATGAAGCTGAATCACGTAGAAGAGGATATGAATGGTTTTTGAACGTTGAAGAATTCAGTATGACACCATGCAAGGATCAAAATGTGTATGATCCCAAATCACCAAAAGAAGCACCAACTGACGAACAAAGATCTGCCAGTGTTAGAACTGTTCATTGTGGTTATTATGTTTCACTTGTTTTGTTACGCAAAGTTCCACTGATTGTGTAGAGCATCAATTCGATCATCACAGTCATCTTCCTGTGTATATTATAAAGAAAGGCACCGAGAGTTGCGCTAAGGTTTCGCGTGAAAAGGTGACAGTCCTGCATCGTATGTTTTATGCAGTGCCGGCGACTATGACAAAGCGGTAGCCGCATTTTACGTGCGGGAAGACCCTTGTGTAGTTGATTGAACGTTTGATTACACAACACCATCATCAATAGCATTCACAATGTCAAGTTCGAATGGAAATGGGACTGTTACTGGCATAGAACAAGCATTAGGATTCGATAAACATCCATACGAACAAGATGGACCAAGTGAAGGAAAATTAATCACTTTGCCAATTGTCAATCATACATTTTCCCTTGCTTATTTGTACGATACTGTGATTGCAAAACTGATTCGAATTCCAATCAAGGTTCTTCTTACGCTGTCATACTATATCGTCCATGGACCAATTACACTTCGACGCAAATACAACGTCTCCCGAAAAAGAATCAATATCCCATCTAGGGAAAGAGGGAGAAAGATTAAAGTAGATGCATACCTACCAACCAATCTATTCAAGTCCAATAAGCCTCTACCAGTACACGTCAACTGGCATGGAAGTGGATTTGTGTTGGATTGCTTTGGAGCAGATGGTGACTTCTGTGCATACCTGGCAAACAAGATGCAATGCATCGTCTTGGACGCAGATTATCGCAAATCACCCGAACATCCTTTCCCGGCTTGCATTCACGATGGAGAAGATGTGATGAATTCGATATTTTCCAGTAAGAGCAATTCTGTTTTCAACAAGCAATTACCACCTCTCGACCTACAACGTGTTTCTGTTGGCGGTGCTTCAGCAGGTGCAAATATTGCATTGGTGATGGGTGTAATCTTTGGTGGAAAGAAGATTTGTGCGGTTGCAACGATTGCACCTCCAACTGATTTTAGACCATCAGCTCGACCGAAGCTAGCACCTCAACCGAATCACCCCAGAGCTTTGCCACGGAAGGTGACCCTGTTCTTCGATAGATGTTATCTGATTCCCAATATGGATCGTGCAAATCCTACATTATCACCCGTGACCTGCAACATGCAAAAAGGACAACTAGATTGCAAACTTGTTTATATCGCAGCAGGAAAAGGTGATACATTACACAATGATGGCTATAATCTGATTGAATCTCTCAAACGACAAGGCCATCAAAATGCAGTCTTTTGCGGTGTTCCAGGCGAAGGACATGGATTCGAAAAAGCGATTGGAAAAGGTGAACAAAAGCAGAAAGCCTTGGCAGTCTTTGATGATATTGTCAAATTGATCAAAGCTACTTGGCAAGAGTCAACACCTGCAGACTCAACTTTGAAAGTCAAATTGTGATCGTGAGCATTCATGTACATTATTCCGCACTTGCAATTCAACCATGTGATCAATTTGTAGATCTTCCTGCCATTCATGTCTTTCTTGGCTGTTTACTGACGCGGATATTCCCATACCGTCCTCACTTTCACAGTCTTGCGCCCCCAGCGCAAGGCATTCCAACGGCGGAACCCCTATACTGAGAATGACTGTGTATGTCCTGACATTTGTTCCGTCTATTCAAATTCTTCTTTCTTGATGAATGAAAAAAGGTATGAATGCTTCTGATTGATTGATTCACATCCACTTTTCCTATCATGAAATCTTCTGCATTAACCTTGGTCCCAAACATCTTGATCAACATCAAAGCTTCTCACAAAAAAAGCACCGAGGCTCTCGGGCCCTGAGCCACCGGGCGAACACAGCCTATCGCACCATCTGTGCTTGGCGAATATCACAAAAACGACAGCTGTCCAAAACATACAAGAAGGCCATTTGGTTATAAAACTAAACTATGTTCAAAATGTCAAAGATGGCCAATGGCGGTGATGAGCAAATTTTTGGGTCTGACAAAAATCATTCAAACAAGGCAACATTGATCAATCTGCCAATCGTGGATCATCCATTTTCCTTTGGAACTTTGTGCGATTTCATAATTGCAAATTTGATTCGCATTCCCGTCAGTGCTATTGTTTCTTCGCTTTATTACGTCATTCATGGCCCAATCGTACTCAAAAGGAAATACAATGTTTCTCGTAAAAGGATTAATATTCCATCAAGACAAACAGAAAGAGATATAAAAGTAGACGCTTATTTACCAAACAATCTTTGGCATTCCAATAGACCGCTTCCAGTTCATGTGAATTGGCATGGAAGTGGGTTTGTGTTGAATTGTTTTGGTGTTGATGGTGATTTCTGCGCTTATATGGCAAATAAGATGCAATGTATCGTGTTGGACGTTGACTATCGAAAAGCACCCGAATTTCCTTTTCCCGCTTGCCTGCAAGATTCGGAAGACGTTATGAAGTCAATGTTTCATAACAAGCACCACCACCTCTACGATCAACTACCACCGATCAACTTACAGCACATTTCTATCGGTGGCAGTTCAGCAGGTGGATTAATCGCATTAGGAATGGGAATTCTTTTTGGCGGTAAGAAGATATGTGCAGTCGCAACGATTGCACCTCCAACGGATTGCAGAGACCAAGCTCGATACAAGAAAGCACCACAACCAAACCACTCGATGTCCTTACCACAAAATATCGTATTTTATTTTGACAGATGTTATTTGCTTCCAAACGTAAATCGTGAAAATCCAGTCCTTTCACCTGTTCTTTGCGATTTGCAAAAAGGTCAATTGGATTGCAAACTCGTTTATACTGCTGCAGGGACCGGTGATACGCTACACAACGATAGCTACAATCTCATCAAGTCACCATCAAGTCACTCAAAAAGCAAGGTCACCGCAATGCTGTCTTTCATGCTGTTCCAGGAGAAGGTCACGGATTTGAAAAAGCGATCGGAGGTAAACAAAAGCAAAAGGCATTAGCAGTCTTTGATGAAATGGCGGATATGATCAAAGCTACTTGGAAGTTACCTACATCAACGATAGGTTCATCCTTAAAGGCCAGGCTGTGATTGTATGTTCATCTTATAAATATGATATATAAATTGCATAAAGTAGCAAATGATACAAATTGCATGTGTAGCACTAGGCAATTTGGGTGGTATAACAAAGAATGAAAACGACAACAGGTTGCGATATAAAAAACAAAAAAGTACAAAAAACAAAACCAAGTATTGCGAGAGTTTTGTGTATTGTCCCGAAAGATAAAAATATAATATAACTGATTGTTAGAAAGGAGATGTTTGTCCTGTGGATCCATTACCGGGAAGTTTTAAACTCAAACGTAATTCTTCAACAGTCACACTTGCCGTTTCATTTCCTTCTTCTTGTTTTTTCCTACGAAGAAGTTTAGAAAAATGCAATCCACATGCATTACACAACGTTCGCGCTCCGTTTGGACCCCTACGCCATTCAGGCGTATCACGAACGCCACAAGAAACACAACTGCCAGGAGCAGGCGCTCGTGATCGTTTACGATATTTTGATGGTCTAAAACCCATACTTCCACTTTCGTCTCCGCTCACGTACGTTTGATCGTTTTGACTGGCGTCCCGGTATTCATCACGGTAATATCCACTTGGGATTCGGGAGCCATGTTGAGTAGAGTAGTGGTCTGAAGGCGGTCTAAAGCCGTAACGTTCGTCATTCTTGGTATTGTACGGCGGAGAGTAGCTGGTCGGATAAGGCGTTCCTCCATAGTCGGAGGAAGCACGTCTTCCTGGTTGCGGATGGCGAGGAGGAGGCTGCGGAACGGGCAGTCCTGCCGGATTACCTCCATGATGCTGGCCGGGCAGGGGTGCTCTCTGATTGAATCCATCTGTTTCACGAGCGCTATAAGCTGATCGTGGGGAGTCGTTTGGGTGACGTGGAAAATTACCGAGTGGTGAAGTGAGCGGTGGAGGAACGGCACCACCTAGCCTGCTGGGTCCGGCGATTTCCGAAGGATATTCTTGTTCGGTAGAGGCGGCGTATGTACGTCCATTGCTGGAAGAAGCTCGATCTCTTGGAAGGTTTGATTCGGGAAGAATATCCGGACGTCCGATCTCCCTTGCCCTACTTGGTTCCGAACTACGTTCTCGCCATCTGTTGTGATCCAGGTCCACCCTCTCTGGCCCGGTCTCGAATCTGTTTGAGAATCTGTGGTCATGCATTGAAGGAGGTGGCCTGTTGTACGGCACATCAGAACGCTCTGCTGTCAAAGCATTGAGAGATGTTGAAGGTCGCATCGATCGATCTGTTTGCAGTGAAAAAGCAAAGAGGTCAGCGCGATGTCGGTACTGCAATTCCAACACAGACACATACCGGGCACAATAACTTTATCGTATGATACATGTCGATTGAGAGATGGTGGTGGTGGAGGAAAAGTTGTCGGAAGGATTTTGTTGTTCCCACCTTCCAACGTTGGAGATTGGGACATTAACTTTTTACCGTATCTTGATGGATTTGCCATCTTTAACGAGTTTAAACCTGCATCGGGAAAACGAGGACCTTCACCATGTAAAACGCCTGAAACCACTTCAAAAGAGATAATTTAGTTGAGATTCATTTCTTTTTCTTTTCGGGACGCATTTACTCACTTTGTAATGCAGACATATTCTCTGCAAACACTTTGAAATTCGATCGTGCCCAATCTAAATCATTTCTAGGTGGAATTCGACCGGTTCGATGTACGAAAGATGCAAAATCTGCTAGATTGCCGGCAGTTTCACGAAGCTGTGATAGGGAAGAGGCAGATAATGTCAATTTTCTGGCATCAAAGTACAATTCCTCGATCATACTCACTTCATCCCACAATTTCTTTTCCCTTTCATTTAATGGCATTCCTTCGAGACTGACCGGATTCTGTCTGTTCAAATGAGAATCGTCCGGGTGTGTTGGTAATGCAGGTGCTGATTGTGATGGAATGTGTGTATAGCGTGATGGTCGGTCCAGTTGATTTGGTTCAGCCCGAGGCGGACTTCTGCTACGATCATAGTTGGGATAATGTGATGGCGCAAAGCTATGATGACTTTCGAATGATCGATTTTGATTGTGATTATCACCTTCTTTGATGCCATTCGTTCTGCCTTCACGAGGAGTTGGAATTACCGTTCTTTCGTCAAGCTTCATATCTGGTGGTGATTTGAACGAGAACGGTTATAATGCTTGATGTTATTCTGTAGCCATTGAAGTCTTCTTATGATGATGAAGTTTGACGTTGGGGTAATGATGAAGAGTTTGAATTGACGGAAATGTCCGTTTACCAATCCAGAAAGAAGAAGCAAGTTGTCAAAGTGGCATTTTGATTAGCCCTTTTTTCCGGAGTAGAAAAAAGTGCGGATAACAGAAAAGTGAAACATGTACATGATCAGGGTATCGCTATTTGCTCTTTAAGAAGGAGTGCGGAAGGATGGCTTTTATGATAGTGATGAAGTGCATTGTGTGTTGTACATGTAAATGATATGCATCTATAGATCTATCCACAAATTAAAATGAAAAAGTGTGAAATTGAATTGAAATTGCTGCTGCTTGCTGATCTTCCGATATCTGCATGAGTGCATGAGTGCATTGCATAAAAGCCGCATTTTTCATTTCTCGTTTCTTTTGTTTCTGTTTCTTGTCGGTGTTTAAGTAAGCTACGATTAAAATAGCGTAAAAAAGGGTGTGATGCATAAATGCATTATGCACATACATACAATTCAATCCAATGCTGTCAATCTGCCACAAATTAAATATTTTCTATTGAATTCGTTCGGGAACAATTAATTGATCGGGCAACGATCAAAGATTGCTCTCTTCCACCAAACCCCCTTTGTGATGAGATGATCGAAATGATCTGCCCGTTGATCTGAGAATGAAAAATAGATTGCGTGTGAATAAGGATCATGTGTACAGTCAACGTGCCTTTTTTGCGGAGTTATTATACTTTTGACGTTGGTATGCAATCTACGTCACATTCTTAGCCAATCCATCCAATGTATGTATGTGTGTGCGGAGTGATAGCGGAGTTTTCTTTCAAAAGAGTGAATTGCTCTTTTTACAAACCCGCTTTTCGTTTCGCAGGATGTGCGGCATAAGTATATTACATTAGTAATGCACATTATAATCATGCACGATCTAAAACGATTTCAATTTTATAGATGTGTGCGTAAGTCCCGCATTGTACCAAGAAGCTGGTTTTAGCTTGAGAGGAGAAGAGAGGAGTGAGTGTACATACTGCTTATTTCAAATTGAATCACCAAACGCTGCGCACTTTTTCCGTCTTTCCGAGTTGAGTTTTAAAGCCTCACACCTCAAGTTCTGCAATTTGCATTTTTCTACATACATTAAAATTTTCACACTAATTCGATTAGCCTCGTTCTTTTCTTTTTCGTTTAAGAGGCAACTTCGGATTACAAGCTAATTCTTTACTGATGTATCGTACGTGCAGTGCCCTCGCAAAGGAAAGGTACAGGAAATGGAAGCGTCCGGCTATGGGATTGCTGCCGAATAAGATCAACAGGTAAGTCGCAGTTTGAATGTTAGAAACGGCTATGTATTGCACCCTTGACAAAAGACGTCAAATGTGGGAAAGTAAGAAATCGTAATCGGATTTCGATCACATGTTTTAAAAGATGCTCTCGATCACTTTGTGCATTTTAGTGAAATTGTAAAAGAGGGGAAGATAAAAAACCCATCCTTACCCGATATAGAAAGGGCGTACGATCGACCCGATTCAGACAGATGTAGAATAATAATGAATACAATGGATCGGATAAATAATTTTTAAACTTGCATGCAGACTGATAAAGTGTGGTACTTTATCAGATACTTTTTCTTTACCCCCTTTGAGGCAAGAGTGTGGTGATCACTGCCCGGTTGAATTTAAAATCATACGCTAAGTTTTACGCTCTTCATTAAAGAGCTCGTGAAAATGATATCCTTTGCGTTTGATTACATACATACATTAGCCTCAAAAAGGGTTTTGACTTTTGACAAGTCATTTCTGGAGAAAACGCATGTACCCGCAAAAGCATGAATGACCTGTTCATGCATGTGTACCAAATTCTCGTAAGATCAATCAATACTTTTGCTGCTCGATAAGGTTTTTGCTTGATCGGGCAACCAATGCTATTAAAAACCTTGCATTTTGATTATGTCATATGGATCTTCTTTATTTTCTGTCTAATTGCCGGTCCACTTACGGTTCCGATTCAGATCGGCTCCTCTATATCTGTTATCACAAGATCTTCCCACGATTGATTGACTGTTCTCCTCAAGTAGAATCGGGGTCAAACAAGCTTAATAAAAAGGGATGTTGCGATTGCGGGAACTTATATTTGAGTTTTGTGATCAGGAGTGTTTCATACGTAGCTGGTATTGCGTGGGAACATTGGTTGGATATTTTGATCGTCAGGGCTGCTAACGGCAATAGAATGACCGGATCAGCTTATATAACAGAACAACGGGCTACTTCGGTGTTTGGCCGATGAATAAATGTGAGAAGAGATTTGCAATCTTTGGCCGATTGAGTTTATGTTTTGTCATGTGGGTAATGCTTTTTGTTAGCGTGTTTGTTTAATCAACAAAAAGAAAACCAACCTTAATCGAATTGCAAATACAATTGGTAAAAGAAAGCAAGTTTTATGTACAATGACCAGTACTACCTAGTTAGTGTATTCATTCTTACGGCGAATAGACCGAATTAACCGTAAACATCATTTTTCAAGGAAAAAATTGAGCACTAAGACGGCGGCATCGGCAGCGGGGAGGAGAGCCGCGGATTGTGTTTGAAAAGGAGTCAATCTTGTCCCTTATCGTTTAGCGGATTTGTTTGTTTGGATGAGAAGATTGTCTCTTACAAGACATGTATGTATGTAGAAGCCATGTGATACGTACATGGAAGCACTTGTCAAATCAGACAGAAAAGCCCGGCAAAGCGGGGTAAGAATCCCGATAGGAAGAAACAGCTTCCAACCTCATTTGCATCAGGAGGTTTATCCGTAGCTTTCAGTAGATCGTTCGGATATCTTGTCATGTGGACGAGTATTATTGCATGACGATGCGCTCAGATCGCCTAATCAAAAACTTTATTCCATAGGGAAGGGGCCTGTGACCGGTTGATATAAAATAGATAGCACATTCAATTCCAAATCTCATTTCTTCATCCACTTCGCTTTGTTCTCGTCAAAAATTCTCTTTTCTCTCACAAAAAATGAAGGTTGGAACGTTCACCTCATTAATGGCATTCGCCATCGCTGCCACAATTGCATTGCCTTTGAACATCAACGCAGCTCCAGCTTCTGTACATGAAGAACGATCTGATACGCCACGCTCAACAGCCGAAAGAATTTATCAAAACAAAAAAGTTCATCAAAATGCAGCAACAACAGACCGTCGTGCAGTAACGCTGAATGAAATGGAAAACTTCCTTAAACGCGATGATAGTGACAAATACAAAGGTCAACCTTATCCTGCCGGAGTTGAACCGAGTGCTGGATGTACAGAGTGTAAATCAAGTTTATCCTTTGCCGGAGCCGCTGCTAAGAAATATGCCGTTGGAACGCAAATGTGAGTGTTGCTAATGCGATGTAGATCAATTGGAAGATTTTAAACTGACTGAGCCCCTATTCTCCTTCGTCCATCAGTCCGACTTTACCATTCAAAACCAAAAACTCTTGGGCAGGTAACATCCCAATTACAGGTACAACTGTTCAAGATGCAACTCTGTACTTCTGGCTATGGGGTAAAGATGCCAAAGATTCAGGCGATGATTTGGTCATTTGGTTAAATGGTGGGCCGGGTTGTTCAAGTCTAACAGGAATGGTGCAAGAGAACGGTCCCTTTTTGTACCTGAATAAAAATTACAAACCATTCCCAAACGGATACAGCTTTACAAGAGCAGCCAATGTACTGTACGTTGAACAGCCTGTACATACGGGATTCACCACCGGAATCACAGAAAACACAAATGAAGACGAAGTTGCCGCACAATTCGCCTCTTTTTTGGCAAACTTTTACAAAATCTTCCCCGAGTTGGCAACAAAGAAGCTCTGGATCACCGGGGAGAGTTACGCCGGGACTTATATCCCCTATATCATGACTTATCTTTACCAACAAGGCCAAACACCTCAATTAGCAGGTGGTAAGATCAACGATGGATCGATCACCGACCAAAGACTTCAAGAAGATGTTGTAGTCTACCAATTTTCCGTTCAACATCAAAAAGCATTAAACTTTACCGACGATGACATTGCTCAAATCAAAGCTGAATCGGATAAATGTGGATTGACCACATTTGTTGAACAAAATTTGAATTACCCACCGAAAGGAAGACTACCAGGCTACTCCGATTCATGTCAACCCTACGATACTTATTACAACTTGGCGAACCAAAGAAACCCACAATTCAACGTTTACAATATCGATATTCCCTCTCCGGACCCAAACAGTCCGCTCGGTTATCCTAACAGTGGAGCTGCACAATATTTGCACAAGACCTTCTTTGATAATTACGATCTGCAAACATACATCCATGCACCGCATCAAAAATGGGTTGAATGTGCAGTGGTGTTTGTAGCCGACAAAGATACAAGCAAGAAGCCAGACAGACAACCAAATTTCAATCATAGCATCTTGGCAAACATTATTGAAAAGAGTAAAAATTTCATTATCATGAATGGAGATTTAGATGGATTATTGATCACAAATGGTACTTCTTTGGCTTTGCAAAATCTTACATGGAATAACGCCCAAGGGTTTTCAAAACCCCCTGTAACGCCACTTTACGATTTAGAAGGAAATCAAAAGGCTGTCTCTACCCACGAAAGGGGATTATCTTATGCAACCGTACCGGGAGCAGGACATATGGTAAGTTTCAATAATCAATTCAACCTTCTTTGCTGTCGTACTGATCTCATTTTCTTTTCCCTTATTTTCAGATCCCTTCCGATCAGCCAAGTTTCGCACTCAATGCTCTCTTGTACCTTACAGGCCAAAGTGATTGGACCAAAAAGTAGTCTAGTACATTCGCCAAATGATTCACGACCATGTCAACCTGACAATGAGACAATACCTAATGATATTATCTATGTTTTAACTCACCTCTGGCGTGATTGTCTTGAAAGTAGCTGCGCATATGCCCCTGATAGGTATCTTTACGATCAGTCATCCGATTCAGATCATAGGACCACCTTGCGATTCGCCTTCGTTTGTTACAATGTTGCCTTATCAGTAGACGTGGCACGAGTGATGGTACAGGTACAATCTTTTGTACGGTGCCGCCGCTTCTCAAATCTTCATAAGTTCCCTTTGCTCTGCCAGCTTAAATGTATTGCGCCCATACCCAGTGTTTCATGGATGCTTTCTAACGAACATCGGCTCCGCTTCTGGGGACCAATAAGAGCACGTCTGTCATCTTTTGTTCTTAGAAGCGGATAGTGAAATTGACAACCGCTGTCTCTTTTTAATGAGACTCCGCTTCATTTCATTCTTTTTGACAGATTTTCCAAACAATAACTGAAGCGAAATGAATCAAAACTCTATTTTCTTGCCCTTGCGCTCTTTGAAATACTACCATCGCATTGTCGCCATTCATGTTTATCCTTTTGTTTCTCTATCTTTTCTCCTCAACGGCATTGGCTGTCCTACTTCCAGCTGGAGTGGAACCATCTGCAGGATGTACGATATGCAAGTCAAGCCTCACGTTTTCCAATCCAGAGGCAAAGAAATATGAAGTAGGACATCAAATTCCCCTATTACCATTTCGCACAAAAACTTCTTGGTCGGGAAATATTGCAATTCCCGATACGCCAACGGTACAAGACGGATCATTATTCTTTTGGCTTTGGGGTAAAGATTCAAAAAAGCCAAGTAAAGATTTGATAATTTGGCTTAACGGTGGACCTGGTTGTGATTCGACATCCGGAATGGTGACAGAGAATGGACCATTTCTGATACAAAGCGCCAACGAAGGTAAAACTCGCCCTAATCCATCCTCTTGGACGATTGCAGCCGATATCCTTTACATTAACTATCCGGTCGGTGTTGCATTTACGACTGGGAAGCACAATTTCACAAATGAAGATCAAATCAGTGAGCAATTTATTTTGTGGCTGGAAAACTTTTTTGATATATTCCCAGAAATGGCACGAAAGAATCTTTGGATGGCAGGGGAGAGTTATGCGGGCGTTTTCCTACCTCAGATCATCCAATTGCTAACTAAAAGAAGATTAAACGGAGTCAACATGTACAAAGGCGGCTTGTTGATCGATCCATTCATTTCCACAGACACCATACAGCTGCAAGTGACCCTTTTCGACTTTGCTCTACACAATCGAAAAAGTCTCCGTCTTACCAATAGTGATCTAGCTAAGATAAAAAATGAATCAGATACGTGCGGTTACAGCAAATTCATCGACAACAATTTACATTATCCTCCCAAAGGACGTTTAAGTTCACCGGATCCGGACTGCGATGTGCAAGATGTGTTCTTTAATATCATGATGGATCAACCAGAACCTTTTAATATGTATAATATTCATAAACCTGACCCAACAGTCATGGACGAAAATGCAACAATGTCAAGAGACAAATTCTTGAATAACACCAAAGAACAAGAGTATATTCACGTCAAACTGCCAGGAAAATACATTCATTGTCAAGACGTCTTTGTCAACCAAACCGATGAAAGTTTACCCGTTGATCGAAGCCCATCTTTCAGGCACTCTTTACTCGCACATGCAATAAAGGCAAGTAAGCGTTTCTTTATCATGCATGGTGATCTTGATGCACTTTTACAAGCAAACGGGACACGACTGGTTCTACAAAATCTGACATGGGACGACGTACAAGGATTTGATAAACCACCACATAATCCATTAAGGGATTTATCGGGTAAACTTTGTGCAATCTCAACGGACGAAGAACGTGGCTTAAGGTATATTGAAGTTCTCAATGCAGGTCATAAACAACCTCAAGATCAAGCAAGCTTTTCGCTGGCAGCCGTTCTGGCATTGCTTGGAATAAAGCCCTGGTAAAAGCTTTGTACGTAGGCGTAACTCTTTAAATTGATAAATTTCCGGTCCTTATCGCGGCGATGTTCCTGAGAGTGAGAAGTTGGTCACTTGCCCTTACTTTTTACTCCGATAAGCTGACATTCGTTAAACTTTATTTGATAAACATGATATAATGCGGTACCGCGAGGAAGTAAATTACAAGAGAATGGTTTCAGGGGATCGGCTTCTCCTCTTTGTACTGATAGTAGCGGACCGAATTTACTGAAATTGTGGCTACTCATTCTTGGCAACTCATTCGAGAAAAAGCGGAAAGGACTTTTTCGCAAGGTATATGAAACAATAAGATGTGTATGAACTTCTATAAATAGAACACCATCATTAAAGTGCTCCGACTATATACCTCCGGATCTTATCACTTCCATCACTTTCGACCTCACCCATTGTTTAAATCCTTATCATTATCTATGCTGGTATTAATCATTCTTTCCCTTCTAGTCTCATCAACCATTGCTCATCTAGCAGCGCATGCAAAGGTGGAACCTTCGGCTGGATGTTTGATTTGCAAGAGCAGTTTGACTTTCGAAAATCCAAAAGCAGCTGAATATGCAGTTGGAACGAATATACCTCTGCTGCCTTTCAAGACAAAGAACTCTTGGGCAGGCAATATACCCGTACCAGATACGCCAACATTAAAGAACGGAAGCTTATTCTTTTGGCTATGGGGTCAAGATTCTTCTTCTCCAGGAGACGATTTGATTATTTGGCTCAATGGTGGACCCGGTTGTTCATCAATTGGTTTGTATTTGTACCTTTTTCTCCAAAACTTACCAGATTCTTACACCTTCTATTTGTCTTTATTTTTGAGCAGGTGGTATGGTGACAGAAAACGGTCCTTTTCTGATCCAAAGTAAATTTGAGGGTCCCACAAGAGTCAATCCGAACAGTTGGACTCAAGCAGCAGACATTCTATATGTCACGCATCCTTCTGGCGTTTCGTTTACCACTGGAGATCGTAGTTTCACAAATGAAGAGCAAATCAGTGAACAATTTGTCTTGTGGCTTAACGAATTCTTTAAGATCTTTACCGAATTATCCCACAAGAAATTATGGTTTATTGGAGAATCGTATGCAGGAATTTATTGGCCATGGCTGACAGCAGAATATTTCAAAAATCCACCCAATGGAATCAATAGCTACAACGGAGGGATGCTTGTTGATCCCCTTATCACATCCCGAACCACTCAGACTCAATTGGGCCTGTATTATTTCGCTTTGAACAACAAGGATATTCTCAATCTCACGTCTGATGATCTGGTAGAACTGAAAAACGTTTCCGACACTTGTGGCATGAATGCCTTTTTGGACAAGAACTTATATTATCCGGCAAAAGATAGATTGCCATCTTTTACCCAAGGGTGTGATGTTCAGGATTTGTTTTATGACATCATGATGGAAAAGACGCCTACATTCAACTTTTACAATATCAAGAAACCAAATCCGAAAGTTGTTGATGAAAATGCTACAATGTCAAGGGACGTTTTCTTGGGCGACGAGAGAGTGCAAAAGTATATAAACGTCAAAGAGCCCAAACCCTATGTGCATTGCCAAGATGTTTTCCAAAACAACAACACAGATGCAAGTATACCCGTAGATCAAACACCTTCACCTGAACATTCACTTCTTGGGCAAATGATTGAATCTAGCAAACAATTTTACATTATGAATGGAGACTTGGATGCATTGATAATTGCAAACGGCACAAAGATTGCTCTTCAAAACTTGACATGGAACGGTGAGCAGGGCTTTACGAAACCGCCAACAACTTCACTGAAGGATTTGAATGGTAACAAACAGGCAGTCACATCTTGTGAACGTGGTTTACGTTACATTGAAGTCAAAGATTCCGGACATAAGATTCCGATGGATCAACCAAGTTTTGCTCTTGCTGCCGTTTTGGCTTTACTCGGGAAGCGAAGTTGGTGAAGGACGAAGTCACATGGATTATTTTCGCTTACAATGCTTCGATTCTACTTCAATAACATGTGGGAATGTCTCTATGCTACAAAGTCACTGAAATGTGATAAATAGTTTCTCCGGTAATCAGGTAATATAGTCCGTGCCTTTTTTCGTCGATCCAGATGACGATGTTCCTCAATTTAATAGTAACGGCCCGCGTTTACGCGCGCTCAAGCTTCAATTTCATCATTCCATCACCACCCCTTCCTTTCAGACCTGATCATTGAACGGTTCTCACTTTAATTATAATGTCTCTGCATCTCATCTTCATGTCCACCACATATCTTTAAAATGATGTTGAGTAGTGCCCACTTCATTCGCATAACGGCTATATGGCTTTGCATCTGTTCTTCTCTTAACGCCTGGACCCATATTCTGCCATCAGGTGTAGAACCTTCAGCAGGATGTTCAACTTGCAAATCCAGCTTACACTTTTCCAATCCAGAAGCAGCAAAATATCAAGTAGGAAATCAAATTCCACTATTACCCTTCAAAACCAAAACTTCTTGGGCAGGTAATATTGATATTCCTGATTCGCCTACGGTAAAGGATGGATCATTATTCTTTTGGCTGTGGGGACAAGATTCGATTGAACCAAGTAAAGACTTGGCAATTTGGTTTAATGGTGGTCCAGGATGCAGTTCGATTGGTTTGTATTCACTTAGAGTCTCCCTTTAAGATTTTGTTGGTGCCATTTGCTAACACTTTCCAAATTCATTTACACGAACAGGTGGCCAAGTGACAGAGAACGGTCCTTTCCTGATCCAGAGTTCAAACGAAGGTCCAACAAGACCAAATCCGTATAGTTTCACTTTGGCTGCTGATATTATGTGGGTTACTCATCCAGTCGGCGTTTCATACACCACTGGCGATGCAAGAATTACAAACGAAGATCAAATTAGTGAACAATTTGTGCTTTGGTGGAAGAATGTTCTAAAAGTGTTCCCCGAACTTGCCACAAAGAATCTTTATCTGTTGGGCGAGAGTTTTGGAGGAACGTATATCGCAAATATCCATTCGAAGATGGTTGCGGCAGGCTTCAAGACATACAAAGGCGGTATGATGATCGATCCAGTATTCTCCGATCGAATCACACAAAGACAATTGCCGGTATACGAATTCTCATTAGCAAACCGAAATATACTCAATTTCACCGATGCAGAACTGGCAGAAATCAAAGAAGAATCGGATAAATGCGACTATTCATTCTTTACCGATAAGAACCTGCATTATCCTCCCAAAGGCAGAGTTCCATCGCCTATACCTGGATGCAATCCGAGAGATGTGATGGAGGATATCGCTTATAACAAGTCTGACACGTTCAATGTGTATAACATCCGCAAGCCTGATCCATCCGTCGTGGACGAGAACGCAACAATGTCAAGGGATATCTTTTTGAATAGTACAGAAGTGCAGACGTATATCCACGTTCAAGAACCAGGTGAATATGTTCATTGCCAAAGTGTATTCCTAAACGATACTGATACTAGCGGACCGATTGATCGAACACCTTCTTTCGACCATTCTCTAATGGCGCAAATCATCGAATCAAGTCATCAATTTTACCTTTTGCATGGTCGATTGGATGCGCTCCTCAAAGCAAACGGAACGAGATTAGCCCTTCAAAATCTCACTTGGCATGGCGTTCAAGGTTTCGCAAAACCTCCTTCAACAGTCTTGACAGATTTGCAAGGCCATCCACAGGCAATCGCCACAGATCTGGAACGTGGTTTTAGGTATATCGAATTATTCGAATCCGGTCATAAAGTTCCTCAAGATCAACCTTCTTTTGCGCTTAAAGCTCTTTTAGCTTTGATGGGTAAACATGCATGGTAATATGCTGTGTGATTGATACTTGTGTATAATACATTAATGCGATAATTTTTTATCTTGCTGAAACGTCTAAAGGTATTGTCCATGCCATGATTGCTAAACTTGAACAGGGTAAAATTGTGAGTGCAAGTCGAAGTCCAACCCAACCCGAAACATTTCCGATCACGACTGGGCCACCGAAAAAGCCGATCTGTTGTGCTAGTGAAATCTTTGCAACAGATATTGCTTGCTTATCCGCATCGAAACTGCTCAAGAATGCCATTGAGAGTGGAGTGATATTTGCCAAACCAATCGCTGCAAATACCAAAGAAATAAGGAATGCATTCTGGTCGTTCAACGCAAGTCCAACAAACATCGCAACACCTGCAATCAAACTTCCCCAAAGCATAACAGCTTTCAAACCGATTCGACGTGCTGCCCATGTACCCACAAACCTTGCAAGCGTCATTCCAAGCGAATAGGCAAACGCAGCAGAATTTGCGACGGCAAAAGAAGTACCCAGATTCTGTCTCAGGTAGATTCCTGCCCATTCACTCAACGATCCTTCGCAAATCGAACTGAAAAACCCAACAGCAGCGAGAATGATGATTTGTGTACGAATCGTTTGTCGGTGTGTGCTTTGGTTGTCGTTTGTATTGTGTGATGTTTCATCCGAAGCAGTGTTCTCATCTTCGTCAATTCGAATTTGTCCAGTCACACGAACGATTGGAAAGTGTAACAAATATATCACAGCAAGCGTGCTCATCATCCCGATCACACGCAAATCAAACGGAACGGCCAGCCTAGTCAAAAGTGTTCCCAACCCACTTCCGATCAATTGCCCGCCACTAAAGAGTCCATGAAAGAAAGGTGCATCAGCACGACCTGTGATTGCACCAAGTGTGACGATTTGAATATTGATCGCAATATCAAAAAAACTTGCCAAAATTCCGCTTGCCAAAGTTGATGCGCCAAATTGTTTTGGCGTTCGAGATAAGTTGGATAAACCAACTGCAGTGACGACACAAGAGCCTATCAAAGGTGTAAGCAGTGTTGAACGCAGTAGTGCCGGTAATCGAGTGGCGATAGCTTGTCCTATAAAAGCACCTAAATCATCAAACAACAAAAGCAAACCGAAATGTCGGTCACTTATCCCTAAATTTTCCTTTGTGACAGGTATTTGACTGGAAAAGTGACCCCACATTATTCCGAAAAAGGTGAAAAGCGAAGCACAAAGGATTGTCTTTTTCAAGATTCCTGCGTCTTCTCTTCTGGTTATAGAGCCATAGTTTGACCCTGTTTGATTTGCCTCCAAAAGCCGTTCATTTTCATCGGACTGTCGGGTCATTGCCAATGATGTGTGAGAGAAGGAGATACAGTATGCTTACCCCCCACGTCAAAGCCCTGACGAGATTCCCAATTTAGAACGCGCCAAAACCTAAGATCGACAATTACATAATCATCATCATGGTCATCATGAATTCATGGCATGTAATCATTGTTTGTTTAAAGGCCATCCAATCACCGAAGATGGCGATACCTCATAGATGTTTGCTTCCTTCTGGACCCAATTAGCAATGCAATATTAGTCATCCTGTACCACGTTCTCTTAATTTCAGATAAAGTTCGAGATCGTCATTTATGCTTGTCTTATATATATAAATAAATTATCAGTAAGGTACGACGTTTTAGGAACAACGTATTACCGGAAATATTTGGTTGCCAAGTGAAAATCGCACATGGGCAATCCCTTTTCTCAACAATCTCGAACCTCTTGGCAACACGTGCGTGATTAATTAAAATAGAAAGGAAGCTTTCTGTTCGCACAGCTTTTTCCTAATGATCTTCCCGCTTCGGTGATGTGAAGTACTGTATGTATTTTTCTCAGACTGCATTTCCCGGTCTTGTCATTACGGAGACTATTCTGTCCACAATGGTGATAGCCGCCCGCCCGGCGATGATATGGAAGAGAGAGAAGAAGAAGTTTGATTGATTTGATCGTGTGCGTGTATTTGTGGCGTACGTCTAGAGTTAGCGTGTTCTAACACCTGCCAAACTTGAACATAGTTCTTATTCTGCTAAAGTGCTTCTCTTGCAAACAAGGGTTAATTGATTGTCATGTCTACCATCTGCATCAGTGAACGTGCAACTGCTTGGCATGTTAGGTTCCTAGGCTGGGGAATACTAATTCAACTATGATCAAAAACAGCGGATCCTATCACAAGTAGAATATTTTATGGTCATCATCTGCTCTAGAGGCACAATGTATGTGGCCAACGTGCATTGCTTAATTTCGGACCTGCATTTCATTTCCTCTTTTTTCGTTTCATCATCCTTTCGATGCGGTAAAATGAATTCTCTCAGTATTTTTTCTCTCAATTTCATTCATGAAAGAGAAAATAACGTTTGCCACCTCTTTTTCGCCCACTTTTCAGACGCCACGAGAATAATTTTCAGCAAAAATACGGCATATGCGGCGGCGGCACCGTAAGGCCATCAGGGCAAATGTGCGCCTGAAAAGAAAGGAGAATGAATGAAGGGCAATTCACCCTGAAGAAAAGGGGTAGGAGAAGAAAAAGGTTCATTTCGTTCATTTACCTCATTTGGCGGAATGCCAAAATTGCGGTCAAAGAATTTAAACGTTGTCAAAGTGAAATGAGGAAATACATATATATATAAAGGACGTAAGATCTTATCGAACCCATTCCTTCCTTTTCATCAACAGCAACAACTTCTACCTTTTCTTCCTCTTCTTCTTCTCCTCCCTTTCACGGTATCCTCGCCAAAGATGGCCGTCTTACATCAATATGATTACATCTTTGCCATCGGTACAATGTTTGCCATGTTGGACGCATTCAACAATGGTGCAAACGATGTAGCCAACTCATGGGCAACTTCCGTTTCATCTCGTTCGATCAGTTATAGATGGGCGATGATTTGTGCTTTGGTGTTTGAGCTGTTAGGTGCACTTACTGTTGGTGCACGTACAGCAGACACGATCAAGAATGGTATCATTCCAAATTCTGCTTTCCAAGGTAACGCAGGTGTTCAAATGTTAGCATTCACTTGTGCTTTAGCGGGTGCTTCATCTTGGGTAATGTGGTGCACACGTCATTCAGCACACGTTTCTTCAACTTATTCTTTAATTTCAGCAGTTGCCGGTGTTGGTGTTGCTACCGTTGGTGCAAGTTCCGTTCAATGGGGTTGGAACAAAGGTAAAGGTTTGGGTGCCATCTTTGCTGGTTTGGCAATGGCTCCTTTTTGTGCTGCCGGCTTTGGTGCAATCACTTTCATGTTGATCAAAGTTGTCGTTCATATGCGCAAGAACCCTGTTCCATACGCCGTTTGGACTTCTCCTTTCTTCTTCTTGATCGCTGGTACAGTTTGTGCTCTCTCGATCGTGTACAAGGGATCTCCAAAACTTGGTTTGGACAAGAAGCCTCCATCATTCATCACTGCTGTCACAGTTGGTACAGGTGCAGGTTTGTGCTTGGCTAGTGCATTCTTCTTCCTTCCATGGTTACACTGCAAAGTCATCAAGAAAGATCAATCTTTGAAAGCATGGGAAGTTATCAAAGGTCCACTCTTGTGGTCTCGTCCTTACGCTGAAGGTGAAAACGTTGCCAAGGTTCCTGATTACAGTGTTATCCAACATGATGTCGAGCACAACGATGCTGAAACTCCAAGTGAAGATGAAAAGGACAAGATTGCCACCCTTGGTCAATTAGAAGAAGAACTTCAACCACGCAAGACTCAAAAGCAATTACAAGCCGAAGCTGATGAACGTTTCCACTCTAAGCTTCGTCTAAAGAAAGGTCCCTTGGGATGGGCAATGCGTTATTTGCACGATAACCCAATGGGACCAGGTATGATTTACGAAACCCACAACATGAAGATGTTTATCAAACGTATTCCCGCTTACATCACTGTTGCTGCTCTTTATGGTATGAATTACGATATTCACGCCGCTCAAACTGGTATCGAAGGTACACCTGAAGGAGCAAGAATGGAACGTGTTTATGCTCATGCCAAGAAATACCCAAACGAAGTCGAACACACTTATTCGTTTATCCAATTGATCACAGCTTGCACTGCCTCTTTCGCTCACGGTGCAAATGATATCGGTAACGCCGTCGCTCCATGGGCAGTCATTTACTCTGCTTGGCATACAGGTGATGCAGCCGCATCCAAATTACCAGTCGATCTATGGCAAATTGCCGTTTTGGCTCTCGTTTTGGTTTTGGGTTTCGTTACATATGGTTATAATATCATGCGTGTTATGGGTAACAAGCTTACGTATCACTCTCCATCCCGTGGTACATCTATGGAATTGGGAGCAGCAATTACAATCTTGATCTTCTCTCAATACAAATTGCCCGTTTCCACTTCAATGTGCATCACAGGTGCAACTGTTGGTGTTGGTTTGATGAACGGAACACACAAGGCAGTCAATTGGCAACGAGTTGGACTTTTGTTCATCTCTTGGGTTCTCACAATTCCAATTGCTGGTATGTTGGCTGGTTTGCCAATGGCAATCATTCTCAACGCTCCAAGATTTGGATTGTAAAGGGATCTTTTTTCAAAACTCTAGTCATGCTGTCAATCAGTTCATCTTTTGTACACATATATTTATGATTTCATAGACCCTCTCTTTTTTCATTTCAATGGGCTTTGCTACTCTATATCAATTTATGTCTTTCCTCAACTTATCACCATTTTGAAATCGTGCCGACCCCGCTTAGTAAGTTCATTGATTCGGACCATCTTCGGTGGATTTTGCGAGGAAAACCGACTTGGCGGCGGCTGTTTTGCTATTGTTATCCGCTTTGCATCCCATCCCTAGCCGAGAGAGAGCAGAGAAACTTTCTTGTAATGCGTATTCATTCGCCTAAGGAATAATAACCTGCACCAAAATACATTTTCTGACAATTTCACCGAATCAGCACCTGCATAAACGCGCAGGGTATACAAAATAGAATCCTGCTTGCCTGCCTGCCTGCTTGGCTCTATTCTTGTCCGAATCCGTTCCCGCTAACGGTTGTCAGCAGAAAAAAAAATATGGAAAAACTTTCTTTTACGCAGACAAAGTACCTACAAAAAGTGGAGCTTTTCATAAATAAAAATTTGTCATCGGAAAATTTCAATGCGATAAGGTTTCTCTTAAAATTGATCGAAATTCAACGAAAAAGCATCAGATCAGTATACCCTCAGTAAAAGATCTTCCAAATGTGGCTTAAAGAAGACGGCCTTCAAGCTGTTAATCTGATGATACACAGAATATTTTTAAAATGTCATGATAAAAAAAACGCTTACTTCCAGGGAGATAGTTGCCGAAAGCATCGGGAGATTTTTAACCACAAAAAATGTGCCGAGAAATTTGAACAATAAACGACAGAAAGAATCTTTGCATTTCTTGTCCGGATAAAGGTGAGACCGTAAACTGGGCTTAGGTGGAGCAAATTCAATCGTACTTTGCTGCTATACGTAATTTGCACTGCGGTTTCTCGTCGGTAAGATATCCCGTACCGTACAACAATGAAGTGATCGGGTAAAGGAAGGAATCGGCTTGATTCAAGTTTGTCCATTGGTAAAAATCTTTCCGTCCGTCCCTTAAATCTTGTTTGCCCCATAAACAATTCCGGTTCAACCCCACCATCATTTCCCCATACCACCCCTTGCTCGCAAAGATGGTGTTGAAGCAAACTTCAATTCACGCAAACTTCTTTCCACACGGAGAGAGATATTCAACTACTGATGTCAATGCAAACGAACAAAGTAATGACGAATCCGTAACCAATGATGGTTTCTCTACAGGTGCAAATACGCCTGCTGTGGGTACAACACCATCTCATTCAAGAAAAACCTCTTTGAAAAACAAAGAAAAGTTTGAAACCAAACCAGGTCAAGAGCAACCACAAAAGAAATCTTTCCTTCAAAAGATCGGATTGCAAAAAGCTGCTGCTGACCCAATCGATCTTCAACTTTCAGCCCATGACAAAGATAACATCATCTTGGTCGATTGGGACGGAGAAGATGATCCTACAAACCCAATGAACTGGTCCTTACGAAAGAAAAATTTGACAACAGGTATGCTGTGTATGATGTGTCTTTTCATCGGTTTAGCAACCGCAGGTTATTCATCCGGTATCACGCAAATGTGTCAAGAATTGGGCTGTTCCAATGAAATTGGTCAAGTTGGTTTGTTTTTGTTCAACGCTGCATTCTCAATCGTTCCACTTTTCTTGGGTCCTCTTTCCGAATTTGTTGGTGCACAACCAGTTTATTTGATCTGTTATGCAGGCTTTGTGATCTTCTTCATTCCTTTGGCCCTTGCCAAGAATATCGGTACCGTTTTGGTTTCACGTTTCTTATTGGGTTGCTTCGGTGCTGCTGGAACGACAATCATTCCCGGTACTTTAGCTTCAATTTGGAAAACAGAAGAACGTGGTAACAAAGTTGCACTTTTCAGTCTTGTGGCCGTTTTGGGTACCGTTGGTGCACCTTTGTATAACGGATTTATCGCTCAACAAAAAGGTTGGCGTTGGATCGAATGGGTTCAATTGATCGTCAATGGTGCTGTTTTGGTGATCGAATTAATCTTCTTACGTGAAACAAGAGGAAGTGTACTCTTAACCCGTAAAGCAAGAAAATTACGCAAGCAAACTGGTGATATGCGTTTCCGTGCTGCTGCTGAATTGGAAACACCTTCAATCAAAGCATTATTGCATGCTTCAACCACTCGTGCAGCTGTTCTCTTGGTTCGTGAACCAGTCGTGCTCTTCTTCAGTCTTTGGTTGGCATACGAATGGGCTTTGATCTTTGCCTTGTTTGCAGGTATTCCTCTCGTCTTCCAAGGTTTGCACGGTTGGGGTGAAGGTGTTGGTGGATTAGCATATATTGCTCCAATTCTCGGCACATTCGCAGCCTGGATTGTCAACTTTCATGCCACCACCCTTTACAATCGTGCTCGTGAACGTAATGGCGGTGTTCCCGTTCCTGAAGCAAGATTGTATTATGCCACTGTTGGTGCTTTAACGAGTACTGCTGGTATGTTCATCTTTGCATTCACAAGCTACCGTCACGTTCATTGGATAGGTCCAGAAGTTGGTTTGTTCCTCCTCATTGCGGGTGTCTTTTTCGTCTTTGATGCTGTTCAAAATTACCTCAGTGATTTCTATGGATCGGAATATGCATCTTCTGCTATTTCTGCTCAAGGTTTCGTTCGTAATATGATGGCAGCATCTTTCCCTTTGTTCACAACGCAAATGTTCAACAATCTTACAATTCCTTATGCAGGTTTATTGTTGGCATGTTTGTTGGCTTTGGCTTGTCCACTTCCTTTCATCTTTATTCGTTATGGTGAACGTATTCGTGCAAGTAGTAGATATGCAGTTTCAGATGAAGCTGCAGTGAAAGCAACCGAAGAAAAGATTGAAGCAGGTCAATCAAAAGATCTTGCCAACAAGCAAAAGGGTGATATCGAAAGAGGTCAAGGACCTGTTATCGGAGCACGCCGTAGTCGTAAAGCTGCATCGAGAACAAACAGCGTGAATGCTGTGCCTTCAGTTCATCAAGAGAAGGAAGTCGTAGAAAGTGAAGTGGTTAAACAATAAAAACCTTAATTCCGAAGCCACTTAAAACCAAGGACTTAATGCACGCGTCTAGTACACGTTAAGTCCGACAAATCATACAATCAAATCATTTATGTCATTATTGTACTTTTAATCATCAATCATTCCCTTCAATGAAACAATCTGCAATCTCACAAAGCATGTCTGATCACCTTGAGCCCGCAAGACCTAGCACTCCTCAACCTGCCTTTTATACAGAAGCAGGCAGACAAGACAGATATGAATCAGAGCTTCGCCAAACAAAGACGTACATGGATAAGAAGAAAGAAGGTTGTTGTTGTTTGGTGAGGGAACAAGACGAAAGCAAAAAGGAACCAGTCAATACTATAAAATGTCATTGTTCAGAAAAAGTCAATGGTATCACCGTACAACATCATAATCAATCTTGATCACATGGTATCAGAAAATAACGCGAGCCTGCAGCTTCTTATCCCAATCTGCCGCACCTTGTGGACCGGTGAAGAAGGTGAATTCTCCAGAAGGTATACGCCAACGCTGATGAACAGTATCCCAAATACTAATATCCTTCCTGCGAATGGAAAAAGTAAATTTGACGCTCTCACCGGCCCCAATCTCTTTCTTGTCAAATCCACGAAGAAGATGAGACGCTGTCATTCCGGTGCTATCTTTTGGGAAGGAAATATAAAGTTGCACTACTTCCGATGCTTTCATCTTGCCAGCATTCTTTACAGTGACGCTTGCTTCCAAAACGGTATCATAGAGCGAGCTGCCCTGGACATTTTGGTGAGGCTCAAATGCTTCATTGGTGGTGAATTCTGTCTCCTTGTCTGGCAAGAATGTTTTGTGGACCTCAAAGGATGAATAGGAGAAGCTAGCATACGACAATCCATGTCCAAATGGATATCTAGGCTTGATACCTTTTGCATCGAACCATTTCCAATCGATCAAAATGCCTTCAGAGAATGGGATTCTCGGATGGATTGTGAGATGTGGATCGGATATCGAATTGGGTAACCAATCATCCAGCTTTTTACCAATTACAAAGGGCAATCGACCTGAAGGCGATTCGTCACCAAACAAAACAGGAGTAAGACTCGCGCCACTTTCTTGACCTGGATAATAGGCGAACAGCACGGAAGTTACATTGGGATGGTCAATCCATTCTTCTACCAAAACGGGGCCAGGCGTATGGAGAACGACTATGGTCTGTTTGTTAACAGCTGCTACTCGTTTGATCAAATCATCAGCATGTTCTCGAAGAGTCAAATTGCTACGATCTTCAGTCTCTTTTCCCCTTGCATTGCCAAAAACAATCGCAACGTCGGCTTTTCTGGCAAGATCGACCGCACGCGAAGCACGATCAGCAGTACTTATCGAAAAATGTTTTCCTCGAGAACTTTGAATAGTGACTTGCGGTGCATTTGCTTTAACATAAGACTTGATTGCATCCAAAGGATTGATGATGTATGGAGGATAGGCAAATGCTGATCCTTGACCATCCGTTTGGGTTCCTTGATCATACAAAATGTCATCACATTCGTTGTTTGGGTTGCATGATTTTCCGCGATCTGTGGACCCGTGAGCATCACTACCTAGAATCGCAATCGTGGCTTTCTTTTCATTCAATTTTGCTTTGCTCAACGGTAGGACATTTCTTTCATTCTTCACCATTGTAATCGATTCGCTTCCAATTTTCCTGATGACTTTGAAATGGTCTCTTTGCACTTTACTGCCAAGATCATTCGAAACTGGGGTACCTACAATGCCATATGCATTATGAATCTTTGGCGTGATGAAGTTTTGAAACTTGGAGGTATATTGAAAGCGCAAGATTGGGGTCAAAATGCGTTTGACTATGTCATCGATTCGTTCAATTTTCACTTTTCCGGAATTGACTGCATCTTTCAGCTTTTCTCCATGAGCACCTCTGTAATTTGGATAGATGCCAAACTGACCTTCACCGGGCATCAACAAATCCAAACCATTATTTGTTGCCTCTTCATTGGAGTATGCTGCACCGTAATCACTCACGACATTACCGCGGAAGTTCAGCTCATGTTTGAGCAAGCCATTGAGAGATGCATCATTCTGGCATTGTTGCGTGCCATTAACACGGTTGTAAGAGCACATCACTTGACCTGTGCCTGCTCTTGCTGTTTCTGCGAATGACCACATGTACAATTGATGCATGGTGAAATCATCAATGTCAGACGAATATGGCTTTTGTGTTTGCGGCAAAAGTGTGTTCATATTTCGATCGCTTTCTTGTTCATATCCTATAAAGTGTTTCGTGCAAGCTACCACATTTGCATCTTCTTGAAGTGCCTTGACAATCTGCGATCCCAAAACTCCTGTCAAGTATTCATCCGCACCCAGTGACTCCCAAAATCTTCCAGCAAGAGGAGACCTGCCGAGGGGACCACCTGCAACAGGAGCAAAGATGAAGTTCACACCAGAATCATGGAATTCTTGTCCCAAAGCCAAACCGTGTTGAGAAGCCAATTGTGGGCTCCATGTTGCCGCCAAAGTGATTGGAGATGCAAATTGTGAGACATTATACGTTACTGAAATACCTGTTGGACCATCAGAAAGACAGAATGATGGAATACCCAAACGAGGAACGCTACCAGTCATTCCAGTGCAAAATTCTTGATCGATCCCGACTGTCATATTCACCTTTTCGTCCAAAGTCATCATTCCGATCAACTTTTTCGCTTCACTTTCCGCTTCTGTCCAAGTCGTATAGCCACCTTGGCGATGTCCTGTATCTGCATCGGCTTGACGCTTTTGAAGGTCGAGTGCTGGGCTGAATTCAACATTTTCTCTTTGACTAAACTCGATGCCGAAGTCCAGGTCAAGAAGAGATCTTGCTTGGACAAGTAGTGAACAGCTGATGAGGATGAAGAGCTTTTGGACTAAGTTGCTGGTGTACATCTCAATCTATAGTGTTCAAGTGATCGTGAGAGAGAGAGATACTGCTAAGACATACCTCGACTTATATGAGTAGATGTACTCAATATCATGTCTGTTTATCGCAATAAGAATGCGCACGCAAATGGATCAATGGATGTACGCAAATGAAGATTGATTGCCTCGGAACACCTGTGTACGATACGCGGAAGAAGGGATAGACAGGGATGAAATTAATCTCGGTCATCCGAAATTAGGATAAATGCATGCTTGTCTTTTTTTACAAGGAAATCCGTGTTTGTAACTTTTCATTCCAATTTGCTGCTCCTTCTGGACCGACAAAAAAGGTAAATTGACCAGAGGGGATCCGCCATTTTTGTTGGATGACATCCCAAACGCTAATGTCTTTTCTTCGGATTGCAAATGTTACAGTGGTATTCTCGCTTGGTTTGATTTCTTTCTTGACAAATCCTCGAAGTAGATGGGGCGCTATTTGTATTTCATTTCGATCAGGAAGTGAGACAAAAAGCTGTACTACTTCCATTGCTTTCATGGAGCCGGTATTGCGTACATTTACCGCAACATGCAAAATAGTATCATAGAGCGATTCGCCTTGTATGCTTTCGTGAGGGGTAAATACTTCATTTGTTGCAAATTCTGTGTTGGTGTCAGCGACAAATGTATGCTCAACGGAAAGGTGATCATACGAAAAGCTTGCAAATGATAGCCCAAAGCCGAAAGGGAATCTTGGCGTGATTTTGTTCGAATCAAGCCACTTCCAGTCGATCAAGGAACCTTCTTTGAATTCAATTTGTGGATCTAGCGTCCAGGGTTGATCGGATATGGAGTTGGGCAGCCAATCATCTAGCATCACACTCACACTAGCAGACAAAAGAAAAAAGAGAGTATGAGTACATTGCATATATATGTGTGTGCTATAGCTAGTTCTAGGGAAATGAAACAAAGATAGAATAGAAACGATTTTTCGAATCAAAATTTGACAGCACGAAACATGAGTGTACAGGGCAAGTAGCGAGAAGAGGAGAGAAGAAAAAGAAAAAGAAAAAGACGTATAGAATCTTGAAAAGAACTACTACTGATGTACAATTAAATGAGATCTAGAGGTTGGTTGTGTGGATTTTTGTTTGGGTTGCGAATCGAGAAGATACAATTTTTGGGAAAAGGTCCTGGCAAGGCTTCATTCAATTCTCAGGCAACCTTTTCGCCTGAGCTTCTTGAACAACTTGTCGCATCGTGCTCAACAAATCACGACTTTTCAATGGCTTACTGCAATAACCATCCATACCAGCAGCAATGCACCTTTCTCGATCTCCCAACATGGCATGTGCAGTTAAGGCAATAATCGGAACACGTTGTATCGATCCTTGTTGAGCGCTCAACTCTTTTTCAAATTCACGAATCAATCGAGTTGCTTCAATACCACCCATAACCGGCATGCTAACATCCATCAAAACGACGTCATAATTGCGTTCACGAACTTTTTGCAATGCCAGCTCACCATTATCAACAACTTCGACACGATGTCCTTGATTTGTCAAAATCTTGCGTGCCAATTTCTGGTTGACCAAGTTGTCTTCGGCAAGCAGAATATCGTAAACGATCTCGTTTTGACCTTCGGTAGGGACGCTTGCAGAGCTTTCGAGGGATGGTAACAGGGCGTAATACAAATCACACAATTCTGTGGGTGTATTGATATAACTTGAGATACCATAGTCCAAACACTGAGTGAGGTTGAGCACTAGCGGAGTAGGCGAGACAAGATTGATCGGAATGTATCGCAAATGGTCCAAGCTACGAATATCCTCAACAATCGATAAGCTATCGGCAACGATTGCGTCAATTCTTCCGATCCGTCTCCTTTGTGCAGAAGCCTCTTCGATCGAATGAACTGCTGTTACGCGCAAGCCAAGTTCCTCCAATTTATCACGAATACCTGTTTGATCGTGCAATGTATCAAGGTAGAACACAGTACGACCTTGGTATGGCCGCATCTTCTCTCGAACTTGAACGGTATCGAATCCGTCATCCAATTTGACAAGCATGGTAAAGAAGAAATCACTTCCTTCACCATAGCGACTTCGAACCCATAAATCACCACCCATCAAATTCACAAGTCGTCGTGAAATCGACAATCCAAGACCGGTACCACCATACTTGCGAGTCGTGCTTCCATCAGCTTGACAGAAAGTATCAAAGATCACGTCAAGCTTATCTTGTTTAATACCGATACCACTATCACTTGCACAGAATTCCAACATCGCTTGTGAAGGGGATGCCATCGATTTCAATGCGCATTTCAACGTAACTCTTCCGCCTGCTTCAGTGAATTTGATTGCATTTCCGATCAAGTTCGTAATAATTTGTTTGAGACGCAAAGCATCACCCACCAAAGGATCAGGACAATCTGGTGCAACTTCGTACAACAAATTGAGCCTCTTTTGTGTAGCACGAACAGACAATGTCTTCAAGACGCTGAACACGATTCCGCGAAGTGAGAATGGAATCTCTTCAACATTCATCCGTCCTGCTTCAATCTTGGAAATATCCAAAATATCATCAATGATCGCTAACAAATTTCCTGCAAGTGTGCTGACGGTAACCAAGTTTTCACGTTGAGATCTCGACAATTCGGTTTCCAAAGTCAAAGCAGTCATACCGATAATACCGTTCATCGGCGTACGAATTTCGTGAGACATGTTTGCCAAGAATTCGGACTTACTCCTATTTGCCAATTCGGCTGCCTCTCTTGCAGCAGTGTTCTTTTGAATCGAATCACGTAGACTGTAAACCATTTGGTTGATCTTGGTCTTGAGAGAATCCATTTCACCAGATGCTTCAACAGTGACAAATCTGGTAAAGTCACCATCAGTGGCAGCGGCAGTAATCTGTGCAAATGCACGCACTTGAGATGTCAAATTGTTGGCCATAATGTTGACGTTATCGGTAATTTCACCCCAAATTCCTTCAACATCCTTCTTTTGTGCTTGAACGCCTAATTTACCTTCTGTTCCCACCTCACGAGCCACACGAGTCACTTCAGAAGCGAAGAAGCTCAGTTGGTCAATCATATTGTTGATCGTATTGACCAAATCCAACATCTCTCCCGAAACGTGAATTGTGACCTTTTGGGTCAAGTCACCACGTGCGACAGCAGTTGTTGCATAGGCGATCGTACGCACTTGTAATGTCAAATTGGCAGCCATAGTATTGACGGAATCCGTTAAATCTTTCCAAGTACCACCAACTCCCAACACATTTGCTCTTCCACCCAATTTTCCTTCTGTACCGACTTCTTTGGCCACCCTTGTGACTTCTGTAGAGAACGTACGCAAAGATTCCACCATGTTATTCACCGTCAATTTCAAATCCAAAAATTCACCGCGAACTTCAACGTTGATCGTCTTGGAAAGATCACCACGTGCTACAGCCGTTGTAACGGTTGCAATCGAACGTACCTGCGTTGTCAGGTTACTTGCCATCATGTTGACACGTTCGGTCAAAACTTGCCATTGACCTTTCACGCCTGCAACGTTGGCTTGACCGCCTAGTCTACCTTCTGTTCCTACTTCGACCGATACACGAATGATTTCATCGGACAATGTCTTCAATTGCCGAACCATGTTATTGACCGTCATCTTTAGATCAAGTATTTCACCCTTGACGTCCACTGTGATGAATTCGGTCAAGACACCTTCAGCGACACACTTTGTGACACGTGCAATCTCTCGTACTTGTGATGTTAGATTATCGGCCATCTTGTTCACATTGTCTGTCAGATTCTTCCATGTTCCCTTGACATTAGGGACAACGGCTTGACCTCCCAACTTTCCATGTGTTCCTACTTCCATTGACATTCGCACCACTTCACTTGCAAAGATTCGCAATTGTCCCACCATGGAATTGACGGTATCCTTCAATTGTGCCATCTCACCTTCGGCTTCGATATCGATCGTCTTTGTTAGGTCACCTTTTGCTACTGCAGTTGTCACCATACCAATAGAACGCACTTGCTCTGTTAGATTAGAACACATTCTGTTCACATTGATCGTCAACTCTTCCCAAACACCTTGTACACCAGGTACATCGGCTTGACCACCCAATTGACCTTGACTACCTACTTCACGAGAGACACGAGTGACTTCGTTGGCAAATTGTTTCAATTGATCCACCATCACATTGATTGTAACTTTGAGTTCAAGAATTTCACCATCTGCTTGCACATCAATCTTCTTTGACAAATCACCACGTGCGACTGCTTTTGTCACCAAGGCAACTCCGCGCACTTGATTGGTCAAATTTTCTGCCAAACGGTTCACCACATCCTTCAATTCTTTCCATCTTCCTTCCACACCTTCTACTTCAACTTGACCGCCCAATTTTCCTTGCGTTCCTACTTCTAGCGATACACGGGTCACTTCAGCTGCGAAAGTTGACAATCTGTCCACCATTTGATTGATGATATCCTTTAGTTCAACCATCACATGACCCTGTACAGGAACGGTAATATGTTGTGAAAGATCTCCGAAAGCGACAGCCTTACATACTCTTGCGATATCTTGAACTTGCGCTTTAAGCAAGCGTAATTCTTCTTGCGCACTCAAACCACTTTCATCGCTATAACGTTCAAAAGCACCCATCGCACCTTCTGGCGTTTCGGTTGCTTCTCCTTCATCAGGTGTTGCAGGGGTCAAAAGTACCGGACCAGAACTATCAAAGCCTAGCGGATAGGAGAGCGGATAAGAAGAACTTTGAGGATGTGCCTGACTGACAGGATATGGCAGTGTGGCGCGTTTATCAGTCCGACTGGTTTGTTGTTTTACCAATGCCAATTGATCTTCTGCGCTCCATAATCGTTCGACAAGCTTTCCAATGTTGGCCTCTATCTGCTCTGCCCTTTTGTCACCTTTTTCGAAATGGAAGCGAGGTAAAGGCAGATTGAGTAGACTGTGTCCGTTTTCTTTCGTGTCTGATTCGAGAGGAGTTGGCTCAGGTACGGTACCCAAAGCAGCTATCTTTGAAGACACACTGTTGAGAGCGCCTCCATTGGATGAGTGACTGGCTTGGCCGTTGTTGTTTGTGGTACCATTGTTAGCGAAAGAACTTTGTGATTGGAATTGCTGCTGAGGTACAACTGTTGGCTGTTTGGCATCAACGATTGCTTGTGTTAGCAATAGCAGGTGATCGATGAAATCTTTTGGCCATTGATCTGCTTCAGGCAAGACTGTCGATGTGGATCTGGAAGCTCTTGATAATCCGCCTGTGGAATTGTATGCAGCCGAAGCCATTGCGGCTGATGCTGCGTTTGGATTGAGAGAATGAACGGCGGCCGACATGATTCACAATTGATCGTTGTAGTGCTGCAGAAGCAGGACCGGAGGAGATGATGTGTTGAGAGAGATGATGGAGCGTGATGTGAAGCTCTGTTTGAAGAGAAAGATGATAGTTTGACTTGCTTCGAGTTGCTTTTGTGAAGAATGATGGATTAGTAAAGGCTGTACGCAGTCCACTCGGACGTGGAATGATGTGATTTAGACAGTTGACTCGGAAGTGGTAGAGGCGTGTGTTTCGTTAGTTTGATTTGTGGTAACTCGCTTTAACGTAAATGAGAAAGGATGAGAGTAAGTTGTGCCTTTTTCAAGAATGAAATGACAAAAATCCGCCCATCCAGATCGAAAGAAAGAGTAAATGAAGATGAAGAGAAAGCGTGATAACGCGTTGATTGAAATCACTCTTGATCTCTCTTACACATCCGATCGATAACGGTTGAGGAATTTTGGTGTTTGAGACTACCTCCTATGATCGTGGAGGAAGAGTGTTTGTGGTATGAACGAAGCAATGAACAAAAGCAAACCAACTCAAAAGACAAGGTTAAAAGTTGTTAAAGTGTGATGAATACAAAAAAAGACTGTTAAAGTGCAGCAATAGTATTGATACGGTAAGGTATATATATCACCCTGTTTTAGCGCACCAATCAATGGTCTATTTTTATGCTCTCTACACACACACACACACACACCCTCGTCATGCGATGCTTCATTCATTATTCGGCAACTTTTACAGTATCAGATCAGTCGCGTATATATTTCGCGTATTTGAATTGCGCGGGCACTGGCAATAAGCTCTAATTTTTGAATTAGTGTGCACGTCCAAACACAGGCCCATAGCCCCGATCACATCACACCGAGTTAAAAACACAGGAAAGGGAATAAGCATACAATTGTACACATGTTGCATTGATTATCATCATTGAATGTTCCTTCCTATAAGCGACAAACCAATGAGAAAGCAAAATCCCTAGAATGTACAGCGTACGGACTTCTAAACTCACAGGGTCATGCGGCGGCGCATGAAATTGATCTTGAGTGTTCCATCTAATCTGTCATTTCTCTCCTCTGCTTAAAAGCTTAAAATTGTGATCTAAACGAGAAAGTATGCATTCTTATACGCGCGTGTCTTTTCCGACTTTTGTTGCCTGCAGGGTGCACCAATTATTATTTTTATGATTACGTCTTTCGTCTCGGAATTGCGGGGACTTTATCACACTTAATCTCACGGCTTTTGCTTCTGTAACAGAAAACAGCAAAACAAGAAACGAAGTTATGGTAAAATACAAGGTGAAGGCGGACAAGTCCATGAGATTGGAAAACATTGTATAAAAGTACAAAATGAATTAAAATACAAATCACAATTCAGTCATGCAAGATTTGAAGAAAGATTTAATGCATAATACCTGGCAGGATGAACACCTTCATCCACCCACAATAATCCATCACCAATTGACATACCAAACAAAACAGCACTTGCACGATCAATTGACCATCTTGTCTTATTGACAGATGTGTTTTCCCGTACGAGATCATCTTGTGTAATATAAGCTTGACCAAGAGCATCTGTCGGTAAGTTGGATACAGTGATTGACAAACTAAGCAGAGACATTACAACCGTACTGTCTACATCCAACTCTTTCGGCACGCTTCGAACCATCTTTTCTCCATTGGCCAAATTAATCACTTCATATCCGCTTCCTAAAGGTTTGAGTAACTTGATCGATTGAATAACATCGTTCTCCGTCACAGAGCCAACAATTGAATCAGCTGATTTGCCTGCGTCCGTACTTCGACCTAATCGCATCTGATTCAATGATCGTATGAGTTGTTTCATATCAATATATCCTCCATTACTTTCTCGCGTAGAAACGCAAACATCAATGATTTGAATGCTAAGTTCGTTTTGAAAATCACTTAAACCCAAAAAGTCATTCCATAATCCTGCCAATTTACCCGTAGCAGATCCAGCTGATCCTGTTCCTCTTTGTAATGCTGTAGCAGCCATTGATTTTGGTGGTCCTCCTGCTAATGGATCCACACCAATATTTGCACACATTTGTTGAAATGCATGTCTGAAATTCGCATCCCTTACAATGTCCTTTCGATGTTGTTGTGCAAATTGTCTAAGTGCATTGGAAAATACGTCTAATTGATTGCGTAATTCGTTCACTTGTGAAGCTGTCAATTCGGATCCCAAGGTGGAAAATTGTGCTGAAGAGTGCAGAGATCTGTCCAGAGCTGCTAGCCCAGGACCTCCTCTTCTCATTATGATAAGCTGATAGAGAGAATGCGAGGGGATGACCCCATTGATGATGGAAGTAACGCAAAAGATAAGATGTTAGGATGAAGTTGTCTTGGGGGTGGAGGCGTAGGCACAGTACACGTGACGCGTCAATCCAGAACATTGACAATTAAGGCACACAAGCCAATACAAACGTCAATGCCTCTGACTACCACCATCCACTCGCATCACAATCAAACATGGCTGAATTCGTCAATACTTCCAATTCAGAATTGGATGAACAGCAAATTCGACTAAAAGAAGAATTTCAAATCAGTCAAGGACCCTTATCAGTTTTACAAAGTTCCGTTCGAAACAATACAAAGATTTTGATCGCTTTACGAAATAATAAAAAGCTTTTGGGAAGAGTAAAGGCTTTTGATAGACATAGTAATATGGTCTTGGAAAACGTAAAGGAAATGTGGACTGAAGTGCCAAAAAGCAAGAATCGCAAACCGGTCAACAAAGATCGGTTCATCCCAAAGATGTTCTTGAGAGGTGATTCGGTTGTGCTAGGTGAGTAGAGATGGCAGAGATGAATTTGATCGCATACTGACAACATTTACCCTCTTTTGCAGTCTTGCGCAACACCTCATAGTCAACTTTGATACCCAGTCATTCGGCGAATATCGCTGTTTCAACGCAACTGTACAACTTGTATTCTATTCAATCAATCTCATCTGCCTCACAATAAAATGCTCGACTGAAGCGATCCTAAGTCACGACTGTATCTGCACACACGCGCCGTTTGAGAGTAGAAAGAGGATTCTATTGAATAGGTATGGTAGGTGAAAGAAATGTCGAAAGTTATGAAAATGTGAAGAATGGAATGAAGGTGTGAAATGGATGTATATATATGTATAGTGTTCTGATGAAGTAAAACGATTTCTTTTTTCATCGTTTGTCGCGGATTATCAAAATGTGTATCCCCTCTCGCCAGCAGAAGGAGCGTATGTAAACTTTCTCAACATTTCCTTGACAATCAATCATCAGGATTGACAAGATGCAAATTCTTTTGTTGTTGAATCGAATCGGCCGAACGAGCAGGACTTTCACGTTCGTACGGTAAACAAACATCTTCTTCACTCTTATTTGCTGCTTGAACTAATTTACCTGATTCTCTACGTTGAAGAGTTGGTGATGTGATTGATGATTGCTGCTTGTGCGTTGTATTTGCTTGACTTGAGCCGGAATTCGACGGTCCCATCGCTGCGCCTCCTGCCATACGACCACTCATACTTTCACCTCCTCCGCCTCCATACGAGACCACTGTTGCCGTACCAGAGGCATTTCTACTCAAAGTAGCTGCTTGAGCTGCAGTCACTTCACTTACTGGACTTGTGGGTAAGCTATGAGTGGACACATTTTGCGGATTGGGTCTTTGTGCGACTGGTGCAAGTGTAGGTGGCATATTGGGGTAATTGTAGTTTTGATATGGATTCTCACCAGGGTTACCGTAAGGACCTTGAGGACCACCTGGTCCGCCATGTCCGATGCTTCCATTTCCACCACCGCCACGATAGGCAACTGGTCCCATCTCAGGAGATGTATGAGGCGAATACATGTTGAAACCAGCCGGTGTATTTTGTTGGTAAGCAGCATTATAGTAACCGTGATAATTTGGATCATAACCACCTTGGTTCATGTATTCGGCGCCATTTCCACCCATTTGCCCACCTTGCCATTGTTGTTGACGCGGGTTACCATCCAAATGACCATACAAAGTCATTCCGCCTTGACCGACATCTTGCATTTGGTATGCCTCTGGGTTTGTCAACATGCCTGCACTACTGTTCATACGTTTCATTGCTGTTTCGTCATCTTCTTCGCCAACGCCTGCTCTTGGAGTGCGGAAGATTGAATCATTTTGATTATCATCGTTTGCTTCATGATTATCAGGCTTGAAAGATAACCAGTCCACTTCTTGCTTACGCTTGGCTCTGGCACGAACGGGCAACAAAATCAACCAAATTAAAACGATCAATCCTACCAAACCACCTGCAAGACCACCAATAATAGCACCAACATTAGGTCCCGAACTTTGTTCGCTAGGATGGCTCATTGTGCCACTGGGTACACTTGTAGGGGCTGGATAAACTGGAATTGTACTAGTAACGATAACAACTTGTCCATTTGAAGTGATGCTAGTCACATGCGTTGAAGAAGGCAAAGCTGAAGATGATGTACTCGTTGGAGGTGGCATACTGGTCATTGTACTTGTAGCACTAGTCATCGTGCTTGTTGGTCTCATTGACGATGTGCTTGTAGGTGCATATGAAGAAGAAGAAGACGTGTGCTCAACGGGAACATTATTCGAAGGTTGCTTTTCTTGTGTTCCACCGCTGGTCGAAGAACTTCCACTATTCAATCCACCCGAATTGCTTCCACCAGAGTTGCTTCCACCCGAATTGCTTCCACTAGAGCTACTTCCACCACTACTGCTCTCACCACCACCACTACCTGTTCCAGTTGTGGATCCAGTGGTACCACTTCCACTATTACCAGCCGCATTTCCCGAAAAGAATGTACCACCCGAGCTGCTTTGAGAGGAAGAAGAAGGAGTTTCAGATTCGCTGTTTCCGAATAGGTTGCCTAAAGGCGATCTTGGTTCCAATTCAGCGAAAGCAGAGCTACGTTTGAGGTGCTTTGCGTGAGCGGAAAGCATTTTTGCAATATTGCTCAAAGATGATGACAACGATGAATGTTATGGCAGAGAGTGTAGAAGAATAAGGGAAGAGGAGAAAAGGTTCCGTTCATAAAAGGAAAATGCTCTTGTAAAAGAGGTATTTCGATCAAATGAAGAACGTTTACAGCCTGTATTATGCAATCCTTGGCTCCTCAGTAGCCAGATGATGCATAGACAGTCGTCAACGGATCCGCTGAAGCGAGCGCGAAAAGCACTTCAACAGCCAAAATGGTTTATTTCAGGGCGTTTATCCCTCAAGAAAGAGAAAGGGCGCATCATTGAGCGGAATGACGAGCTGAATTTCATCTGAAGGCAAATGAATAGAAAGGGTGAAGCCTATACCAAAATACGGATGACCGTCTTTGTCACGCGGAGGGAAAATGAATTGTATCACTCCTGTATGTATATTCGCGCCCTATTCGCTTGTACAAAGCGGTAGGGATGCGATTTGAGGCCACTGCCATGACTGTAGCAGGAGGCAAACAGTCGTCATCTTGACTGAGTTGTTCACGCCTTCCGGCATATATGTCCCTGTACCCGACACTCCCATTTCATATACGCATACCCTTGCCCCGTTTCGGTCCTTCATCAACAACAGGGGAAATAAAGAAAAGATTATTGAAACTTACCTATCAGGAGATGATGCATCAGGGGTGGATGAAGAGGAGGTATCTTGCTTACCTGATTGTGGTTGATCAGCTTTGAATACATTATTTGAAGTTTGACTTGACTGTTGACCTGTCTGTTGACCGGCTTGTTGACTTGAATCTTGACCCGTTTGTGAATCGGATGATTGCGTACTTGGCTGATCACCTAGAGCTCTCTTTTGCATTCTTGATAGGTGATGTTTCCCGTTGGGAACAGCCCTTGCAAAAAGAGTCATTGTGATGGGGAAAAAGAGTGTGAAAAGTTCAATGAATACAGTTGATGGAAAAGAGAAAAGAAATTAAAATTGAGTTGTTGATAATGAATAAGGTTGAAAGGGTTGTTATGTGAACCCTACAAATTCTAAAGCTCTCTTATGTTATGAATAATCTATTTTTGATCACTGGCGCAGTACAATACATTATATTTAATATATATCGCATAAATTGTTGTTGTTCGGACCTTGTGGTCCATTATTCCTCGGATCAAACTCTTGCACATCCATTGACACACGTAAAGTAGGCGTAATACAAGAAATGGCAAGATGAAATCATTCACGCTTTCTTCCGTTATGTTTTGATTAATAGCGAGCAAATCACATTTAAAGCCAAGTCAATAATTTATATTTTTCGGCGTACTTCACCGAGAGAGTTACAATCTACTGGTCTTCTTCTGCGGCGGCTTCACTTCTTTCTTTGCTGCATTCACCAACAAATTTCCAGCTTTCTTGCCCGTTTGATTAATGATCAAATGACCATGATGAGGATCGCCAGGTTGAGAAGGTTTTAGTTTCAATTGTGCATTTGGACCTTCGTTTGCCGTATCACGATAAAACGTTCCTGAAACAACGGCAGAATGATCTTTACGTTTTTGAACTGCATTCACACATGCAATATGAACACCATCACATACTTCAAGTCTAGGAGATTTAGTGAATGCTTCTCGAACGCCATTTGCTAGCCTGTACGCCAACTTTGGGTGCTTTTGATGTGCTTCTGATTTGACAATTGGTAGTGCATGATCAAGATACTTGTTGAAATGATCACGTAATGGTCGCTTGTCTTTTGGCTGTTGAGCTTCATCAAATCGAGCTTGATTGATCAAATGCTGTAATGGCTTACCAGCATGCTGACTATCATGAGCACCTGGATGCAAATGAGGAATATTGCCACCTTGTCTATGCGGACCGAGATAATTTTCGGCTTTTTCTAGAGATCTCTGATGAAATGGATCTTTTTTGGCAGCTTCAAGGTGATTGGCTGGATATACATTCTTCAACTTTTTGTATGGCTGCGTTGAGCCTCCTTGATCGTTGAAAGTCACCGGTGTAGCCGATAACAGAAGATCAGCCTTAGGATGATTGGCCTTAATACGCGAGTTCAAGCTACCCCAGTGCTTCAATTCAGGTTCTCTATTCGTACCCGAGTGTAAGTTTGAATTATACCCACTAAGGTGATGAACAGTACGCAATTTAATGTCTTTGTTATCTGCCAACTTATTCATATGATGTTCTTGTGAGGGAGCAATATGATAAACGTCTACCTTGGTGCCTTTTCCGAGCCTCTGAGCTAAGTGAGTGTCCGCATCGTACCTGACCGGCTTAGGTGTACCTTGAAAATTTTTTTCATGGGTATCTTCAACTTTATTGTCGAGAACATTTTTGCCTCCGCTATAATAACGAATCCTTGTTCTTCCTCGATCGATTCCTCTTTGTTTCATAAAGTCTTGCAAATGACTGTGTGCACCTTCATGATCGCTGATACCCGTGCCTACCACATGCATTTTAGAATACTTTCCAGATCGTGCAAGATGATCGATCGCTGTCGTATCATCAAGCTTCAAATCGGAAAATACGACCGCATGTCCTGAAGGATTGTGCAAATTTGCTTTTGCGGGAGTTTGTGGTGAGACTGGATCTTCACTCTTTCTCTTTCTGGATTTAGAGGTAGTGGAAGCAGGAGTAGAGTTCTCCGGCTGCGACGTTTGGGATTGTTCTTCTCTCGAAAAGGCTGGCAGGGCCATCACACTACTCGAGGGAAGCATGGAGAGCACAAACACAAAGCAAAAGAAGCCTGACAGACTAGATTTCAGACACAAGCCTTTCATCGTGAAGTATATTCTGTTGTTATTGTTGCAAATTGTCACAATAAGGTTTATCGTTAGATTAAAGTTTGTTATCCTCTGGTCTTTTATATCTTTACACATTAGCACAGCAACGGAAAGGCAACACTGAATCACATTCATAAGATGCTCAAATGCAGAATATGCTTTCAACAAATACAATCTGGTCTTGTGATATGACAAAGCAATCCGATGAAGCCAGTTTACTGCCCAACTCGGAGACTAATTATACGCTTGCATTGCAGTGCTAATGCGAATAAATGCGGTGATATTTAGCCAGAGTGAAGCTGTTATGGTGGTACTTTTCAAGAGTGGTCTTACAAGTTGAAATTGACATTGCTCACTTTTACAAGAACGACCCGAGCAGTTAAGTTGCTTCGGGGATGCTCAGAATAAGCCAAAGTCAGATAAGCGTTCATGAGCAAGTCAATTCTTTTTCCTTCTTGAGCCGGCTGAGAGTGTATAGCACTTAAGTAAGTCAATATCACCGCATACATTCATGATAGCATGTATTCCAATGCAATTAAAGATAGTGAAAGCAATGAAAAATGATTATGAACCAATCATCGCTATTTTCTTTGAAAGAGGCGCACCATGTTTATCGGGAGATGAATAAACCTGTGAAAAGCAGTACGACCGATTCCTGACAGCAGAGTGGGGAGCAAGATGAACTTTAACACAGCTTATCTCATTCACAATGATAGCAATACCACGTGAATTGACTTTACAATGAGCCCGTGTTGATCGGATGAGCGTTATGAATGACGTCTTTAATCTGTGTTTTGATTGACGCCAAGACTTAAAATTCGGTTTATTGAAATCCGTTTTTTATTGGCTAGCGTACGCAGGAACCGGGATATAAAATCGCGCTCGAGCAAGCGAAAGCAGTGCACACACAAGCAGGCACACATGCATGCACTGGCTGCTCTGCCTTGCGCCTTAATGTTTGTATGCACAGACTGTGGCGCAAATGCAATACAATTTACAGCGTGTACGGTACTGTACCTTGACACGCAATTCCGACGAAATAAACAAAAATTAAGCTAAAAAAGAAGTTTGACACATGAAATCTTATTTTTATCGTAATCGGCTTTCTAAAGGACCGAAGCAAGTATGGGTAAGGATCTGGGTAATAAAACAAGCACAGAATAATAAGAAAGATTCTTACAGGAACCCGTCCTTCATATGCACGTCATTAAACACTCCGAAAGAAAGAGGAGCTCTTACATCATATGTACTTCACTCGTTTTCGGAGTTGTTTGTACGAATGCATGACAAAATGAATTCAAAGGAGGACTCCCTTTTCCCTTTCTTGAACCAAATGAAAGGTAACACAAGGTGAGGAGAAGAATTATATTAGGGCTAGGTATGACACAATAACAAGGAGCGGCCTCCGTCGGGGTATAGGAGATCTGGAAAAAGGTATAAAAGTGATGCTAAATCGAGTTCAACTCCGATCATATCTCCATCACATCCGCTACTCGTATTCAGGATGAGATACTCTTTGACATTCGCTCTTCTTGTTAGCAGTTTGAGTGTAGCCCTCAAGATACACGCAGCACCCGTATCTGAACATGAATGGCCAGAACTTGTACAAAGACAAGCAGGTACAATCCTCACCGATCCATCCAGCTTGAGCGGTCAATCATTCGATATCGTCATCGTTGGTGGTGGATTGACAGGTGCTGTTGCCGCATCACGCTTGTCGGCAAACAGTGCTAAGAAAATCCTATTGGTAGAAGCAGGACGCGATTCACGTAATGATGACAAGATCAAATCATTCAGTGCATACACTCAAGCATTCGGCGATAACAAATATGATTGGGATTTCAAAACTGAACCTCAACCACTTTCAAACAATAAGCAATATCCAATGCATCAAGGTAAAGGCTTAGGTGGAAGTACGAGTATCAACGGAGGCGCATTCACCCTTCCTCCCGCTTCACAAATTGATGCCCTCGGGGAGTTGGGTAATGATGGCTGGAGTTGGGACACATTAAAGCAATACAATATCAAATTTCAAAATTACAAACAACCAACTGCAGATCAAGTGAACAAATTGAAAGTCAAAGTTGATGCGAGCGCTCACGGAACAAATGGTCCGGTCACGATTGGTTTCAGTGATCAGATGTATTTAGGTCCACAAGAAGACCTCTTTATTCAAGCACAAAAGGAAGCATTCAATGCACCCGCATTTGTTGATTTGGGAACGGGAAATGCTGGAGGTGGTTCTGGAATGATTCCACAATACACCATTCCTGATTCAGGCGCACAACGCTTGCGTGTTAGTTCTGCAACTGCCTATTTGACTGAAGATGTTGAGAAACGTTCAAACTTGGTCATCTTGACAAAGACAAGAGCAACAAAAATACTCTACGCAAGTGGAAGTCATGGAGATGCTCAAGCATCAGGTGTTCAATTGCAATCCGGCAAAGACGGACAAAAGTATAAAGTCAACGCAAAGAATGTCATCGTGGCTGCTGGAGCGATCCGAACACCAGTCTTTTTGGAACAATCAGGTATCGGTGATAAATCGATCGTGTCTGGGCTTGGTGTCACTTCAAGAGTTGATCTTCCAGGTGTGGGTAGAAATCTATGTGAACAACAAAAGAATAACGTCAATTCTGGAAAGGCAACACAAGACCTTGGCGCTCAAAGTGGTAGTCCATCTTCGGCAATTTCACTCAATACTATCAACCAGATCATGAAAGGTAATTCAAGCGACGTTCGTTCGTATATCGAGAGTAACATCGATCAATGGGCTCAACAAGCAGTCGATGCAGGCGCTTCAGCAAGTAAGGATGGTCTGGTTAGTCAATACAAACTCATGGTCAAGGGTATCTTTGAAGAACAATGGCCTGTGTCAGAGACATTCTTCATCACCCTTGGCGACTCTTTCATGCAACAGATGTGGGCTTTGTTAAGCTTCTCTCGTGGTTATGTTCACGCCACCTCAAGTAATACATGGGATGCACCTAAGCTCAACCCACGTTATTGGTCTGCACCGATTGATATGGACATTCAAGTAGCGGCAAATCGTGGAGCACGAAGAATCTTCAACACAAATGCAATGAAGTCCGATTTGCAAAGTGCGGAATCTATGCCTGGATATGACAAAATTCCACAAACATCCGACCAAGGTGATTACAACCAGTGGAGAGACTACATCTTGAACGGGTTTGAAAGTGTTTGGCATCCGATCGGAACGGCAGCAATGATGCCGCGTAATTTAGGAGGAGTGGTAGATTCTCAATTCAAAGTGTATGGAACAAGTAACATCTTTGTGATTGATTCAAGTATTTTGCCTATGCAACTTTCTACCCATCTCTCCTCTACGTTGTACGCGATCGCAGAACGCGCAGCCGACATTCTTGGCAAGCTTTGAACGGTCTCCTAGCTTTCATTGTATTTTTAGGACATTGATCCCCCTGTATCATTCAGAGAAATCTACTTCATTTCCAAAATTGTCGTGCTATTTGAAGTGATATTCACCTCCTGAGCTATTTTTGTTCACATTCGGAGCCTTTTTAGGAGCTGGGCACCTGTTGATTTAAACAGCGTTTAGCATACCATAAGCATGCTGTGATGTCATACGTAAAATCGGACCGCTATTGAAGCTTGTGAAACCTTTTGTGATGACAATGAAAGGAAAGTAGGTATCCGGATTATGTTTTGTGCACAATTCGGACTTCCGAATTTTCAGCATGCACGTTTGTGTGACAACGGTTACCGTTGTGCATATTCCTACCAAATCGACCGAAACTCCGACGCGGCGCCGGGGTGATGATATTAATAAAAATAAAACGCCTAAATGCAGCCACACTTTTTGAACAAAAAGGGGAATCTTGTAGATGTATTGATTAAGTATTGTTGTACTAATAACTTTATCTTACATCTTCCAACTCTTTTTCCCACAGTCAGAAGCAATGACTGTTTCGGTCTTCAATGTGGTCTTTGCAGGTGCAGGTGGGATCAACTTTGGTTCGCCGGAAGGACCGTGGAACCATAGTGAACGATTGGAAAAGTTGTTAGGGGAAAGGTTGAAGGTATTAGCAATCATCGATCCAATGATCTGTGTAGCACAGAAACGTATAAATGATAAACTTTCAACAGGAAACAAAGATGTTTTGAATGCATATGCACAAACACAATGTTTTGCAACGATTGAAGATGCAAAAGAATCGGAAATTGGAACGAGAAATACGATTCATTTGATCGTGAATGGAATCCCACCTCATTTCAGAGGAACAGAGCTCAAAGGAAAAGATGCAGATGTTCAATTGATGGACGCATTTCCCAATGCAAAAGCAATCTTGACAGAGAAGCCGGTATCTGCATCGGATCCAACGGTGATCGATTGTGATTCAGTGGCAGAACATTACAAGAACTTCAAGGGGGCAACAAGTGTAGGATACGTCTTGCGCTATCTCAACGTAGTGCAAACATTGAAGAAGATTATGAAACAACATCAAATTGTGCCAATGTGTATTAATGCACGTTACATAATGGCATACGAATATACAACAAAATTACACTGGTGGAACAAGGACATCTCTTGTGGTCCAATCGTTGAGCAAGCAACACATTTTGTTGATTTGATCAGATATCTATCTGGATCACCAATCGATCATTTTTCCGTCCAAGCAAGAACAGTAGAGCATGACTGCCCGGCCGGTAAATTGAACAAGATGGGCTTTGATGAAAACGCTCTCATTCCTGCCGAACAACGTATTCCACGTATCACAACTGCTTCATGGAGACATCAACATGGCACACTGTCAACTTTGATGCATGGGGTAGCACTGCATGGACCAGATTATTCAACTGAAATTGATATCGTAGCAGATGGTTGGCTTTTACGTTTGTCCGATTTATATCAGGACAATCCAAAGTTGGCTATTCTCAAACAAGGTGCTCGTGAGTATGAGATTATTTGTGGACATGATGATCCATTCCTCACAGAGATTCAAGCTATTGTCTCGGCAGTCGATTCTAAAGACGCAGGAGAAAAGATCTTGAGTTCATATGAAGACGCTCTGGCAACGTATAAGATGACATGGGAAATCCGAAAGGCGGGTGAAGCAGAGCAAGGCAAGTAAGATATTATCACAGTTTCTCTCAAACAGCTACCTTCATTCGTGTAATAAAGTCAATATCATCATCGAGTATGAAATGAAACATTAAGGCAAAGTGTATCCACCATCAATGAGAGTATCACTGCCGGTTTGATAGCTAGAGGCATCAGAAGCAAGATAGAGATATAAAGCTTTGATCTCCTTAACATGACCTTGACGTCCCAAGACTGCCATTCGATAAGCTTCATTGATGCATCTTGGAGAAGCACCAAGCTTGGTATCAAAGAATCCTGGCGAGACAATATTCACTCTTGCAAATTCACGCCATTCTCTTGCCAACGATTTGCCAAATTGCGAAACAGCTGCTTTTGTAGCATTATAAACGGGTTGATCGACCGGCACATTGACTATATGAGCAGAGATTGAACTTGTCAAGATTAGGTTTCCTTTACCTTGACGTTTGAACACTTCACCAGCATACTTTGCACAGAAGAAAGCACCTCCTACATTCACATCCATTTGACGACGGAACTCTTCTTCTGTTTGTTCTAAGACTGGCTTAGAAATCGACATTCCAGCATTGGCAATGAAGACATCCAATTTGCCAAATGTATCCACAATGCTGGTAATCGTTTCTTGAACAGATTTTCCATTTGAGATTTCACATTGAAATGCTTTAGCGCGGATTTTGTGCAAATTTGCTAATCGATCAGCATGTTGAATTGCATTGGTGTTGGTGTTGTACAGAAGAGCTAAATCACCACCAGCTTCGGCAATTGCTTCAGCGACTGATAAACCAATACCATCTGATGCACCAGTGATTGCAACCACCTTTCCTTTCATGCTCAATTGATCAAAAACATTCGTGGGTGTGTCGGGAACGGGGTTCGGCTGTCTGACAGCTGCACAATCTTCCACTGACATAGACATCTTGTTCACTTGCTTTCAACGAGAAGATGATGGTTTCTGAGAGAACCTTTGTTTTTGAGGCACTTGCATCTTTTCCTTCAATTCTCGACGTCATATGACTTACAAGCTTAAATCGAATCAATTTCTTTATGCTAGCCTATCAAGAATTCCTTTGTCTGCCATTCTTATACCGTGCGCCTGCGCTTGGGCCGGCCGGTCTGAATCAATTGACCATGAACGGATCCGAGAGACGGGCGAACTTCTGAGAATTTCTTCATTTGACAGCTTGCACGGTACGCATACCTCAGCCTTTCCAGCGCCGTACCTTCTTCTTCTTCTACAATAAGCATTGCATTTCTCGCCCCGAAGTTGCCACACAAGAAATGCTGTGTCGTTTGTCAATACCTTTGTCACACAAAGAAATAGTCATTGAGCTATGAGATATACAGAACAGACAAGAGCTGGAATCGTAGAAAGTAACAAAAGAAACATCTTACATAACCACTTTCTCTTCATCAGGTGAGAACTTCTCTTCAACTGGCGATCCTTTCTCTTCTTCCATTCCGTTGTGCATTTCTGCGTCTGGAATTGAATCACCAGTAGAAATAGATTGAGTACGACGTTTCTTAAGCTCTTTGTTGAGCGCTTTAGAGTTTCTTGGGCTCACGGTTGCCACCAGTTCATCAACTTCTTCCAGAGTAAGCCCACTGGTTTCGTTGATGCAGAGGTAGGCAAACAAGATGCACAAAAGGCAGCACCCTGCCCAAATGAAGAATACATGAGGACCTAAGCCTGCTTTACCTGGTCCCTGGTCGACCAAATCTAAAGAGGGACAGCATACTTTAGTATAGAACATTTTCTTATCAACAATACTATTACTCACATGGTGTTGCATAACCAATGCCGAAGTTCCAAATCCATTGTGAGCCAGTACTGATACTAATGCCTTTAGCACGGACAGAGAGAGGGTATGTTTCACCCGTATAAACCCAAGTTGCTGGGCCCCAAGTAGCAGCAAATCCGGCGATATAAATACAAACAAAAGCCACCGCCGCAGCTTGAGCGGGACGGTTTGAAATTGGTTCAGCCGTTCCTACTGCCGCAACGATTAGTTGAGAAACAAACATCCAGACTGCTCCGTAGATGAACAAAGGTCGACGACCAACCCGTTCCATCATCCACATTCCCGGCACCGTGGAACACACGTTGACGACATTTGAAATGATCGAAAAGATGAACGGATTTTTTGCTCCAGTGCTTTTAAAGAATGTTACACCGTAATAAAAGATAAAATTGATACCGGTCAGTTGTTGAAGAGCCTGTGAAATGGCTCCCACAGCGACTCTGGTAAAGATCTTTCGCTCTCCCATCTCAAAAATCTCCTTATAACCGCCATTTCCAAGTCGAAGTTCCAAATCCAACGATGCTTGAATGCAATTAATCTCTGCGGTGACATACTCTGAATCTGGTAAACAAGAGTTGAGTCTTGCCAATGAATTAGCTGCAAGTTCTCTTTGACCTCGTTTGATAAACCACCGTGGTGACTCCGGCAAAATGAACAAACCCACAAAAATGATGAGCGCGAAAATAAATTGCATAGCTATCGGGATAAGGTACGAGCTTTGATTTGGCCTATGTTGTGTACTGTTATCAACGATTGAAGCAATCAAAAGACCAATTGTGATCATCCATTGATAGCAAGTGACTAGAGCACCACGAATCCATTCTGGACTGATTTCAGATTGGTATAAAGGAACAATGCAAGAGATTGCACCAACGCCTAAACCGGCCACAAATCTGCCAAAAGCAAAAAGTGGAACTGCTTTTGAAACACATTGAATGATCACTCCAAGGGTAAAGATGATGATTGCAAATTGTAACCCACGGCGTCTTCCTAAAAAGTCTGCCATCGAAGAAGATGACATTGCGCCAAGAAATGTTCCAGCCGAAAGGATTGAAACGACCAAAGAACGATGACTTGTTGATAAAGACCAACCAGGTTGAGGTGGATTGTCTTTACTAATCAAATTTCCTGGAATGTTATAATCATAATACGTTCCAAATTGTTCTTTAAAATTTTCCATTTCGATGATACCGGAAATCACACCTGTATCATAACCAAACAAAATACCGCCCCATGCAACAAAAGCTGCAACGATCAAAGCTGGTAAAGCTTCACGAAATGTTCTTGGCTTTGGAGCTGGTAAGCTTCTTGCTTTACCAATACCACCAGATGGCAATGTTGGCATTACGCCTGGCATGATGACTTAAATTGTTTTTAGTAAGTAGAAGGTGAAAGGTTTTTTTTTTGGTTGGTTGAGGAGAAGAAAGAAAAGTTTCATCATTTCCCCTTCATTTTGACCTTTCGATTCAATGAGTAAATAACTCATCCGCATTGACCGGCTTATCCAATCAGATGTGGGGCAAAGACATTAATTTTATGTCCATAACGGCACGTAGCACTCATAGAAGGCTCCTGACGTTCCGGCGCCGGAGTGTTTCAAAAACAAAGTACTGCTCAAATACAACAAATCAATTTTTAACGGAAGCCGAAGTAATATAATGAGCTGTCAAACAACGAGCTGTCAAAAAAGAAGAAAGAAGTTCCCAGAGACTTTGCTCTCATTTCGGTCCCGCTCGTGCCGGTAAAAGTCATGAAATGACATGGTCTTATAAGAAAATAAAATTGGTGTTGATATTTACAAAGTCTGTGTAGCAAAGAGGGTTGGATCAAAGATTGCTTCGTACAGACAAAGTGCGAAATGTATCAATAATGGGATTCTGTCTGAGGAAAATGCACAATGGAATGGAAGAAGAAAGAGCATCGCCAGTGGAAAAACGTTATCACCTAGTGAAGAGAAAGTGTTTATGTAAGATGATATCCTTTTGTCACTTTTTACGTTTCCAGCCCTTGTCTTTCCCGTACATCTCATAACTCAAAGACTATTTCTTTTGTGTAAACAAGGCATTGAAAAACGACACAGCATTTCTTATGTGGTAGCTTTGGGGCGAGAAATGCAGTGCTTATGACACCAAAGCACGTTACCTTGGCAATCAGTCTGAAGAAGGGGCTTAGGTGTTGTATGATGTGAAAGATGGCTAGAAAAAAAATCAAAACAGAAAATTACATAAAGCGCTGTATTCTCAAATTCGGATGCTTTTTTTGCAACCACAACAATCACAATCACAGCAGGATTCTGAAAAAAAATGAAGTACTACAGTATTCAAAATCTCATTTGCTTCTCGTTGATGCTATTTGCCATGACGAACGCAATGTCAGTCAATACTCGCAAACCAACCGCCGCTGAACGAGATGCAGCTGCGAAATTCGTTGAAGAAACGAACAGTGAGTAGCTTTATCAATCTTTGAATCGAATGGGTCTCTTATCAACTTCTTCATCTGCAGGGAAATTTGAAAAGACTGGGCACGTTTAATTTTAAGCTGCAGGCACATTGAACCATCAACCCAAAAGCGCTGGTCGCTGGGTTCTTTTGTTTTGGATCTTCTCGATAAACTTCTTCTTTTATAATGCATAAAATTAAAACGATCAATAAGTAGTAGAATAAGTCGTAACAGGAGCGAACAGTAAGAGTTTGTTTTACACAACTTAAGCCCTGGCTTTGAATCTGACAGAGTATGGGTTTTCGATAGGATGTGTAACACTGTCTGCGTAAATTGGAGGATTCTTTTTCAAAGCGTTATCATCATAAACGATATCAAAGTATTTCGTAATTTCTGCGATTGCTGCCATTCCTTCAAATGTTGCCAAAGTTTGACCAAGACAAACACGTGGACCAGCATTGAAAGCATGAAAGAATGATTGTGGAAATTGCTTAATTTGCATTTCACCACTTCCGTCCGATTTTGGTTCCAAGAATCTTTCAGGTTTGTATTCTTTGCAATCTGCTCCCCAAATTTCTGGCATACGTGCCATTGCCCAATCACTCCATAAAACACTTTCGCCTGCTTTGATTGGGATGTCAGGGAGGTCACGCTTTCCATCACGGGAAAGAGGAACACCTTCACCGGCATAAGGACGAATGATTGTATCCTTTACCGCCAAACGTGCATTCTTTGGAACGGCAGGGTTCAAACGAATAGCCTCGTAGAATGCGGCATGCAAATAAGGCAAGCTACGTAAATCATCATAACCCAATTTACGATCACCCAATTTCTCCTTGACTTCTTGACGAATCTTGTCAACAACTTCAGGATGTTGCCAGAATCGATAGAAAGCCCAGGCCAAAGATTGAGCAGTCGTATCACGTCCAGCGATCAAGAAGTTCAAAACGATCGGTAATAGTTCTTCACGAGTTAGGCCCATTTCCATGAACAACTGTAAAAGATCTTTGCCTTGTTTGCTGTCGACTGCACCTTTTGCTTCACCGGATTCTTGTGCTGCTAAACGTAAATCGATGATACGATAACAATATCTACGTAAGATTTTAATGTTCTTGCGCATACGGAAACCTTGCATGTTGAACAATTCAAGCCAGAGCGGCAAAGGATCAAAGAATCTGTTATCGGCAACCAATTGAGCGCTATCGAATGCATCTGCGAATTCGTTGCGAGTTTTAAGTCCTTCAACCGTGTCTGGCAAACAGTTTAAATCAGCACTGAAAGCCATTGTGCTAAAAGTAGAAAGAGTGAATCGGAAAAAGACATCACAAATATTGACTGGAACATTGTGTTTGACGGAATCAGCACAAAGACTGTTTACCAAATCCAAATCTTTATGAATCGTTTCTTGAACGTATGTTTTGAAATTTCCAACGCTAAAGATATGAGAAGCCATCTTTCTTTGACGTTTCCAAATTGCTCCATCTGCTACAAAGATACCATGACTGCCTAAAAGATCTTCAAAAGCACGTAAAAATGGACCACCTTTGATAAAGTTCTCGAATTCAGTCTTTTGACAAAAATGAATGTATTCCGGTCTATTGATCACGATTGCTCTTTTTCCAAGGATCGGAAATGTAGCAGTAACTGGTTGACCACCTTTTCCATCTTCTTCTTGAACACGTAAGACTTCATGTAAAGATTTACGTTGTTTGAGATAGATACGTAAAGCAAAGATTGTATTTCCGATCAAAGGAAAAGCAGGAGTTGCAGTCTTGATTTCCTTGCGAGCATGTGTACCGATCAAACGATCAGGATAAGCGATACATAATGCAACGAAGAGTAATCCTAATCCTGCTGAAATGTAAAGAGGATTACTGAGGATATCGGAATCGACTGACGTTTGAAAGATTGATGATGAGGCCGTCATTGTTGAGGGTTGTCTGAAGGAACAGATGTTGAAGAAGTGGAGAGAGGAGGTATACTTTATATACTCTTCCTCTTTTTGCTTCGGTCAAATGTTTGCATTCGGGCATGAGTACGTTTGAAATGCATTGGATCCTTTCTTCCCACGCCTTGTTGTTTAATAAAGTTGTTTTTTGGCACGCTAACGATGTCATCGAATAACAACGGCTTTTATTGCAATCAAGCAAAACCACGAATTGCTGCTAGGTCGCGCTCTCGCGGCCGAAAAACTTGCATGAAGGTGCATGAGTTGACACTGCCAGCATGCGCGAAGCGCAATGAATACAAAAATGCCTTTGGCATTTTTGTATTCAATGTATAGTGAGCATGGCAATGCCATGCTCACCTTTCATAGATCACACTCACACTTCATAGTCATGTACATAGATAGGCATTAATGAAATACAATTACAATT